TATCACATTCCACAGATCTGTGATCTTTGCTTTCACAATATACGCAATGTTTAGATTGTTCCTTTGTTAACAATAACTTATCTCGCTTACCATCTTTCCATGAAAATCCATCTTTTTTATCACTTTGTTGTAATGGGTTTCGCTCAATCCACTGTCGTAATGCCTCAACTAACTCCGGGAAAGTCCACCTTTTCCAATCTGATGAGGTTCTCGTTAAATCAGCTCGAATGCCTTCTAATTTATCCAACGTCATCCTTACATTTCCTGCAACATCCCCCAATTTTCCGAATGCTTCAAGAGCTTGAACATGCCCCAAAAGACTGTCATAAAAGTTGTGTATCTTTTGTTTTGATACGCCAGTAATAGTAGGTAAAGACAGAATTTCTTGAATATGTGCATTGACTACCTCGCTTGCGTCACCATATCTTTGCTCCAACATCCTTTTCGCTTTTGCATACCCTTCGCTATTCAGTGGTAATTGATCAATTGTAATTCGAACTTTAGGTACAAGATGTTCTTTTAAATATGCAAACTTTGCTTCGTCTTTCATGGGAGCTTTATCAATTTGGGTCTCAAATAGACCCCAAAACCGAACCCAATCTAAATGAGTTCCTTGAAATTTCGAGATTTGCAGCTCAGGCAACTTCGTTTTAACCCGCTTCGCAGCAGCTAATTCTAGCTTCTTTTCCTCAAGAGATAACGCAAACTCTTCTTCTCTTTCACGCTTTGCCAATTCTATCTCTCTTTCCTCATCTCTAATTTGAGCTCGTGCTTCTGCTTCTTGTCGAATTTTCTCCCGACGCTCAATTTCCTTTCGTTTTCCTTCGTCGTCTAAAAGCTTATTATTTAACTCTTCTATAACCTCCTCAAATACGCGTAACTTGCCTTTGTTTTCGTTTGTCCACTCGTCAATAACTTCATCTTCTTGGCCCGCATCAACCTTCAAGCCTTGTATTAATACAATCAAATCATAAGCTTCGTCTACTTTGGTTTTTAGTGTTGTTTGTTGTCGTTTAATCGCTTCTATCGAATTCCCTCTCAAAATCTCGGTTGTTGCTCGGTTAAAATATGATAATTTTCGCAATACTGACTGGAAGATTCCTACTTTCGTCTCCGTTTCATTAGATAAACCCGACTGCTCTTGTGCTTCAAGATCAATTCGTTGACTTTGTTGTCTCGTCACCGCCATGTCACGCTCGATTTTTTAGTCAAAATACATCCTCAAACCCCGATTAATTCTCGATAAATTCCAAGTCACAAATAGATAATAATCGCCGTCGAAGGTGCCACTTTGTGGAGAATTTTGTTGTTTCCCACAATTGGTTTGAAGAAGTATTTTCACGCTTTTGTTTAAGATATTTTTATTTTAATTCTAATCTCCCTTGCTCGCACGCTCTCTCTCTTGCTCTATCTAATATGTCAATCAAGTGTCAGTTTTTGTTCGCTCACGAATTAACTTGTTAACGATTAACTTGTTCCCTTGCTAATAACAACTAAGACGCTACTAACATTCACGACACTTCATCCTAAAAATAAAAATGGAGATATGATCAAGATTTATTCCCAAGGTGCAAGAAGCTAAAAAATAAATTAAAAGCCATGATAATTGATCATTTCACTTTGGATTTGACAAGGTAAACAAGATAATATATTAACTAGGCTTTAACAGACCTCACTATCAGAGGTTGGAATTAATTTACACTGTTTACAGCATCTTATTATTTTGTATTAGCACCATCAGATCATGTTAATTTATGCTGGGTGGGATAAATAGAAGAGGGACTATAGTAGACTCACTGGGGGAATGGTTTACCTATTAGCATTGATGTTTGCTATCATGAAAACAACATAGACCAAACTCAAAAGATTGACACTGCCAGGAATATAATTTTTTCCCCACACAAGTTAAGAAAAAATGATAAAATTTGGGTATATAACATTGCATTTATTGTTTGTACCACACGTTTTGATGGATTTATTGTCTCAGAGGCTTTGGTACCCAGTTTATACTATAGTACCCAGTTTATACGAAATTGTTTACAGTAAAAAAAGTTGAAAACGGCTTACCTCAGTTACCTGGATGTTATAAAATAAGCAAATTGAGAAAATTCACCTTACCGATAAGTGAATTAAGCCATTCACAACGTCAGACGCAGAGCACGAAGCTATGTGTCCTTTCCATTTGTTGAACAGGGGAAAAGAGAAACACTTTTATCCATTTTATATGAAAAACAAAAAATATATACGGAAAGCTGAAAATATTTTCATAAAATCCAGGAGGGAGACGGACTCAATTTCTCACTTTGTATCGCGGTATGTCAGTGGTATCTACCATGAGCAAAAGGAACCAAGTGGCGTCAGCAAACGCCGAAATCCGCCATGTTTTTTGCTTCACTTTCTGGTCAAGAACAGTCAAGAACCGGTCCTCCAGGAATTATTATATAGCTCAGTGAGCATGTCTGAATTCTGATGTCCCTTTAGTTTATGGCCTTGAAGTAAACTACACACGTAAAAACGCACGAGTTGTAACAAGCCTGCAGCAAGCTTGTCGCAAGCTCGTTTCAACAAGCTTGTTGCAAGATTTATTCGCACCGCTTGTCCCAAGTTGTTGTGACGGACGTGTAGCAAGTTGTTATCAGACTTGTAGCAAGTTTGTTGTGACAATGCTGTACCAAGGTTGTTGCCAACAAGCTTGCTACAAGTCTGACAACAACTTGCTACAAGCTTGTTGAACTTGAGCTGTTCCAAGCTTGTTATAACAAGGCCGTTACAAGCTTGTCGCGACAAGCTTGCTGCAAACATGGCCGCGCATTAAATCTCGCTTGAAAACACGCGTGTTTTCCCGGAGATTGTGAAACAAAGAACAAACAACGCAAAGTTTGATGTAAAAATCATATTATTTTAAAAACAAATTCAAAGGTTAGCAATTAAATACAAACTTCACATTTGAAGTATCAAGATTACTAAAGGCTCAGTACAAGAACATATGTATTTTCCTTTCTGAGTATATAGCCTAATAATCAGTTCGTAAGAAAAGTTTCTTTGCATTCATATGGCAAAAATTAACTGGTGCATGAATATTCTTGTATAATACCAGTATTTCAGTCACTTGTTGAATTGACTTCGTCATCCCAAGAATCAACAGCTAGCTGCACCTCTTTCCTATAATTCACTTTGTTTGATACGACTTTCCGGCCAATACCTCAGTTTAGCTCCAGTTTGATAATCAAATTCCTATAAAGTATAATATACAATGGCTTCAGGAATCAGTTACTTTAAAAAATATGCAAATATTTTTGAGGAAACTGGTTTGCAAATACGTTGAGGAAACTCCATCCTGTCTGCTGTGGCGAGGGTCTTGCTTGCCATCCAAGTCTAATGTCAAATAAGTAATGTACAAATACTTTATTACCATAATACGTAAATATATTATTATTTCTAATCAGAGCACGATAAAAACATACGCACAGATATTAAAAATAGGAAATTTTGCACTTTACCGTACACCTACTCGTCATTAAAATTTGAATTATTGAATACAAAAAACCGGCAAAGTTTCGATTTTGATAAATATCCACAGAAACTAACCGTTCAATGTTTATAAAAAGCAATAAATTCAACAAATATTTTAAAAACTATATAGTTTTAAAAGGCTAGCTTGTGTACTATAATAAATTGTGTTGCCGGCGTTGTGTACGCCATATCAAATATTTGGATGAATTAAACGCACATACCTTTATTAAAAACGTCCGAACTGTAGTATTCTTCAAACTTTTTTAAGTTGCCCATCCGTTTTAACTGATATTTCAACGTTTATTAAACTTTTAAAGGCTTAAAAAATCAAAGGTTTTGGCACAAAGATAGCTCAATGACCAGGTGAATCAGTGAACTCTTGAAAAGAGCAGGGAAATTTGCAAATATACTGACGTATATTTCAACCAATAAGATCACTTATACATAGTTTAAACAGAGTCTGAACCAATGAGATTACTCCGTTGAAATCGTCACTTCCTCAACGGTTCAACGGTTATAGATATCCTTGAAACAAGGAAATGTTCATCTGTAATGTTTTTAAGGAATTCGGATTCTTTTCAAATCTTATTACTGAAAGAAGTTATGAACTTCGTTGCAGAGTGTTAAAGTGTTTAAAAGCTCGTTGATCTTGCTTTTGCCATTTGATGAATGGCAATGATAAAAAAAAATCATATTTGGCCCAGTTCAAATTGATTTTGTTGTTATCGGAAAACTTTTGCCGTTAACAATGTCGCTACAACTTGTTGGAACTGTCTTGTTACAGCATTGTCACGCGCAGCCTTCGTACACGCTTGTTGTGACAGGCTTGTTACAACTTGATGACTATAACAACTTGTCAACAAGTTGCTCCAACAAGCTTGGTACAGCTTGTTGTCGACAAGCTTGGAACAAGTTGTTCCAACAACTTGCTACAAGTCTGCAAGCCAACAAGTTGTAGCAAGCTTGATGTCAACAAGCTTGCTACAACCTGTTGTCTCAACAAGCTTGTTACAACTTGTCAACAAGCTTGCTACAAGCTTGTTGAGCTAACAAGTTGTCAACAAGATGTGAGATTTTTAGGTGTGTAGGTAGGCATTTGTAATTTTGCGTCAACAGGCAACAGGAAAGTGTCATCGCTTCAAGGTTATAAAGTACGTCTTTGTGCATGTACTTTAACTTCACATAAATTTAGAGGCACGTCGTTTATTACAATCTCTGAATCAAAGAAATTTGTGAACACTATACTACATAAGTATACTATTTTGGTGCATCTCCTGTCATGTCTCAAATGATCCTATTTTTCTTTTAAAATCCTAAGATATCCCGGAAAATGCATATTTACACACATATGTATACCAATGTACACACAAATTTAAATACTTTCAAAACACTGAGCTATATATACCCATAGGACAATTGCTTCAAACGAATCAGTTTAGTTCTTTAGAACTTAGAAGTTGTCAATTTCTTTCATATTTTTAATTTAGTTTAGGAAATTTGTAAATTCGAAATAAATGGAGGAAGCTGCAGTAGACCAAGAACTGAAAATAAATTTAGCAGCTTTGAGAAAAAGTGATCGGTTTGTCTTGGACATTTTGGAGACGTCTGCTCAAGTTGCACTGTATAAATTTGAGCCACAGAAACAGGAATGGGTAAGGAGGAAAAATAATCTTAGCATTTCCTTCTTATATAACTCAGTAACTGACTAGTATAGTATATTATAAATCATTTCATCAGTAGAAAAGCAGACAAATTGTTGTGAGTTAGATATCAAGAAACTTCAGGCTAGAAAAATTTGACAAGTGACAACTACACACATTATTATTGCAGGTAGACATATAATGCAGATTTTCTTTATAAAAACATTTCCATGGCATGCATTATCAGCAAAAACGTTGTAGATCTCACAAAACCATGCACACATGCACTTTTGGTACACATAGCCAATAACTTATCACCTGAAGGCACTGGATAAAATGAAAGTATATGTTTATTTATTGCATAAAAACTAAATGTTCCCCATTTCATCATGTTTTTGTCATTATAATAACATTAGCCATTAGCCATAGTCAATATGATTCTAGTTGATTGATATGTGATTTAAACAGGAAAAAACCGAAGTGGAAGGAAGTCTGTTTTTGTACAGAAGGTATGTAATATCACTATTTATTTTTTTTCTTGCGGTCTGAATTCATAATTTAGTGTTTCCGACAATCTGATTGGCTACGCGAGCGGTCCATACGAGGCCATACGGACCGGGCAAGATTTAAAAGTACAGGGCCAACGCTAAAATATGAATTTGAACCACAAGAAAAAGATTTCTATTCCAGTTTAGTCGGTCCGTATAAAGAAATATTTCCCTTGGTCTCAAAATGTTCCTCGGCCTTGGGCTGTTTTTGAGACTTTGAGAAATATTTCCCTATATACGGACCTCCAATCTGGTAAATAACATATATATATGCATTGTATTGTTATCTATGTATCTAATCATGAAACTTGTATCATACACTTAGGTCAACATTACCAAAGTTTGCCTTGATGATCATGAACAGACTAAACCGAGATAATTTGAATGAATATATCACAAAAGAAATGGAATTTAAAGTTCAAAAACCATTTCTCCTATACAAGAATTCATCAGGTAAATGATCTGTGATACTTAATGAATATTCTCAAACTAATCATTTTTAATATTTGTTATTTTCTTCAAATTTCAGGGGAAATTTTGGGCATTTGGTTTAACAATCCAGAAAAATGTGCAAAAGTTGGTGAGCACATAGCAAGGTATATATTTAACAATTATGCCACAAGCTCAAGGTTTTCTTTGGTTCTGCTACCCACCGTATATGAGCTGATATACCTTGGGAAGCTCGACCAATCAGAATGCGGAATAGCTCATATACAGCGAGTAGCTACATTATAAATATAAATATATATATATATATATTAAGCAATGATGAATCTTTGTAGCTTGTGAATAGCTAATAACATTTGAAATAGCTAATTCAAACAAGCACATTGGAAATTTTAGACTTTATGCATCACCACCACCAACTCAAGATGAAAATAAAGAAAAGAGCCAAGGCATTTTAGAACTTTTTGCAAATGCACAAAAAAGATTTGATGAAAAAAATAAGGTTAGACTCTGTCAAAATTTTGAAATAAAGTACATGAATTTTTAAATTTGTAATGGGAAATATTCTGAAATAGATATATGATATACATTAGGTATATGAAAATGGTGTTGTTGAGCCATCCTCATTATCCCAAGCACAAAATATTGACAATGGGAAACTAAGATCCTTGTCATTGACTGGAGTTCCACCTACACATACTTCACCATTAACATTTCTTCCTTCTGCCATTGAAAATGAAGATATACAATCACAGACACTTCATGATCCTTGTATTGTGAAAAGCTCTCCTTTACGACCTTCACCCAAGCATTTGTCTCGTTCACTCCCAAACAGTGCAAAGAAAGCAATACCAAAACAGGTATGCATAATATAGCATTCACATTGAAATGGTTATAGCAAATCAAATTTTTTTCCATCTTCTATTTGATTTAAAGCTATTTATCCAAGAATTAGCACCTCCTACAAATCCAAATCAAGAAAAAACAGAAAAAGTCCCACTCCCATCTGTACCTTCCCAAAATGCTTCATCTGCTAAAAGTAGACCAGCTATGACCAAGCAAGGATCAAGTACTGATCTTAGTACAGGAGCTACTGCTCTGATGTCTCCGATGGCCTTTAAAACTACTAAAAGTCAATCTACCGCTCCAAAAGACCCAAATGTAGACATGATTGTCTTGACTAAAGAACAACTGCAAGAGACCCTGATCACTCTTTTAGAAGTAAGTCATGGTGGTCAAAGCTAGTCATTGTAATAATAATGGTAATAATCATCAAAAGGTGATGAAGATAGTACTAAAAAATTTGGATTGCAATTAAACATTATTACAAATACAGTACATGTGTTACAGTTTTTCAAAAGCATTTTTTTGTTTCTAGAGAGATTCAATTTTCTTGACAAGATTCACTCAACTTATGTGAAGAAACTCACCAGATGAAAAAACATGGAACAAAAGTATTAGCAAAGGAAAGGGAGTTTTTCAATGCTGTTCTTGACAGCAGTTCACATATAGCTATGGTGCATGGTGGCTATTGACCATAGGCCAAATAGTTTACTTGCTTGAATAGAGTGGTTTGGTTTTACTATTTGGGGATTTGATAAACAATTTTCTGAATGTACAATAGAGTTATTGAATGTAGATTGAATATGAGAAATTAAAATCTACGTAGTATTCAACCAAAAATCATCATCAATAGCTCAGCCTAATCTATCATCATAATTATTTACATTATATTTACATCACAAAGGAGTACATGTTAAAGTTGATTATTGTTGAAATATGTCCAAAATAAGAACATGTATTGATATGATGCAAAAAATTTTTAGCCTGACTTATGACAAATGGTAAAATGTTTGAAAAATCAAGCAACAAATATTTACAAAATGCCATATGTGTGTATAATAAATAGAAAATAGAAAAATATATTCAACATAACCATTTACGACAGTTTGCTGACTTACAATAACATTTCATATGCTGGGTTGATTTTGATGGACTCTGATTGTTGCGTGTCATGAGGTAATCAAATGTCAATTCTTCACCTCGCTGTATGTCACGGGTGGCAAATAGGGCAATATGGGGTAGGTGGGGGTCTGCATTGTCTATCCATACACCATAGACAACCAAATTTGGATCACACTGATAATATGAAATATCACATTTTATTGCTAATGATATGGTCCTAGCATTTTTTATGTAGGGCCAAATTTTAACAGAAAAATGATGCTAACAAGCAACACATTTAATAACTTAATATCAACCTGATATACTAATTTCCTCCCCATAGGAAACTTTCATTTTTAAAAGCAGAAACATTTCTATGCAACATTCCTAACATTTCTCTGTCTATTTTGTGAATTTTAAAAGACTATTAAAAAATAAACATTTAAAATTTGATTGAAAAGCATAGAAAATTAACCTGATCTTTGATTAACCACAATTGGTTGGTTGTTAAAATAATCCAAAGCTAAAGTAAGCAATTTGATTCACTAGGGATATAAGGTAAAATACAGATGATAAAAATATATACTTACAGAATGATTCATAAAATGAGCTACATTTCCATAGCGATATGCATCAATTGTATAAAGACAATCTCCCTCATTATAATCCAAGTCAAAGAGATATGTCTGTCCCATTTTGTCATACTTCTGACCACGAATCTCAGCATCTTCACTTGTAAGGATTTCACCAACATACTCTGTCACAAACTGATTGGCATGAATGTATTCCAAGGTTTTCAAGCCCCAACCTTTCTTCTTAGTGCGGAAAATGCAAACCTAGAAAAGATATATGGACTATGGTATAGCTGTACAAATCTAAAAGTTTGAACCCCTCTGGTTTTACATGCTGTTCACTTTAATAGTCAAGTAGAATTTTCCAAATAGTCTTTTGATTTGATTGTGCAAAGACATGTAAAGAAACATCTTGGTGTTTGTTGATTGTTGTACTCTGCAAACTGGTTTTCCTCTCCAGAAACATAAAAAGTAACTAATAAAAGGTCATTCGCCCACACAATGTTTGTTTAGCGCTAAAAATTACCAGTTGTATAAAAGACTAGTTAATTTTTAACTGTAGTTTAGGACAGAATTGGCCAATCAGAGTTGTGCATTTCTGAGTTAACTAGGATTTAAATATGCAATGCCAAAGAGTAGTTAAAAGGTTTTATACAACCGACCCCTGGCTGTTCAACTTACATTAACCCTTCGACCACGTTGCACAACCCTATTTCGACAATTGTGCTGGCAAGGACACTTCATATTACACTCGTATATGGGTCTTCTTCTAGCAAGGGTAACTCTACCATATTCATCATAAGCAAACTCACTGCCAGAATAAAGTGGACAGCTACAATTTTTTTCGCTGCACTTATCTTTGCAATCGCATGCAACTATATATGCTGGGTCTGGCCAGAGCTTCACACCAGGACCAGCAACATTCTTACAAGTGTAATTAAACTGTTCAGGAAACTTCTCAAAGTCGACACGGTTTTCCAACGTGATGTACGGCTCTCCGCCGGCTGCAATGTTTATACGTCTTTCTACCTCCTTTAGCTTCTGGTCGTACTCTTTTCGCCTTTTATCACATCTTTGTTTTTTTTTCGTTTCTGAAGACTGACAATGGCGTTGTTTTAGTTCTTCTACTGGTGACAATTCAATGCGTAAAACTGGGGTTAGTCGATTCCCTTCTCGACTTTTCTCTGTCGCCATGTTGCATGTTGAAAAGCGCGCGGATCACAATGTGCTTCCAAATCTTAGAAATTCCTTTTTCTTAGTACCATAAATTCCGATAAGAATTCCGTGCATGACAGTCTTTCAAGGTTGTGATTGTTAGAAGATCAATATCACCACATCACTGATGCAGAATGATGTAACGTTTGACGTTTTAACCACTGATTGATGTTTTTCTTTAATTTTCACATTTGGAAATATGGATTTAAGATTATCACGATGAATTGAAGTGATTTCAATAAATTAAATTAATGAGGTTTTGATTGCTTTTTTCGTCGCTAATTACATGTATAATGCGTCCGAACGTTAACTTTAGTAAAAATTAAATTATTAACCGCTTTGGTCTGTCTCACTTTCTGGAGGAATAAATATGTTCCCTATGTTTTATCCCCTGGGGCAGGGCATTTTCGAGACCTCTGCCTGGAAAAGATTTTGCCTATGGTTGCATGTGATTTTATGATATTCTATCTTGCAACCAAACCTGAAATAACCTAAATCATCAATTCGTAGAAGCACCACGTTGTAATTTGCAAGTAAATTTCGAAATTACCATCATTTTTGGACCATCATTGGCATTTTCGATCCCAGGACTTCGCAAATAATTGCGCAAATACCAAATCAAAGATGGCGAATTTTTTGTTTCGCCAATTTCGACTAGCAAGACGATTACAGCCTGTCTTAGAGAGAAATAAAAGATGCATGAGCTTATTTACCAAGGAAAGAGAACCTCCGAATGGATTTCTTTTTAATGAAAAGGTGAGCCATCAGAATAATGCTCTAAATTCTTGTTGCAAGTGTATGATGTTTTGGATATGGCATATGTATGCTATAGTTTTACAACACCATCTCTGTCTGACTTTTCAGCCTCGTCTGAATGGTGAAAAACGTGAGTGGGAAGATTGGGAGGCAATTTGGTATCGATGGTGGATTGTTTCAATTCTTATTCTTGGTATAGGTTTCTATTATAGACCTGATACATCGTAAGTTGTCATTCTTTTCTTATACTATTTATACTCTCCATACCTTTTGGTAGCCGGGTAAGGTGGTGGCAGGGGGGGCATCCACCCATAACACTTTTTGCCATAACCCAGATTCACAATAGTGAAATATATTGACCAATGTCAGCGTGGCAACATCATCAGTGACCAAATTGCACAGCCACTGACATCAAGTAAAAGTCAAATTTTTATAAATCTTCTGACACCTATGTATTTGTCATCAGTACGGTTTTCTATTTTTAGTTTGGGAACCTGGGCTCGTGAGGAGGCCCTCAGACAAATAGAAGAAAAAGAAGCAGCTGAGTCCTCAAAATAGAAACTTATTTTATATAAAAAAAATATTTAACTGGATGTACCCAAACTGTAAAACTGTTGTGAAAATATATGTTCATTTGATAAAGAGTATTGTGATGAGTATTCATCTTACTGTCACACTTGTGTAAATATTGCAATTTTCAAAAACAACCACAGTCAAGGAAATTAACAGTGAAATAAATAAAATAGTTCCTGAATTCCTAACTTCACTTCTTTGCAACATGAAATATATCAACCCAACATAAAGAATTGATGCCAACTACAGTCCAGATAAAACAATTGAATAGCCTTTTCTTGCTGGAAATAATCTATTTGTATACAGTTCCGGAAATGTTGCCATACGGGAAAGCGATTACGTTAGAGCACGGTATAGATTTGCAGAACAACATTAGCAACACGTTAAAAATATTTTGGTTTGATCCAGTTTTGTCATTCTTGACATTCCTCGTTTATTCTCAATTTCTTGCCCTTCCAAGAACGACTGTTTCTAACGAGCCACTTCTCATGTGGCAAAAGCATTAAAACAATGAATAATAAGACATTTCAGCTCGTTGTTTGTTGCGAGTTACGTCTAGTTTTGATAATGGTGGCCTCTGTCACCAACAAGTCATTTTCACGAATGTGAAATAGTTCGGATTACAGTTCACTTGTAGTTGTCTTCATTTTCTGTATTTGCGGACTTAGATGAACGCAGAGACAAAGCTATATGCTATTACACAACTATGACTACATCGACCGATCGACGATCTTAAATTTTTAATGAAAATTAAAAAGCATTACATTTAACTAGTCCACCCACCTGCATCAATAAAGGCGAAACTGGAAAAAATGTTGTTGCATATTTTTTGCAAGATATATTTAACTAATCATATAATCTTTCAAATTCCTTAAATTCCCACTACCCAGAATACAGGAATTCGCTTTGTGTTAATAAACAGGATTACATAAATTTTAAAAATTGTCCATCAAAACAGTGTGCCCATCACGAAGAATGAAATTAACTACTTTTATACACGACTGCAACTTGTTATACATTACTGCGACCATCTCGGGATCTTTACCGAGAATCGCACTTATCCCGGAACTATGTAAAAAACGGTCAGTATTGATATGTGATGAGATCGATAGTTGTTAGAGTTTTGTATTGTATGTTTCAATTTTCAAATTTACCATTCCTCAACAAAAGTAAATAGTTATGAATTCTAGAATTCGTAATGAAGCTTCGTCGGCAAATTACTGAAAAATCAACCTAATCCGAATTGCCCTTGGTACCTCTGACCTTAACAGGAGTCATTTTGACTTTTGCGTTCCGTCCTTATGTAAACCTCTTTATTGGTTGTCTCGCGTGTTCTAAATAGCATATGTCAAGAGACGTTCAAGTGGTCAACATATTAAATTCGAATATATATGTCGCATTGTCGTTCAGCATTCCTGTGTAATTTCACTCAAGTGGATGAGTGAATGAATACACGAAATCAAAATCAGTTATTAAATACTCTAATACAACAATTCCGTTAGACGCAATCAACGCAGTTTTTGTACAGGTGAATCTGTTATGATCTGTGATACCTTTCGGTTCTTGCACAGATGCTTTATTGTTCTTCTCCTGAGTGACATTGTGGAACAGCAATGCCGATACAAATCATATAAGATCACTCACAAAAGATTAAACGGATCAGGTTTTGATACACGTAAGATGTACATGTTTTTAATATTTTACTTATCTATACATCTACTATTTTATAACTCGCCCAATGTTTGACTTATTTCTAAACTTTACAAGTGTTCGCTTACGCTTACTGCTTTTTCATCACTGTATTTCAGTTGGAACTTGGAAGTCAAATTATATTCAAGGGGTGTGCAAGAATGACCCTATGGTTTGGCATTTGAAATAACAGCATGATATTAAAATATATTACAGTGTGTCACAACTAAAATATATTGAAACATATTAGCGCGTATACTGACAGTTTAACGTGAAAAAAATCGACATAACAGGGTCACAATCAGAACACAATCTTGTAACATTTTTTCAGTAAAGAAAAAAGGGATCATTGAGGAATAGTTCAATTTGCGCCATTGGGTCAAATGAGTGATATAAAACCGCGATTAACAAACGATTTGTGTTGTTAAAACTACAGATTTTGCAGTACTTATCAGTAGGACTTCGTGACAATTGATCGTGACAATCCCCCTACCTCCCCTCCAGAACATTCTCTCATGAACAATGCACAGAAGATGTCTGTCTTTTGTTCAAGACGCCTCAATTGTCAGAGATATTAATACAATCACTGCCCCCGCCTTGAAAGCAAATGAACTCTACCTTCATGTGTTTGCTTTGAAGCTCAGCGTGTTAGCCGAGGTATTTGAAATGCGTCTCCACTTCTAAATCCCTGCTAGCCATTTACCTTACTCTGGATACAACAAACGGCTTGATTTAAGCTTTGTGTCCGCAATTGGACGGAAAAGGTGTCTTGTGAATAGTTGAGATATGGAAGAACAAAATGGAACGATCGAGGCCGCTGATGGGAAAGGAGAAAAGAAACGAAAATCTAAGCGGTAAGTCGTAAGACGTCGTTTCATTTTGTAAGGAATTCTGTAATCGTTTAATGGCATATTGAGAGTAGATTAAGAGTTGCCGGAGACAATATGGTCGAGAATTCAACCACACATAATTACTACTTCCTGAATACGGAAGGAACGAAATAAAAGCACGATTCAAAAAGTTTAAAACGTGAAACAATCTTTAATAGGACTAGTTAGGTTCATTTACCAAACAGACATGAGATAACTACGTTATTTCGTCAGTTTGACTGAAGGCTGTCAAATCAAAAAGTGTTTGGTCTTAACCAGCTGCCTAGCCAGAAGATCTCGCTCGAAATTTTCATTTACCTTTGCTTCAAATATCAATTTTCATAAAACAGCGGTGTTTAGTCTGTTGACTTTTGACTTTCAATAAAGTGTATTTAATCCCATTTGTTTTGGCCAATGTCTGTTCATTATAATACAAGACGATTGTTTGTGGTTTTTCAAACGGCGGATATTTGCAATAAATATAGTTTGTTTTTATAGCCATTCACCAAATCTTATCATGGTCAATAATAAGACCGGAATTTCAGACAAAATTATTGTTATCGGCTAATTCATCTCTAAAGGCATGGTAATTAGGCTAAGATTAGGCGTCTGTCACTCTTTATAGCGAAAATTAAAGTATATAATAAGCGTTTGATTTTCTTATGTAATCCGTATTTGTTAGTTTTTGCGGCAACATTTAATTTTATACTTGTTCCTATTTTGCAAAGGCCTAAAAAATGGACTTATTTTATATAGCTGGAGTGCATGCTGCGAATGTGATCCTGCTGGATGTGATTTAGTCCGTAATTATTGTGGCCTACTGGGCGATATTTAAACTGGAGTAGCATTTAAAACATTTTCTTTGTACGAATCTGCCCAAAACGCGTTTGAATTGAATTAATTTTCTAGTTGGCTGGCTCAAAATATCTGATAATAAACTACGAAGTTCGTTCTAAACTTCGCGAGTAAATACCAGTCACGAGCACAGTCAGCTTCCTATAGAGATTGGCCTTAATTTTCTTAGCCATTGAGCCCTATAAGAAACTGGATTAAATTAAATTTCTAAGACGATCAGTTCACTAAAGGTGATTGCCTCTGTTTTCAACAATATATGCAAACAAAATATATTGAGACTTTTCAAATTATGCCCCCTTCCCTCCCATTTCAATGTTGTAATAACCTTCTAGTTGCTTTTGCTCACAAATGTAAATTGTCCTACAATTATGTGGGCATGTGCAACCATAGATTCCCAATTTTATATTAGGGCGCTTCCTAACCCCTTCCTTTATACGGTAAAAACGACCAGACCGGTCCTAGCTTGTTGTTTTTCACTACAAACAGATTACGGGTATTTTAGAGTGTTTTAAGAAATCTGCATTCAAGTTTATCGATATTTGCATCTGGTTTTCACGGAAAATGTAGTTTTACCGCTATATTTTAAAAGAAAAACTCTCTTTCAATTCGAAATACGACCAGTCTGACCATTTTGGCCGCTTAATGGAAAGCGCCCTTAGAGACAACATTGAGACTGGGGGAGGGGATGTTTGTCTCAGATATTTTGTGGTATTTGTGGACGATTTTAGACTCTTGCGGTTACAATATCATGTAGTCGTACATTTGTCGTTAAGTCGATAACACATTTTATGGTTTAGTATACTACTTCTGCCTTCAGCGCGATTGTACGAAAGCTGTAAAGCAATATTCCCAATATTTCGGGGAGGTTTTTCAACTGCATCAAGATTCTAAGCTACGTTAACACATGATGACACAGGACCAGAAAATTTGACCGTCCATCGAATTCATCTGGTTCAGGTGTTCACGCGGTGAAAATGGAAAAACATTTGACCCGGTTCTACATGTTCATACGAGAAAACCGTACAAATTTGAGCACGTTCCAAAATTCGCCCGGTTCCTTGTGAACGTAGCTTGAATGTAGTTAGGTACATCCATAACACTACCCACACGTAAACCGGAAGTTCAGGATGCCTCATCCTGAATACGAGGTTGGCTTGTTCAACAAACGTTTAATCAACCTTAATCAACCTTGAGTCTGCTATAAGTTACTTTATAAGGTTGCAGCCCAGTGTTCGAACTTCGAAATTGCATTAATATCCCTAATTAGTAATTATCCATGGTATTGTGATATCATCAGATATCGTAATTTTCGCCAGTCTCCATTCCCCTTGACGGCCCCGGTAAGGTCATCTATAAATGGGTACTATTGGTCATTGGTACTGTTTGTATACAAACATTGGGTTTGCGGCTTATAAATCCAAGTACATTTACACTGCTAGTAACGCGAGGAAAAATTTGCAGTGTTGACGAAGTTACGCTTACATAGGACCTATTTAGTTTTAGTTTGGTTATTCGGCCGTTGACAGGTATATATTTCACTCAATACAACTATTCAGTATTCCTTCAGTATTACAAAAGCGCTACACAGCAGGACAGCTGGCATAGCAATTAGTGCCGTGTCCGGGTGTCGAATTTCTACTTACATTCTATATATGTTTTATTTCTTTCCGCTCTGCGTGGACGTGTTTATATGGCTTCTAACAGCATGCCACTATTTGGAAAGTCAAATTTCGACGAGAAAATCACAAAGTTTTACGATTTAAAAGAAGTTCTTGGCACGTAAGTCGACCAAAATTATTCTATATGTTCAGTTTTGCTGACAGAAGGGAGCAAGTTTAAATTACAAGAAACTTTAGACTGTGTTTGTCCGTATAACAAGCAGTATAACACTAAGTTCATTTATCTACAAATATTGTGTAAATACATTGTTTTTAGTTCAGTTCATTTACAAATTCGGCGGTTAAAGGCTTGAAGTATGAAACATATTGTGGAGAATATTTTTGTAATGTTTGATAAAAAAGGCTATATTAAGGCCGTTAGGATTTCCCTTGGCTCAAATCACTACTGTAGCTCCAGAATTTTGTTGTGTATATTTTTTCAGTAAGGTCAAAATCATGTTGAACGGATAACTTAATATCGCATATAAAATAATAATACGTATAAGAGGAAGTGAATGAGTTGGTTATATAATTGCATTTGTTCAATTTGTTGTGTTTGCTTGTGTTATGGCAGAGGAGCGTTTTCAGAAGTTGTAAGAGGTGTAGAAAAATCAAGCGGAAAAGCTTATGCTATTAAATGCATTGCGAAGAAACAGCTGAAAGGCAAAGAAGATAGCATTGGAAATGAAATAAGTATTCTGAAAAAGTAAGTCATTTATAAACAAAGTGTAATTCAGTATATTTCCGGTTACTACGATTGAAGGAGTTATTTGTGTTTTAGTACCTACTTTTTTTGTCCATTAATAAAAAAACCTGCCTCAAGTAATCGGTCTACGAGGTTTCTAAATTTCCCTCACTGCCAAATTTGTATATCAGTGGAAGTGTGCCAAGAGGAATATTGCCAATTATATATTAAATTGTAACATTTGTAATTAGAAATTCTTTTATCTACCAAATTGTAAGAAATATTGAGTTTTCTGCAAAATCCTATGAAATATTACTTCTGAAAAAAGATTTTCATTGGGCAAAATTTCCAAGAGTACTCAATGTTGGTTCCTAACCTCAGCAGGTTAATAAAACCAAACATCTTTATTAGTTATTTCAAATTTAAGTTTTTGTAACTCAGCAGGCAATCATGCATGTTAAGTGTCACCTGTTCTATATCTAATTTTATAAATTTAAACTGGGAACATTACAAAACTCACTTGCTAAAGTTTATGTCTTGCTCTCACTTTCACACAAAAATAGCTTTGTCTGGCACATTCATAACTTCTATCTGTCTGGTTATAGTTGAAGTCACAAGACATTAGTTAACTGCTGGGTAATTTGGCCATTAGAGACCATTACTACTCAAGATAGAACCCAATCCTATGGGTACCTTGTTATTACAAGAGACCTCAATATTACAGCACAATTTGAATGCATCTATTTTACCTTGTTAATACAGCATCACCAAAATTTGTTTAGAGTTAACCACAAACACATAATTGGAATGAAAGAGTTATATGACAATAAAACACACCTCTATCTAGTTATGGATCTGTAAGTAGTGCTAAGAATTCTGCAGGTTCAACATATTGATAAGGTCATCTGAAAGCAATATTCAGCTGTCTGTTGCATGTTCCAAAATATATGTCCTTGTGACTAACATGTTCTTGCTTTTTGCAGTGTCACAGGAGGGGAACTGTTTGACCGTATAGTTGAATGTGGGAGTTATACTGAAAAAGATGCTAGTGATGCTCTGAAGTGTATATTAGAAGCTTGTGCTTATTTACATGATACCTTGGGTGTTGTTCATAGGGATTTAAAGGTAATGCTAACAAATACTGTTAGTAACCTCAAATGTATTCCTCCTTGCGACTTTGTGTCCGAGGTCCCCCTCTAGTGATGGCGCCTCAAACCATGCTTTAAATGATAGATGTTCAATAATGTCTTTAACATACTGTAACTTCTCAATCTCGTTTAGCCTGAAAATTTGCTCTATGAAACGTAAGTTTAATATTTTGTGAAGCTGGACTAAAGGACTTAATTAATCAATGCCAAATAAAGTGAACAATCTTACTCTATTCAATGTTTGACTCAGTGAATAAACATTTTATTTAGGGAAGATGAAGATGCAAGATTAATGATCAGTGATTTTGGGTTATCTAAAGGCACAGAAGATGGTGTAATGGACACTGCTTGTGGGACACCAGGATATGTTGGTCAGTTATTTTAACTCTACTACTTTAGTTATATTTTTAGAGCAGTGAATCAATGTGTTAAAATATATGTACAACTATTGTGTACTAGCTCCTGAAGTCTTGAAACAGCAACCATATGGACCACCAGTGGATTGTTGGTCAATTGGTGTTATAGCATACATTTTGTAAGTAAACTTCAAATATTTTATCAATGCAAAGGCATTTTTGGATATAATAGAACATGTGCGATAAGATCAATTTCTTGTTCAGGTTGTGTGGCTATCCTCCATTCTATGATGAAGATGATTCTACATTATTTGCACAGATAATGAGAGCAGAATATGAATTTGATGCACCTTACTGGTGGGTGTAATAAACTGTTGATATTTATGGTCAAGGTTAAGCTCATCTGGTACTTTTTCACCATTAAAAACTTTTCTCTATGTTTGGTTTTTAGGGATGATATCTCACCATCAGGTAATAATGAGGTTGATCATAGTTAATTTTGCAGAATTTAATTTTTGTTAATTGTACATTTTGCCAACATGGAATTGTCATATTATATCAGAGATTAAAATTTCTGTCCCAAATTTTTTTTGCAGCAAAAGATTTAGTTGGCCACCTTATGGAACCAGATCCTGAGAAACGATTCACCTGCAGCGAAGCTTTAGTGCATCCATGGTAGGTCAACATTTAGTGCATCCACCGTATGTCAACATTTATAATATAAATAGTGCACCCACAGTAGGTCAACATTTAGTCCATCCATGGCAAGTCAACATTTAGTGCATCCATGCTCAGTCAACATTTAGTGCATTAATGGTAGGGCTATTGGCATTGTCAAATTTCTGCATACCCAAATTTAAGTATTATGTCCGATTATGAAAAAAAAAGTTTTATATCATTTGGCAGGATATCAGGGGGAACAGCGTCAAGTAGAGATATCCATGTATCTGTTAGTGAACAAATGAAAAAATCTTTTGCCAAAAACAGATGGAAGGTAATGTTATGAGCAATCATTATGGTTACAAAATTTTCCCTGAAACCAACAGCACAGGGCAGTAGTGAGGGCACAAAATCATGAGCAATACAGAGATTTCCATGAACGAACATATTAATTCCTTTACCGGACCCTGTGAACATATTTTTTTGTTTTCCTTGTAGCAAGCATTCAATGCAACGACTGCCATCAACAGAATGAAACTGCTTGGCATAAAGTAACAATCAACTATCGAAAATTTAGAACTTAATCAAGAAACATTTTACTCATTTAATATTCGTTTTCACGCTGCGGTATACTGTATAGGATCGGTCGCGTTGATAATGAGTTGAGGTTTGTTTTTCAATTATAATCAGCACGTCAACGTGGTTTTGTTGGCATTTCTGCGTGCTGACGTGGCTAGCAAAGATATTCTAGGGGCGTACTCTTGGAATAGGATGTAATGACTGACTCAGTGGATGTAATCATGTAATATACGCCATATTTATGGTTTATCATTATTAATAGGGGGGGAGGACTTTGTACTAATATGTTGTACACAAAATGGTAAACACGAAAACGATGTGGGGTGAACAAATGCCTTCGTATGTTTTGTTTTAAGCTTTAAAATGAACTGTAAATTTACTTTTATTTGTCGATTATAAATACATATCCAAGTTTCCGTATTAAAACACCCTGGTGGCGGTGGTAATTGATTTAAATTTTGGTATTAAATTATATTTCGCGTTAATCCGAAGAATCTGTAGACGAAATTATCGTTCTCTTTGGCTGTTAGTGCGTTCTTCTCAATTTTTTATTTTCCCTTCAGCTCCGGCCCTTTTAATAATCGTCTTAACGCGTTCTCTCAAATTATTTTCTAATATTTATCCAGTGCTAACTTTGAGGTTTTTTAACTGCTTCAGAAGAGACGATTCGCAAAGGTTTTCAGTGAAGTCCATTCGAAATATTAAATCTGGGGGTGAAGTCATCCAACCATGCATACTTATATACTATGCTCCACAACAACGCACACGTACTTGTTTCCATAGCAACATGTTTCGACACTATCCTTTGATAACAGCAACAGGTCTTAATTTGATTGCTTTCTTGCTTATCCCAGCGGCATGGCCTTGAAAAGAGAGAAGCGTTATGAAAGGTTTTCGACATGTAGGCTTTTGCTGGGGTTGACACTTGACTTGACATAAGCTAGTCATTACAGTAATGCTGGTCATTACAGTACTGCTGCTGGTCATTACAGTACTGCTGCTGGTCATTACAGTGCTGCTGGTCATTACAGTACTGCTGCTGGTCATTACAGTACTGCTGCTGGTCATTACAGTACTGCTGCTGGTCATTACAGTACTGCTGGTCCCGACTGAAGTCTGATGGAATTCACACTAATACATATAGTGTTTTCCACGGATCAAACACCGTAACAAAGACCTCACTCACTTCACGTTTTCAATTTGCGAGCCTATGAACGATGCTCGCAACTGACCTGTATTCTTAATACAAATCTGAAGTCTACTTACACGTATCAACGACGTCGGTGACATTCTTGTACGATTCTGGAGCCTGGAAGAGAATTACATATATTAAATAAAACTAGGAGGATTCCGAGGTTATCTCTTTCCAAATCTTAGCATAAAAATTTTACACTACCTCCTCCATAACCAACTTAGGTGAAGCGACTCTGATGGATATCCCTTTTTCCGCTAACTTAGCAAGCACATCTTGATAGTCGAGATTACGCCTAGAAAAAATAAAGATGTATGTTGCTTTACGCAATACAGCAGACAAAGGTGCTATGTCACATGTTTACAAAAGACGGTTTCTGATATAAATACCAACAGGGGGAAAATGTTAAAGTAACAGGAAAATCGAAATTATTGAGAATGGCCATTTTTTAACAGGTATATCATGGTAAAGGCGAAAAAAGGGTAAACAGAAATATATACTTGTTAGAGAATTAGATCACAGGTCAGAACTTCCTCTGAGAACTTTCACCCCCCAGATCCCTCTGAGAATTTCACCCCCAAGACCACACTGAGAACCCCCCCCCCGAGACCCCTGTGAAACAACTACACTTAATTTCGTCAGGAATAAGCCATTAATATGACTCTTGTCTGCTTTTTCAGCTCTTTCTAGAAAACTTCAAGAAAGTCAGCTAAATGTGAACAGGCCTTACCTAGATTTCGCACGAGACAAAGCGCGTCCCTGAAAACAATAAATTGGTAGAAAAATTAGATTTAACAGAGATTTAGTGTGAAAATGTCATCTTTGGCTTACAGCTCCATGACAGGTCGTTCCAAATGTCTCATTCATTCCTTTCTCCGTTCCTGTCAGCACGTAACTGTATAAAATTTTTTGAAAATATACTTATTTATTTTTTTAAATACCAAATCTAGAAATCTGTTCAGGCCAACAATCATGCATTAGTAAGGTAAACATACCTGCACGTGCCCATTGTGCCGCCAATTAGAACTGGTTGTCCAGTCAACTGAAAGATTATATAAAAGTCAGTTTACATGGACGATTCTTGTTGCAATTTTACGTCCAATTTTCTTCTCTTGAATGATGTGAAAAAGTGAATTAGTCTTATAGGCTGTTTATAAAGCCAATGAAAAACTCGCTCCTTAACATCCATCAAAAGACAAAATCGCACCAAAAATTGCGGCAACGTGAGGTAAAATTGACCGCAGCTGGACGTAAGCAAGTTTAAGATTGAAATACTGGATCTTTAGAGCTTAATCAGCTTATTTGAAATCTTCAGAGTTTTTTTAAAAACATTGTCATATTTTGCAATCGGTAGTTCAGTAATCATCATTATCCCATATGTTCGCGTTGTTTGCTGCTGATTAGAGGAGCAAACTTGAAAATGCAACGCTCTGTAATTACCTGATAATCGACAGGAATAAGTGGGTGATGAGGAGGGAATGCTCGCGTAGATCCCTTACGATGAACCAGCAGTGTTTTCTGTTTATTATCGATCATCTTTTTATTAGTTAAGAAAACTTAAAATATCCAGTCTTGTCTGTTTTAATTTTTAATAAATTTAATGACAGTTACTATGTCGCACTCCCAGGCTACGATCTTGCTGTGGGACAGTGTTAAACTATACTCAAAATATATTTTTGCTGTTTGAAGGTGAAGTTGATTCAACAGTAAGCACTTTCAATGTAAGCTAATTAAGATGAAATTAGGGTGATTTCCATGTGCGTTTCTTTTAGAGCTAAATAAGTACGGCGAGTGCTGCCAAGACTGATTATGTAAGAGGCCACATGCAAAATATACTCACAAAATACAGATAAGAAGAAAATTATGTTTGTAAAAGGATACGTGTTCTTCGACTTTCGCAATGTTGTGTGAGACATCATAAATTATTTGCATATCCAAGTCATCTGGTGTTGATCCAAACACTTTCGCAAATGCCTACAATTTTTGAGTTCATTTTTACAATTCAATAGAAACTACAGACGAAAATATTCTTTCTTCGGCATTATGCCTAGAAAAAACGCCTGTGAAATGAAACGGCTAAACAGGCTTTCAAACCGGTTAATCCGGTTTACTTCTAGCGGAATTTTTGAGCTAAGCGAATTTATTCTTTTGCATTTGAACAATCTGTTCCAGATAGTTGCAGCTGAAACAAAAAATGTCGCTTATAATTATAACCAAGCGTAAAATGACTTTGAGAGATATTGAAATGAGTAAATAACATGATCCTGGCTGTCGTGTGGTCATCCTAACAATATAGCATGTGATTGTTTTCTTTCAAAAAGACTAATTTAATACCTCAGAATCATCTCAAGCCTCGTTAAATCTCGGGTAACCCGGGCTCATGTGAACAGTGAACAGCCCCTATATCGCATGGAAAACCGGCCTTCTGAGAGGCAAAACACTGGTCGAGGACTCGAGGTTCTCTAAAGAACCACGAGAAAAGCCAAGTTGTTTTAAAATATCATTGATACATAGAAGTCTGTAATAATATATTGTCAATACCTGTCTAGTTAAGAAAGTCATAGAAGATCTGTTCACCCAGGCGTAGTTAGCAGCTGCAGCCATTCCTTTCAAATAATCCTGACCTTCCTGTGAGCTGATGGTGGCACAAGCAAGCTACAAAACATAACATTCTGAATTGAGACAGAGAATATTTTCACTCTATTGCAAAAGAATGGTAAAAAACTAGAAGATTTTGATGCGTCGCCGGCGCGCTCCTCCACTAGACTGAACTTTTCGTTCGAACGAAATGTTTCGGGTTTTTTGTCAATTGTAATTCGGTCAAAATTTTCGCTAGATCAAATAATTAAGCCCAGTTAAAAAACGCTATGAAGGTTGGTTTTATTGGTGGTTCCAAATTTACACAACGCATCTTCAAAAATCTTCATTAAAAATCTTCACCGGCTGACAATAAGCTGATACAAATATATATATAGCTTTAGGATTTACGCGCTTGTTTGTACGTTACCACCAGTGAATAAGTGAACATTTTGTTTCATTGTATTAGATGCCAGAATTAGGAATATTTATCCACAAGATCTCGTTTTTACCTGTCTATCGTTTACGTCAATCTTGTCTCGTTTCATTGCCTTCTCCATTGAAACTAACGCGTCTGAATTCAAACAAAAAAACCATATCATTATCTATTGTTTTTAATGCGTTCGGCGCATGAGAAGTGCCTACACCTATTCCCACGATCACTAATGCCACATGGTGTACAAAATCACATGCATCAGGAGGAGTCTAATCAAGTTGCCTGCTTCTTCGTATCCATTTGTCAAATTACAACCATCAATATATGAGTAAGCCTGGATAGCGTATTTTAGTTGCCCACAAGTCGAAATGCAGTGATCTAGATATAGCTGGATGCAGTTACTGATATCTGTATAGTGCAAAATAGGAATAGAAAACATGCAAGTCACTATCGTAGTACTCCAAAGGCACAGCTTCACTTGATTATCCAGGTTTATTCATTATATCGATGGTGATAATATCCAAAATACAACAAACTACAAATTAGCTGACAGTGCAGGTGTACAGATACGTTCGCGGGTGGTTACAACGATTTTATGGCTTATCCATACTGTGGGTTGATATCGATATAGAGCACAAGAATTCATAAGCCATCTCTCACTCACTCACCTGTTGCAACCTGATGACCAAGACCACGACTGCCGCTGTGTATCATCACACACACCTAAAAGATATATTTTGCAATTTATTTTATCATCAAATCAACTGGCCATCTCATATTATGATTCACGTAAGACTACTTCAACAACAAAACACGCCCACCTGTCCTTTGTGGTCCACGCCCATTTTTTTAGCAGCAAAATTATCGAAGATTTCATCGACGACCTGAATCTCAGCGTAATGGTTTCCAGCGCCGAGAGTTCCCAGCTGGAAGATTTAGATTTGAAAAATAAAACTTACCAAATCTTTAAGTTCATGTAGCTACTGAATATTAATTTACTACTCAAGGTTAAACAGAAACACGGAGAGCATTTAAGGCCCTGTTAAGGTCTGTTCACATTATCCAATTTTGTCGGATCCAATTTACTTCTGATGGATACTTTATAGTCTGTTGACTTGCAACGTATATGGGCAGCAAATCAACTAAAGCCAATTCAGTACTGCTTTCTTAATAACAAACTACATTCCATACGTCAGAAGTGAATTGGATCCGACAAAGTTTGGTAGTGTGATAGAATTGCATAACAAGTTGCAAGAATAATTGCACCGCAAAACATGCAGGGCCTTCAAGAATGATAGCATTAAATCGACATCTTACCTGTGGCAGACCGCGTTTTTTCGCTCGAGGACTGACTTTTGAGGAGTCCGCTTGAAGCATTCGGCCATATTCTTCACAATGTTCCTTGTCTTCAGCCCAGGCATAACCTGAATTATAAAATGACATTCATGAAACAACCTACCGCAATTTCTGTACATAGTTATATTAGTTAAGACTTATCCTAAATGCAAAGACAAGTTGTCTGTTTGCAAGATTTGTTATGTTTCCCCTACAAACTTAACACAATCTTAAGAATATGGACAATAATCGTGGAAAACATGTTGGAAGACAAAGGTTGTCCACTACTGGACAAATTTCAAATTGCTATTCACATTATCTACAGCGTGAGGCGCGATATTCCGAGAAATTTTGAATATTAAATTTGAGTATTCAAGGATACGCGTTGAAAGCAACGAGCTGTGTCAGTCCCAGTTGGCTCAATATTAAATATGTAAGTCGAGTGGCAGGAAATTTTCAAAAATATCTCTCAGCATAACTTTCATAAAAAAAACAATATCCTACATATGAACTCTTGACGATTCACATGTTTGTTGCAACACGGTTTTTAGGGCCTGATACCTGCACTAAGTGACACATGTTTTTACAATTTTCAACAGAAGGTTTACTCACCTTCGCGTAATGACCAGTCAATTCCCATCTCCAGCGCTTCTTCAAGATCTCTGAGACATTAAGTAACAAAAATGTGCTGATTATGACAGGTTATTTTCATTAAATGTTTCTAAAAAATTCAAAACTTTCTGACTAAAACTCACTTTGCTGCCATTGGTATGATGCCTTTTGAACCAACACCAACAGGAATGTGATCAAATAAGGACTTGAGAAAAAATACTTTCACTTAATAACAATTTGTCAAACAGTGCAAAAAAACACTTTTTTTACACGAAAATGTTTTCTTTTATGTGACATGTCAATACTCACCTGAGCAAGCTGTTCTTTTCTTGGTAAAACATCTTTTTCATCCAGGTTAGTACGAATTAACCTCACCCCACAGTTTATATCAAATCCAACCCCACCTGGAGACACAACTGCACTTGGATCATTCATATCAAATGCTGCCATATTACCTGGAGAAATAAAATGTCACCTCTAAAATTACTGAGGAAAGTCCTCAGTTCAAAACATTAGGAAGCTTCCCTGTATATTTGTGATGGTTTCTAGACTCTCTGGTTATCTCGAAATTATGGTGGCAATATATTTCACATTTCTAAGTTATTTTGATCAATAGCTCATGCATTTGTCAAAAGTTATTTAATCATATCAACATGGTAATTATATACCAATTGCAAATCCATATCCTGAATGTACATCAGGCAAGCCCACAGATTTCTACAACAGTGTCACAAAATATATTTTAGTTGGTTTGCATCTACTATAATCGAAATTATCATCCTGGAATCTTTTTATATCTTACTCCAACTATTCCTGGAAGAGATGCAACATTTGCAATCTGTTTGACACCTGGAATAAAGCCTCCAACACCTGTGTTAAAGAAATTTAAAAAAAACTTAGAAAGATTTGTCATAATTAATAACATGTTGTTGCCTGTTCAAAAAGTGGTGCTGAGATGTGTAATGTAGGAAATGTTTTCAAATGGGAATGGTGCACAATAAATAATTCATCTTTTATGGGATTGATGACATATATAATATTAACAATTTTCAATTGTTCATTTCTATTTATCTCCATCACTTGATGATTGAATTGGATATAAAACTTAAGGTAATGTGAAATTTTGCATAACAAGACTAGTTATGACCAACATGTTGTTCTTACCTGCAGAATTACACCAATGTCTTAGTTCATCAAACATCAAAGTTTCCAACTGGTTATTGATATAAAATATTCCTTCAACCTATTAACAAGTCAGAGTATAAATGATTATGAGGGTATGCCAAAAGTCCAAATGATGACCAAATGTTTCAAAATAAAAAACAAAACAGAATTCAGATGACAAGTTTGGATTTAGACAAAGACTTGAAACTAACCAGGCTCATGTAACAGCCCCTTAGACTTGCCATGCAGTTTACATGCTACAATAATACCTTTCTAAACTATTATTAATTTTTTAATGAAAAATCTAGGAGTTTCAATTTACAAACAATTTAATCAAAAGTAATACAACTGGTTTAATTTTCTCTGCAACATAAAATGAGCAAAGCTTGAATTGGTTTACGGTAATACCTGACGATTTATTATTGATCACTTAGAAACCTTTCAATCAAAACCTTCATCAGATCAATATATTAAAAACAATTATCTGTGCTCATACAGCTAGATAAATAGGAATAAATTCTGGATTGATGTTTTCAATAAGCAATTTGTAACAATTGGATGTTGTAGTGTGAAATATACCTTCATATTATCAACGAACCCTTTCTTAATTCTATAGCTGTGGCTAGAAAGCCTTTCTATATAGCCGCATTCCTCTTGAAATGTTCTTACCACCATATTTTACAAAACAGAATTTTGATTTCTCCTTTCTTAGAGCAAATAAATGAAGAAACTATCAAATGAATCTATAAATGAAATAGCAAAGTCAGCACTGTTACAGTCTAACAGTTTGGTTGATATGGGAAATTGCCTGAGTGTACTGCCCGGGAGAAGGTGGCCTTTGAAAGTAGGTTCTAAAAACCATCCCTCAGAGAGAGATCTACTAAAACCACTGACATTCCTCAGAGGCTCAGACCTCTAGACAGGAAATTTTTAAAACGTGGATCAAACAAATGTCATATCCTAGTCACATAATCTATCAGCAAAACAATTTACTATACACAAATTCTGTTACATGTTTCTTCTGATGATCTCAATTGATTGGTTCTTCAATTGGTTCTTACTGTTTTTAAATGTGCACAACCTATATCATTATATCACATGGTTTAGAAAATCCTATAATTACAAAGTATTGGTTACTCAATAAGTGTGTTAACGATTTTTCACAATCAAATACTAAATATATCATCCAAATTTTACATAAATGAAAATTTATCCATTACAAGTTAATATATATATATAGTGTTCTTCTCAAAAAAATTATGCTCGAATTCAAATAATCTATACTATGGAGAATACATTGCAAACTATAACTACACAATGTTCTGATCCCAAGATAACACTGGATAGTGCCTGTCGTTTTGTAGAAATAATCTTTTAACAAATATTTGAAGTTGTCACAATCATATCCCAAAATGGTTATAAATAGTAAGGGTGTATGATTGCTTGGTTGGTTTTTGGTTGGTGGATACATATCCAATATCCATTCAAATCAACAAACCAAATCCCGAGTAATGCACATCCAGCCTTACATAGAGATCAGTATTACTATTTCTAAACGAATATATCTAGTATCTACACAAATTATGTGGATATGTTATGAACGTTTGAGTTAAGCCTGTTTCAAAGTTCATCTCCAATGTTTTTTGCATAAGATCTACATCCACCCTGCAACACCCACACTCTTTATTTAGGGGGATTTGCTGTAGTGGCAAATAGAGCACAAATCACGCTCACGCAAAAACAATAAAGATGATCTGTCTCATAGTCAGTATCTGTCTTAGGTTGTCATCTGGCCATGGTTAGTATTCTTTGTTTAAATCATCAACTTCACTCTTGCTGTCAAATATTGGTTAAAAATATTATGTGCTACGTACGTGCCCTAAGCTTGCATTTTTTTGTATTTCAAACATGTCCTAAGGGTGTTTGGCCTATCATGGATGCCAGATGAATGTGCTTACGACCAAACTAGTTGTAGTTGACACATCATCCATCTTGATATGTTTACAACAATTATGGCTCAATGGAAACCAGGTCCATCAACAAGCATTCAATTTACAAATAAAACGCCAGTTGGATTTATTTAAATTGTTTTCCTCATCGCGAGTACGTCTATACACAAAAACTGTTCTCATAAAAACCTTTATCTTCTATATCGTTTCAAAGTCCGACGGATGTTGGGCCAACAGACGTGTCAGCGGGCAATATTTGTGAACGAGTGGACAAAGTTCAGTAATAGAATCTTTGTTGACCTCTGCGAGCGTTGGAATTGTGCCCGCCATTTGGCAAAGTGTTTGCTAGAATTAACAAAAATGAAAGGTTAGTAGGGCTGAAGAACAGGCTGATATAGTTTGCAAGATCATTTCAACAAATATACAGTGAACTTTAATCTGAATAAGGATCGGCTTTGTAGAAGAACTCCCTCCCTATCTGATCCCACAGCGAGTGTGATGAAATACAGGCTTAGGGACAAAAGATAACAGACACAGAGTTTTTCTATACTTACTCATATACGCGTGTTTACCACCAGAACGACGAACTACGACATTCAAAGAATTTCCTCCTCGTTTAATGGCATCGATAGCATCGCTGTGGTTCATGTTGTATGTTGATTTACCATTGATCTCAATCAACTCATCACCAACCTTAGAAAATAGTCAAAATATTAGTGAATCCTGATGTAAGATAGATTTCATTATTGGAGAACTACAACTGCACCAGAACTTTAACTATTTTACAATTCCATTGCATTGAACTGAATGCCAAGGCCACAATTATAATTGTACTGGCTTACTACCAATGCACGAGACAGCTGGGTAAAGATAGAAGAGTCTAACTAGAACTCAGTGGAATTTATGATCAAGAAAATGAGATTTTGGGACTCAAAAACGTTGTTGGCATTCATTAAAAGTAAAAGGCTGAACTAAATTTTACCATCAATCTTCCATCTCTATGTGCAGTACCACCGTCAGCCATTCGTAAAATAAACAGCGGCATTCCTAAATCTTGACCACCTCGTAGACTAAAGCCATAACCTTGCTGACCGCGTGATAACTGGACTGAAACATTCTCTTCGTCATGTCTCTTGATACGATCTAATGTACCGCTAGTACTGACACTGCGTCTTGGTGCTGGAACTGGCTTGTAGCTTAGCGTTGCTTGAGATGGAGGCTAGAAGAGATGAAATAAAGTATTTTTATCTTTTCTTAGCAAAAATTATTGACATACAGTACTTTTATCTTGTACGTTTGTTCTTGAATTGTATACAGGTTGGGAAATTACATATATCAGTAGAAATAATTGTTATCAATTATATCATATTATTTGGTTTGTACCTCGGCTTCATTAATTTGAATGGTAGAGTTTGGACGTTTAGGTTTAGGTTTCACGGGGGGTGGGACCTTCTTTCCTGGGGCGGGTGGTTGTGATGCAGGCGGGCTGAATTTACCAGTCAAATTATTGTCATAGCCATTCTAAAAAAGAAATTACAGAATGATTTCATCGTTAAATATGAAACAAAATAAGGAATGGAAGGATGGAATTCTAGCCCCACGATTTTCAGTATTGATTATAAACATGGCATGGGAAATGAAGAAACTCAGAAAAATGGGAAACTCGACCGTGTAAGGTAAAAATAATGCTGATATAAAGGTTTTAACGGTCTCCAAAAAAAGAAAGCGACGTTTCGCCAAACCTGGGTCAATGTTTGGAATTCATCTCGTCTCTTTTGTGTTTCTCTTTCACGTAGAATATCAGCGCTTTCGCTGCGATATCGAGGCCGTGTGTCCGGCATTTCGTATGAAAACACATCTCCAGTACTCTGGAAAACAAAATGAATTATTATATCTTTTCTATATCCGCCAGGAGATTCGAGAACACGGTAAAGGATTGAACCTGGATCGTTTCTAAATTCGACGTGGAATAAACGTTTGCTTTTATTACAGACAACCTAAAAATTCAAAGCTTTAATGTAAAGTTAGTTAGGATACCTTTCTAACAGAACGATCCTTAGCAGCTGGTGGTTCATCGTCTAAAAACAATAAGACGTAATGTGAACACACAGTGGAGAGAGATATCGTGTAAAAAGCCCTAAACCATATGCTAATGTAAGAGATTGCATGCTTGGGCTTTGCGCCAATCTTTTTATACAACCGAATAAACCGATACTCTGACCCAATACTGATACTAATTAACAATTAGACAACGAGTCGGAGTTGTCTATGAGCGAATAGTCAACGAAGGCGAAGCCTGAGTTGACTATTCGCTCATAGACAACGAAGGCGAGTTTGTTTTAGTACACACCCTGTACGGATTGTTATAGTACACACCCTGTACCTAGATATATTAATTTCGAGAAAATTATCGATACACCGCAATTACACCGAAAAATAATTCAATTTTATACGGTCGCGCGAGCGAAATTTTCCGAAGCGTGCACCATCACGAATAGACAATGGTTGAGTAGCCAATAAGAATGTAGGATTTGTAATAGACAATAGTCGAGTGTATACTAAATCACATTAGAATTATGAGAATGAGACGGTATTATTTAATAGACCTTTTGGATGAAACATAAGTTTATAACTGTATGATAATAGTACATCGTACAGTATGTCATCTCGTTGATAGTAAATAAAATTGGGTGAATAACTGAAACAACTTTATAGTCAAGGAAGAGTCAATACCTGCTCTAGGAATAATCTTTAGTTCGACTCTAGTACCAGACTGCTTGATCATATCCACAATATCACTATGGTGCATTCCAACAATGCTTTGTCCATTTACAGCTACAAGACGATCACCAATTTGTAACTGACGGGAACGATCAGCTGGACTATCGTCAATGATTCGACCTGTACGACAAAACGAGAAAGAATACGCATTTAGCTTAAGTCCTAACCATCCAAGATTGTGATCACAAGTTGAAAAAGCGTATACTATTTACATGCAGTTGGTGCGAATAGAAGGACAAATCATTGTGTTTACCGATAGTTGAACCAATTCTGTTGCTAGTGGACAAAATGACGAAACCAAAGCCTTCATTCTCATTTCGTTCCAAGAGAATTTCTTTCTGATCTGCCATATTGCCGTCAGTTTGATATTTCCCCATCTCACCTTCGCTCTTGTAGTGACTAACATCATAATAGCGAGGCTGTTCCCCTCTGTATGGTTTAGCAATAGAAGGAGCGCTGCGAGCTGACGTCATCTCTCCCATATGTCCGTTGTATCCAGCAAGGTTCCCTGCAGACCGCGAGAATTTACTAGAAGACTGGGACAGATCTGAGAGTTGAGATGCCTGGGAGAGACTTCGACGTAAAGATCCAACCGGTGTTGATCCTTGAAAAAAGGAATCAGTAAGTATAAAAAATTGACAACTATCCCTAGAGGAAACCTAGAGGCACATTACAATAAAACCCAACTAATAAGGTGGAAGTAATAAAATGATCTCTTACTTCCTGATCGGCTGCCATTGTTCCATCTTCTTATAGTCAATTTCACTTTATTATTCGCTGCGGCTGAACTCATAAGACTAATGGCGTGACGATGTGTTGAACCAACCACGCTTACTTCATCTATGGATAATATTTCATCTCCCCGTCGCAATCTTCCATCTTTATGTGCAGCACTCTTTGGTACGATCTTACCAACTGAAATCTACCGCAATAAAACAATCCAGTCTTAAATGATCAACTATACCAGGTAGTAGCAGTGCTTCATCGAGACATGCAAAGACTCTACCCTATAAGCTTGATGGGAAGCTATCGTAACTTTAGACTAAACGTTCAATTCACATGAAATTACCTGAGATCCCTCTTCGTCACCTCCCACCACACGGAATCCAAAACCACCATCACCACGTTTTAATAACAACGTCATCTCAAGATAATCGTCTCCAGTCCTCGTGGATCCTCCGCCAATACTTCCTGTTTCTGCACCGTTAGCTCTGAAATGACAAGACAGTGGGTGTAAAAACTGCCATTCTTACTAATGCTGCATGTATGTGTAGCACTGGCACTGAAGTTTTTCTGTTGATCTTATTTTATTTGTTAGTGGTTAGAAAGCCTTCATTCACTCCACTAGTTAAACTTACTTCAACGAAGTGGCTATAGCTCTTCTCAACGAGGGATAAGTATTCACCGTCGATGATTCAACTACAGTAGAAACTTTAGCTTGTCTACCATTACGTTGAAGAGAACCAGTTTCATAATTTCTTGTTGTTTCACCTTCAGTTGCTATCCCAGCAGAGGTCATGTTGGCTTGGTATTGACTGGAATGGAATGGTGGAGTGGACTGCGCTCTGGGTGCTCGTTGTTTCGTATTCTCCTGAACAAAAGCAGTTCATGTTAACCTATGTGTAAACGTACTAATATGTCTGTTGCTAGAACGGCTGGTATTTCTTGTCAAAGTTCAATGTTGTCCGGCACAGTTTTGCTACTGGTAGTTTTATGCAACTTGCAGTCAAAGGTGATTCTCGCTCTAGAGACCGGTTTATACAATGCCCGAAACAATATATGTGCTTACCATAGGTCTTCTAGGGGCAATAGGACTTGGCTCTTGTGGTACTACAAGGGACGTGAGAGAAAAATAAACGTGAGATCTTCTGAAACAAGATTATCCTAAAGCAGCCGTAAGATTTCCTGATCTCAAACTCTGTCTTACCTCCCCTCTGGACAATGATCTCAGCCTCTGTATCTCTAGGACAAGATTTTAACATATTCACCACTTCGTTGTGTGAATATCTCTGCACATTAAATCCGTTTATCTCGATTAACAAATCCCCTTCTTTGAGATCCTGGCATCGGCCGGCATCCATGATCTGCTTGATCCGTTGCCCTTGATTACTATCCGCGATAGTGAAGCCAAACCCATTAGAACCTTTGACCACGTGGACATGCAGAGTTTCCACTTGAACTTTTGGTGTTTCTGCTTTAACCGTGCGTTGGGTTGATGTCCTGGGAAGAGTTGACGAGTGAAACTGTGGTCCGTCCACTCGATCGTTGTAAACTTCTAAAAGTATTAAGATCGATCTCAGTATCGGCTGGTTTGCATTAGCGTCCCGGTAAGGCGATAAAAGGCGTTTTAAAGACTGTGTTACACGAATTTTGTACTTTCAGGCTGCAATTAGCTATCAGACAGAGCGGATGAGTTTCAACGTCGCACCCCGGTTGTATTGCAAGCCAAAATGCCATGTTATTGCGCATATACACTGACTGAACACACTACAGAACACCGGGAGTGTTTTGGGTAAAGTAGGAGTGCATTTTTACATGTTATGACTTTATGCCATGCATCATAATACGCCGTAATAAAATCCTTTCATCTTATTTTACATGAGGATAAATTCTTTGCAATTGAATATTACAAAACGAGAAACAATATTTGGCGCCATAGTCTAATGTATGACGATACCAGTACGCTACGACAAATATCGGGATAAATATTTTTACTGGCAAATTATCAAAAATCTAAATAAAAAGGCTCGCGCAAGCATAATTATTATTTGATCTAAGAGTATCTTAAGGACGAAATTTCGTTTCATATTATACTAACTACTATAGAGTATATCAAATACTCTATGTCTATGTTTAACCTGAAATAACCCTATCATAAACTTACCACTTCCAGGCCGCTTGCCGCGATTATCACGATTATCACGATTATCACGACTGGGCTCATTAAAAGCTGAATTCCCGCTTGGAGTAAGACCATTGGTCTTTTGAGATTTATTCATCTGCAGAGTGTCTTTATAGTGTCCATTTGCAAAGTCACCGCCACTCTTATAATCATTTTGAATTGATGGAGGTGGTTCTAGATCATCATTGTAGGGTGGTACTACAGTATATGAACCAACACTGTGGACATTTGGGTCTTCTGGGTCAAATGGTAGAGGATGGCCACGAATGAGATCCAATTCAACCTCATCACCTTGTGACATTGATTGAAACATGCCAACAACATAACGATGACTGTGACCAACTACTGACATACCTATATAACAACACCATTTGTAACTGCATGTACTGACAATAAAAACATGAGCTTTCAGGAACTCAATACACCAGGGTTGTTAACTACCTGAAAAATACACCAAATTTTGGCGCAGTGGTTTATCATATATATAGCTACGTTCTCAAGAAATTAATTTGACATTTTAACAGTGATTGTATTTCCTGACAAGCATTTATGCAATTAAAATTAAGGGCAATTTTTACGAAAATGAATCAGTTTCACATGTACTTTTGCACTAATATTTTGAACAAAAAATATTAACATACCATTAACTTTAGTCAATGCATCACCAATCCTAATTTTACCATCGACACTGGCAGGTCCACCAGGTACAATACTTTTCACTTGCAACATTTCATCAGGGTGATCACCACCAACAATAGTGAATCCAAACCCTCGCAAGCCTTTCTGTAACACAGTTGTGATACGTTCTTCCTTTACACTATTCTGGTTGTAACCATTGTAGTCATAGCCCGGCTGTGGATAGCCTTGCATGTCAAAACCAGCACCTGGCCATCTATGAAGACATTATTAACAAAACAAAGTTAAATAAAATATGCACCCAGTGACTTACTGACCCACACACAAACACCTAAAATCATATCTAAACTAGCTAAAACACTCCTAATTTTATGCAAATACAAATGCTCACAGACTTTTTGAATCATTGAATATTATGTTAATATTCACACTGCCACATTGTTACAAAATTTTGTTGGTTGAATTCAAACAATGTAGCAGCAATTGAATCATATATGGTATCAGTTACATATCAACCGATCCCAGCAAGATTTTAAACATAAATTGCAATTGGTTATTTTGTGAAACAATTTTTTCTAAATATATATTGCATTGCCATCAAATTTGGCATATTCAAAATGACTGAAAATAGGCAAAAATCTTCTAGACATCTCAATGCCCTTAGGTCAAACCCATAGCTTTATACCTTATTTATTAATGAGCTATTTGAAGACCCTGCTACACTGCTCTCTAGTTATATTGGAATGTATAAATACAAAAAATTTTTGAAATGTATACTGTGTCAGTCAACAAGACTGGTAGCTCAATATATTTTTTATGGTCAAAAATTACCTTGCAGCTGCTTCGGCTTCTTGTTTCTTTGCCAATGCAGCAGCAGACATCATTGATGGTGGTTCTTGATGTGGAGGAGGTGGTTCTCTGGTAGCTCTCTGATCACTTCGTCTATTGGAGGAAACTGGGTTCTCAAATTGTGTTGTACGATTCACATGACTGTAAAAAATGACACACAATATTGAATTCATTGTGTTTCAAGTGATATGAGCCATACTCAACCAATATAGTGAATATAGGTCATGGACAAATAAGCTTGCTAATATGCAGCGAGGGAACATTGCATTCATATATTTGATTCCATTAGTTCAACTACTTGATCAGTGAAACAAAGTCTGGTGATCTTTTTGACACATATCATCACAAACCTATGTTACCAGGCACTTTTAATTTAAATTTGTGCAGAAAGATTCTAAATTTCAGATTTTTCAACAATATTTAGTCTATGTTCATTTCCTAAAATGAGTCTTGCTTTTATATTGTAAGAGTTCTAAGCAGCCTATTCAGCTATGCTCTGCTATACATCATAGCTTTTTTGCAAGTATCTTGCTTTTGCAATAACATTGAAAGAAGAAACTGACTCTAGAAAGGGTCAGTTTGTTATATTTAAAGAACAATCTTAATTTGTGCTGACAGATAACTATGCAATTTTGAAATTCCACAGAGAAAACAATTGACCCAATGTAAGAATGTAGTTTGACTTACTCAATATAGTATGTGCCAAATTTTGGGTCTTCTACTTTTTCCCATCCATATGGCAGTTCTAGAACAAAAGAGAAACCTTGATGGAAATGTTTTACAATAAAACAAGATTAACATTCTGCTTCTGAACACTGAACAAGCAAAATGATATCAATATATGAGATTACATGCTTTTAAAACCTTTGAATATCAATAACACTATGGAATTCAACTTATTTACATGTATATTTGGTATTGTAAACACTTGAATTTATACCACAAGTAGCAATAACAAAATTGTTCCAATGATTATATTTGACCTTCCATTTACAGCCAATATCACACAATTAAAACAACTCAGTTTCCAACCAAGAAGTCATAAAATGAATTAGGATCTTTTTTCCTAATTATAACATTCTAGAAAAGACCTCCCAATTCTTTTGAATTGCTCAGCATGAAATAAACCATAAAACACCAGGAATACAAAAGGTAGAAATAACAGGGGGTAATTTTATTATTATTTGCTATTAACACAATGACAAGATCAACAATATTTGATGAATCTAATATTATTTATTGCAGCTGCTTAATATTTCAGGAACGAATCAATTACATATTAACAACCACACACAAGGTGCTTCTTTGGCATGAAATCTTTAAAAATAGGTTAAAAAACAATACTAGCACTTACCATCATCATCACATTCATTTGGATCAATTTTCTGTTTGTCTGCAAGTCTTGGGTCATGCCACTGTGTTGTTCCTGTGTTATGACTTGGAATAAAAGGTAGACACAATCAAGGCTTAGAATGGCATAAAAACTTTAATTGAACAAATTACACAAATCTCTTCAAAATGTGAGTGTAAGAACATTAATATAGTATATGATGTCTTCATTAAATATTAACTTACTCAATGAAATACTTCTCATTATCTTCTGTATACGCAATCTCCCAGTTTTCTGGCAACATACCAAGACTATCCATGTGACCAATATGTAATGCTGCATGATAGGACTTTGAAAGTTCAGTTTGTTGTTTGAGACGTCCCATATTGGTATCATCATTGTTTACACGTGGTGGTTCATGTTTTAATGATGATGTGTCTGAGGCCCGGTCATCATATGAATTTGTGGTTTGTGGAATCTTTAACTTGGTTGGATCTTTTGGAGGTTTAGGTGTGCCATAGTAGTTGTCACCAAAGATTCCACTTTCAAGAAGTTCTCCTTTCCTTTCCATTTCCTTGAATTGCTCAACAGATACAAATATGTAGTCAATACCAGGCTTTTCATCTCCACGAGGTGCACGGGTTGTGCCTGGAAACATAATGCACAACATAGTTTACACAAAATTTTTAATAAATATAGCATTTATTATAGTCAGGGCTGTAGCTAGAAGCTTAGTTGGGGGAGGGGGGAATATAAATTCATATATTCACATATTCATATGCCCGACTGATTTCTTTTGTAGGCTATTGTTCCTACGGTATATAAACATGAATATATGAATATACATCCCCCAATTAAGAAATCTACCTACGGCCCTGTATATAGTAAATATATATATACATAATATAGAGGTTTTTTTAGAGTTTTTAGAGGCATAAGTTTCAATATATTCAATGCTTTGTAGGGCGACTACATATGTTCTAGCTAACTTTAATACGTAATTGTAGGTGCACCATGTAAGTATTAATTAGTCTGCAAAGCTTTCGGTTTGTTAACCCGGGCCTTCATCAGTAGTTAACAGACAGAAAGCTTTGCGGTATTAAATACTTATGTGGTGTACCTTCAACCTAATTTACTTAATTGATGTCACCATGCAAATGTACAAGAATATTATAACTTTAATAGCTCAGCTATATGTGTGTAAATTAAATTTGCAAGCAAAATTCAGAACTTTGAGAATTTGCAAGAATAAATTAATGTTATTGTTGATGTAAAGGGAAATGAACTTTAATAAATCTGCCTTTTTACTATACTAGTAGTTCACACTGGTTATGAAAATGCAATCTTGCTGTTATCAAACAATTCAAATCATTATAAAAACAACAGGCACTGGTTACAAGACAGACTATTATTTGAAAAACCAACTAACAAACAAATCTTAGTAAGTAATTAATACAAATTGTAACACTACATGTTGTTTTGAATAAGTACTAAATGACAAAGGCAGTTTTTTGTCACCCAGATGTCATAGAAAAGGTCAATGAACTACATTCCACAGACACTTTGGCTATTTTAGCCTATCAGAGCAAGCATATGACTTTAATACTGAGAAGTGTTGATAAAGTGATATCCCTTTATGTGATTACAAAATTCAATGAGAAATCAAAAGGTTTTGATAGGCACCTTTTCAAGTAGAGGGTGCTCTTTCTTTGCTGGTCAGTTTTCAATACTGGTAAGAATTATGGTAATATTTTGATTTTAAGATAAAGGTCTTAAGATAAAAAAATTATATTATGTTGAAAACATAACAATTTGAGGTTCGGTATGATGTGCTGTGATGCTCACAAAAATCCACCTATTTTCACTGTTTCATTTCACCACACAACTCAAAATTTATCCCAAACATTATTAAACTTAAATAATCCACTGCAGAAATACACATAAGGTACAACTTCACAAGGTTTGAAAAGGTGAATATACGATATGTACAAAATAGATTACGTTTGAAATTAACAGTCTACACGCTTAAATCAGAATTCCCTCACAGCAAGAGGGTGAAAATGTGAACTTAGAATGCCACCCAAGATATAATTTGCATAGTAAATATTTCACAAAACTGATGTTACAATTAAATGTAAGATTGACCCAAAATAAACAACAGCAGCAATTTCAGTAAATATAGGCAAAACCAGGAACTAGAAGCTAAATTCATTTGTATCTTTAAATATAAGTTTATTTGTCTAAACTTATTAATTAGGCAACGACCGTTGGTCTATTATTTATTGGCTTACAAACGACTGGGTATTTAAATTCAAAACTTACATGGAACGGTCCGTTCATAAAGGTTATCACGAATTGTCTTCTGTAGCTCCGAATCTACATCATCTTCCTCAAACCGTCCTGCTAAATACTCTTTTAAGTCACCACTTATTCCATAACCTGAAAAAAAGGAAACTTTACTTTTGTAAACCCGTGTTTTTGTTGATAAAATTCATGCGTTTTATATGTATTATGAAACTAATTAGGCTTGGACTTTCAGCATGATTTTCTGTCAGCCGCAGGGGTAACATTCTTCTTAAAATTACGGAAAATTTAGACATCAAAAAGCTTGAAAATGTTGTCCATTATCTTAGCATTTATACATAGATATAATAAATCAAATAATTTGCGTTACATAGGAAATAGGATCGTTTCGAAGATCTCACATACGGTGTTAGAGTGGTTGAAGATAAATTATCAAACTGATGCAAGCGCTCATAAACAAACTCAAACACCTCAAATTTCACTAAAATAGGTACGAAAATTCCACGTTTTACTCAATTTAAAACCATGTTTGGGAAAGTTTCAAACGATTTCAACAAAATATTAATAAGTAAGACGACGTTTGGAAGCACGAACCTGGCTTTACAACTTGCATTTTTAGAACGTCGCCAGTTTTCTTGATCAAGCTCACAACATCGGGTAAAGTATACCCTGCAATCGCAACGTCGTTCACTTCTAAGATCACATCGTTTACATGAAGTTTCCCATTTTTATACTTCACTTTGTCTTGTTTAAAGCTACCGATTCTTGCAAACTCGCCATTCTCGGCGCCTCCCTCGATACAGACGTTGAAACTACCATTAGCCGATTTCACTACAATAATTTCTCGCACTCTTTGGGACCAGTGCTTGCCTTTTCGACCTAATGTTCCTTTTCTAGACATTCCAAATGCCAATATTATAACCTAGTATTTGCAGTCAATGTATAATTGTATTACTCAGAGATTTTCGTAAACAAGAAGCCGTTTCTTCACCATAAAAATTATTTCAAAACACACTATACGCTCGCCGAAGTTCTACGTTATTTGATAAAACCAATTGGAATGTCAACGAACATCCTACGCATGCGCGCCTAACAAAAAGAAGTAGTAAGAATTTCACCTGTCATCAATCAAAAGAACTAACATTTCCATCAAACTAGGTTAAACACTCAAAACTACTTCATAAAGTATGATACGTTTAATAAATCTAATTAAAAACAGGGTGTATCTAAAAATTTGAAGTCAGTTAAAGAAATAGAGCAAGGCTTAAATATGGTTGATTATTCATATAATGTATATTCTCCTAACTACAGATATACAGCGTCTTGTTCTGGTCAGGGCAGCGTCGTCCTCGCGCATTCTTCAGATTATTGAATGACGGTCTCTATCGGATGTGCAGAATGGTAATCAATGCATTCCTTCGCCCTTTCACAACACAATAACTGCAAGCACTATCTCTTGCCGCGTGGGCTAAGACATGCTCTGAACCGCAAGGCGAAACGCAGCAAATTTTTGAGAAAAAAATCATTTAAATCGAGACCACAATGCGCTCGACCACGGTGTCTGTGTTATGACCTCAAACAGGTCCCGGCCATAACTCAAAGATAAATCTAGCTGACTTCGGAATGTTTGCCTAAATTATTACTCCGGCGTCAGCGACGGAGTTGAAAATTCGCCTCGGTTTTGTTTTGTTTTTGTTTTTTTTTTTTTTATTTTTTTTTTTATTATTTTTCGTCGTCGCAAGTGTGTAATGGCGCGAAACATTCTAGTATTTAAATGTGTATGTGATTGGATTTATCTATGTCCCAGTCTTATCTCCCAAGAGTTGTGGTGTACAGCTTTGGCTAATTTTCCGATGCGCGATTCGATTTCGCTCGCATGATACGGCAATTCCTCCAAGAGGAACAAATAAACCGTTCTTTTCATGCTTTTCGATTAAGTTTAGACTGAATTGGGGTAAGAATATATTTAATACGTGTAGATTCTGGTCCTATTTTAGTAATATCGCTGCTATTTCGCCGTTTAACAAGATGATGTGGTCGTGTATGGGCGCTTTGACTCGTCGTAGTTTGCACAGGATTGAAGATTTAATATAACTATATAAGCGCGAATTCCAAAGGCAAAGTGTAAGACAAAGCGAATGTATTATACCATTTATTTACATTCTTGAACGATTTAACTTTTATACTTTTTAAAGTACGATGTGCTTCTGAATTTCGCGATCGAACATTTAGGTTCGCAAGGCATCTAAATGCGAATATGAACTGTATTGTTTATGTTCAGAAGCTCTATATTGAAAACTGGCACGTGCGCCGGAGTTAACGCCAGAACAGGCGTCTTGTTAAAAATAAATTCAAACTAAGAGTAGAACATGTTTTCACAAGGAAACAAACAGCAAATATATAAACATCCGAATCACAATTCACAATGACTTTTACTCTACTCCTTGAAAATATTTGTGGAAACACTTTAGTAAGTAGTGATTTTTTACCAAAAGTTGGTTCTAGAAGAGCAATTCTGAATGACATAATAATATCAATTTGACAACTTCACTACTAATTTATTCTCCACACTTTTTTTAGGAATGCGGAATTAGTCTGCTCTTAGGGAGAAGTGTTTTTTGTTTCAATTTATTTGCCGATCGCGATTCAGTTTAGGTGGCTGCGTTCGACGTTCTTTATCTTACGAACTAGACGGCCAATATACCGAATCGCTATTTATTCAGGTTATTCTTTTTTATACATGCTTATTACCAGTCTATCATTTCTTTTACGCCTGGTAGACGTTTTATCGGGAAATGAACCAAGAGCCATTAGGTGCTATAGAGCTTCCCCTACCCTAACATTTGAAGCGATGAGAAAAATTGCACTTTTCTGCTAATTTCTCTTTGTTCAAAAGAATTCGCCCTATTAAAATAATGACCCGGAAAGCCTGAGCCCCCCCCCCCCACAAAAGGTCTTGCCTCATACCTCTCTTGAAACGTGACGTCTGTCATACACTTTTGAATTTATTATGTACATTATAGTAATAGCTGGCATGCTTTCAATTAGTATTTCACACCAGTTGCTTGTATGAACTTCAACCAGACTTCAACTCTGATATTAGCAGTTTTTTTAGCACACGTCACATGACCACAACTGGAAGGCCCGGTTGAAACAGTAAAGCAATAAATGAACTGACTCATAGCAACCACCATACGAGCAATATCAACTCTATATTAAGCAAATTTCTACTAGAATTTTCGATTGAACAATTTCGGTCGACTTCTCATAATTAAGTGAAACTGAAGAAATTGGACTAATGAAATATTTCGATAAGGAGTTTCGCCTCGTGCAGCAGTAGAGACTTAAACTCATGTGCACCCACTGTTTGACTTGTCTGGTGTTCGAAAAGGATTGGCCAAAGGAAAAGAGAATTTAAATCACTACTGAAACCGGACTTTTAAGACTATAAAAACATGCATTATTAGAAATATAATCAAATATTGTCTGTCATGTTTTGAGATCGACCCACCATGATGCATCCGATCAGAGTTTTTACTCGAAATTTCGTAATTTGGCTGTGTCAACGTCATTGATTAAATTAATGAAATGCTCACACGGTAAATTATAATTGATGTAAACTCACAATAACATATAATTTTCTTACCCCACCCTTCACAACGGGATACGTTTCAGACACTTTGCCCCTTGAGTGAATTCCGACGTCTTACAATTATGCCTAATGGTGTGAAAAAAAAACCCGACTCGGTTTATAAGTCCCGTGGGAAGCTCATTTATACTGTGATCTATATTTATACGCAGAAAATAATGTATGTTAAACTGTTAGCGTATACAGTTAAAGTTGCAAGTTATTTGTTATATATGAAAAACACTTTAATGAGGTAGGTATCCTGGATAAATATGAAAAACTTCGAGGATGAAAATGGGCTTCATGTAAAGTTATTAGTGTAATTCCAGAGGTGATGCTCAATCAAAACGCAGAGTCTCATGGCATTTCGCTAATCAAGTTATATATAATATAGAATGAAACAAACTGCACGATTTCCGACTGTCTTCGTTTCGCTAGACACATGCTCAGTGCAGAGGAGTTTGATGCAACCGTCTGTGCCGTACACAAGTGCTAACTCGTGCAGTCGCTATTCTTTTCGCGTCATTCACTGAGTGTCTCGTTCAAAACATGCTTGGCCGGCTGCAGCGATATAGTTAGTCGTGGCAAATTTGGAGCACGATTTTGTGGAGTATGTCTGGTATCATGTATAGTAATGATAGCATGAGGCGAGTTGCATTCATAAGTGGAGACATTGTTGCATGGCATCATGATCTATAGCGAGGGGTGGCGCTAAGCAGGGATGGAGGGCAAACCCCTGTTGGGACCTCTAGTCCTTTCCTATCGGAGAGAATAATAGATTGGGGAAAACTAAGCAATTCTATTGTTAAGTTGGAACCTGAAGAAATCAGTCAGGTCATTCGTTCACGATATTCCCGAGTCCTATTTTAGCCTTTCAGGCCGAAACGTACAGTACAAATCATTACAAATTATTATTTATTAACTCTAATACTACCATTTGCGTTCAAGCTTGCGGCGTGCGATTTTAAAACGTACGTTTCACGTTTCAAAACGTAGGTTTAACGTTTCAAAACGTTACGTTTGCCATTTCAAAACGTACGTTTTGTTACGCCCCCTGCCATGTTTAGACAATGAAATTGACATGTTTTTGAAGTTCAAACGAACTTAGCTAATATCCAAAAATAGGTTTATTACATTTGTAACGTTTGCGGAAGTGTTTTACAAGAATTACAAATGGAACCTTATTCTGTGAGAAAAGTAAACTTATATATGCGCAATTTTCTCTTTTCAAATAGCTGCATTCAGTATTTTAAAACCGTATTTACAAATAACCCAAACATGAAAGGGGGCGTGACAAAACGTACGTTTTGAAACGGCAAACCTACGTTTTGAAACGTGAAACGTACGTTTTAAAATCGCACGCCGCAAGCTTGAACGCAAATGGTAGTAAAGGCACAATGCCACGGCCACGTAGACGAAACATCAAACATCAAAGGCTGTTATCTCTGTTTACTCTGGAGCATTTCAGAAACGATTATCGTGATGTCATAAACCTCCTCCGCTTAGTACGCCCCTGTCGAGTGATGTGTCTTACAAATATTAAGACTGTTTTCCTCTTTATCCGTTTATGAATTCTCGGATGAAACTAAGGAAGTAGAAGAAGAAATGTTTTGTCTACCTTTACTGAGATTCCGAGAAGAAAAGGTAAGAAAAGGTAATAGACATAGTTCATCTGCAGTGCATGGGTGTTATATTCTTCGACCTCAATAGAAATGAATAAAAATACAGTATATTGGACTGGCGGGGTTTCAACGAACAAAAAATTATCACATGAGGAACACAATGTCAGTTCTGAACATCCTACGGTTTCTGACGTAACAATGATAAAACACAGGCCAAAAGTGAAGTTGTAACTTCCGATATTATGCATTGCTTTGTCGTCGCCTCTAAAGGCGTCATCTCCGTCAAAATCTAGCAATTCTTTATTTATCTAGGTACAATACAAAAATAAATATAAATTCGAACGGCCACAGTAAATAATTATTTACAACTTTGCTGAGCACCGCAGTGGAAATTCGGCAGCGACATATTCAGTGAATTATTGACATACGCCTTTAGTGATTAACATCCAAGAAGTTTACACCAATTGTGACTGAAGTGCTAAATTTCCTCTACGCAATCTCGACCACGGAGGATTTCCTTAGTTTCGTCTAAAAATCAACCTAACTGGACAGGAAATGTGTGTCCAGCAATATTAGCAGTTTTTATCATGTTTCCATGACAACAGCCACTCCCATATCACAACGGCTTAATTGAAGTTTTGAGACTAGCTCCCACTCCCCCAAGATACTATTATACTTCTCAATGGTGTCGAGTAAACTTGAGCCATCGTATCCTCCAATGGCATGCAGCTGACTGCAAAATACAGCTGTACCTAATAAACGATACAAGCAACTTTAACCCGAGAGGCGAGAGACAAATAAACTAGCGCAACAATAAAATATTGTAGCAAAAGTAATAATTCTTCGCGTGAAACTTAAATTCAGAAAAACAAACAAATCAAATTTACCAACGTAACAACGTTTATACTTCATGTCTTTCAACGTCATCCAGCGATTAGCGCATGCGCTGTAGCACTCGGTCGAGTTAAGATGTTGTGTGCCATCATAACCACCAATGGCGTACAATTGACTGTCAAGACCAGCAACCCCTGCGCCTGTAAATATTTCATGAAAATTAATTGTTGCTCATATCTTTAGAGCATGGTTAATTTAAACACAAAACTGTTGTAACCGAATATAGTTACATTGAAAATGACTTCTTGTTGAGAGATATAGCTGGTGGTAATGGTAAAATAAATATAATGGTAACTACTTATGCGGCCATGTCAATATAACTGTCACATAGAACACTCTAAGACAGTCTAATTTCTTGGTGGTTAATAAGGATGTTCCAGTGTTTTCTAAAACAGTGTCCTTCATTTATACACAAACTAACTCGGGTCCACTCTCACACGATTGAACACACGACCAGTTCCGAAATAGGCCGATAAGGCGTCAATTTTTTTTAGTTAAATGGTGAACACTACCTGAGCGTGGGGTCCTCATTGTGGCGACTGGAGACCAATCACCAGTCCTCGGGTCAAAACGCTCTACGCTGTTTAAGATAGCATTTCCATCGTACCCCCCAAGACAATACAATGTCTCGTCCATATTTACAAGCCCAGCTCCCTCCCTCCCAGTATTAGTTTCACCAACTATTGTCCATCTATCAATAGTCGGGTCATAACACTCAACACTCGTGTGACGCACGGAACCATCAAAACCACCAGCCACGTAGATTTTACCTACAAATAAATATTCCTTAGCTTTAGGCAACCTCGCAGGGATTTCGCTCACAGAGCTTTCGATGGATGTTCGTTATTGCAATTCCAGGATAAGACTGGTGACCTTCACGCACTGTCGTAAAACTATCCTCGTTTCCATGAGGGTCTGGGTATGATATTGTTGCAAAACTGGCTTACACTAAGCCACTGGCAAAGTAGTGAAACTTACCAATGTCAGAACTGTAATAGGTATGATAAACATCCTAAAAGAAAATCTTGCGATAAACTTACCATTTAAAACAGCAGCTCCAGCGAGGCCACGACGATGAACCATTGACGCAGAAGGCGTCCACTCTTGTTTGGTGACGTCATAACATTCAACTGAATTCAATCTTCCTGAGCCATCATATCCACCAATAGCATACAACTTAGAGCCCAGGGACACGGAACATAAGTATCGACGTTTCTTCCTCATCGCCTTGAAAATTATGGTCAATACCTTGTTACCAATATGAATAGTTTGCAACCATTCTTAGAGGATTAATAAGACGGAAAATTTCGGCATGATTTCAAAATTGCAAACAAGTATAATCTTGATATCCTTGTGAATTTATCATTGCAAGGCTTTCCGTCAGACGGCCGTCAGTTAACCCGAGCCTCCGTCAGTATATCAATACAATATCAGTATTGCATAAATGAAGGCCCAGGTGAACAGACTGAAACCTTTACATACACAACTCTACATTGTGTACCTAGAAACTGCATGATCAATAGCTATATAACTAAATCTGTTGAAAACTAAATGAAACGAAATGGTTATCGTAACATGCATCACGCGTATTCCTGATAATTTCTAAAAAGTCAAGGATGCAACCTAAATTCCATTGAGACTGACAGATTAAAGATAGATCGAGGTAAAGCAGTTTTTTAATTCTTCATTATTTACCTGAATGAGTGTGCTCTTATTTGTCCTGGAATCGAATCTCTCAACGACATCAACTGGAGTCTGCAATTCTCCAAATCCTCCCAAAACATACAAAACCTGTCCAGTACCCAGGCGAGCGCGCGTTCTTTCACTCTGCATTTCCATACGACACTCAGGTCTGAGGTGGTATTTCTTTGCCTCATCAACCAAGTCCCGACAGGCAAAACTTCGATGAACCAAAACCTGGGAACGGGAAGTTAAAAATCGCTCGTTTTATATCTTCACCCTCGAATTTTTTCTATCGTATTTTCTGATGGCTGTTTTCAAAACAAAACGACTCTTTGCTCTCAAGAAACATCATCATTTGTGTTAGCTAAGGGAAGGTTTAATATCTTGAAAATAATACGTGCGACTCTTGAAAACTTAAATCTGATCTATTTATATTAACCCACACCTGTATACAGGGTGTCACAGAACAAGCTAGGGGGGAGGGGCTGGGAAGTATTCGTAATTAATCAGGAAATTTGTACTCAAAATTGAACTATGTGGCTGAGAAAGTATTGATGAAATCATTTGTCCACCTTCAGTCTTCTATTCACTCTTTTATCTCATCCCATCTAATAAAATCTAGACTGCACCATTAAGCTATTAAAAGTAGTAACATTCCTGAGGCCTAAAACTCATCTAGTTGATGCACATACCACAATTAACACAGTAATTACCTCATCATCAATGACATCAGTAAGATAACGTGGTGTGAGCAATGGCAATCGAACATTCTCAAGTAAACTTGGCAGATATTCTTTACGATCTTCTGTATTGTGTTTGATCCACATCATAACTGCTTCATATACAACCTCTTCTGATGGTATCTTTTAATGACATACAAATTTGTAATTCATATTAACTAGCAATTGTACTAAATATAGACTGTGTACTGTAACTAAATATAGCCATAAACAGTATTGTATATAAAAATATCACTAGTACCGTAATATTGTCATTTTGAATCAATTCTTTAATATCATTGCACTCCAATTGCAAAAACTCTTCACATTTAATCAGATCAACAAAATGTTTGTGTATAAACTTCTCTGCTGCTTGCCTCAATGATTCACAGTGGTGGGTCTCAGCAAAGTTTTTTACACCAAGGCAGTTGGCAGGATCTAGTTGACTTTCCAAAAATGCAGAACAGGCCCTTTTTGCACCTTTTTTAAAAAACAAGAATAAAGGAATTAGACATGTTGTGAATGGGTTAGAAGAAGTTGTTTTCCATTACTGCAGGATTACTGTTCACACTATTCATAGTACAACCATAATATGCATGAGAGCTAGATTTCCTTACCATTTAACTGCAATAAACAAGCTGCTGGCAATAATGCCTGTACATTCTCAACACTGACTTTAACAGTTTCTGTGTAAATAAAATCCAAAAGGATTTCCATTGTATTTGCTGATAATCCTTTAATCTCAATTCTTGCTTGTTCGCTTGAACTTTCACTCATTCCACTTGTGAACATTGCCTCAAAGTAATCGCTACATGCAGCAAGGATCACTCGATGGACAGGGAAATTACGACCTTCCACACAAAGGATTGCATCACATAAGAGGTTCCTCTTCCTCAAGATATTAATAGAACTTAAGATTTCAGCAGAATGTCCCTCTGATGGAAAATCATGGACTTCACTTGAGCTCATTTTGCATCAGTCTATTTAATTTAATAAGAGAAATTTATTATACAACCATGAATGTGCAGGCTTTGATATAAAAAACAATTGGGCATTTAATTAACACTATGTATTTTTACGTTCGAAATAATCACTATCCAGTGGATAACTTTATCCATCTTCTCAACAATCAACCTGTAATTAGCTGATTTATCTTCATCAAAGGAAAACAGAATTTGAGGACCCTCTCTCCATGAAAAGATCATTAGTAAAAAAAATTAATGTACACCATACAACGTAAACAACAATATACAGCAAAAACGTATTTACATAAAGTATACATATAAAGTTATTTAGATAAGAAACGTATACAGGTGTGATGTGTGTTAGTCTGTTCAAAGTACAAAGTCATTCTTCTACAGTTTTTACCGTACCAAATAGCGATTAAAGTCGGATTGGCTTTAATTCCACTGAGGCAAGAAAACAACAGCTTTACATATTGAAACAGACTACAAATATTATTTTTAGAATATTTGTTTCACGTTACTTGTAACCTGTTGTTCTCCAAATAATTTGTTGTTGCACTTTGAAACTTTGACTCTAACTTGTACTCTTGTATTGTATACAAATGCCAAGTAACCAAGCCTTCTCGCGGGCATTGTTAATTTGACGTAGCCACCACTAACCACTGCCACTAACCCACCACTACAGTTCGTGATCTATCGCGCACGTGATTGGCTATGGAGTTCCCGGGGCAAAAAGCATTACGTCCTTTTCATATCGGAGTTCCTCTCGAAGAACAATCTACAACCTTGAACAGAGGTCACAAGGGGGTGAAAACATGAGCTACGAATTTGGGTAGTTCCTTCAAAGTAGTGTATCGCATGAATCAATCAGATGACATCGCTTGAAAAAATTCTAGTTTCGGCAGCTTTTGCTCTAACCGTGGCCCTTTTTTACATCTCATTACATATTTTCTCCGTCACCAGACATATCATGGATGCTACGCAAAAAACAATGGAGTTGTCTTTCTGAATTCTGATGGAATTCTAAAAACTAGATATGATATATTGATATGATATAGGGCCGCTACCACGCGGATTTAAAAAATGATTCATAACAACATTCAAACTTCTGGGGCCGGTTGTATCAAGCCCGTTTAGCTTAAACGATGGATAAGTCAAAATTAAATACCACACTTACATCTCTCTTAAATAAGTCAACTTGAATATTATGCACTCAATATGTAGTTATTAGGGTTAAAAACATTTAGTTTGCTTGTTGAATAAAACAATTGACTTGCTTTCTATGACTTCTATTTTGAACTTAACCACCGTTTAAGCTAAACGGGCTTGATACAAACCGGCCCCTGAATCTAAAGCCGTTATATTATTTAGCAGCAGAAAAAACTGGATCAATTTGAACTAAAATGATATTTCGTTCTGGCGAAACTACAAAAGGTTTTTGGATCCATCCTGATCCATAATTTGGTTTTTCAAAAGAGGTATTAATTCTACCACCATCAACATTAAATATTACAATTATCCACAAAAATAACTAAAAATGCACAACAATTCCAAGAGACTTGGAAGAAGGCACGAAAAAGAGCAAATATGCTGGGTTAGAACAAAGAGACAAAGCTCTTGGGATTTGAAGGTTCGCGGGTTTATGCGATGGCCATTAATGTGGGACACTGGGGCCGACTCAAAACCACACGTTGGCCATATTTGTCGTCATGACAACAATCTTCAGCGTCTCCTAGAAAAATTAGAGCACAAATATTTATTGAAAAAACCTTGATTTGATCAATACTAAAATACGGATGACTATTCTGTGAGACTGTGAACCTAACAAAAAATGTAGTTATGAGCTGTAAAATAGGTTCAACTGAATTTCAAAGCACTAAAAATTGTTTCTTTAATTTATTTTTTGACTGATGTTTACGAACAATAACATCCAAGCAACCGTCTCATGTCATCTAGTAATGTCACTTATGTTACGTCACAACAGGGAAGACATAAATGATAATTTCTTAATGTGCAAATGTGACAAAATGTGACGATGGAAAAGCATATCTAAGGAGACTGGGGGGGGGGGGGAAGATGAAAATAAAAAGGCCTTACTTATTCATAAAGAATCCTTGTTCTGCTTCGCGGTATTTATTCGCCGGCTTCGGTTTATTCTCACGACGTCCACGATAGCGGTTTCCAGGTGACGGCTGACGTGATTGCGCCATCAGCTCTAAAAGAAGAAATAATTGATATAACATGACGCTACATATCTAGCGAAACAATCAAAATGTAGAATTTAATACGATGGTAAAGAAGAGGATTGACAAAACAACTACAGAATTCTGGAAGTTGGGTTATACAATCCGGGCGTTTTAAGTTCACCGTTATATAAATTGCGAAGCCACAGGTTGGACTAATCTGAACAAATAAACCAGGACGGTACCAAGGTGCCGGGTATTCAAGATTTTACCAAAACTAGTATCAGAGATGGCGGTGAGTCAAAAACTGATTTTTGAATAACCGAAGTGCGTAATCAAAGTTTAATCATATCTATGGCTTGATTCCAGCCACAAGACCCACATATCACGATAGTTTTCAACGGAGTCACATCGTATTTCAAATTTTGTTCAGTCAGCGGTTCAGATGATATAACAGATGATATAACCACTTACCATTGTACGTCTCTTCTTCTTGACGCTGATTATAATCTAGTACCAATCTCTTTACTTCTTCTTGTTCAGCCTGTTCTTCCTGTTGCTTTTCGCGTATGTTCGCGGCAAGATCGGAAGTGATTGGAACTTTAAGATCACGCAAATGCTGCCTGTTTCCTTTCTTTAACATCACCATAAAATTGACGCGATTTCCTTCTTCGTTTCCGGTTTTTTTCTTTCCCAGCTGCATAGGTACGGCGACATCAAACGAAGGAACTTTGACGTTTTCAGTCCGACGACTTTGGTTGTCGTCGACAATCAATTTGTTGAAATCATTAAGAAACTCCGTGTCTTCTTCACATGGAACAAGTTTTGGGGCACCTATTCCTTTCACCTATGAAGACGATATTTAGAGAGTTGACCGTGATTCAAGTTTCGAGCACTTCAAAGTCTCAAAAGTAAAACAAATGTTTTAAATAATGTATTCCCTCAATGTAAACCATTCTAACCTCCCTACCTTATTTTCACCTTCCTGCTCGGATTCAATTTCAGACAACTCATCTTCATCGAGAGTCAAAGAATCGCCTCCTCGTTTACGTTTGTTTCCATCCCCCCCAGGATTTCTCTCCTCAGCTTCCATATCGCTCTCCCCAGTCTCGCTCTCTTCCTCGTCACGATCGGTCGGGGACTGAGGATAGGATACAGGCGCGCAGTTGTTGGTGTTCAGCGGCAACTGGATTGGAGATGACGCAGGTTTGTTGTCCGTCGCCACGACTTTGACTGCCTCGTCTAGAATAGGAGGAAACAGCGCTCATTGATATTTACAAAGAACAGCTGTGTTTGTTCTAAACTTATTTCTTAATCAATCGAGCAAGGTTATCCCATATCAGGCTGGTTGCTGGTAACACTAAACCTGGAACTCTCTTTAACAAATATACCTTTATCAAATATAGTATCATTATCGTACCTATTTTCTGTTGATATTCCAAGTTCAGTTCCTCCACAGCTTTCATGGCTTCTTCCAAGGAATTATGAAGTCTGAGTTTGGGTCGTAAAGATTCCAGTGTATCTGCCACCATGTATTCAACTTCCTTCGGAAATGGACAGTCTTCATTCCAAACTCCATTTGATTTCTTTTTCCAAATGTACGCCTGGAATATTGACAGACATTATGGAAACCAACATACACAATGGTACGGAATATTATGGTTTAACGTGGGCCTTTTATGATAAGCAACCATTTTGATATTATTGTATAAACAAGGTAGTCATAGTTATTGCACCATTCTAATAGCATGAACAGGCTTGTCATACAATATAGCTATTGTTTGCATGGTAGTTTATCGTATACGGTATGTTACCCCGGTATATGGTACGAATATCGTACTTCCTTAATCATAAGTTAACATTCTTGGAATTAAAAAGAAAACATAACTAAAATTACCTGAAAGTAAACTAAGAAGCAGTCTAGTTTACGTTTTAAACTTCCACGATCAAAATACTGTCCACACGTGTCAAGGAGAATACAGACGAGACGGATACGGAAAAGGTGTTCAGGGGGATCTAAGATGGACGGCGAACCTACAGAAAGACGGTAAGAATTACTACATTGTGGAAATACACTCGTCTATCCTACTTTCTCTAATGAGTCGCTGACAACCAGTGCCGTAGCTAAACCGCTAAATTGGAAGGGGGGGTGTATATTCTATACTAATTTTACACATCATAGGAACAATAGTGTACAAAAGAAATCAGTCGGGCATAAGACGAATATATGAATATGCACTTCCAATAATGCTTCTAGCTACGGCCAGTTGACAAGTTGTTTGAGGGACTCACCATCATCAGAGTTGCCAAAAGTGATAAAGGAATACAGAACAGTAAAGATGACAATCGATTCAATCAACTGATAATTATAAAGCTCCCCGAGGTATTTCACACAACTTATACGACATTGGTTCATCTTTGGAATGTTTATCTAAACGAGACAAATGAGATTCAATTGTTAGGGTTTAATAAAGCTCGTTTTAATGAACCTCGCTTTCAGTAGATACTTTCCAGACATCTCTAATCACAAGAGGAATATTTTCACATTCCAATAACCAGTACATACTTTCTCTTTTTCTATGTTTTAACTCTCGTAGGTTCGTGTCCTGTACCAAAACTTTTACCTTGCAAATGTACCCCCTTCTAGTCTTTTTTTTACCTTGCCCTATTGATGACCTTAATCATGATCTCGAAACATGCAACTCATATAATCATGCATCAATACCTCCATTCCAACACGTATCTCCTCTAATACACCATCGACCACTTCTATCCCCACATACTCCTAGAAAACAAGGAACAAATGATTGAGAAGGAACCAAAACTTTTGGAGGGAGGAGTGGTACTTACATGATAAGGAGCTAATCCCGCCAACAAGTTAGCAGCGCAATGAATGTTGCTGTATTTAATATTCCAAGAGCGAATGAGACATCGAACAACATAGGCGCAAATCTAAAGAGAAAATGCACTTGATTCTCATGTATATTTCATATCTTTTCCAAATGAAGACTGACGGCAAGATATGGATGTTTCATTAAATCATTTTTCTCAGCCTTACATCCTCTTGATCCCAAGGCAATTTTCGTAGTTGACGCAGGACCTGTAGTAAATTAATACACCATGTCAGTGAAGTTATTCAACTCATGAAATTGACCGAGAATTCACTTTGTTTGATCTAGATCATTAACAGCGCAACTAAGGAAAGGCAACAGCAACAGTGGTTCATCATGTATTTGTATAAAACTAGTTATGAAAGAACTGCGTGTGTATAGACAATAGTTTATACATTGATGGAATTAACTCGAGTCAAACAGTAGCAACTTTCCAAAATTTGCCGAAATATTTTTAACCAGGCTTGTTGTTTTAATCTAAGACACGTTCGTTCATCAACAACGTAATTTTAGTCGAATATACTGCCTGGGCTTACCTTTTCTGTTGTTGTTTTTGATAAATCTTTATATAATAATTTTCTCACGTACTCCTGCATGGGAGGTCTTTCTTTTTTAGTTACCTTTGGAGAACGAAAACTGCATCAGTATATCTTGAACACCATAGATAAACATTACAATACTGACTGACGAGGTAGTGATGGTCTAATGAACGCTTCTTAAATCAGATATGACCGCATTTAAATTTTCATTGTCCCCCAGACTCTGGCCATGCAGTAGGTAGTTTTCTACAACAGGGAATACACCCACTATATACCAACAGTGGTTATTCGTCAACGTGTAATACCACCAGTGGCTATTTCTAAGAAACGTTCTCAAAGGGTACTTAGGGTAGCCCGTCGCGCGCAATCAATGCGATTAAAAGACTATAAGTCTGGACTAAGAGGAACTTATACCTTTGGTCTATCAGGTGGGTTGGTGTAATAAAATGCATTGTCAATCATTGTCTTCTGACGAGAATCAAGATTTTGAACAGCTTTCTTGCGCATCATTTGTTCCTAAATAAAGAAGAGCGACTCGTGAATTTGATTTTCAACGTCGACCTCAAATCTTTTCATTGATTAAGAGAAGACTATCTCACTATCTCATTGATCAGTGATAACACAATTTCTATGTCGTGGGAGTGAGCTTTTTAAATCCAGGCGCTATATAGTCATACTAAATACGAGTATACTTGCTTCATTAGGCTATACGGATATCCTATGAAGGACGAATGTTTTAATTACAACCAACAAATATTACCAGAATGTTTTTAGTCTTGATGTGAGAATCCGCTGATCTAAAGAGATAGCGGCCACACGTCTCCAACAAACTGCACGCCATTTCAACATTATGATGTGTGAAATTATCCAGTAATATCTAATGTGAAAGATATATGTTTATGTAATGAGAATCTCTTTGGTCCAAAAATGTTAAATCAAGCTTCATTTCGTTGCATGTTGTATATTAATCCATCTCGCAATTATTAGACGTGAAGTAAACACTCTGAAGGCTACTTTCCACTCAAGGAAAAATCTACTTTGGATCGGAACGGACAGGAAAATTTCCTTTGTCGGCGAGTTCCCAGGCGGCGTTTATACAAAGGAAACTTTCCCGTCCTGTCCGATCCAGAGGAGAATTTTCCTGAGTGGAAACTAGTCTTTAGTCTCTTACCTTCAAACAATGAACTGTTTCCTTTTTCGGAACCATACCGAATTTAGTTAATTCACCTAAATCGAAAATCCCAAATTTAACCATCCATGTCTTTTCGCATTATTTTCTGTCCCAGTCTGTCCTTAACTGGACCCAGTCTGCCCTTAATCGGACCCAGTCTTCCCTGTGTCATGTGTCTATACATAAATAAACAACGACTAGCGAGGTACCTACCTATAAAACGAACAGTCTTGACCTTTGATTCAACATAAATTTGGTCTTTCTTTCGAACCTAAAAATAATAAGTAACAATCAGTATAAAACTCTATTTCGTTGCAAATCAGAATTATCTCTTTGAAACGTATTTAACACGTTAGCCACATCAACATATTGCTTGTTTCCAAGTTGGAAGTGATTAAAACTAGAAATATTTACCATCAGAAATTATAACTTACATGCCACTTAAATTCCGCTTTGAGCGAGCTGAACAGATCGACAGCCAAGTCAGGCATACAGGGATGTAAAGTAGCAACCAATCGAGAATAAAAGGGCAGCAAATCAAACCTGAATAAACATAATGAAACACAAAACAATTATTAACCCATGTATATGCTGTTAGTTGTAGTAGCTATTACCAATGTTGCTGCATGTACAGGAGAAATATATTTTAGGATGTTACTCTTAGTACTAAAGGAACCAACTAGGCTTGAACCAACTAAATTATTAAATGGTTGCTTAAACGCTGTGGTTAGCACACACCCCCTTTCAAACAGCCACCTTTGGTCTGATGCTTTCCTAAATGAGCTTCGAGATCAATAGTTTTCAAAAGTTGATATTTTTGAACACGGTTGAGCTCGAAGCTCAGGTGGGCCAGCAAACCAAAGGTCTCCACTTGGAGTCATGTATCTTGGAACAAACCTCGTTCTTGGAACCCCAAATAAAGCTTTACAAAGCTTTTTGCGATTGCCTTTAGTATTGCAAGTCATCACAAAATCTGTGGCAAGCTACAAGTAAAAATTTAGAACTGATCAAATTTCAATCATTTTAAAGATCGTGGTACAGCATTTAAGAATTTTTTCTTGCATATTGATAGGTACAAAAATTACGTTCTATATGTTGTGCAGTGGACTTACATCATCAATAAAGTCTCTATTGACACATGTTGGTAACCTTTGAACGATCTGCTCCAGTTGACTTGAGTTAGAATGGTTATTCTTCCCAGCAGATGCATTGCTAGGATTACTACCACTGCTGTTTTCATCAGCTGACGTTGCTTCATCTTCTTCTGTTTCTATAAACACGTACAGTAAGAAATTTATAGCGATACTTTCCTACACAGTCTTGCATGGGAACGTAGAAAGCTAGGTCAAATTTGTGAGAACTTCAAAAGAGGACTTTCAAAAAACTCGGGAAGAGCAGGGAATGGCACGTATGTCTGCCCTATACGATTCCTATACACGCTCCGCTATCCAACATCACAAGTGCACGAATGCATCCAAGTCCAATAAGACAAATGGAGCCAACAATAAACAAAAAGATCCATCTACCTGAATAAATCTCAGTTGTGAATTACCTTCAGTCATATCTGTCAAGTTATCTTCATCGTCCGATATCATAACATCACTATCATCATCCAGACCATTCATCAACTCTTCTTTTGTTGATGTTTTACTATCACTTTCAGTGTTACTGCTGTCCTTGTACAAGATCTAAAATATGAAGCATAGACTGTGCTACAGCAACCTCACTTCACCAACAACCTTCCCAAGCGACTCTCTGTAAATTCTCGGGAAGAAACTTTGAAATAACAATACTTACGCTTGGCACAAGAGATTTAAGATCTTTAAGATTTTCATAAAATGTTCTTGTATCTTCATCCTCCCATAAACCTGTATCTCCATCGTACTACCGCAAATGAAAGAACACAAATAAGTGTAACTTGTCAGCATTTCTATTAACTGTGGTGTAAGAAACCCGCAATGGAGTGCATAAATAAAGACAAAAATTCTGTAGTTGCCAAATTTCATCTCTCAAAAGAAGAATTGCATTACAAGTTGCAAGAAAAATTTCACCGTGTAACAGGGCCTTAAGACCCGATAGTTATCTATGTGCAGGGGAGAAGATTTAATGTTAATAAGAATAATGGGTGGTGGTAAACTAAGAAGACATGTTGTAATAAGATAAAATGAATACATCTGACATGAAGGATACATCTATAATATTGCCAATCTTTGGCATCAAGTCTTGTAAACTAGGATCTTCCCAGTTCTCTTTTGTTCTTCAGCACTTGTATAATTACGAAATACACGAGTTTACTAATCTAGGACGCTCATTCAAACACCGACCATCTGATGTAAATAAATGTATATGACGTACCTCAGTTAATTTAAATGGATTGAATATGTTAATGCCACCATTGCCATCTTCTTCAGGTAGTGATTCTAGTGGGGTTAAACGAACTTAGTGTTCACAATTATATCACTACAATAAATACATTTCATGCACTCTCTATAAACCTGACAAAAACGAACAGTATACATACCACTTTCCGGCAAGTCTGGCATATCCAGATCAAGAATTTCCTATATTCGGAAAAAACGTTTTAAGTTCTCTGACATCTGAACACTCTCTTTAAGATGGTAAACCACTAATACCGGTACAGTGTACATGTACTTACAGCCAAAGCAGATGTATTGGTAAGCAATTTATCATAAGATTTTTGACATTTTTCATATGCTTCTTTTCTCTCCTCGTGTAATTCACCTTTGCTCTGAAATAGAGACAAGCAAAACCCCTTTTTTGGATATTTATAATACATCAAAGAACATTCGTATGAAAGCGATACGAATTGCCGGTTTTAATTCTACTACGCAGTTTTAACTCTACTATGCAGTTCTATATTGCAGCCACACGCAAAAATTCTGGGCTACCTCATGCATAGGTATCTACCTTTGAAGTTTGTGATCTACCGAATTGGCCAAATATGTCGTAATCCCAACGACTCTCAAAACTGCAAAAAGTTTGCTAATTTACGAGCAATGGACTACGCGAGTTGATGCTTCACTGCCTTGACAGAAACCTTGTTTTTTGGTTTCAGGCTGCACAAATAGCTTCAGGAATTGGGCATATTGTCTGGCATATTCTTTTACGCAAACAACTAAACCAAGTACTTTGCATGAATTAGGAAATAGCTAGCGGTAGCTGTTTTGGTTAAATCACATACACCAGGGGGAGATCACGATGGAGATGATGAATGTATTCGTAAGCAGAAGCGGACTTTGGCCCAATTTTGAGTTTTAGATATTAAGATAAATAAAACCTTTAAGATGAGAAACGAAGAACAACAAAATGATTATCGTACCAAAAGAATCTGTTTGTTTTGCGTTTCTTTCTTTTGCAAGTCGCCGTGTTCGTTGAGAAGATGTGTGACCAAGGATTGATAGTAAGACTTCAATATCAAGAAAATAGAATTTTGCTTTTCCGCGGGAATAACCTCAAAATGAGGTATTTTCACATCGTATTTCTGCAGCAAAAGTCTACAAATAATATATTGATATTGCATGAGAATTCGGTTTTTAACACACTAATACGTGTCAATGTGAAATTCATTGTAACCATTATGACAAACCTTTGTTTCCTGGAGGTAATTCCAAGAACATCCTCAGCGCAGTGACGACAAAAACTCAAGATGACTGGCAGATATAAATGGTTTTGCTAAAAGCAATAGAATAAAATGAGACTGAAAACAGAAAATTGACTTCTCCACAGACTTCTAGCTCCAACTGGTTAAATGCTGATTATCTGTATAAATTTTAGGAAATAAGAAATTAATAAAACAACACTCTCGTTTCTATAAACATACCATATCACAGCTGGTGATATTGTTAAGCGTTGAGCTGAGCAACTTAATGGCTTCCTCGTTGTGTCCAATGATCCCATAAAGGCCAAGTTCAGCCAAAACACGAAGACCAACACGAAACTTATTCACATTCATGGACTAAAATAATTCCAATACAAAGCAAGTAAAATTTCATGGATCTTCAACGGATATCCGAGTTTCCTGCGATAGTTTCCAGCAAGATTTGTCAAAAAGTCAAAAATAATCTCTTACACATTGAGTTCATAGGACTGTTGGTTGAAAAAATTTAAAGTGCGACAAGAAATTATGGACTTACTGCAAGAAATGCAGTATGTTGTAAAGTAATAAAACATTCCGACATAGGATAAGCACTAGTTTAAAGGAATGGGTGGCCTCAATTTCTACATCTGGCTGTTTTTTCACGCTAATAGTGGATGATTCTCTAGTCACACATGATACGTTGCTAGCTTTTTAGCATTTATATTTGGCATGTAACAAAAGGAATAGCAATTTAACATGAATGATCACCCCATAGAAGTTTGGTTAATTAGTTTCTGATTGACAACAAAACTGTACTCAATATTAAATATTGCAACCTGTTGGAAATATCAAGTTGTTCAAAAGCTCTGGGTTTAATTTCCACTGCAGTCAAACAATATTGGAACTAGAGCAAGTTCTCATTGTAGGACCAGTCCATAAATTGCTTATTTCAACAGACATTTATCATCATTGCATGATAAAACATATTTTCAACATTGCTCCAGCATCATCTTACCTTTTCATCATCCTTGCAGTTATAGTTTTCAAACATTTTCATTAATTCTGTGATGAAGATACCCACAAAGTCTGCATAACGTTGATGAAACAACCCACACATATGGACTACAATGCTCACGTCTGACACCTGAATAGTAAAATTATCAAAAAGAGTGTATCAGTGCCATGCAACCTATGTACTCATAATATCGTAATTCCACATGTTTTATTGTCTTGTAAACATGAAACAATTAACAGAAATGGCTACTTATTACTCAGATTTTTTTCCTATTCAAGACATCTTTGATGATACACTGAGTTTTAAAACCTATTCTTGTATAAAAATCTGTATACTACTTTTCAACTAAGAATATGATACAGGCTTCTCCTATTTCCACACTAAAGCCCGTCCTCCACTTGGCAAATTTATTCATGCGATGCGATATCTGAAATCCAGTGGAAAAATTTGCAGCGAAAAAGTAGAATCGCATCCTACTTTTTATCTGTTTGTGCAAATAAATTCGCCAAGTGGAAAACAGGCTTAGGTCAGTAAGTTTCTTTTCGTATGTTTACTTAACATTGGGTAAATATACTCAATTAGCATTGGGTGAGTATATGTACTTTACTTAAATTGTTAAGCAAAAATGAACAACCAAAAACCTATCACTAATTTATCTGAAAGAACACATGTACCAACCTTTAATTTATGCAGTCCTTCTACAATTGCTGTCACCTTTAAGATTAACCATATTTTCTTAATATATCATATGGGTATAAAATCGTAAAGATCTGATAATTAAGTCTACTGTAATCTTTTTTACTTTAGTAACAATTATTTATACTGTCAAACAACAGTTCCTAACTACCAGTCACCAAAATCAATAGAGGAGTGAAATTAAATTTTACACAATTTCAAACTCAGCATTATATGATGATCTATCTATACTTACTACTTCTTGGATAAATCTAGTCAAATTTAAGCCACTAAATTCCTGGTTTAAAGATTGTTTCTGCTGTTCTGTCATAGTTTTCTAAGAAATAAAAATGAATAATAGAATTAATATGCTGACATAGCTGGTTTAGGCAAGCATTCAGGGAATTGATTCATAAGGAATTGATTCATAAGGAATTGATTGCATTACCAGTTTCTTGATGAATGAGGAATTTTTCTTAATGTTTGAGTCAAGACTGCGGAAGAATGATTCTTGTGGTCGATTATCTAAAAAAAACAAAGCATTACCTTATCAAAAAAATTTGATATTTTCAGTACTCCACTTTAGATAGTAAGTTTTGCAGAAGTGATGCAAATTTCAACATCACATTAAAAAGCAGAATGGTTTTTCAACTATCGTTGAAAGCAAGAAATTACAATATTCAAGAAACTTCAACCATAACAATAGGCTAAGTGCTCATTATCCATCCCAGCTTGGGCAATAAAAGAGCACCTGTTATAATATTTACCCCCGGCACGTCCCAATGATCAAGCTGAATAGAGACTCAATCTTGGTTTCAATACTTACGTGATGCATCAAGATTTTGTCTCCTGATGGCCATCTTTGCCTCTAAACGTTCAGTTGCTTCTTGTGCTATCTCCTCAGCATGTTTCTAAAAAAATTATTGACCTTATAAACTGATCTCAATGATGATGGCAAGAATGATGATTATGTGATGAAATTATTATACTTGTTCCTGGATCATTTTTTCCTCTTCTTCTTTCTGAAGTTCATCATCATCTTTTTCATTTTCATCCTGAAGTGATGCTGGCTACAAAAATTATAGACACTCTAAGGCATTGCATGAACTCATATTTCCTGGCCATCAGCAACTTCCACTAACAAGTGCGTTTCTACAACTTTTACAAGTCAGATGCACAAATGATTAAATGGTTGACATACCAACACCACCAGGGTTAAAATATATACCTACCTTTTGTTCACTATCAACTGGTTCTTTCTGGACTTTTGTATTTGTGTTTGACTTAGGTCTATTTTCATTTATTGTTGTTCTATTGTTTCTAAAGGTAATTTCAATAGTTTTTATCCTGTTTAGTATTTATTGCATCATACTATTTATTGCATCTTTATTAAAAGACAAAACTATTGAATGCAGGACTCAAAGCACTTTATAATAATATTGTATTATCAACAATGCTTGTATTTCACTATTTGTATCCTAGCTGCCTTCTATACCTTTTGTCAACCGTTGGGCTTGACATATCTACTCCAGCAGCCAAATAGCCTCAGATAAACTTCGGCTGCATAACTTTCGATATAGACTCTTTTTTCTTCCCAAATACAAGCTGTAACCTCGGTTACAACTCTGCAGACTGTTACTCCACTGTCTACACTTTGACCAAAATTTGAATGAAATATATTTCAACTTCTTTACTCCATCCAATAACCCTTGAAACAGCACAAAACTTTTCGCTTTCTCCCCATCCTTTCTGAAGCGGAAAGAGTTCGATCTATTTGCACAAAACCCAGAAATTTTCAGCTTTGGCAAAACTACAAGTTGAAAATATGAAATTTCCAAAATTACAATCCAGAAAGATCTCGTTCTCAATCTCCGCACCGCGCACAAATCAATCATTGACTGACCTGCATGATAGTTATGACTGGATGGAAATTTGAATATTTGTCAAACTCACGGCAAAAATGACAAAAATCAAATCACTGGAAAAATCACAGAGAAAGTATCTCTGAACAAAATATACCAGGGGTATAAGTAGGAATAAAAGGGGCCAAAATGCAACCATGGTGGGCAGGAAGTGAAAAAGAAAGATACTATCTCACAATTCCCACCCCCCTAGGTCTAGCTGGCATATAGAATTTTGGGTACTCTAGAAAAATACTCATATTCTATTAAATAGTTTTATTACATTAGTATGTTCTGTAAGAGTTTCTATTCAATATCATTTTTAGTTTGAAGGTATATCATAAATTCACTGCAAAGTTTTTGGTCACTTAACCTTGGCCTTCATCAGTCATCAATGCAATTAAAATGTAATTATATTACTTAAAGCTAATGAATATATTGGTATTAGTCATGCAAACTTACAAGGATATTATTAGTTCCATTGACTTGAAACAAGTCCATATCCAAATATGAGCAGAGACTGGAAGAATATTATGTGTTACCTAATACATATTTATAAACTTAAAGTTTCATATTGTATATAAATCCATGTGCACATGAATCCTACTGAAGAAGAAATCTCACAGTTGCTCCAGCCAGCTTAGCACCATAGAAACCTGCCCAATATTGCGTGTCCTGTCCATAATCCTTGAATTGTATATACCGAACACCAGAAGGATATTCTTTGAATGTATGATGTAAGCGATCCCATTCATTACGTCCATTTTTTCTTTCAGCTTTAAATTTCACTTTGCATCCTGAAATCTTGTTTTTTTTCCTATCCATCAGAGCAACTTTCAAGAAGTATTTTACACCACAATCAAATCGGTTGTTGAACCTGAAACCAATAATTTGTAATTTAAATGCATTGCATAGCCTTTTATATTTTGTTTTCTCTTATGAAAAACACTAGAGGTTGATCAGTTTTAAGGACAATTGTCAATGGTTTTTTTTGGATAATTCTTACTTAATTGTTTATTCTAAGCATAAAAATCAACTTACTAACCATTCACAAACATATATTGGCAGTTTGCATTCATCAAGAATGTATTCTGTTACTCCTTCAGCTAAGAGATCAACAATTTGACATCTTTTGGTTGCACCAAATGATGTTGCAATGCAACCAAGATCTATGAAATCAAGGAAAGTTAAATAAAGAATAGTGTGCCAAAGAAATGTACAAAAACCAGCCCAGTCATTATCATACCTACCCCCATTTGGCACAGGGCCACACCCTATGGGTGGGTACTCCAACTGTATGCCTTGCCCACCTATACTCATCATCTCCCATGGTTCAAACTGTTTGTGCCACTGATCCTGGGTAAGATCGCTGTAACCATGCCACCCTGAGATCTCGTGATGTTTTTTCTTTATAATATCGGGAAAAGCATCGCTAAAATTCGGATTTTTTAAAAGATTCCTGGAGTATGGGTTGTTATAATAATAATCTTTCCAATTTTCTGGTTCAAAGTTTCTCATGTATTTCTTAACGTAGCGTTTTGTACGTTCACATTTCAACCGCCATGTTGTATTGTCGTCGGTTATTTGCTTCCATAACTGGCAAACCAAAACACATTCCTTGACAAGATTTTCAGCTGGTATAAAAGAGAATATTATACACGAAACTTCGAATGGTAAGGCTTGTGTTGGGTCCTGTAATTCTGTCGCCATACGCTGCCTTGTATGAAAACAATTATTACATGTTCTTGTTCAAAAGCAAACTGTTCTGCTATTTTTTAGTATAAGTTGAGTTGTGATCACTGTGATTCAGTGTTTCGAAATTAGAGACATAGAATATTCGATTCAGTTCGAAAATATTTCTGACATATTGCGTATTTGCGTCACTGATTAGTGATTATAGTCTGCACCAGAGGTCCCCCCCTGACAAATGATGTTTACGCAATTGAAATTTGAAAATACATTTTGAAAATAAAATTGCCCTTCACTAAAATCGTCCTTTTTTATTTTATGAGATAAATGGTCAATTCCCAGCTGCCAGTATTTGAATTTGTGATTTTTGTAACATCATGACCTGTATTTGTCAGACCCCTCTTGACTTTCATATTTTTACATGCTTCCGCGGTCTTTGAGACAATTCTGATGTCCATAGTCGGCAGCCCAAGTAACCCAAGTTTCACATCAGTCCTGGCAAAAAAGGCTGGCATTATTGAACTACCAGGTCCATGATGGTTTCTTAGAATTACGACTAATTGCAACTCAAAACTGAAGTAATTTCGTCTTAGCAAGTAAAATGAACTGAGAAAAAAATTATTCTAATATGGGTATTTTGGGGTATCTTTTTATCCCAAGTGATCCCTCGTGCCTCTCCAGTCATTCAATGGGTTTAGAAAATGCGCCGTCATTTTTGAATTTTGAACGAAAGTTTTAATTCCATTATTATTAATTATGATAATAAATTACAGTACATGATGGAATGTCGTAGGTCGAATTAAAATTACATGCGATTGGTAATATATATGTATCATGCAGGGCCTATATTATATATATATAATATATATATATACGCACCCTGGTATTATGTAGGAATATGTGTATTTGTGTTATATATTTACAATGTAATTACACTGTGTGTATCATACAATCATAATAAGCTCATGTGAACAGCGTCAAAATAAAAACCTTTCCTAAGCCTTTTTAAACTCAGGCAGAACGGGTTTGAACTTTGCGCAATTAGGATAAAATGAAAAAAAAGTTCATTTGAATGGTGAACAATTCTATTTCAAAAATATTGGCCCGAGGTATTAAATGAGTAAAGAGTAAGGGAAAGACGGGCGGGACAAACGCCCGCAACTTATCACGTCAATTGTCGAGTTATTCTAGCCGTTACTCAAAATTTTCATTTACAAGTCAATACCAAGAAAACAAGACCATTAGCAGTTATATTAGCGAGGTTCAGATTTAGCTTCCACTACCACTACCTCTCGCTAATCTATTAAGCTCGTGATTGGTTAGTCTGATAGACCTATCGCATTTGATTGGTTTATATTCCCTCAAAGGTTGTGGTAGTCGTAGTGGTAGTCAAATCTGAACCTCGCTATTGTGATGGTGCTACTCTGAGTCACAAACCAATACTCTTCCAACTGCCGGCTTAGTAGTCTCAGTATACAGCACCATCTCGAGAATATACACCTGAGTCTTATCAGGGCGGTTATAAGATATCTTATAAACGCCCTGTTCTTATCAATAACCAGTTGTTTAATAACTTACAACTAATTGGCGAAATGAAAAACACCATTGTCAAAACTCCGTGGTTTGGACATTGACAATTAGGACAAAAAGAAAAGCTGGAAAGTATCTCTTGAACTTTAAAAAGATAAAAATTGTTCGAACAGGTAAAAATGGCGTAACTCAAAGAAAAGCTACCAACCATTGGGTTTATCACGTCATAGTTAACACAGTCAAGTCAAGAGGACAGTCTGAAAATTCGTCAAACTTCGAAGCGTCATAATGAGCTACGATTTAAATCATTTAATGTTGAGACAGCTTCACTGTTCAAATCTTTTTTAGAAATTTTGTTCATTCTCTTTTGTACGATTGTTTCACTGTGCTCAGGTTTAGAGTTTTCATTGTTTTCCTCAATCCTAAAGCCCCGTTTATATACTTTAATTTATTGCCACGACCTGTACAAACCAATTTCATCCGACTTTGTATTGGTGATCTATGCACGGAGAAAATTCTGTACGGGTAGCAATATCAGCCGTGCCAATAATAAATTTTCATGTAGTGTAAACGGAGCTTTTCACTGTTAAAGTTTGAAAATGTATTATTGAAACCCTGGTTTCCAGACCAATTCTCTAAACTAAACCATGTTTCTACTATCTTTGTGCGCTGTTGAGTCAGTTACACTTTTTGTACATGCAGTTTTCAAAACCAATTAACATACCATTTCTCCACTCGCAACTCGACACTACTTTGATGTTATGCTCATAGGAACAAAATTCTTTCTGCACATCACCACAACAACCTCTTAAATCTCTTTAAGTACCATTTTTCCAATTATCCAACCCTTCCCTCTAAACCTATCGTGTGTGAAATATAAGACTGATATACCCTAGTAAAATAGTTGGATTATCTATCTTACAATTCACAGTTTTCTTAAAACTTCAAACTATTCCTTTTTCATACCAGTGTTCTACTTTCGACATCCGTTTTAATGTCCAAAATTTCATCACTCAGAAGAGCAATCTTTAGCTATGTGGCCCTCCTTTCCACAACTGTAGCACTTTGGGGGAGCCAAATTTGGGCAATTTTTTCGGATATGACCTGGATCACGACACTCATAACACACATCTTCCTTCTTGGAGCAATCTTTTGCCTGGTGGCCATCCATACCACAGCGGAAACAAGATCTCCTAGCACTGCTACATTTACTGGCGATATGTCCACGACCACCACAGTTGTAACAAGTACCAGCTGAAAATGGTTTATATATTTGACATACAATTTTTAGTTCTGCTAAGGAACTCCCCCCCCCAACATCCTCCGCAGCCTATGTTGCAAAATGTGCAATTGAATTAGGTTTCGTTTATTCACAATAATATAATATTAATATTTCTGAAAAATGTAACCCTTAAAATGTAGGAAATCACATTAGCCAAATTCAAAATTTCCCTTGGAATCAGACCGCAATCCCTTTAAACAGCACTTTCACTTGTACCCTAAAATTTGGTTGTAATCCTTTTTTATTAATCTTTTGACACAATACCTTTATTTCCTGGGTTTCTCTCAGTCTCGTTGTCCTCAGAACAATTGTAAACATTATGCCCTATTCTGCCACATTTGTAACAAGAGGATTTTGTACTAGAATCACCATTGCCAGTTGGACAATCGCGTGAAATGTGACCAGGTTGATTACAGCTATAACATTTAGCTAAAAACGATTAAAACTTAATAAGTTCTCCAGTTGTACAGATTACATTTGTACAATTATTTCATACAGGCTGTCATTTATTATAAATTACATAATTAAATCCAAATTATTCACCACAGAAGTATTTTAAAATCTATAAAATTTGGACATTTCAGAAAAAAAAATAAATGGCTTAAAATACCCTCTTCTTCTGTGCAATCCTTTGCAATATGTCCAGCTTCACCACATTTATAGCAAGTCTTGAATCCTGTAATATATATTATTTAAATGTTAAAAACTTACAAATTCAAGTTGCAAACATGAAAATAGAGGGAAATTGTTATGACCTACCTCCTCTGGATGGGTTTTTTGGTTCTGAGCAATTTCGGGATAAGTGACCCTTATTTCCACAGTTATAACAGGACATTCTCTTCTGAATATATTCTAATGAATACATTAGGATACTGATATAAACAAAATACCAAGAGCTTTTAGTGACACTTACACAGAAAGGGTAATCTCTAAATACATCCCACTGTTCATACTTTTTACTCTATATGTATTTGTTAAATGCTGATGAATCTTATAAATTATAAAAATATCTGCCAGTGTATCATGAGTACATTAGAAAAAACAGTAATTTTTCATGCAGCTTCATTCAACAATCTTCTGCCTTACTATATTGATTATAATCAAGTTAAAAGGTTTAGTTATGAGAAAATAAGTAACCGGAATTGACAGTGCAAAATTTTCCAGCAATACTTTTATTTTATCTGAAACATCCCTGTTGTAATGAATATGACCTTTAAAAATCCTGGAACTCCTTTCAATTAGCAAATTATTCACATTTATTATATATTCTTTAAAAATCTGCATCATTTGAATAAGACAATAAAGTTGTGACAGAAAGGACTTATGGTCAATTTGTTTAAGGAAATAATGTTTCCTACATGTCAAATAACTCCCTTGCACTATACAACATGTTGTAGGAACACAATTTTATCTCATGTCAGGGCTTTGTCCCTGCAACAGTATTTTTGTACAGTCACTACAGTAAAATGAAATTTGATCCAAGACATACCCCCCAAAATGTTAACTGGGCAATTTATTATACAGTCAAACTAACTTGTTTGCAAAGAAATTTCTTTAAATAAAGATAACATGAATGTTGAAAGTCTAACTTGTTCTTTCCACTGCAACTCATAATGACCAGCTAGCTTTCATATCAACGACTTATTAGGACCTGCCAGGGCTTTGACTTTTGAGCAGTTTATTAATTATTCCACAAAAGTACGTTTAACTAGCAGTGTACGTGTGCTCACAAAAACTGATCAAATGAAATTGAAAAATATTGCTCTACATTTACTTTTATACATTTCAAACTAAATAAAGATACTTATAGTATCTGACTTTATTGCCCTATCTCATAGATACAGTATTAAATACACGTAGCGTAATTTAAACGTAGTAATCAAGCAAACACACTTGAAAAACAGGAAATAAACTATAACTTACACCGAAGTTTGCCTTTCCGTGATCGTGTGACAATAATAGGTCCGTCCTGATAAACTTTTAGGTAGATAAAGCTAGTAAAAGCACTTTTAGAACAGGTCTCTTTACAAATTGATGTTAATGTTTACGATTGTTAACTCATGTGACATGTGGCACTTCCTTCTCGTGTCAACACAAAGGACTGTTACTGGCGCATGCTGGTGACCACGCTTTAGATAACATCGCTTGAAACCTAACCCAGAAACTCCATTCGAAAATCTTTCTCAATCTCCATTTCCCGATCTTTGAGATTGCGCACGTCTCCTTATTACACGATTGCACTGACGATCAAGTTATTACATTTACTAATAAAATTGTAGTTAGCAACTTTAATCAGATGAGACATTTTCGGGGAAATGTTATATGATCATGAATTATCTATCACAGGTACATAAAAATATTACAATAGACACCCCGGTACACTGGTGGTGTAGCTCAACCCGTACCCAGAACCATAAATCAAATGAATCAATCGCATCTGTTTGGCCTATGGTGTGTAGCTTAGCAAGTTTCCCATCTAAAACTCAGCAGGTATAAGGGTCCGCCATACCTCAGTTTCGAAAGAACACGAGTCATATAATCGAATCACAGGGTACGGGGTTGGTTGAGCGTAGATCTGAGTTGCGTTTTCCAAATAACTAACAGGGATCCAGAATGTAGGGTTTTAAGTACTCTTGTCACTGATTCTTGGATACATGCCAAGCCTGGGATATGCAAACATCTAAATACTAAACACCCAAAACCAGGCCATGTAAAAGAAGCAACTAGACCAATCTCTTACCCAGACAGGATAAAGCATTTATTTTATTTTATCTGATCCAAGTCAGATAAAATGGCTCTAATACCAATAATTAAAAATGTAACTGTCCAAATATGTAAGTAAACATATTATTGAGAAAATATAGAGCATTCAATTCATACACAACTCACGAACTATTAAAAACAACCTTAAATGATATCTCAGCATCATTTAAACAAGAACATTTGGTAAGGCAATAAGGCATATATGATAATATATATGTGATTATAAGGCTTAAGTCTAACTATATATATAGACCTAAGCCTTATAATATAAGTTCATTGAGCAGTCATCACATTAATATTAAAGAAATCCAAGAGTATATTAAAATAAACTTAATTATTATTTTCAACACTTCGACAGTCTCTAGCAATGTGTCCTGGTTTTTTGCAGGTGTAACACTTAGGACCCTCAGATGGATCACTAGGGCAATCACGTGCCATATGACCTTCCTGCTGGCAGTTGTAGCATTTTAGTCCTATAAATGAAAAAAAAATTATATCATTATTCTTATTTAAATTTCAATATATCTTCAATATTATCAAACTTTGAGGCACATTGAAATTTTCAGCTGAAAAGAAATGTAAATCCTAAAAGGAATTGCCTTTTTACATTCGTGGTGAATTATACTCTTTTTTACAAATTTCTGTATCAAATAAGTCTATTAAAAAAATCTCATCTTTACTTTTCTCTTGGGAGCAATTTCTTGCAATATGGCCTCGCTCATCACAGTTATAACAGGTACTCTCAGAACCACCTTAAAAGAAAGGCAATACTGGAACTTACTAAGGTCACTTCATTTTAGTCTGATGCCCCCCTTCCCCCTAGTCCTGTGTTTTGAAAGATCACCCAATCATGGTGTATGACAAAAACACAGTTCCTGCTGAAAAAAGAGAGTCCTTTCTTAATCAGTGACAAGACATATGGTAAAACATTTAAAGTCAAGCTCCTAGTCAAGTGAAAATGCTTCTTTAAAGCTGCTATGCAGCAAGTGAGGTCACCCAATCAATTGATAGATGGATTAATGAATTTACTGCAAGGTTCAAGGGGTTTAATTAAAAAGCCAGTAACTAGCCATTTTATTTTCAATTACCATTATATACTCTCTGGCATTAAAATACTCATTTACCATATCAAAAAAAAATTGTATATTTCGATAGAAACTACAATAGTGGGTCAATTCAAATCTGTTCAAATACAAAGCATTGTGTTTTTAAAAAATATTATTTTTCAGTAATTTGAAATTGCTATGTTATTCACATGCAAAGATATTAGAGTTTAATGCTCAAGCACAAGCACTGGCATTGTAATTCACCTGCTACTCTCAAAAATAACAAAACCCTCTGAATATGGCTAGAAAAAGTTGTGTAAGACTAGAAAAAGGCCATTTCGAAGTCATTTTAGTTAAAAAGTTCTAATCTTTACCTGTTTCCCTTTTATCTTTATCTGAGCAGTCTCTTGCAAAATGACCAGGCTCTCCACAGTTATAACAGGAACCTTGAAAGGAAAGAAGAATGCTAGGACTTACTAAGATAATTTTATTTTGGTTTCAATCACATGGATCAGGATCCCCTCAATTGCCTTCTGATACTCAACCCCCTTCTCCCACAGGCCTGTATTTGAAAAGTTCACCCACACTCATTTGGAAAAAAAAGAGCGTTCTTGCTCAACAAAAAGAGTCCTTTCCCATTGAATAGCAAGCATTATAGAAAAACATTTAAAATCAATTTTCAATTAAGAAATTACTTTTACAAAATGGTTAAATGTAGCAGATTGAGTCTCCTAATCACCAAGTTTATATAGATGGATTGAATTCACTGCAAGGTGCAGAGATTCATTAGAGAATAGCAACTGGCCATTTTGACTGCACACTATATATTTCAAAACCAGATAAGTTCAAAGCAAAACAATTAACAACAGAATTTGTATATAAGACTATGAAAAACAATTTCCAATGATCCACAACAAATTTTCTCACTAAGTACCATTTATGGGCCTTATAGCTCTCGTCCACATTTTCTTTACTAAATAATTGGTTTAATATTTTCAAGACTGCAAATCTAGCTGCTAATAAATAAAAAGTAGGCTCCCAGGCTATCGGTATATAGTGCCAGAAATCGAGAATTCTACTGGTACCGATTACAAATACTTTGAGCGCAGGCCAGAACACGTTTTCACATGCATGTGTGATGAAATACAATTTAAGAACAGCTAAACAAATAAATTGCCGCTTAGACGGGGATGAACCTTAAATACGATCGTTCTAAAATCTGAAACACAGAATATACCTCCTCCTCCTCTTCTCTCTCGACCGCCACTGCGATTGCCACCTTCAGGACAATTACGCTTGATATGACCTGTTTTGTTGCATGCGTAACAAGTCATCGAGTTTATAGTCGACATCCTCAGATTCCTTCGCCTATAAAACAAGTAAAATATCTAAAAATTATTAATACACTTTGGACCATTTTCAAAACTACTGTGGTAGAAATCATGGTAAAAATAAGAACTCGCTGAGGTTTTAAACAAGTATTTGACATGGTAAAGACAGTTTTCGCTTACTTTCAGTATAGTAAATAGTTCCTCTCGTCCGCTTTGATAATTGCGTGTTAAAAAAACTCGTAGTCTAAAAGTGTTCAAAAACTGCACGGATTTCCAAACCACAACGTCAAATAAAAAACAAAGTCTCCGTTAAGTTTTCGACTGGTTTTAAACACAATCTGAAGTATATTTCAAGCTGTTTTTCTCGGTTACCACTGAGACTGGTAGACCATGTGCTCGACGCAAAATGTTCTTTTGAAGAGGTCTTCCTTGTCCAGCGTGCTACCCAAAGTGCATCGCGACGCACCAAATTTGCGTCTCGTGCCTTGGCCGACTGCCACATTTTATAAAATACAAAAATTTGCAAAATTCCGCAATCGCACTAATTTACCAATTTAGTATTTGGATGAAAATTTTCATTACCCAGATGTGATTGACAAAAAGGTTATTGACAAAATGCCAGGTTTGCATTTTTAGTATAATTTTATTACTAATTATTATGTAAATTGACTGATAACTCCAGCCTAATAACTTCTATAAGACCTTATTTAATAAGCAACTTTGAGTTGCGATATCGCTCTGCTTAGAAGCGATTTTGTTATTAAGAAAACCTTGCCGATTCTTTCTGCTTCTTACTGAACATTGTGAAACCACGGCACAAGTCCAAAACTCAAATTGACCTTGAAAATCAACTACCGTCGCGCATTGCGCGCTTGAAAGCTAAAAGGGGAAAGGTCCATTGGCCAACAACTCTTTTACTGCCAGAACGTTGCCAGCACAAAGGGTGCAGATTTTCGTGAAAGGGCACTTCTGTAGCAGCGCATACAAGAGAATGATTGTAAAACGTCGTTTGTTAAACTTCGTTTCATTGTCTTTTTTGCTCTAAATTAGCGCTAATCATTAGCGCTATAGTGAAAATCGTCTATAATATACAGTACCCTGGCGACTGGTGAAAATCGTCTCGTTCGTTGCTTGGTTTTCTTACTACTTTTTACCGTAGAATAACTAGCTAGATTACTCGCTCTCAACTTCTTCGGACAAACTGTTCAGGTTTAGCTGAAGCAACGGAAAAGTTTACCTTCTAAAACTAGAGGTTTTCACCACTACCAGAGTTGAAACAGGAAAAAATGAGACAGGGATACCTCAAAAGTAGTTTTGGAGGATATATAGGACCATATCCAGTTGTATCACGGTCACGCAATCGTTGATTTTTGGGAATTGATTAAGATGGAGGAAATGAAGTTTTCACTCTCAGTTACGAAAATGTGAAGCTTAAACTCCGTAATCACTCAAAACACGTGGGAGAACTATGCTTTTCTTATCCCTATGTATGTTTAGAAGGTCGTCATAATCCCGTATTATGATAAATTTGTCCTTCAGATACTTTGTTAACTACAAATGTCTATAATATGTTTGCAATGCTTGATGACTGAATTGCTCAAATGAATTCGTCTCAGTAGTAGTAGAGGCAGAAAATCAAAATTGTTGATTACATAAGAGTTAAATTCAAACAAGAGCTAGTGAATTCGTTGGGCGTAATCTGAGTAATTACACAAAATTCTACTTAAGGAGCCTGTACTATCCTGCTGGAAAACAAGATTTAAAAGTGAGTTGCCGCTTTTTTAAAACTTGTGTGGGCAACTGGTCAACAGGATGCCAGCAATTAATCTAAAAGTTATGTATTTGTCACATGTGCTGAACCGTTTGGAATTCAGTCAAGGTTACGTGATAAAAGTCTCAGCACTGCACTGCCTCGGCCTGGCTGAATTTGATCTGTACTTGTACTGTACAGCTCAGTGAATTCGTACAAATATATCGGTCAACGTTCGCCAATTATTGATGTATCATGTATATACTACATAAATAGAACTTATATGCTGTCAACCACTTTAGTGGTTCGTCCAGTTGTTAAATGGTAAATTATTGAAAATATATAAGATCAAGTTTATCTCTTTCATGTTTTGTTAAAAAATCAGCATCGTTTGTTTGATTGAACTAAACAACTGACGCATTTCTCTATTTGGCACGCACCGCCTGATAAGAGATCAGCTGCTGAGCCTGCTGTTTGATAAGGTAAAGCAAAAAACCGCAATTTTCAAAGATTGCCCGGCGACTCAAGAATCAGTTACCAGTAATCATCTGATGTAGTTTATATTGCTCACATATATTGATGCTTCAAACATAAAAGCGAAAGCTTAGTACTTTTATCGTTTATTTTGTTGTAAGTTGACAAACTCTATAATTATATGACAATTGTATACTTATCATCTCATATTGATTGGTTGGTTTTGACTAGCACTATCGTCTTTTTGCGTAGAAGATTTCTTTTACGATATTCATCCACCATTTCACCTCATTTTCAAAACTCGTTCAAAACCACAAAACATTAATGAGATCAGTGGAAAGAAAGTTCTAATCTTCTTCTGCTAGATTAAGTCGTGTATTAAATCTCATGCACCTACACAGGAATACCCCCTGTTGTTTTTATTGATGAATTCATGACCCCCGATGACATTTATGGCCAAATTAACCTAATTTTATCGCTTCGTTTCACACAAAGTATTCCTAAAATCCTGACGTAATGATATTGGAAGGACGCATCATTGCCATCATATATACAAGTACCAAGCCACTTTAGTGATTCAGTGTCATTAAATTCGGAATACAGCAAACATCTATAAAGAGTATATAAATTTTATACGCCGCGGACAGTGGGTTCGTAACACAATCTTCATCAAGCCATATTGATACTGTGTTCCACTATAGATTTTCAAATTACGTAATGCCAGCTCACGCTAGCCAAAAATCTCAGCGACATTGGTCGAAAAATGTGAGAGATGTCTCGCTAATTCACGAAGGGTTACAGCTCCGTATAGAGGGAGGTGCTGAGAATGGTGAATTTTTATATGTGGCAGATCTGCCTGCAGAGAAAACTCGATACAGAAAAGGTCGCTTCCGAGTCGGAGACATTTTGATTGAACTCAACGAAGAAGCGGTTGTTGGTCTGACTTTGAAAGATTTGATGAATCTTATTAACAAAGCTGGCAGGAAAGTGAATTTTAAAGTTGTGCAGCCAGGTAAATGCATGGGCTTAGGTGTACCTATTTTAATAAATTATGAACTCTTTAACAATATATAACCAGCGCAGATATAAAGATTTTTTGCATTCCGTTCACTACACAGTATATGGTAGTTTGATATGTGAGATAATCGTCTATATGATTTTATCAATAGCTCTGAAAATATATTACATCGCGTGTATTACGAAGTGTAATTAGATATACTACCTGAAAGATATAAAGAGAACTTCAAATATATATAAAGAAAACCTTCAGATAGTTTTACAAAACACTCTTTTCTATTTCAAAGAAGCTAGCTACAATTTATGATCTCAATTCTCAATGAATCATTGTACAAATTGACGGTACAAATTCAGCGCCGGTAATTCCAGTTTAAAACTGAAACATTTCCATGATTTGAAAGAATTACCTGCGCTTCTGTTAGTTTATTTGTGCATATATTACCATACTTACATACTACAAAGAATGCAGAAGCTAAATTTGCATTGTTACTTAGTGTAAAAAGCCAATATTTGTCATGGCAAAGGAATGTTTCGTCGAAATTTTCCGCGTTGAAAGACTTGGAAATACTCGAACAAATTCCAATGATCGATTGCTTTTTGGACTCTGTAGTTCGTTACCAGCATGCAATAAATAATGAGTCACTTTGAAAGTCATCATTTAGTTAAACTCGGTCTGCGGATCAATATTGGTTACGTCCTCGAATTCTGCATGTGATAATATAAATTTGTGAAGTAATTTGAGACCTTAGACTCAATGAAAGAGTTTCCTGTGAAAGACGATACCGAACGTCATTGCTATAAGTATTGTACAGCAAGAGATTTGCTAGGCGGAAAACGAATTCTTTTAATAAATATGAGAGCCCAACAAAAAAAACATATAACATTTAATAATGCCATCAAAACAATTAAAAAACAATTTATTTGTAACGTTTCATTATATGTTATATGTTGATTGTTAGACTCTCATATTTATTATAAGTATCGTACAGCATTTTGCTCTGCAGTCAAGGGAATGATCCTGTTTAGTCAATATGAGTTCAAGTTCATTAATAGTTGCCCGACACAGCAACCAAAACAGGATAAAACACCATCATGTGATCGTTCTTAATCCTTCCTATTTGCATTCATTTTGCAAACTCACATCTTATATACAAACAAATTCTTTGTTCAACAAGTTTACCGGAAGATATACGTTTGAAAAATGACCAATAATTGCCTGAGAACGTAGGAACATAAACAAGCAAAAAATAAGTCTACTTTGTTCATGAGTCTCATGACCATCTTTATTGTCGGAGAAAATCTGCAATACTACCTATATTGCTTGTATGTGTAGAAGCGAGTATTTCTGCATGTATTTGTAAGTTTACTATCACCGTAAAATCCAAGACAATGCCAATTAATTCAGTTAAAACATAGCTAAACAATCACTGCCACTGGGCTTGGTTACTGTGTGGGTGTTGTTTACAATATACTAGGGATTATTATTGTGTAGTAAAAACTAGAAGACTCGATAAGCGTCTGCACACGATTTCAAACGTGGAACCCGTGTCGAAGTTCAGAAAGGGTCACCCTATGAGACTATCAAAACTTTCCATCACACTCGGTTTGTTTTTTGGTATCCAAGCCAACGACAAAACTGCCCAATATTGATCTATATAAGGATATTACAAACTATTACCAACTATTCTCAGCTGTAATTTGTTGTTAATTGTACAATTTGTATGGATAATTGAAAGACGTGTTTATTAATGCTCGTACCCTCCGAAGACCTACTAAACGTTTCCGATAGTAATAAACGTATAAAGAGTTGTTTCTTTAATTCAAAGTTTTAAATGAGGAAAAAATACATATAAGGCAAAAATAGGAATTGTCTTAGTCATAAGACTTAGCGCGCTAAGAATGAGCCAGAAAAATAAAAAACCTTATTAGGACGTTGGATATCTGAAGCCATGCAATTTGGTTAGCGTGCCTTCGTCAACCATGACGTACGTACACGCACGTAAAAGTTTAAAACCATCTAAGCTGTTGTATGATTAATTTTATGCCAGAAAAAGCACACTCAAGCATCATCAACAGAATCCAACCCTGTGCATGTATTCAATCGTTGATTTTATAAGTATGATTTGAAACTTTTATGTACTGTACGTGTACGTACATGCAAAAAACGTGACATGCAGTGGAAAACAGCCTTATATTATAATACGTTTACACGGGACCGGAGGAATTTAGAAACATGTTGAATTTGTCCGACCGGCTCAGGTGCAGGATAAAAATTTGACGGGTTCTACGTGTTCAGACGCGTACACCAGACGAACTTGAGCACGTGTGAACGTAGCCTGAGGCCTGAATTTTTCAGTGCGGAAACGGATGCAACTTAAGTCGACGTCTGAAACTGGCCTAAGAATAACCCTGACATACAACTGGTACAATGCTTCACAATGGTTGAGAATGATTAGTTAATAATAGTTCTTCTCTCCTTTGATTCGAGGGTTTTTCTTCGCGGGCTCTCCAGTTTTCTCTACTACATCATAAACTAGTCATGAGACTGTTTGCATTCCCATGCAATCAGTAAACTGTTTGCGATTACATCAGTGACAAAAATAGCTTGGGATTATTAACCCGGAGTAAAATTGTTGTCATTTTTATGACAATTACGTCCGTGATCTTACAAACGAAAATCCACTTTAATATTTCAGGTGGTGGAATCAACAAGGACATGCGAGATTTCTTGTGCAAGGATTTCCCAAACACTGATGAAGTTGATATTGATTTACAAGATGCTACCAGAGACAATTTGTATGCAAGGACAGTTCCATGTATGTATTTTTGGGTTATTTCCATTTTAATTTTTATGTTTTGCTGTCTAGAGGTTCATGATTAGAGTAAAACTCTGACAAATGGTTGTTTATAATGGCTATAAACAGCTTCGGTCTAACGTAGGGAAACCACTGAGGGGGACTGGGAAACACGAGACTCCTGTTGTCTCTGGACTACGCCTGACCAAAGCTGTAACGTTTTTACCAATTCCATAAATATCCATTAAAGTTCCCTTTCAAAACGTTATTACAGGCACAACTCGTCAACCTCGTTCTGGCGAGGAGCCAGGAATCGACTACGTATTCATAAGTCGTGAAAAATTCATTGAAATGGAAAGGTGTGGACATTTTCTGGAAACTGGAAGCTACAATGGTCACTATTACGGAACACCTAAACCATTGTTAAGCGATTTGGTTATGGTCGAGAACAACGCAACAAAAAGTAGAACTTTGGAAGACGAAACACAAACCATCGAGAAGAATATTGAACAAGTCACTGTTCACGAAAACTCAGATGAATTGGAGGAAAAAAAAGAGAGTTATTTAAAATTGAACAAAGCAAACAACAGCGAAAAAAATAACTCTAAAACAACCGAAATTTTAGATAAACAACCTATAAATGTTTAGACTCGTTAGTTAAAATGAGAGAAATTCTACAAACGCTGCTCATTTCCTGGGCAAGAAATAGCCGTAATAACACGTTCAGAATTATGAAATGTAATGTTATCATTAATATTAGACATTATTCATCGTCCACGTACTTGTGAAAAATAGAATTAATTAAAACAAACAAATCAGGAGATGTGATAAGAGTTGTTGTAAATATCTAGATTAAGGGCCCAGTTTCCCTCTATTGTCAATTCGCTGATTAGCGTCTTCGCTCCCAATCTCTTGACTAAAAAATAATCAGTTGGGGATCAGTCACACCTATATCCACCCCCAACAGCAGCCTTCAATCTCGTACAGTCACCCAGAGCCACAGGGGTGAAGGTGATCTGTATAAATCAGTATATCAGTTAGGGCCGTAACTAGACCGCTTAACCTAATTGCCATTTGCACTACATTCCCCTTTAATTTTGCCACAGTATATTATAGGCAAATTTCCAACGATACTTTGTTTCATTATAAAATGACGTTCCGTAGTCATGCAATTGCTTTGCATTGCAGGCTCATTGTTTACTTCAGCATCAAAAATGGTAAGTTGAAACAATTTTCTTTAGGGGAAAAAAAACAAAACAAAAATTTTAGTTTTTGTTTTTGTGTAGTTACGGCGACAGGCAAGACAAAGGAGGGAATACATTTACAAGAAGTCAGTAGAAGACCAAGAAAGGACAATCTACGATAGGAAAAAGCGTTTGAAGAATGCCCTTCAAGGCGAGTATTCCACGTGTTGGCCATGTGTTAAATATCTGCAGGCATTTGCTAGATTTAATTTTTTCGTGTTTTATTTGTTTTGCCTCTCCGATAAATAACCAATTTATGGGACAAAATATGTCTGTCAACAGCACCAAAGGACTGAATTTCAAGCAATCACTTGTATTAACAGTAAACACTATTTTTAATGAATATAGAAGGTAAACCAATACCAACTGAGCTGAGACGTGATGAAGGAGAACTGCGGAAAGCAATAGAATTTGACGACGAAGCTCATGAAAGTAAGTTTAGCAAATGTATATCAGTATGTATATGTATATGTATATCAGTATATAATTTTGGCCTTCAGTACTTTTCAAAGACCTATTTTACTACTTTCTAGAAGTGACAACACATGTGGATGATGAGTATGCATGGTCTGGCATTGAAGACCCTAAAATCATGGTTACCACATCACATTCACCAAGTTCAAGACTAAAACAATTTGCCAAAGAACTTCGACTTATATTTCCAAACAGCCAACGCCTAAATCGAGGAAACTATGTTATGAGTCAGCTGGTTCAAGCTTGCAGGGCAAATGATGTCACAGATTTAATAATTGCTCACGAACATAGAGGAGAGCCAGGCATGATAAGAGTTATAAACTAATGTCTGATAAATCATCATTATATTGACTGCTTCCTAATTCAATTCCATATCAGTTTTAATGCTTGCTTTTTTCTTTGTTTCTTTCTTGGTATAAGTAATTAATATTTACGCGTACATAATGCAAGGGGTTATGTGTATTGTTTGTTTGCTATTGTTTGTATATCTTTAGTAAAAAATTGAATTTTGTTAGAAAAGTTAATAAATGAAAATCTTTTATTTTTCAGATGGTCTTGTTGTATGTCATCTTCCTTATGGTCCCACAGCTTACTTCACACTCTCTAATACGGTGATGCGTCATGACATACCAAACATTGGAACAATGTCTGAAGTCTTTCCTCATTTAATCTTTGACAAATTTTCATCCAAGCTTGGCGAAAGGGTAAAACACTTTGTAACTAAAGATATTGTTTTATCTTTCTAGCTCTTTGTGAAATCCCCTCTTAGGTTATTTTCATTACACAATCAAATTTTTACCCTTATTCAAAACATTAAACTAGTTCTTCAGTACATTTTACTATTACAAAATGGTATACTTCTATCATTATGTATAAACTAATAATATGTTTATGTATTAATTAGGTTAAAAACATCCTAAAGTATTTATTCCCAGTGCCTAAAGACGAAAGTAAGCGAGTAATCACCTTTGCAAACCAGGATGACTATATTTCTTTCAGGTATGCTTCAAATATGGTTTAAACCAATACTTTAAGCCTATGAAACAACTAACTGATTTTCCTCATGTCTAGGCATCATAGTTACAAGAAAGTGGAAGGCAAAATAGAACTCTCTGAGATAGGACCAAGATTTGAAATGAAAGGTTAAAAATTTAGGATATTTTTTTATATCAAACAATTATGTAGAAATACAAAACAGACTGCTTCAATCAAGATCTTTCTCATGCACTTTATTACTTTGCGAGGTATAACAAATGACTGGCACTGCATGTACATTGAAACATTTCTTTACTCTTACCTTGGTTAGTTTACGAGATACGGCTTGGTACAGTCGATCAAACAGAGGCTGATGTTGAATGGCGACTAAAACCTTACATGAATACGGCGAAGAAAAGAAAGTTTTTAGATTAGACATTCGAACTTTCTAGGACGTGTTCTTGTCTCGACCCAACGTAACGAATAAAACAAGTTTTAGAGTTTTGATATCCTGTATTTTGACAGAAACATATGACTATGTGTTTTGCATCTGTTAGAAAGAAACATGAACCAAACATTAAAACTATAACGTCATAATTTCTGAATGATTTGCTATACACCATACCTGCATCTGTATGAGAGTATGGTCAAACTATATTTATGAATCTATAATAATCGAAAACACACTGTACTTGTAGTTCAACTTGTTTTGCTCACCTTAATTTTAAATAAAAATAATAAAAGTCAAACAGTAATGTTCAACGTGACAACGTTGAATGAAATTCACACACTAAGACACAAATATTATTTACACTAGTTAAATAGAGTTCAATGTTACTTTAAAATATACAAGTTAATATTGTCGGTAAATTTGACCATACACTGTCACTGATAATGCTCGAAAATGAACAATGAAATCATCTGTTGTCTCGCGCAGTTCCCTACAACTTCATTACACCTGAAGCATTCAAATCCTAACAGTGGATGATTCACAAGGTTTTGGGGGAGTGTTTTATACGTTAAATGTCTTGCAAGAAAGGTAATAATTAAGTTGCTGGATTGCAAAATTAATTTACAAGTTTTCGACTTTTGAACATATGTAAATAATTGATAATTGTAGCTAAACGTGCATGACAAGTTTCGAAATAGAAAACATTGCTAAATATATTATATAACGGAGTTCGATAATTTTCGATAAGCCCCTTTTACACACCTGCAATTTTTCCGCGATTAATGATTTTGATACATGCCAACGAACGATTAGTTTTTAGATGAATAGGGCCCCTATCTAAACGTTCATAACTTATCCACACGTTTTTATCCACAAAGATTTGAATTTCTCAAAGCTTAAAGCTCGACGAACAACTTGAGAAAGACTGTCAATACAATTTATCATGAAGATGTCCTGCATGTGATAACTGACTAGCGAATTATTAAAAATTCTGGCGTGAATCATGCTGAACTTGTTCGTGTTGCTTCGTGATAAAAGTAGCGGAAATCTTGACTGTCATTTAAATGAATAAAGTTTTGAAATTTATAATATAACACACACTCTCGAACTGCTCTTCTTACGTTGTTTTTCTTCCGTCTTAACTTCAGCTATGTTGTTATTTGTATTCTTTGAGTGAAGCGAATCTTCAATTCGTTGCATTTGATCCGTCAGCTCTTTGTATTCTCTTTCCATTTGTCTCATCTTTTGATCCTTTGCTTCGTCATCTTTTACAAATCTTTTTAAACGTAGTTGAAGGTCTTTCACTTTCCGTTCAGCCACCTCAAGATCTCTGGTCGTCTCATTTAACTTTTCTTCCAAGTACATTTCTTTCTCTTGTTTTGCTATAACTTGACGTGTAAGGTAATCTATAAAAACAATAACATGAGCTCTATAGAAGTCGCTAAATTCAGGTGTACTCGATAAAAATTACGGAATATTTCAGTCAAAATATAAGAAGATGAGTTTTTTCTGACCTGTTTGTACTCGATATGCAGTGTTGCCACTTGCGGCTCTTTGTTCGGTTTGTTCAGCCTGATTAATATCTTTAGCATCATTTACATCGACGTCAATACTCGATGTTCCTTCTACCTGTTTACCGGTTTCACCATCTTCATCTAATTTCTCTGAACATTCGCTGGTAATAACTGGCTTATCATCACCATCAGCTTTCTTTAAACCATCATCGGTTACTTCTGGTTTATCTGTGTTAGCATTTGTCTCACTACCGTCAGATTTCTTCCCAACATCAACATCATCAGTGTCTGCTAGTATCTCGTCAACAAGATCATCGATATTTTCACTTGGTACTTCGCTTTTGTTATCCTCCTGTCTGGAAACCTGAGAGGGACTATCTTCGAGATTTGCTTCTGGTCCTGATGCGATTTCACCTTCGTTTTCTTGGGGTACAGTTTCGTCCTTTTGAGATGCTTTTTCTTGTGCCTCTTCATCTGCAGCTGCAACAGTATTTTCCAAAGAATCTCTCGCATCCTTTTCATCAGTGTCTGTAGTAATCAAATCAGCACTGCTATTTTCAGTTTGTTTTTCAACCAATCCTTCATCATTGCCACTATTCTCTTTTTCACCCCTTTCCTCAATAGATGTTTCAACCAATGTCTCTGTATGTCCTTCATCGCCTCCGTTGTCAATATCACCCGCTCCTATTTCATCTTCTTTGCTATCTTGTTCGGTATTCTTATTTTCTTCCACAGCATCATTATCATCATTCTTTCCTTCATCGACTGCCTCGCGATGACACTCATCTTTCTTTTCATTTTCTTCGCTTGGCGCATCTTCGTCATTCGGTGTTGTCGCCGCCAGTTTTATATCGTTCTGATTGTCAATATCTTCGTGATCTTTTTCCACCGTATGCTTCTCTTCATCATTGTTTTTTGTTTCATCATCAACTTTAGGATCCTCAACATCACCAATGTCATTTGCTACTTGCTCCTCGCCATTTTTATCATCGGCGTCCTCCTTAGTCTCGTTGACTGCGTTATTTTCATTGCTCTTAGAAGATTCTAAATTGTTTTTATCATCAGGTGAAACTTCTTTAACCTCTTCAGTGGTTTCCACTTTCTGAGCAATATCTCCTGAAGCATCTTCATTTGAAAGCTCCTTTGGTTGTTCCGAGGCATTTCCATCAACTACAGCCACTTCAGCAGCGTCATTCGTTGCCCCGTCTGTATCAGAATTATTCACAACTTCGGGTTTAGGCACATCTGTAATCGTCGAATTTTCATTGTTTTCTTCCGTATCTTTGCCGTCCAGATCGGAATTTTCGCTCTTTATATCGGCTGAAACATCATTCTGATTTCCACTTTCGCTTCCACCGGTTGACGCCTCATTGTTTTCATCTGTCGTATTATCACTTCCCTTTTCTTTACTTTCCTCCGTTACCTCCATGGCGTCTTCCGTATTTTTCTGTTCAGCGATTGGCACTTGACCTGCCATTACATCATCGGCAGTTTGACCACCACCTTCTTTCAATTCATTGCCTGCGGACTCTGAGCTCATATTTTCCCCCGAATTTTCGTCCTCTGCAAGAAAAAAAAAATTTTATGGACGGATCAAGATGACTTGATGCATTGAGATCACTGTCACTGGATGAAGTTCTCCTTTAAACTGCCGACCGAAGGTCATATTTTGATAACTTGCAATCAAACGGGGGCTGGGCAACGTTCTGGAAAAGGTTTGGAATTAAGAGGGGTGTTAATTTTAAGGATAATCTTATGTCGCCACGCGACAATGTTTGACAATCACTCGCAATGTAAATAGCGTTTTAGAATCACTAAAATTTCGCATAACTTATCGAAAGCCGAAATTCTCCCACGAGTGGTGTAACATGACCTTTAGGCTTTTATCACGATTCCACTATTATAACCAGTCCTACCTTGGCCAACCTAGAGTTTGTGAGATCCTCAGAGTAAAACATACATTCACTGGAGAGTCAAGCCATTTGAACTGGGACAAACTGCGACATTTCAACGAAATAATCCTTCGTCTGGAAGTTAATTGAGAAAACAGGCAGAGCCTTCGTTCGAAAATCTGATTGTTATCTTTCTGACGAATTGTAGATGATTCAGTTGTTGTTGCTTTAACATGTAGACGGCCTTATATCGTCGACACATATTTCATGGTTTCAAGACATCTGTTAAAACACTATATTCATTTTTAAGTATAACTGCTTACCTGATTGACTTGGGATTTTTTCTTTCAAACTTGCGTGACTGCTTGACTTTGTATCCGACTCTGTCATATCGAAACGTGTGTAGCTACTGACTGTGCTATTTTTGACTGACCGTAGAAAGTTCTGGGTGCTCAAACACTTGAACTGGATCGATAACCACAGCTGCATGAGCAACAAGAATTGTATATTAAGAAAAGCATATTGCAATCATACGGCATAATTCTAATTTTCTAAGGGACAATATATCTGAAATACCTTTAAATCATGAATACGAAGTGCCTGACATTCAATTCATCCATGCAGCGAGCAGTTATATATACTAATATAGCCATAAAAATTGTATGATTACGACTGAATGAATTATGTTTTTCCTTGGCGCCAGGCAGTGTATTTTGTTACTATATATTGTCTATCTTCAACGAACACCTGTTTTTTCAGGTGTATATTTATTTCTAGTGTCAAGATGTTATAGGATAATTGATTTATCAAAAAAATAAAGGCCGGGAAATGGGAAGTGCAGTATTTTATTTTCGGTACTTTTCGATTATAGGAATAGAATCATCAGAATTGTAATGATGAATGTGAATTGAGGTTTAGGTGGAATCAGGCAAATGGCCCCATAATCGTATCGACTAAGGATTAGAAATCATTACCGACAAATTAATTTAATATCGGCCATTGCATTCTGTATGTTTCAAGGCCAAAGACTAATGTCGCCCTGATCGATAGTATCTTTATAGAGTAGCTGTGTTTATCAATATATCCAGATATATCTTAAACTTAAAGCCAACAACACGGCCATGATGTTTTAAACTTGAATTTTAGTTTTTCATATCCTCGCCGTATCGCAATTGTTTATCGTTCGTAACAGCATGTTCTTAAACTTGTATACTGATTGCAATTAAATTTGCATACGTTCGCCTTCCACATGACAAGATGAGACTGATTGGAATTACATGCGAAGACTGCTTAAATATTGTTAATAAACCAAAGTATAGATGTAACGAGCACTGCCTAATATTGGGGAAACATATTTGTGGTAAATAAATCACAATAAATTAGTAGCTGAGGTTTATCTTGTCTTGCTAACATGCTTGTATACATATGATCATTTTTTTGCAATAATATTTATGTATATACGTATATCATAGTACATAGAAAACCTCGCTGAATTGCTGGTTATATTAAAGTCATTCAATGTACTCACAACGTTTTTGAAGGTTCTGCAACTTTTGATAACACATGAATTCAGTTGTCGCCTGGTAAAATGAAGACACTGTTACTGTTAGACATAAATTTTCGGCTAAGTTGGTATGGAAACGTGATACAAAGAACTTTTAACGAGCCTTCCATGGTAACAACGTAGTGGAAAGAATGTAAAAGGATTAGGCAAGTGGGTCGTAAAGAATAGAAAGCTGCCGAAATGTCAATAAGTAATCAATTGCCAACGAGATTTGTTTGAGTTCAGCTTAAACCTTCGCAAACAAACTTTGTACGACTAATGACCATGTCAAATGTTTGATGTAGATGACTACAGATTTTTGGCCCTTTTTTACAAAATTGCCATGGTCTTTTACAGTAATTTTGCTAACATGTTTTTAAAGTTGATAAGGAAGTGGATAAGATGCGTATATAGGGATAAATATACACTACACCAAGAAACACACTACACCAAATATCATGTCAATTCTTTATCTCATCTTTTAATTTACCCGACTTCTCTTCATTCCGGCTAAGCTTATCAGCGGCAAACAATTTGCTTTGAGTCGGACTATTATGGTAAAGGCGATGGACAACAGGACATGCAAATTCTGTACATAACACATGCATAATTCTCAAAACAAAATGTTACAAGAGAAGCATTCTGTGTCTAAATGGCTAGTCACTAAGAGATATGTTGAGTATAAAATGTTTCTTTACGTGAGAAAAACGAGTAGGTTCTGTATCAAAACATTTAATAGACCTTTTCCATAATGACGTCAAACGAGGAAAATCTGATGTTATACGATGAAGTTTATTGGCTCGATAGTTTTGTTCAGACTTTCCGCGTTTGACCTCATTATAGGAAAGGTCTATTGCATGTTTTTATCCCTATAATCAATTAACGAGTCTAGCGCTCGTCGTAGTTTTAAGTGGCTATATCCTCATGCTAAGTGGGACAAATATCGACAGCTGGCCTTTTCTTTTTCTGTGTTCGCATATTCTCGTACCCAGAGCCCTTCTCAAGACCGCGCGTAAGAAGGGCTCTGGTTACGAGAATGGTGCTCGCATCATAGATTCGAAGTGGTTGGCGAGGCAACTAAGGCAACTTCGTTCACAGGCTTATTTTTGCGAAAGAGACAAGGTTAAAATTCTCCAGCGATATCGCCAAGTTACGAGACATCATTTGTAGGGTTTACACTACTTAAAAAGCACGTCACAATTCGTGTCATTTTAGTTTATTTTGATGAACATATAGATATAAAATGAAACAAAAGTATAAAGCCAGATTTTACACTCCGGCCAAAATGGTCAGCTTTCTATCTTATAGCGACAAGTCTACCTAGTCAAAGTGGTTGGACCTTTAATACTAAATAACTCACGACTAAATAACACAAAAAATTAACAGAATTATTTAGGGTCGATTATGAAGGTAATAATAACGAACATTCATGTCTTTACATAGCATTAGCACGTTCCTCAAGCTGTTTGAGCTGATCCCACATTTCCTGCGGCAAATCTTTGTTTATTTGAACATCAAAGAAATTCTTCAGCTCTTTCACTTCGTTGAGCAAGAACTCCTTGTCAGTGGTCAGCAATTTATCCATGGTTTCCTTGGAAACGCCGATTCCTTGCGTGTTAATGGTTCCAGGCTTTGGAATGTAACCAATGGATTTCTTCTCCGCGATGTCTTCGCCGTCACATCGTTTGAAAATCCACTCCAGCACACGGGAGTTCTCACCAAAACCTGGCAAATTTCAAGCATATTAAAACGATTTTTCCTTCCAGGAAAATCACTTTAAGTCTATTAAACGCACCAACGTATACTAGCGATTAACGTACCTGGCCAAAGGAATTGATCATTTTCCTGACGGAACCAGTTGACATGGAAGATTTTGGGTAGTTTAGCATTTGGTCTTTTCTTCATATCCAACCAATGTTGAATATAGTGACCAATATTGTACCCAAAGAATGGCCGCATTGCAAATGGATCATGCATGACAGCACGGCCCTTGTGCTCAGCGGCAGCAGTTGCTTCTGACTTGACGCATGCGCCAAGGAAAACACCATGTTCCCAATCAAAGGATTCATAGATCAACGGTACACCGTCTGGACGACGACCTCCAAAGAGAATGGCTTCAATTGGGACACCAGCAGGCTTCTCCCAGTCCGGGTCAATGATGGGACATTGGGAGACTGGAGCACAGAAACGAGAATTAGGATGAGCTGCTTTCTTTCCAGAACCTTTCTCCCATTTCTCGCCAAGCCAATCCGTGATTGTTAGTTTGTCAATATCAGGGAACTCTTCTTCAAGACCTATTATTTGAGATCACAATATCATCAAACATAAGCTCATCTCCACCATCAGTCCTCGGCTATTTCTAACCGCTCCTTATCCGGTCTTCCAAGTATGTAAAAAGATCTTCATAAGAATGTGAAGCGCGGAAAGTTTGATGTTACACGAAGTTTGATTGGTTCCTTAGTTTTACGGAGCCAATTATCAATCCTTGTGTAACAACAGGTTTCCCGCGTAAATGAAAAAGGGAATTAATGACATCAACAACATTAATATTTTCTTGTCTTCTGAATATTTAATGAAAACTAGCATCATGCATACCTTCCCAATAATAGCGGCCATCGTCAGTCTCAGCAATGTTTGTGAAAATTGTATTTGACTGAATAGCTTTCAAAGCATTTGGATTGGTCTTATGTGAAGTACCAGGGGCCACTCCAAAGAAACCTGCCTCAGGGTTGATACCCCTTAGATGACCCTTGTCATCATATCTCATCCATGCAATATCATCTCCAACACACTCGTATTTCCAGCCAGGGAGGGAAGGAGTCATCATGGCCAGGTTTGTCTTGCCACAGCAACTTGGAAATGCAGCTGCAATGTATTTCTTCTTGCCTTCAGGGTTGGTTATACCAAGAATCTATATGACAGATTTCAATTGGTTTAACTTTAATATATACTTTTACAAATCTGACCACAACTGGAACCTATGATGCCACACAAAACCTGAACATTTAACATCTATTTTGGGGCATCAGGCTACATTTGCAAGCTGTAAGCAAGTTGCACACCCAAATTCTAGTTAAAATGCCTACCAACATATGCTCAGCCAACCATCCTTCATCTCTTGCAATCACTGAAGCAATTCTCAAAGCAAAACATTTCTTTCCAAGAAGGGAGTTTCCACCATAACCACTTCCAAATGAGATGATTTTACGATCAACCGGAATATGGGTGATCATAGTTTGGTCAGGATTACATGGCCAATGATACTCACTTGGAGGGGCAGGGAGGGGGACACCTTCAGAATGGAGGCACCGCACAAAGGTATCATTTCCAAGCCGTTTGAGGACAGCTGCCCCCATGCGGGTCATGATCCTCATGCATACAGCAACATATGCAGAGTCAGTCAACTCAATGCCAACCTTGGAAAGAGGGGAGGAAAGTGGACCCATGCAGAAAGGAACAACATACATTGTTCGACCTAAAAAATTGTGGCAATGTTTGTAAAAACTACACACTGAGTCTTCTACACAAATATAATAATGTAGATTATTGTAAAAATCGACATACATGAAAGTTACTTTGTGAAAATATAAATCTACAAAACTATAAACAAAATTATAATTTGCATCTAATACTATTTTCGAAATACATATAGCAAAAACATTTATCACTTTTTCCAGAAATTGTCTTACCTGACATGCATTTAGGTAGCCGTTTGCTCATTTCTTCTTTCAATTTCTCAGGAGAGATCCACTGACCAACCCTTCCTTTAGCATCACCTTTTGGTGTTGGGATGGTGTCTCCTTTATTCTCAGTACAGATAAAAGTCTTGGATTCTACCCGAGCAACATCATGTGGGTCAGTCCGTGCTAACCAACTAAATAAACAAAATATTTCATCATTGGGAATTTTCATACGATATGCTGTAATAGGCTAATAGCTATAGCATTAACACATAAATGGCCAATCCAGGATAGAAATAATAAAATATTAAAAGTAATCTAATTAATTCGGTAAAAAATAGACTATCTATGGATAAAAAATCTTAAGAATCACAACAAAAATTTTTTCACTAGATAAAGAAGTAGTCGTGGTAGTCAGAATGCAGCATTTAAAATGTAATATGTAAAGCGCGGTAATATTGGTTACAAATTCTGAAATTCAAAGATATTTTGAAATATTTATTACTTGCCTATTTCTATAAGCTGTTAAAGGCTTTATCACATCTTCTTCGTGCAGCATTTTGAGCAAACTTTCGTTTTCTTCGTCGCTTCCATCGCAAACATAAAGTTTTGCTGGAGTGCATAAATCTGCACATTCTATTACAAATTGCCTGACCTTCGGAGCGAGAGCATCCAAACTTCCTTTGGTAATCTCGATATTTTCATTCAATTTTATATTGCTGAGGTCCCGAGGAGGCCTACCTGCTTCGATTTCAAGAAAAGCTAATTCTGGTTGTGCCATCGTTGGGAAGTCTTCTTGCAATGAACTGTTGATAATTTACCGGTGCTTTTATATGCAGTCCAAGCTCGTGAGATGTTGCACGACTTCGATCCTTTCAATGTTGAGAGGGAAATTGACTAATTGAGGAAAGATGTCGTGTTGAAATGGAAGTAAAAGTAATAACAATTGATATTTTTACGCATTTTTACGACAGAAATGAATAGAAATGTCAAGTTTATATGTTTGAATGTTGATTTTAGGTCTGTGTTGCATATACATATTTAATTTACTACTTCTCTAGTTTAGTACATGTTGATGATCAGATGATGCATTGCCGCATGCTATTAGGCATGCATTTAATAAAGTGTGGTTATTAATTAAGAACGATAACAAATTACTTGCACCAGCACTTAAGAAAAGGTTACTTTTTGTTATTTTGCGAATAAAAATATATTTAACGCTTATCAAGGTAACGAAACTTTCTCAATTTTACAAAAAAAGTTTGAGAAAATTTTGGAAAATAGTATTGATATTTTCTGTATCAAAGCGGAAACATCCTGCGGTAATTTTGAGACCTGATAATTTTGAGAATTTTGTAATCGATTTAATCGAAACCTGATAATTTTATGCAAGATAGTATCTTTTTACCGTATTATGTCAAAAATAATGTACATTTTACTCTGACAACATTTTTATATTCAACCAAAAGACATCTATTTATCTCCGTCAACTTCCGACTTCAAAGGGTGCATGACAAACGCCACGTCCTTTTTTTTTCAAGCAGGTGGGAGTCGATGGGAGTATCCCTATTTGCTGAGGTCTGCTTAAAATGCCGTGCTTCTCAAGTGCCGAAAGTATTAAAAACAATAGATAATCCGATGTCTTATTTCCTCTTAGTGGTAATACTACCAGACGTAAATTCGTCTGCGCGCTGTCTAGATTTTGCTCGCTTTGAAACGACGAAACGGAAGTCTGTCCGTGACTTGAATAGAGATTAAAATCTACGTGAAACTCTATTGTTTCTATTTTGGTTTCGCTTAAAGGAAACTTCCAACCACACGCAAGAGAAAAAATATTCTCACAAACGGTTGGCGGACTTGACGCGATTTGTCAATGTGTGCGTTAAGTGATATAGTGATACTGATCACGTCTGAATAACAAAGCCCCTGATCGAAGCCGGAACACGAATATTACAAAGGAATTGGCGTCTTCAGATTTCAATAACTTTCATTAAAATGATCATACTTATATCAACTAAAAAAGAGACTTGAAACGAGAAAACTTGCAATCTCGAAACCAGAGCCCGCAAAACTTGCTCTTAGGGGACTTGCTCTTCTGGCAAAGATTTTTTTATGGGAAACGTTAAATTGTAGAAACACTCAGATACATAATTAAGACATTCAATCAATCAAGTCTGTTTAGATTCCAAAAATAACGAGGCCAATGACAAGTTGCATCGGTTGGCTTCTCCAAAACCAAGTGAATAATCGCGCATTTCTTTTGGATAAGAAATGACAAGTGACAACACGTTGCAAAGTGTCGAGGCAAGTGTCTTTTCTAATCCGCGGTACTAAATAGTATTAATGTTAATATCTTATATCAAGTATTGCGCGATACGTGAATGGGTGCATGCGACGGTGCATGCCGCAATGAATTGACAATGAAATATTGTTAAACCAAAAAGTAGGGATATATCCTTACTGTTACTGATTGTCAGAAACTTAACTATTTTGTATAAATGTTCATAGCACAAAGGAACATATCAAATCATCAATCATGTCCCCGTAATAAATTTAAGTTTAAAGCTATCAAAATGAATCAAAATGTACAAAGAAAAAATATCGCGGGCGCGAATGCTTACTTCCTGTTCAATGTTCGTATTTTGTATTTTTGTACATAATTTGCAATTTTACTATTTTGCAAAATGACAAAGTTGCTGCAATGGGTTTGTGTTTTGGGGCTGATATTTACGATATGGATTACTTTATTGATGGATATACTCCCTTTTCCAATAAGCAAAGAAATTAAAGACGTACTATTACCGGTATGGCTATTAAAACGAGCATTTCATATGAAAGTAATCAATTACGTACAAACTATAATATGTAATTATCAACGTGGCATGCACACAAATTTAGTAGTTTTGTTAGATATTGTCCATTATTTAAAGTTTTTCTTTTCCTTCTAGTTTCCCCTCTACATGGTCATAGTTTTTGGGGTAAGTTTTGATCTTTAGATGTGGTTGAGACTTGATCTTTATAGTTGTGTTCCATGTGGAAGAGGATATATACAGTGATGCAAAGACCACAGTAACCGTGCATATACCTATTCCTTAGTGTAGAAGTTTGGTTAACATCTAATTTCATTTATGAGCTTTGATAAAAGAAGCATTTTTGCACCAAGTGTATTTCTTCTTCCCTTTGCAAATTAAGGTACCCTATTTGGTTCAGGCTATGTTTATTAATGGTGGCTTTTCATCTTATTCAGTGCTACTCTTTGGTAGTAATTGGCTATAGGGTAATAACTTTCAATGACTGTGAAGATGCTGCTGACTCACTAAGAAAGGTACAAATCCATGAAATACCATTACTTCAAGACTCTTGTTTAATTTTTTTGCATTTCCAATGGATGGCTTGATTGAAAGCTAAAAGTAATATGTGTCTAAAAAAGTTATGTCTTCATTGCAAACTTGTATAAATACTGCACAATGTTATAGGAAATCCAAGAAGCAAGAAAAGACTTATCAAGAAGAGGCTTTAAGTTTGATTAGATCTTTTAAACTTCATCAAATGCATAGTGAATATTTAAAACTGTCAGCATGATGATGTATCATCAACTACAAAAATTCATCAACATTTAAACCAAACCAGGCCAACAGATTATACACGTGTAAATATAACTTTACACAGATTTTAGAACGACACTCACATGGAAATCTATATGAATAAAGAGTTATTTATCACAAAAAATGAAAACAAAATTAAGCATTCCTAGGTTGTACTTCTTGTTCCATGGCTGTAGCTGGTGAGAAGATGTGACATGTATTTTTGAGCAACATGTGTTATGATTTGTACTTTAGAATATCATTTAGAATATATTAGGCACAGACATAGTAATACCCTATCCCTCAGGCTAGTTTGAACCTGTGGTCTTGTCTAAGCTATGGTCATTTGTGAGAGGATTTATTGTGAAATTTCTTGTTTGGTTTAACCAAAATTATAATGAAAAATCTCTGCTTTTCTGTTCAAATATTTCAATTCTTTATATCATATTTATATATCCTTGGTTTATAGAATTCATCTGAATCTGTGTTTATACTTCATAGAACACCTGAATAATTGGTTCTGACATTAAAAGATTCCTGAGAAGCTTTTAAATATTTCATTTACAATAAGTTGATCTTTTTTTACATCAGGTCCTTCTTCCTCATTTATTCTGTGCAGACAAATACCAAGCTCGTTATGTCGATGTCTGTATTCCGAGTAATTGGTGGTCATTAAAATGCAGTGCAATAAGGATAGATACTCCGTTCTCCACTACAAAAATTTGGAAAAATTTTAATTGCAAACTTGTTTCATGTCTCATGCTCGTGTTTCATGTGTTTCATCGTGTTTCATGCCTTTCAAAAACGAAATATACACACCTCGTCACCTGGAGAAAGGTCCGACACCTGACGTAAAACGATGTCAATTAAAACCATCAAATCATTGGTGAAAAATAATCCAGACGTTTTCTCGCTCGAAAAAATATCTTCGTAGAGTTTTAAGAGCGAATCCGGACAGCGATTGTCGAAGTAACCAAATATGTTTATGGGATCATCTGTGAAATGATTAATGTAGACGAAGGTTAGGAAAGGTACAAAGTGTCTGGTGGTAAAGTGATAAATAAAGCTTGTTACCTCCTCTATTTACAAGTAACATGAGCTTCTCTGTAAATATTTTAGACGTTGTTCTGTGAGATAATACTTCCATCACAATGTTCTTCTCTACATCTGAAGTCAGGGGCATATTTTTAGATTAAAATAAAGAACATTGGGTCGGGTAAAATGTCCTCTTCCCTTCGTGTATGTCTTGTGGATTTTTCCAATCTTTTTTAGATTAACAGAAATTTTCATAAAAATTCTTTTGCTAAGACTGGTTGACAATCGCGGATTCTCACTAGAAGCAGTTCTATTCTGAATTCTGATTTCCATATGAGTTAATTTGATTTGAGCTGAATGTCACAATAAAATATTCACCTTGAAAATGTAGATTGAAGGACAGAATTAACGTCACGAAAGCATTTACCACAGTTTCTTCGTCGTCGTCTGTATTTACTGGTGGATCTTCCACGGTGTTCACCAAATATTCCACGAACTGTTTGTTTAAATATTCTGTGATTACATTAATTGCAAGTCAGAAATGGAATGAGCGATGTTGATTAGGTGATCAATTAGAGAACCATTACTTAATTAATTACCATAATGTTGATACGGTATGGCTTCACCAGTTGAGAATATCATTGTACATAGTCTGGCCGAATTCACTAACTTTTCAAGATCTGGAAAAGAAGGAGATAGCTGAAGCTTCACTTAAGCGTTTTCAAAATAATGATTGCAACGTGGAATGTCAAAAATGCATTTTCGGTTTCTCATCTTGATCTGCCGTTGTGATACGGCAAACAGTAGGGAGATTTAACATGAGGGCGTAAACGTCAAAGACGACGTGAAAATGGCAAATAAATGGCGTGGCGTGTCCATATATAGATGCGTCACGCCATTTATTCGCCATTTTAACGTCCTCTTTTGACGTCCACGTCCTCATGCTAAATCTCCCCAGTACCAGACCCCAAACAACGTCAAAGAGTTTTTTTAAAGTTTTTCACTCTAAGTTAACAAGAGATTCTACACAATCACGCGAGAAAATTATACAGATGTTATGAGAGATCCACCCATTCTTGAATACGGGGACTGAGATTTCTGTAACTTATATTTCAGAGCTTACTTTTAATATCAGTTTGCATATCCCTCGCGAGTTCAACAGGGAGAATGGTGCAGAGCAACTGTGAGATGACATCTGGTCCAAGACTGCAACATCCCGAAAATACTTGCAGCAAAATATGGCGTATTGATGCCCTGGTTTCCTCGAGAAATAAACAGAAAGATAAGAAATACCACGGAGACTAAATTTCCTGAATCTGGGGATTATGACTCCTTTAACAAAGTTTAATCCGCTAATTCAACCCAGGCCGTACGTGGTTAAACTAACTAATCTAATCCTGTACATTAAATTTTAAGCACTCAACAAGATTTAAGCCGCATTAACCCAGGATTAGGATTAGTTGTTTAACTTGTTTTTGATTAGAACTTTCGCAGTAATTTGCTTTAGTAACCTACCATTTGATAGTACTCGACCAAAGCATTCAGACCATCATACGAGTCTTGGCGAATCACAGCCAAACACACAAGTTTGTTAGCACCTTCCTAAATAAAAGCAAGGATAAATTAATGCTTGGCGTTTCTAGGATGAAGACGATAAACCATGTCAGGTTTTTGCCGCCATCATGCACTCACCAGTATCGACAGAACATCTTTTAAGCATTTTATAATGACAGCTTCGTCTTCATGCACTGCCCAGCTGCGTTGTTGCGAGTCGTCTTTACATTTGACGAGTTCTTGCACCAGAGCGTGCAGACATTTGCCATCATGAGTTGATAATAGTTCTTCGTCGGACACCTCAGATGAATTTTCCTGAAGAAATATTGTCCAGAGTCAGAGTGAGCTGTGTTAGTCGAAATGAAATATAACAGCTCAAATTTAGACATATCGATGTTTTAAAAGATCATCATTCAAGAATTTTAAATTTCGGATTGTGATAAACGCGGAATTTCTAGTGTTACAAGAAGTTTGATTGTCTCGTTAGTTTTGCGGAGTCAAAAAAAATTATTGTAACAATAGACTTTTGAGAAAGGTCAATTGAGCTCTTTTCTCAGTGCTATATACAAAGTTACAATTAAATAACTAATAATAATAATAATTATAATTATATAATAATAATAATAATATATAATATATATATTATAATAATATATATATATATATAATAATATATATAATAATATATATTATATATTAATAATAATAATAATTATTTGTTTGGTTAGCGCGTGCTCGCGTGCATGCGGAAGCAAATTTATCGCTCCGTGTTTTGGTCAAGAAAAAACGTTAACATCCGCGCAGTGAATACTACATTTGCACATGGTTGCAGATAAATATCCTGTCGACATCTATCTGCACTTTGTTTGTCATTTTTGGTGATTTTGTGCGTAAATTTTGGATTAATTCTTTGGTTAATCGTTATTTCCGAAGACATTTTAGCATCGTTGTTTGTACGCGAGCTTGTTATCGCGTGCGCTGTTGGTTGACGCGAGAGTGCAACTGTCAATCAACGTCAAATTTGTTACGTGCGCAATTTGGAACTTGAAAAGATCAATTAGAACATTAATTTACTTTGTTGTGGGAAATTTTATTCATATGGCATCGATAAGTAGAAGCAAATGGAACATTAACTTGGTACTGTTTCTCTATCTGTTCGTGTTAACTGTTGGTTTGCATTGTCTTGTGAACTGCGCTCCAAATGGGATTTCTAATACTAAGCTGTTATTTGTGGATATCAACGTTTCTTTGGTGGTAAACATTCGCTCGTTTAAAACAAAAAAGAAGTCCTCTGAGTCAAATCTGTTAACACTGCAAGAAAAATTGGCTGTTGGTGCCCGGATTTTTCATTACATGTTAATCTCGGCTCTAATTATTGTTCTATCCGGTGATGTGGAATCAAATCCTGGTCCAGTTTCAGAAGGATCTTTGAGAACGAACCATGTATTGAACTGCGGTCTCCTCAACACAAGGTCCATTTGCAACAAACTTCAAATGTTAAACCAATTGGTATTTTTAAACGATTTCGACGTTTTTGCAGTTACTGAAACGTGGCTTGGATCTCATATTCATGATAGCGAATTGTTCTCAGATTTACCTTACACGTGTTACCGCAGAGACAGGGATGATGGGCGCAGAGCCGGTGGTGTACTACTTGCTGTCAAATCCAATCTCATTTCTCATCGTCGGGTAGACCTCGAAGAAGATCTCGAAATGATTGTTGTGGAAATTGTTTCTCATGATGCACCCAACGTTCTTTTTGCCAATTTCTATAGGCCTCCAGATTGCTCCAGGAACTTTGTTGAGAAATTTGCATCTTTCCTAAATAAATCCAACATCGCTAATTCTAGTAAGAAGCTCATCATTGTAGGTGACTTTAACTTTCCCAAAATCAACTGGACAGCTCCATGTTTTACGACCGATACCAGCGACGAATTCATTTTCTGTGAAAAACTCCACGATTATTACTTGATGCAAATGGTTACATCTCCTACGAGACTTACGTCCAGTTCCTCAACTATCCTTGACCTAATTATCACGAACTTCCCGGAACATGTTCAAAACCTACAAATCTTATCTTCAAATGAAAGTCAATTTCAAACAGATCACTCGTTACTGGTATTTGATGTTACTATAAAACCAAAACATCTACCTAAGTCATCACATATGGTCTTTGACTACAGAAACGCTGATTTCGTGGGTCTAAGAAACTCGTTAAGAAACACTGATTTTGAGATTCCAGATGACAACTGTTCGGATATGAATCAGGTCTGGCAACATTGGTGTGATTGGTTTGGTTCGGCAGTTAATCTTCACGTGCCAAAGAGAAAGGTCCGCAGTGGTAGTCCACCGTGGGTAGATGGTGAGGTTATGTACTTGTTGCATCAGAAGAATTCAGCTAGGCGTAAAGCCTTATCTCGTGGCATGAACGTCAACAGCCTTGCTTGGGAAAAATATCGTAGCCTTCGTCGTCGCCTGAAGTCAACAATCAGAACGAAGCACAGGATCTACATTAACTCTTTACAATCCTCTTTGAAAGACAATCCTAAACGCTTCTGGTCCTACTTGAAATCACGTACTAAATCAGGATCCATTCCGAACATTGTGAAACATAATGATACGCATTATCAAAAACCTAGAAACAAAGCTCAAGCATTTAATGACTACTTCTTCTCCTCGTTTACGTCCACTAATCCAGATGAACTATCTCTTCCTGATGTCAATGTTGATTCTAGTGCTTCACCTCCACTGGACAAGATCACCGTCTCTGTTGAAGAAGTGACCACCATTCTTTACCAACTTGATCCAAACAAGGCACATGGACCTGATGGCATTCCAGCAAGGCTGTTAAAAGAGTGCGCATATGAGATTGCTCCTTCTCTGTGTTCTATTTTCAATCGCTCATTACAATCAGGTTGTCTACCGTCGCAATGGAAGCTCGCCCATGTGGTGCCGGTGTTCAAGAAAGGTAACAAGGAGATCATTTCCAACTATCGTCCAATATCTTTGTTGTGTATTATTAGCAAAGTACTCGAACGTTGCATCTTAACGAGACTGATTTCCCACATGGCGCCGCAGCTACACGACGCTCAGCATGGCTTCCTGCGTGGCCGCTCAACTGTGACCCAACTCCTTTGCTTCCTCCATGAACTTGGTAGTGCGCTTGATAAAGGTTTGCAAACTGATGTTGTATATCTTGACTTCAGTAAAGCTTTCGATAGCGTCAACCACATACTACTGGTCCATAAACTTAAATCTTATGGCATTGGTGGAAGCCTCCTTTGTTGGTTCTCTGACTATCTGTCCAGCCGTACCCAGAGAACTATAGTGGACGGCCACATTTCTGATTCCTGTGCCGTTTTATCTGGTGTACCGCAGGGTTCGATCCTTGGTCCACTTCTCTTCGTAATTTATGTTAATGATCTTCCATCAGTACCAATCAATAATTCCTCGCTATTTCTATATGCTGATGACACAAAGTGCTCCCATACCATACGTGATTGTAGTGATGCTATCTCTCTTCAAACTAACCTGGATCATCTCTACAACTGGACTCAGACATGGAAACTAAGGTTCAACGAGTTGAAGTGTGAAACGCTGACTATCTCCAGGAAGAGAACTCCAGTGTGCCTTGGTTATAAAGTAGGTAGCAATGCAATAAAATCCACCACCAGCCAGAAGGATCTTGGCGTCCTGGTGACGTCTGACCTAAAGTGGAATCTGCATACATCGGCAGCGGTTGGAAAGGCTTATAGGATGCTCGGATTGTTGAAAAGAAATACACAGTCCTTTAGTGAAGAATCCAAAAGATTGCTTTACTTGACTTTTGTGCGTCCTCACATCGACTACGCTAGTGAAGTATGGTCTGGACAGGGTATACACCAGATGAGGAACATTGAAGGAGTTCAACGACGGGCTACCTCTTACATCCTCGGCACACCAAGGTTCTCTGTCCCATACAATGAACGTTTGATTCGAACAAATTTACTTCCAATATCCTACTGGCATGAAATCAAGGATCTACTGTTTCTTCACGCATGTACCTATGGAAAATACAACATTGATCTCGACCGCTATCTTCCTACTCTTCCAGTAAACAACCTCAGAAATTCCTGTCGGCTTAATCTCCAAGTTCCCCGATCTAGAACCAAATGTTTCCAAAATAGTTACTTCATTCGCTCTGCAAGACTCTGGAATAGCTTGCCAAATCACCTGAAGCAAGTTCCTGTATATAACGCCTTCAAAAGAATGCTTAAGTCCACCTACAATACCGCTCTCCAAGACATCTACAACATTGAAGTTATTTCAACCTGGCGCTCTATATGTCTACGTTGCAACTCATTAAGATCTTTCTTTCAACCCTGGAACCAATCACATTGTTGCTAAAGCTGAACTCTGTGTCGCTCGTTTGTCTGTTCGTTTATCTGTTCGTCCGTCCGTTACATGTCTGTGACGTCAGTGTGTTATAAGGGTTAGTGACCTTAGTTAGGGTATTATAACCCTGTTGTCACTAGCCTGTGTATATCTGCCAACATGTATACGCAAAATTTACTAAATAAATACGTGGATTGTGCTCAGCTGGTGGTTATACATTACTTGTATCCCACCACGCAAAAATGGAACATGCAGTGCAAATTTCCCAAAGTGAAAACACGTCCTCTACGACCCACCCCATAGTTTCAAAATTCAATTTTGACAGCAATAACTGTTCTAAAATGTTGACGTCGTCGTGTCGAAGCTTGTTTCCAGAAATTGCCAACTGGACAGAAGACATGAATAACATGATCAGCCTCCCTTTTAATCTACTCTATAGGAGTGGGGAATATCAGGACTTACCTGAGAGTAATAGAGAGATTCTAAGATATAATCAGCTTCATTAGAGATTGTTGGAACTCTGTGACGCAGATGCATAAGAACTGTCTCCACTGCTGTGATACTTTTTGCATGAGTAAGGCCTGTACTGGAAATCATTTCAATAATAATCCATTTGGTTATTATATAAGTACACATGCACTGCAGATATATTCTGTATCTATTCCTGTATGTTGTTCATTTATTTAAATACCTTATTCGAATCTGTTCAACAAGTTCACTTCCAATTGTTGAAGGAATGTTACTTTCGTTTGGTGGTTCTGGAGCCCTTCTCTTTTTATTACCCCCAGGAGGTTCAGGGGCAGGTCTGTTTGGTTGCAAGGGAATGTTGTACTCTGATGAGTACGCTGCTCCCATTTTTGATGACTGTTTGTTGGTTGATGGCTTTTTCTCCTTAAGTTGCTTTGAGAGAACTTCTCTGCGATGTTCAATTAATTTCCTGTTGGTAAAGATTGAATGTTAGGTGATCTATTAATGTTCAATTGCTTATTTATTATTTACAGATTCAAAAGAAATATTTTCCCAGGAGCTAGTCTACTATAAATGAAGTGCTTCCATAAAAATGAAGATATTGGAGTATGAAGATACTGTCCACTAATCTTATGCTACCATCGTTATCATCTAAGCGTGTACACATGATCACAAAACATGTTTTAATTAGCATCAAATGTGGTATAACAACTGCCTAAAATAGACAAAACACTTCTTGACATTTTAACCTAGAGATAGTCAGTAAATTTAAAAGAATTTATATGTAGTTTAGAATAGAAATTATAGGTAATTTCTTCCAAATTTATTGACTGAATTTCTTGAAACAAGTTTTCTTTACTGCCCAAATGTTACAACTTTGAATCTAAATAAAACATGTTTTACGATCACATGTATACGCTTAGATGATAACAATGGTAATAAATGTACTCAACAGTTAACTCCTTTGGGCGCCCAAGATCCACCCACTTTGCAGGAAATATCACCAATTAATTATCACCTACTGTAGCTTTGCCTGATTCCTGTGGTCAAGCTTTCCAGATTTACTTGAAGTTTGGTGAATTGCGTCAATTGCTCGGTCAATGGACACAAGCACAGAGTTCTTTCCTTCCTAATAATAAAATTACAAAATATGTATGCAACTGCGTATATTTAGGACTTGGATAAATTATATTGACCTGGACATTTTTCAAATGTTGTGAAATGCCTAAAGCTATAAAACTACAGATAGCTAACAATCTTTGAAGAGAATCCTCAATTTAGGAATGCCAGGTCATGCATATTGAACAACTGGCAATTCAATTATAATTATAGTGTGATTGAAAAGCAAAAACATGGTAAATAATAAAAACAAACAAACGGTAGAGACAAATAGACACAGTAAAGTAAGATTAAATTACTTTTTAACTATAGCAATACCTCAAAAAGTTCCCCAAACTCGAAAATACATTTTCCCAACAAACAATCTTCAAGCCAATTTTCCCTGTGACCGTTTATATTGCTGACGAATTTTCAATTTGAATGTCACGACTCTGATTCATTGCGACTTTATATAATTTGTCCAGTGACATAAATTCAATAACAAATTAGGCTCATTTTCCGCGGAAATTTTAGATGTTTAGCATATTTTCAAATATTAACTTGCAAAGTTTGAAATTTTGTTAATAAGCAAAAACCCTTTGAGATTATGAACCAAAGCTTACCGTGTTTATTCCCTGCGTTACTTCAGTCAAATAACTTACAGGAACAAGACCGACTTGCCCAGTTTCATTACATCGCATTGACCACCAGTGTTCGTTGCAAATATCTTTATACTCGAACGTCTGTCCTTCTTTTATGTTTAGTTGTGTTTTATCGCCAGCATTGTAGTTATATAAGGATTTATACATAATTAAGGAAATTATTACAACTTTAACTACCTAAGACGATGTCGATCCAAGTCGAGAATTTTATCTAAGAATTTCATAAACATTTCATTTAGTTATTTATTTATATCAGTTTTATAACTTGTATATGGGTGGTTATGCGATCTGATTGGTTGAGCTACTCAAGGTATATCAGCTTATATGCGGTGATAAATGAAGACTGTGGCCATTCATTGGGTTTTGTGAAAATTGGATGATGATATTGGTTGTGAAGGTTTGTGCTTAGTTAAATAACGGTTAAAAGTGAATAATACAGGTTATAAGTGACGAAGTTGAGAGGGTAAGAAGGCCCCGGGACATAATCTCGGTTCAGGCTCGAAGCTGAATCATACAGTTGGATCATCCCCAGATGTCCCAGAGGTCCCTTCAGTCGATCTCTCCCCCCTCTTCGCCTTCTTTCTTGCAGCTAAACGTTCTTTTAGTTTCTTCTCTTTTCCTTTCGCGTCTAGACGTATGGATTTTCTGTCATCACCGCTGAAACCTTCCTCCTCAATGCCAGAGTACGATGGTAGAATGGGAGGAGAATGGAGCTGGAACATACACAATATAAAATCTTATATACAGAAGGTTCACTTTGATTTGAGTTTTGATGTTTTTTACACCGGCTAAAAACAAGCCTAGTCAGTCAAAGACATTTCATCTTGGTTCCATGGCAAGAGATTGTAACAATTTAGCCATGTTCAACCTGAACGTTTGATTAGAACTCGACAGGCCCAGCAGTGGCAAAATTTTCTACAATGGCAATCTTACCGTTGTACTGACTCGTCGTTCTTCTACTTTAAATTTTTGCTCCATTTTGGCAGCAATTAATTTCATTCTTTCCTCGGGATTTAAGCCTTCAGCTTCCTCCTGTGTTAGGATGTGATCAAATCCTCTAGACTCGGAGGATCCAGGTTCTCTCATTGTCATCGTCCGTTCATGACGTACACGCTGGATTCTGTCACGAATCATCGTTTGTTGTCTCTCGCGCTCCTCCTGAATAAATGAAGTACGCAAAGATCCCGTAAGCAACTGCCGTAAACAACCAGTCACAAACAAAGTCTGTTACTGCAGGTATGGACAGATCCTTTGCATACCTTTCTCTTTTGCTCAACCATCGTTTTCTGTCTCTCTCCTAAGCCAACGATGGTGGCTGCAGCGGCTACGACAGTGGATTTCTTTTTCATTCGTCGCTCCTTGAGCTGAAATGAAATAAAATAAATCAATAACACCGTTCAATTCTCATTTTAAATAAGGCGCCTGCACTTTGATCCTTTCTACTTTTCACTGTCCTCTCTCCCTCCACTTACGTCAACAAACAAATACCCACATACATCACCTCTCCTAACATCATACATCACCTCTCCTAACAAACTCCAAACATCCTAACTCGCATTATTTGCCCATGAATTTTTCGAATGCAGTGTGTTCATGAAAAGAGTTCGGACCACTGACCTATATTCGATCTAATATAGGTCAGTGGGTCGTACCCTCTTGACCCCCCCCCCCACCTCTAATTCACCCTCTCAACGATTACCCAAAACCTTTTGCCACCAAACTTACAATATCCTCTTGTCGCCTTCTCTCTCGTTCTATTCCCATTCCAAATGTCGTGTGTTCACGAAGCAAAGAACCAACAATTTCTTTCTTCTTATCTTCAGATACGTCAACATCAACAACTGTCTTTTCCCGCTTCATACTGAATCCATCCTAAAATCGAATGGAAAATCCATGGTCAAAATGCCATGCTATACATACAAGATGATATTTGGACAATGGAAATTCACCACATTCAGCATCCCCACATTCAGCATCCCCAGATCATTAGAGAATATTTACCGGTAAACTGGATTTTCTTCCCTTCAATTTCTCAGTTTTCTCAAGAACTCGTCCAGCGCTAGCAGCTTTAGGACGTTCATCATCATTTTCATCTTTTCTGTCTCTCTTATTTTGCTCTTCGTTTCTCTCGATCTCCTCTTGAGCTTTACGCTTAGCGCGTTCTTCCCGACGACGAGCTAGCCTTTCTTGAAGCTAAAGATAATTATGTTTATTTACTTTTATTTTCCTAATAAAAAACTGTAATCAATGTGAACGCCTGTTTTCCTTGACGTGTGAGAGAAATACAATAAACAACTGGAACTAACGCTGCATTACATCCTCTACAACCCTCTTAAACATTGTCTAGCTTACTGATTCTCCTTGTTTTGATCGTTGTATCATAGTTTTCTCTCGCACCAGGGATGACTCTTGTTCAGCCATCATCAGTAATGACGTGGCAATATCTTCCTCATATTGTTTATCGTCACGACGCCTTCGTTTTGCCTCAAGCTTTGCTTTAGCAAGATTGCGTTGACGTTCGAGTGTCTCATTTAATGCCTGAATAGAAAATATCTGCTATGGGCAAATATGTCCTCGGCAAAGTAACTTTTCATTCAGGAAAGTAGGTTTGCATGCTATAATAGCTGTATACCCCAATCTTTGTTATGAAGACTGCTTGAAAGGGCCACCTTGCAAGTAGTTGAAATGATAGTAAAGGACAAATATAGTTGGTAGGTTGGTTTCTCATGGATTGCTGGAGACGTGGGAGTCAATTCTGAAAGCAAGGAATACCACTGGTCCCATGTTAAATATAATCAGTTTCGCCTTACTTGTTTTTTACGCTCTTGTTGTCTTTTTAGCTCGCTCAACGCAGCATTTATTTCAGCCTCACTGGCCCCAGTTAAAAATCTGCGCTTTTTTTCTTCTTCCAGTTCAGCTTCCATTTCGGCGAGCTGTCTATCATTTTCCATTTCTACTTCAGTCACTTCACTATTCTCTCCAGCCGAAATTTCCTAAAGAAATTTAAAATTTCAGGATATGGATATTACGATGAAGATATTTGAAAAGTTCTGCGAAATCCAAAGTTTGGCTTTATATATAACAAGCAGTAGCGATCCAGCTGTGTGTAAAACTTCATTTTAATAGGTATAATTGCATGGGTATAGTAGAGTTTGAGTATAGTCAGTAGATCAATAGATAGTCACTAGTCCCAAAAATTTGCAGGTTCAGATTGATCTGCGAAGATGACAATTCTTAATTGTCTTTGTACCTGGTCCTTCTGCAAGATAACGGCAGCTAAATTATCAACGATACATTCTTGTCTGATGCGTCGCTGTTCGTCTTTGATAAGATTCAAGACAGCATCTTCCTAAGAATTGTAAAAAAACAATCGCTCTTACTTGACATGTACAACCAAACAGCCATTAATTTGTAATAATTAATGTATTCTTTCGTAAATCAATATAAGTACCAGTAAATTCAATAAATGACGCACTATCTTATTAAATCTGAATATTTAGGGGAAAAAATAGATCTTCCATTGGGGATTAATTGCAATCTCACGAAGTCGTATGTATATACAAGATTTATCGTTAAAATTACACGATAGCCTAAGTAAAGTTCTCCGACGTTCATCTGCATATGATTTGCTTCTTTTCCCATGCGTTTTTAAGCCAACTTTGTGGTTTCTATAACACCCCCTCCTTTCTTAAGCTTGGTGCAGAAAGTTCATGAAAATTATAAAGAATGCATCTGTTTTGCTCGCATATGAAAGGCTTTTAATAAGATTATCAAAAGAATAACTAGAAAATATAAAGCTGTTTAAATAACCATCACCTTTCCAGCGAGAATGTTCTCCACAGCTCTATTCTCAGTACTCTGCTTCTCCTGAAGATCAGCAACCAACAACACACCAACCTCATTTTTCAGCTTCGGCTCCGGAATATCCTTGTTTGATAATTCATCTTTCACATTCATTACTTTAAGAACAATTCCATCCTTTAAAATTCTCATCAATTTCATTTGGCGATCTGCTGCTCGCAAGACGTTTTCCTCTTTCTCCTCCTGGTAACAATAATAATTATTGGTTCAGCGAAACATACTTCAAAACATAACAGTCATACTATAGTTACCTCTGCGTTAACCATGTTATGGCTAATACATGATGATTTAGACTATATACGTTTACACAATGACGGTATAATTCTTTGCTGTTTTCACAACAAAGCATCACCGGCTTTCGGGTTTCTTTCTTTAGTGGCATGACAACCATATGGGACCCTAGTTAACTTTAAAACTATACCTTTGACATAAGATCTAAACCCGCATTCTTCGAAGCTCTAACAGTTGCAGTTTTCCACTCCTTAAAGTCACGATAAAGATCTGCCATTTTCTGATCTCGTTGCTTGTTGTTAAGGTAGCTGGCTGCAGCTACTGCGTCAGCATCACTTTCGCTAACATCAAGTAATTCGCTCAGCATCTTAAACAGAAAACAATACGGAGTGTCATTCATGCAGATGTATCTGAAGGGAACAAGATTTCATTTGTTTGCAATTGAAGATGTCATGAGTAATTGCAAATGTCATTGAAAATGTCGTTGACAGTACCTTAATCTCAATGGAATGTTTCTTCTCAACTTCTTTAAAGATGGCTTCTTGTACAGCAACAATACCTCCCTGCTGTAGTTCCAGAGCCTCCTGAGATAAAATATCCTTTTCTTTCTCTTGTTCTTCATGTAGTTTAGCCTCGATTGCAAGTCGTTGTTCTTCATCGTTTGACAAAACTAAGGCGGCTTCTTTTTCAGCACGTCTTGCCTTGAGTGCGGCCAGACGTTCTCGTGCAAGTTTTTCGTGGCGTGCGCGGTCTTTGCGGTAGCTTCAAAACAATAAAAAATTAGTATTTCAATGTAAAGTTTGGGTTTCATATTTAATATAATAAAAAAACAATTCATGTCTAATATTAAGTCAAACCTTGTTTCACGGGCAGCCTCTTGTTGTTTTGCTATCCCCAGGACTAACGCAGCCGCGTCAAATTTATCTTCCTTTGCAATTTTCTTCTGTTCCCGCCTTAGCTTTGCCAGTTCAAGTTGACGATGTCGCTCACTGTTGAATTTCTTATCTTGATTTCTTAATGACGCCAGCAACGCTTTCTTTTCCTCCTCATACCTCGACTGAAATACATCAAGACATCATAAGACTTACTCTTTGATAAAGTCGTTCAACCGTTTCATGCGAATGTTTTATATTGTACGCAATGACACACCAAAAGTACTCATTTCAGATGTATTATCCGCGATAAAGGTTGAACTTTTTTGAAGTTCGTTGATTCATAATCTATTATTATATTGATTGTAATCAAATCTATACTACAAAGACGACAGGAACCCAATAAATAGTTTGTACATTGTATTGCCGTGCTTTTACTTTTCTCACCTCACTCCAGTTGCGCTGTGAGTTCAGTTGGCGCAACTGGAGTGAGATGAGAACAGTAAAAGCACGCCAATACAATGTATATTTCAACTATTTCTTGGGTTTCCTGTGACAAAGACTAATCACCTGCAAATCGTTCAACACATCCCCTGTGGTAACTTCCTCTTCAATTGTTTCCTCCTCATTTTCATCCTCCAGAAGTTGAGCTTCCTCTGTCGTTATTTCTATCCCGGCAGCTTTATGTTCCCGTATTTTCTGCAAGCGACGTTTTAATGCATCTTTTTGTTGCGCTTTTGTTTCACCCATCAATTTGGAAAGACTGGCTTCGTGTTCCAGACCCTCGCCAAATAATCTAGGAAAATAGTTTACGGTCATGTCAGATAAAAAACCAGCCTGCCAATTTTTTAACTTAGGACGACTCCAGCTAAAGAAAAGAATTCTGCAGGTCGTCAGGCATCTTAAATAGGAACGGATAAAATTACCGTTCTCGGTTTGAAAATGGTTATTTTTATAACTACATATTAAAACAAGTTGTGAATTCACAGTGCTTCCAACACTTGAAAACATTTCGAGACCGAACTTTACTTTTTTTCAGTTTTACTCCAGGCTTTTGAGCTGTGGTTTTACGTTTTATGTGATTATGTCTTGCAAGCTATAGCTGGAATTCATTCACATATCATTACTTGTTTATTGGCAAACGTAAGCTAAGCATAAGTCATTGTTCCTCCAACCTGTTGGCCTCATCAATGCGTCCCTCTTGCCTCAATTTCTTTTCTTGTAATCTTATTTTCATAATCTTTGCTTGTCTTTCTCTCTCTGATAGTTTCTCCCACACAGATGCTCCCAGCTCGTTCATCAAACTTTCTGCTATCAATTTATCTTTTAGTGCATCATACTTTTCCTCCAGCGCTCCAAGAAGCTCTTCTTCCGAGGGTACATTATCCGAGACGGGTTTATGTCCGTGGGTTCTCTGCCCAAGTAATGAGACCGCAATGTTATCGTACCAGCGGTGTCGTCTAGCTTGATGTTGGACCGCACGAAGCTGCGTTAACGTCGTATTAGACTAACAATACAAAATAATTTTTAGGAACGGTAAAAGATGGTAGTCCAGTAAAGTATGTAGCTATATATACGTCTTTTCGATAACACCGTGTAACAGTGTCTTTACTGGCCGATAGGAACACAATCTACCACAGTTTACCTCCAGTAACGTATAGAGATCAAAAGCACTACATGATATATAGAGCGCACTCACCTTCTCCGATAAATCTCTTAGCAAAATCTCGGCTTCTTGATCTTGGATTTGTTGCAGGTTGGCCAAAATGGCAACATGAACATCTTCGTCCTTCACATCTCGTTCATTCTCCTTCATTTCCTCTCGAATTTTAATGATATTCAAACAAACGGCTTCTCTCAATATGACGTCATGTTCTGCGACAGACTCTGCTGTACCATCTGCCCCTGCATCCCGCCATTGTTCACGCAGACCCTGAACGCCAATGATATCAGACTTAATCAAACTCTGTCTACTGGAACAATGCTGAGCTATTCGAGAGAAAAACACGTCGTTCATTCTAACCTTAAGCTCAGTTAGACGTTCTGTCCTTTTCTCTTTAGTTTTCTTTTGCGTCTTTTTTCGAAGTTCGCTCGTCTGTTCCTCCTGCAGTAATTTCTCCAAAACCTCTCGCTCACACTCCTGTTTTTTCTCGAGTTCTTTCAAAACCGCCTCCTAAACAAACGTATCAACAAAATGAGAGCCAATTAAACTTTCTTCAGTGGATAGCAAAACCACGATGCAAACGAACATCATTCCAATGTATTATAAATCCTAACCTGTAAAGCAACGAGGTTTTCTTTGTCGCTGATCTCCTCAAGTTGTTCCTGTTCTTTCTCTCTTAGTTCCTTTTCCACTTCATCAGTTTTCCTTTTCCGTCGAGCCGCTAGACGTTCCCGCGCTAGTTTCTCCTGTCGCAGCCTGTCTTTCTTTTGACTGCAAGGAAACACAGTTTATTCAAATATCAGTTTTAGAGTACAAGTCGGAACAAAAAATACAATCGTCAAAAGCATTGTATCTCTTTGTTGGTAGTGCATTGTACTAGAAACTGATTTTTAGCGTTCAAATCGTTGTTAACTCAAGTAATTTATGAGCACAGGGAACAATTTACAAGATCTGATTGACTAAAATACTAACATTTCTTCCAAGTTAGCTTTCTGCGCCTGTGCTAGACCAAGAACAAGGGCAGCGGTATCAAACTTGTCCTCATGCCTCGCCTTCCTTTCTTCTCGTCTTAATCTTGCTAACTCGGCTTGGCGACTTCGTTCACTTGCAAAACGTCCCTCCTTATTTCGTAAAGCCTGCAGCAATGCTTCTTTCTCTTTATCGTAGTTTTGCTGAAGAATAAATTCATAAATTTACCTGGAGTTGCTCGTTCATATCTTTTAGCAAATGAATTACACCAGAGGAGTCACACAACGTGGGTTCCTCGAAACATTACATCTCAAATTGAGTTGGTCTGGTAGGAGGCAGTTGGAAAAGGACTAGGCCGACCAGCTCGCTTGATGGTCAGCTCCAAGAACGAACTAAGATGGATTCGTGTCGCGGACAACAGCTCAAAGCATGGTTACTTACATGCGTTTGCATATATATATTCAAAAAATCAAACTTACGACTAATTTCAGCAAAGGATTAACGTTCGCATCTTGTTTTAATTCTTCCTCAAACTGTTTGTCTTCTTCAGCCTCCAATTTAGCGACTTCATCTTTACTCATGCCTTCTTTTAATCTCTGTCGTCTTTTCTCAAGTTTCTCTTTCATTCTTTCCTTGTATTTTGCCTTATTTTGACCCATGATATCTTTCAGGTTCTTCTCAGCATCAAAAGCCGCTCCAAGAAGGGCCTGAAGTTCGTCAAGCTTACCTTAATGTGAAATAAGCTTTCGTAAGATGATTTCGTTCATTGGCTTTTTTTAGACCATATTTTCTTAATTGGCATCAGGAAGATATCTTCTTTATAAGAAAGAAGCTTCTTTAAAACAAAGGTAAAGTGCCACGACCACTATCTTTAGGGAATCATTGAACCTAAACTCTTACAGTAAGTAATGGCTGAACTAAACCAACTTTACTCAATTATACCAGTTAGTTCTACCAACTGTTTTCGCCAAATGCTTAAAGAGTAAATGGGCTGTTGTTGAATGAATAATTGTATTCTCGCTGGCGGCATTGGGAGGAATATTTTCCAAACTCCTAACCAGCCTCTCTCACTCACCACATCACCCCCCCCCCCCACTCCTTGTGTCCACCATTAATATATCTTCACCTCACCTTCTCTTCTTAGTCGTCTTTCTTCAAGTTTCATTTTAACAAGTTTAGCCTGTCTCTCTTGTTCACTCAACGCCTGCCATTCAGCAGCTCCCATTTCCTTCATCAACGCCTCAGACAACAGTTTATCTCTGAGTGTATCGTACTTGGAGTCTAAAGCGTCCAGTAACTGTTCTTCGCCAACGCTCGTAATCTGTTCGGGGTTTCCGAATACAGTCATCAGGTTATTTCGGACATCCGACTGAGCTTCGGCCAGTAACCGCGTTTGTAAATTTATAAGTTCTGCCTTGTCCTAGGAAAGAAAATAAATTGAACTAAACTTTTTGAAAGGAATTGAATGTTCAGAAATCTTGCTTGTTCCCGGACATTTTAAACTGCAAATTCTAGTAATATGAGATCAATCGGGGTTAAAAAAATTAACTCGTACTGTATACCCTTACTATACAAAATCGACGCCATACCTTATCAGGCAAGAGTGACATTAATATTTCACTTTCTTTATCTTGTTCCTGTTGAAGGTCAGCTAATAACGTAACAATGACGTCATTTTTTGAAACATCTTCCCCAGGTCTCTGCAGTTCAAGATTTCTCTGTCGTGATGTCAACTTCATTATGGCGGCTTCTTGTAAGATTTGGCGATGCTCGTCAACATTATCTGAAAAAATCAGAAACGTGAATATTTCTCTTATATCAACCAGGACCGACGATTAAGCGATGAGTTTTATTGCAAGCTGGACTGACAATAGTTATCTTACTACCGTGAATTAACTTTAGTAACATTTTAGAAATGTTTCGCAATAAACAATTACGGGCTTCGACCAGTCAGAACACGCGTTCTATACATGTTATTTTATAAATTGTCTCTTAACCTTTGTTCAAATCATTCTTCCTGGATTTAAGGTCGCGAACATGTTCCTCTCGTTGTTCGGATGTCATCGACTGAGCAAGATCATGCAAACTGTTGTCTTCGTTCTCAAGTAACTTTATTAATACGTCTCTTTCCTCGCAATGTTTATTTTCCAGGAATTTCAAAACAGTTTCTTGTAATAAACCGTTATCTCCTTCTTTGATAAGGTCGTCCTCACTCAGGCTCTTCTGTTTCTTTCTATTTCTTCGTTCTTCAAGCCGCTGTCGTGCTAGTTGCTCATGTCTTGCTCGGTCTGACATCAACCTTTAAAACATAGCTATATTTCATACCGTTGTATTTATACCTAATAGCTAATAATATAACATATGATCTGATCAACACAAGAGTAGTCAAGCATTTGAAATAAACGAGATAGAAACTCAACTTATATATTTCACTATGTGAATAATTATCTCATTCACACTGAAAATGGCTTATAGTTCAGTCAAAACATGCATGTTTGCAATAAAAAATTTGTCGTTTATTTCAAACGCTTAATAATATTTAAGAATTAAAAAACGAGTCGCGTGCCTTTATGGTGTAATAATGCACGATGGGGGAATGTTGGGAGAATACAAGAGAAGCTTGTAAAACACGAGGCGTAGCCGAGTGTTTTACAAGCTTCTCGAGTATTCTTCCAACATTTCCCCGAGTGCATTATTACACCATAAAGGCACGCGACGAGCTTTTTTAATTCCTTTTATAATATAAGAAGAAATTATAGGGCAACAACAAAATTTATTTATTTGATCAATAATGAAATTCTCCTTACATGTTATTTAAGATGTTGCTTAGCAAAAAAAACTTCAAAAGCCAGAAGCGTGCATTATGGCGTCACAATGCACGCGCGGTAGCCAATCAAATTGCTCGTTATATCATACTTATATTATAATAATGGTTAAAATATGTGTCTTCTGATAAAATAGGACGGCGTAAAGTAGAGCACTATAATTGCTATTTTGCAGAGCTAAAACACAAATAAAATAGAATCTACCTTTCTTCTGCATCTTTGCGCTGTCTTTCAGCAAGTCCAAGAACAAGAGCAGCTGAACCAAACTTCTCCTCAAGTCTCGCTTTCAGCCTCTCTCGTTTCAATCTCGCGAGCAATGCTTGACGCTCTCGCTCACTCAAAAATTGATTGTTAGCTCCAAGTAATTTCGCCATTAATGCGTCCTTCTCTTCTTCAAATCTAACGTAGAGGTTTAAAAAATGTTTTAACACCAATAGACAGCCCTATTTTAATAATTCCTAACTAAGATATTGCCCCAGAGGAACGTAGGTTCAGAGCTTTCAACCCGCTGCCTCTAATGAATAACTGACATTAACAGTAACACCATAAACACAATAATACCTTTTATCAAGACTTTCAAGCAAACTCTTTCCATCCATTTCTTCCATATTACTCAGCTCTTCGTCGTCATCCTCTGGTGGTAATCCTTTTGCGAGCCTTTCACGACGACGAGCGAGTCTTTCCCGAAGTTGTTGCTCGTACTTATCTCGGTTTTCTCCAAGTAACTTTCTCAAATTGACATCAGCCGCGAAGCCACCTCCCAGCAGCTTGGCTAATTCATCAAGTTTGTTCTCTCTTTGCAAACGTTTCGCCTCCAACTTCATTTTCATCAAACGGAGTTGGCGTTCTCTCTCTGACAATCTCTTCCACTCATCTTCACCTAAAAATGGCAGATGAAAATGAAGTGGCAATCATTATCAACACTCAAGAGAATTTGGCACTTGGCACTCTGGCTTTCCCCAATCTTTTTTAGAGTTCTATCCGTAGATAGTTGGTGAAAAAAAGTGAATATCACTGAACATCTCTCGTTATCTCCCCAGTTTTGAACTATGAGATAAAGGTCAATAACTGCAGCGACCTGTTGTTTATTCAATAGGGGATATTACCTAGTTGTTTCTTGAGAGCTTCCAAGAGTAGTTTATCTTTTAATGCATCATATTTATTCTCGAGTGCTTGAAGTATTTCATCATTCGTTCCCAGGCCATCATAACATAACAATACCGCGGCAATATTTTCCATATGTTCTGATTTGTAAGACTGGATTTCTTTCACTCTCGCTGCTGCTAGTTCTTCTTTAGACTAATTAAAGTAATATATGATTGAAGTATCCCCAAAGATCACCTCTAATACCATGCTAACCCTAAATAAACCTTTATCAAATCAATTTTTCCCTTCTTCCCTTCCAAACGCTTGTCATGCAAATTCGACAAACAAAACCCAAACTAAATCCCAGAGTTTTCTTAATCCTAAGTTTAAATACTAATCCTGAACCAAAGCCTTATCTCTCTCACCATGTCGAGGATTTTCTCCAACATTTCTTCACATTCATCACTCTGACGTTTTTGTAAGTCCATTATCATTGAAACAAAGATAGACTCATCAGTCACTCTATTTTCTCTCTGCCTGTTTTTCATCCTAAAGCGACGACTTTCAATTTTAAACGCACAGCCCATTTCCAGAATCGTGTGATTCATATCCTGATCACCTATAATGATAATATAAAAACATCACCAATTAATATACTACCAGCTATCAAAGAGATTATACAAAACTACCTGACTGTGGAATACTAACCTTTCTCATCTAAGTCAAGACCATCTCTTTCGTCTTTCAACTCCGTTAATCTTTTCTGTCTTTCATCCTCAGATATTTCTCTCGCTTCGCCACGGAGATCATTAAGAGCATCGTCAAGTAACAGAAGGGAGAAAAATCGTTGTTCCATTCTGTGTTTACGTTCAATTTCTCTCAAAACAGCATCCATCCATTCGCTCAACACATCTATATGAAAAATAATGGCACAACAAATGCACTCATTCTGTTCAAACGGAAGGTCGAAACAGAACAGAAATCTTTAAAAAAATCTTTAGAAAACAGTTAAACGAATAAAATTCGACTGGCCAGAAATGTTTTCAACGAGAAGCGATAGAATTCGTCCCTCATTGTTCCAGATTACTCTAGGGGCCGGTGGTTCAAAACTAGGTTAGCGCTAACCCTGGGTTAAATTTTAATCCAGTGTTTTAGTTTATGTGCTTCTGAATCACTGTTCGTTTCAAAACTTTAAAAAAATCACTTCTATCAGTCCAGAAAATACTTATGAAATAAGATTTTCAACTTTGTAAACAACTAAAACAAGCAATTAAAAAAATTAATGTAAAGATTTGTTTTAACCCAGGGTTAAGCTAACCGGCTTTTGAACAAATGGCAACAGAAGGCAACATTGAAAAACTAATTTTCATTGCAAGAGAAAGTAGGTCATATCCAATTCAAGTCATTTAGTAAATCATTTAGGGAATTACGTTGTCGGTTAGGTTATGCCTAATGTGGAATTAAGGATCTACTTATTATGCTAAATCTCACCTTTATTTGGCTCAGCGTCTTCAATTTCTTTATCTTTTCCTCCAGCTAAACGCGCTAAAACAAAGCGTTCCTCAGCAAGCCAACGTCTTCTTTCATCATCTTGTGCCAATTGTTCATTTTCATATCTTCTGTGTCTCTCAGACAAACCCAACACCAGAAGAGCACAAAGCATGTTTGGTTCTTGCTCTGAAAGCCGTTTTTGTTGTTGAAGTCTTACTGTTGTGTCATTCACTTCACGAGGGCCACTACCTCCTTCCTATATAACAAGCACAGAAAACATACCTTTTTATATAAAAAAAACTACGCGTGAATACTTTTGAAGGTGAATTAAACCTGCAGAAAGTTCACTATATGATTTATATTTTTGGCCGCAGGATTTTCTTAGCAAAGGAAAAGAAAAAGTGGAAAGTTATTTCACCTAACTAGCAACCCGCGGCAATATGAAACGCAAACGTCCCAATAAGGAAAACTCTCACCTGCAACCATTTCACCAGTAAATATTTCTCATTTCTGTAGCGCTCGTCAAGATCTTTCCAAAGGTTTCCAGATGATTTGAAACCTTTCTCCTCGATTCTAGAATTTACATTTTCTATTTCGAGACCTTCATTTAAACAGCTTTTCCGCTTTTCTAAAACAGCCTTTAGGTTTTCAATAAATCTTTGACGATTTTCGCCCAAATATAACAAAAATTTTTCACTGTCAGTAAATCCTTCTCCAAGCAGTTTCAAAGCTCCACTGAATCTCTTCTGAAGACGATATTTCTTCTCACTCACTTTGGCTTTTGTGACAAGATTGTATCTCTCGCTCACGGAAGTTGTTTCCCATTGATTGGGTCCTTAAAACACAAAACAGAACAGCAATGCCATCAGCCTGTTCAGCCATATTATTTTAAATTATGTTTTGGTTAATATCCATGTTGTGAGGCGGTTCAGTTTATCAGGTGGATAACCTAACTTACCAAAGATAAAAGAACACTTTTATACACCTTGTGTACGATTTTAAAAGATGGTTTTCGAATTACAGAGCCTTTCAGCGTCTCTCACTCATACCTACCTATTTGATCTCTGAGAGCTTCCTCGAGTACTTTATGTCTGATGCTATCATACTTGGCCTCAAGCAATTTAATGATGCCATCCTCCAGACGTGTGACGTCACTAGTGCCCAGGACGACGGCCGAGAGGTTATCCAGCCATTCTTCATGGTACATTTGCTCTTGTTCTTGACGAATTCGTAGCAATTCATCTGAAGTCTAAATTTGAGGTGAAAATTTTAATTCTGGTTCAAGTTTGCAATCCAAATACAATTTCCACTAGTATAGATTCAACCTCGTCCCTATACCCTCTACAGAAACCTAAATTGAGGCAAATACTTAAAGCGTATATTCCTTTTGTGACTCTGCAGATTTATAACTTTTGGCTCAAATTAGATTAAATTTCACTTGACCAGTTTCTGCCTAGGAATTATTGTACCTGGTCAGAGTGGTCTCTCGTAGCCAATAGCGTTTCGGCATCTAACTCTTGCTGATGCAACAGTTTCGCTAACAATGTTGTGGCAACATCTCTTTCTGCCCCAGGTTCTTTCATTTCCAAGCGCTGATTGACGCACACAATGCTGACGGCTTCTTGTAACAGCTTCAAATGAAAAGATTTGTTTACCAGCTTCTCTTCTGAACTACGATTTCTCCAGCCTTGTCTTTGAGTCTTAAGCACGACGAACTGATTCTCCCTTTCCTCTATAAGTACAAATATGACAAGTTATGATGATTCAAGCATATCCGTATCTATGAGAAGTTCACTCGGCGTTTTCTTTCTAAAGGTCCGTTTACACTTTTTATTTTAGCTACGTGCGATTTTCCTCTTTTGATAGATGTGAACGAGTGAATTAATTACTGATGTTCAAATAAGAGTTCGTACACATCAGAGTATCCGTAACTAATTACTCTTTCATATCTATCAAAAGAAGAAAATCGGGCCTTAAAGTTTTGTAATGGCAACCATGGGAAATTTTACCGTTGGTCATTTTCCTGAAATAAGCTCTAGTCTCACTCGCATCTTTCCCTTGCAACAGATACACCATCATTTCCATTTCAGCTCGATGTTTTCTCTCTAGAGCTTTGATTACATCTTCACACAGTTCAACAAGACCTGTCTCGTGCTGATGATATACCAACTCCGATTGTTTTATTTCCCTGGGTAACCTATGCCCTCGTCGCTCGGTCAGTAGACGATCTGACAGGTTGTGCTGAAGTTCCCTGCCAAAATGAAATCTGAAATAAAGGAATTAGCAGCCATGAAAAACAAATGCGTTGATTTCACCTCGGTGATCTAGATATTTGATGGTTTTAATCTATTAGGACAGCGTGGATAGATTGGTCGCTCGCGGATATTATCGATATAGATGCTAAAAGAATGATTATCGTATTACTTCTTTTTACAGTAGCTCCTTCCAGCCATATTTCTTAATAGAGTATGTGAGGTATAAACTAAACAAAATCTATATGATTCACTTTGCATAATCGGGTAAAGTTTGTACGAAGGGCCGGTTGTACAAAGGCTGGATCCCCGGGATAGCGATTTTCTCAACCAGTGCAAACATACTTTAAAAGTAATAATATTGTAGATACTGACCCAACAATGAGTAAAGAGAAACATTACTTAAAGAATAGAAAGGTTCAATTCAAATTGTACCAAAACATGGGAGATTCAGTTTAGAGCGATAGAAAAACCCATTATCTGGTGGATAGCGTAATTCGACCTTCGTACAACTGGTGCTTACTTGTCAATTTCATTGCCATTAACGATAGTTTCAGCGACACCAATTACAAGACATGCCGATTCAAAATTGGACTCTAGTGAAGCCTTCAGATGCTCTCTGAACAACAATTTATATTCTTGCAATCGTTGAGATACCGTCATGACGTCATGTTCTCCTCTCAATCTCCTTTTTAACGCATCTTTCTCGTTTTGATAACGAAGACAAAGATCATTTAACATTCGTTCACTGTCAACCTTGCCTTTTAGTTTTTCTTGCCATTCTTTTAAAAGGAGATTGTGGATCTCTGAATCTGTTTTACCTGTTTGAAAATGGATATTTTAAGATTTTTTTAAAATTTTTAGAGTTGAATGCACATCAGGATAGACTAATATTTACCCTCATTCTCAAGCATTTCTCTTCTCTTATTCTCTTCTTTTAAAGATTCCTCGTGGTTTATTCTTCCACAGCCTAACAAAGCCAGTAAGTTCCTTGGATATTCCTTTGGTGCTGATCCTTCAGTTTGGCTGTATGCCAATGAACCTTCATCAGTTGAACTAAGTCGTCTCTCTCTTAGTTTTGCATGAACCAATCTTTCTTCTTGTTCCCCTTCAGACATAGCCAACCACATACCTTCCCCAGTCTCATGTTGGATTTGCTCCAAAAGCAGTTTCTCTCTCAGAGTTTCATACCTGGAGAAGCCCAATGCCATTAATTTGCAGTCCTAGACTGCATTACTTTTAAGCAGGTTTTAATTATGGTGAATTCATAGACAAAACACTGCAAAATTGTAGAGAAAAACATACTTTGATTTCAAAAGTGCAACCAAATCGGAAGCACCAACTTGTTGCCGACCCTTTCTTATTTCATCATCTTCAACATCCGAGTCTTGATCAAACAATATTGCGCTAAGTCCTTCCTTCTCCAAACGTCTAATCCTCTTTCTTGATTTTTGCTTCAGTAGCAGTGATTCTTTGTTTCGCTCAGCCTCTCTTTGAGCCAGCAAAGAGCTATCTTCCTAAAATTTGCAGCATCGCATAGCAGTTATGAAAAGGAATTAAAGAAGAAAAGCTGTTATTAAGTAAAAAACTCCTAATAAGTGAATATAAACTTACCTGTAGTTTTTCCAAAACAGACCAGTCGTCATAAAGTCTTTCAATACCCTCATTTTCCAACTTTTCTCGCTCAGTATCAAAAACCACATCATCTAAAATGTCCCCAGTGGGCATATCACAAAGCCACAACTTGATCTCATCAAATGATACATCCTCAAAACTTGTTTGTCTTGATGAAACAAATCTGTTCCAAGTGTCGAGTGAGAATTGGTCACCATGAACACATTTGAATAACAAAAGTGCAGAATTAAGTGAGATTCTTCCACAACCTTAATAAAAGACATTAACTTTAATTGAAATATATATATTGCAACAAGGTTAATTCCAGGAGAAAATAATCGGAAAAAGTGACTAGATAGAGAAAGAAGAGAACAAGGTAATGTGAAGAGACCAGTACAAGCGGAGTTAAAAGGGAAAAGGTGGAAGAGGGGATGGGAGAGAAAAGGGAGATAAAAAGGGGAATTGTTAAGAGGAGGTGCATCCTCTTAAGGGTAGAATGGAATTTAAAGTGTAAGATGAAAGAATGAGAGTAATGGAGGAAAGGGACAGTAATAAAAAGGAAAGGCAATAAAAAAGGGAAGAAATGGAAAGGTAATGGAGATGTGGAAGAATGAGAGTAAAAGGAATCGAAATAAAGAGCTGAGAGAGTGTACATGGGTGGTAAGCAAAGTAAAGACATTGTGAAAGAAAAAGGTTGAAAAGGAAGATAGTCAAGTAAATTAAACAAAGGAAAGAAATAAAAGAAGAGGATAACGTTGAGTCAAACGTCAAAACATGAATGCAATTGAAATAACCGAAATAAACACCTACCTAACACATCTAAACATTTAAAGTCCCAAGCAATGCTCTCCTCCAGTAAAACCCTTCTGCCAATTTCCTCAATCACACTGCCAAAGTGTTCTTTGTTACATTTTAGCTGCGAATTTTGTCCACATATATAAACCACAGCGGCCTCGATCTGGAGACGGTCTAACGGGACAGAGTACACTTGCGTTTGAAAATCTTGTAGTTGATCTACTGTTAAATAGCCATACAGTCTCGTATCTAGTAAGTCGAACATCAAACCGTAATCTGGTATTCCCATCTTTTCAAGATTAAAAAATATAGCACTTTTACAGCTCAGAGAATGAAAAATTCCATCTTGACAACTTTGGAATGTTTTCTTTTAATTGAACCTTTTTAATAATTGTCAAAACATTAGCTTCAAGAATCGACGTTAAGAGTAAAAGAATGATCGCTGACGTTAAAGATATACCAAAACTCTATCCATAATCCATGTTGATTCTACAACATAGGATCTAAAAATTATTTTTTCATACACTTTTTACGTCGGATATTTTCAACGTCGTAGTTGTCCCACATGAGAATAGCAACAACTTTTATAAACATTAGCTTCCATTTTTAAAAACCTGAACTTCTATTTCTGCTGCATTGTAAATTTCCTGTCAATATATAACATACTTACCAGTGTGACGTAGCGTATTATATCCACTGATAGGCCGTATTCTCTGGCACGAAAAGTCGCTTAGAAAACGATTTTCGTTGCCCCCCTTCGGGCACTACTTGAAAACAAGATAGAAAATTAGGATAAATTATAGAAAGTCTAAATTCACTTGTTTTCACCTTCACAAACCTGCAGTTTTCGAGCATTTCATCTTTGAAAAATCAGTGAATTTGCATGTTTTGCAATACACCGACGCCATTTTGATTCAGGAAATGTCTTGGATACTTGGTGTAATATACGACATATATAGCAGATTCAGCAGTTTTATACCAGTATTTAAATGAAGTTTCCAGCATTTTTGCTGTGCAAGCAGGTTTCAACAAGGAAGCTTTGAGTGGAGTTTTACAAGGTTTTTCGCAAATTTTCATTGTTTTTCAAAACTAAATTACTCAGAGAAGACTTAGACAACAATTAATCGGAAAAACATCCGCCAATTTTGCTTACACGCATCAAAATCATCCACGAGTGTTTTGTTTCTAGTCAAGTTATATAAAATAATTACTACACAATTCCTTTCCAGCATAACCTTTGTTTTTTATTAACTACTTTTATAATACACATGCTTTCTCAAGAAAACTATTTACAACATCTCAGTTTTTTGACAAAGTTAATTACCAACGCCTTTATCTTATTATCATCAATCCACTAAAAACGAATTTTTAGTGCGAAGACCCAGACATCTTTACGAAGTTGAAAAAGAACAAATTTCAAACATTTTCCTTATGAAAACGTGTGAGGACTTGTGAAAACTGCCAAGTTGGCCCAATTCTAAACTTGCTGAAGTATTGGAAAATGAATCTGGAAATCCAGAAGTCAATGTTTGTGCATTTAACAACAATGCACTGATTGTAGATGCTATGGCAGTTATTCAGTCGGTGAAAGGAAAATGGAAAACATTTGGCGATGATGCTCTTTTAAAAACCTCAACACGCTAGCACGAAAGTATAATTCCAAACGATTAGATTGTTGCAGACAGGTATCCTTAGTTGAGCATAAAGAATGCACAGAGACAACGAAGAGCTGAAAAGTGAAAAAGGAGTCCAGAAAGGTCAAATCTTCAGAAAAGATCAGAGTGTTCCAAAACAGTGGAAAAAGTGTTTAAGATCCGGTGGAAACAAGGAATCTTTCATATCTTTCTTATGTAAACACTGGAGGTCATGTAACTCCTCCCGGTGGTTTTCCATTTCAACTATGTACGTAACTGCTAAAGAAATATGCTATGTTTTATATCCCGGTGATTCCCCAAACGATATTGTTACAAGTAATGAGGTGTCTTCGCTTCATAGCACCACGAAGAAGCAGACACTCGTTTAATTCTACATGCCAACCACGCAGCAGCAACGTACGATAAAGTTATCATCAAAAGCCCTGATACAGATGTTCTTATACCTGCGATTGGCATGCAACAACAGATCCAGAAAGAGATTTTCTTTTTGACTGGCACGGGAGATAGACGTCGTTACGTATTTGTAGCAATTATCTCGAAATTCTTGGGCGTGGCTGTTGCTCTTTGTTTACCAGGCTTTCATGCTTTTACTGGTAATGGCATTAGCAATCAAGCAGCATCATGGTATCAATGTTTAATGCAGAAGTCGATCTTCCATCACTGGTCTGCAATGGCTGGACGCTTGACGATAAAGAACTGGAGATAACTTGGATGACACGCCCACCCGCTCCGCGATCTTTAATTGAGTGTGTTGAGTGCAAGTGAAAGATTCTAGATGCTCGACCATGCGTTGTTCCTGCAAAAAGGCTGACTTAAAGTGCACCGACCTATGTTCGTGTGGTGATTGCCAGAATGCAGTAGTTGAAGATGGTAACGACGATGATAGCAGTTATGGCCTGGCTCAATCTGATGACGATGATGAACTTGAAGGATCAGGATCTAATCTGGATTTCGAAGATGACGTCGATGATGAGTTGTGGTATTAGCTGTCCGATTAAAAGGGTTGAGTTCAACATTTTATTTGTGTTTTAAAATTATAAGGCGCTCGTAATTCTCCCACACTGGTATTAAAACGTATGGCTGATATCAACCTTGGTATGCGTGTTCAATATTTTAACATGTACAGTAGTTGTACGTTGCAAATCACGTTTAAATTGATGTTGGCGTTGGTAATTTAACTTTGTCAAAAAACTGAGATGTTGTAAATAGTTTTGTTGAGAAAACGTGTGTATTATAAAGTTGTTAATATAAAACAAAGGGTATGCTGGAAAAGAATTGTGTAGTAATTATTTTATATAAATTGACTAGAAACAAAACGCTCGTGGGATTATTTTGATGCGTGTAAATAAAGTTGTTCTTATTTATTTGTAAATTCCAAGAGCTGAATGCTATAAAAAAATCGCAAATTAGCGGATGTTTTTCCGATTAATTGTTGTCTAAGTCTTCTCTGACTAATTTAGTTTTAAAAAACTATGAAAATTTGCGGCAAACCTCGTAAAACTCCACTCAAAGCTTCCTTGTTGAAACCAGCTTGTGCAGCAAAAATGCGGGAAACTTCATGTAAATACCGGTATAAAACTGCTGAATCTGCTATATATGTCGTATATTACACCAAGTATCGAAGACATTTCCCGAATCAAAATGGCGTCGGTGTATTGCAAAACATGCAAATTCACTGATTTTTCGAAGATGAAATGCTCGAAAACTGCAGGTTTGTGCAGGTGAAAACAAGTGAATTTAGACTTTCTATAATTTATCCTAATTTTCTATCGTGTTTTCACGTAGTGCCCGAAGGGGGGCAACGAAAATGAACGATAATCGGCCACAGAATACGGCCTATGAGTGATTATATCTCGCGCATGACCTGGTATGGCCAGTTTGTCAATTTACGACTACAATCTGAGGACTACAGTTTTTCACAAATTTGCTGTCAATTTCTTTTACGCTAGTGTTCTGGGAATCCAGCCCAGAAGCCAAACACACGCATTTCAACAGTTCATGCAGAAATAGGATTTCTCGTTTATGTAAAATGTACAAGAAATCGCTTCACTATCAACGAACAGGTTTTCGTTTGGCCCCAGACATGGACACTGTTTTTTACAGTCAAACGAAAAGGAGGGAAACCGGAGTGCCCGGAGAAAAACCCTCCAAAGGTAACCTGAATTTCAGGTTACCTGACCGGCGGTCCGAATTTGGCATTTTCATTTAGAAATCGTCCGCAATGACAGTTCAGGTTTTATTTATATTTCATCCGAACTGAGCCGAGGTATTGCATATTGCTATGAATCCTGGTGGTGGTCTAACGTGCGTAGCGCGCATATCGTCCGTTGCAAAACAGCAAGCTGTTAAAAATTCATATTAAACTGCACTTTGTCCGACAAGGACAACAAAAATTATTTCAAATATTAAATGCTCCTTATGATCATGCATTTTTTTGAAAATTTGGCATTTTTGGAAAGAAATGCTTCATATTAAAGAAGCTTTTTCATCTAAAACCGATGTAGACAACAACACTCTTCTACTATCCCTTCTTAAGACATGCACCTCATGCATCATTTATCTTTTTTTATACGTTCTGGGTAACGGTTGACCGAAAATGGAGGAAATAAGCGTAATCGGGCTCAACATGCAACTTACTCAATAAAAATTATGGCTAATCAATAACGTCCCTTACCTTTCGCACTATATGATAATTACCTTCAGTAGACAGTGTACCAAAATTTCACTTGCTTCTTGCTCCATTTCCAAACAGTTGCGTCTTCTTTAACAACATCTCGACGGTGGGGCGTGCAAGAAATTAAACAACATAGTAAGTGTGTCAAAATGCAAAGGCTTCTTTAGAGGGGTTCACTTTCTATGCAAGAGGGTATTATACAATATTGACCTACAGTAAAACACTATGTCCCCAGATATCCCCCATTATATCAGTATAGTTCTTATACAATGTAATATACTGTATCATGTAATATAGGAGATATATAGTAGATTTTATAGGAGGTATAAGTTAGTCAAAATTATTAGACTACGTTTATTTCCTTCATGCTTGAGATTAACCAGAAAATTGCAATCCGAAAAATTAATACCAACAAGGGAAACAGAAGATTGCTAGTGTCTGAACATCTGAAATAGTAATCAAGTTTTCTTCATTACGAAGTTCAATAATCCGAATTTAAATATTGAAAGACTAAAGTAATTTTTGATGCCACTGACGGACGGTCCTTCGAAACGGTCGCATTATAACAGGCCGAACAGAAAACTTATATAATCATATAAGTACTCTGGACTATCTTCGTATTAATCTAAAATTAGGCTAATACGAATTTAATAATATTTTCTCGTTACGTGCGCGTCGCGTCGCCCTTGCTAAATGCATTTTGCTACTTTCATTTCAACGCTTTAAAGCCGTCATGCATCTTCCACAGCTGTTAAGTCGTTCACACGCAAGTGACAAAACTAGGAAGAGCTGTGAGAAATTTCTTTTTATCATGCATTGTCGAAAAGGGTTTAATGTCAGTTGTCACTTGATGTGAATAGACAAGGTTAGACCACCAGGAGGAATCAATCAGACCATGCATAACTCTAATTATTACACCTGTAGTATGTACCTCAAACTAGCTTCCACTTGTACATCCGTCTCGTCGTCCATCAATCATCTGATCCTGTGACGATCCCTCATCATCTGATCCTGCGACGATCCCTCATCATCTGATCCTACGACGACCCCAGCGACAATCCTTCAAGATTTTGCGATGATCATCCAACACCTCCACATCCAACATCTAAACATAGATACAATATAACATATTTATAATATATTTATTTCCAAGAGAGAAATGTCCCCTACGTTTAAAGAACTTATATTTTATAAATAAACCTTCGACATCTCCTACGCCACTCGTCCAAGGCCTTCGCATTGCGCACGCGAATACAAAAAATAAATGTATTCATCGTTTTCTTCGTTGTCCTGAGAAAACTAAATCACTCCACTATCACCTCCTTCTAGAATTACAATTTCTCATGCATTTTTATGTTTTAGGCGCTCTGTAAGCGATATTTTTGTTTCGGACTATTGTCGTTCAAGATGGAGAAACTACAAGTGATGGGGCCCCAGAATCACTTGCATTTCCTCCGCATGCGCTTGACACGACCCGGTTAACCCATGCAAAAACCGCATGCCAAAAACGTGAAATAAAGGGGGTAAACAGAAGAATGTTCAGCATCTCAGCCAAAAAAAGTCATGCATATTTTACTCATGCATATTTTCACCGAAATCTAGTTTTGTATTCGCGTGCATAAATGTCCCAAGGCAGCTCCGACTTCTTCACTCCGACGATTCTTTCATTCTGAAAAAGACAATACACTTTTTTGTTTTGTGCTAAAACATTGGAAGCAAAAGGAATCACTACAGCAAGACAAGATACTTTCGAAGTAGAAAACAAGCACATGTCAAGTCTAGCATGAGCCGTATAGCTATACATAATTGACTAATATATACAACTTTTCCCCTGTACAAAACGAGTGTTAACGATACAGGAAAGTTTCAGCCACAATTTTTTCATTTCTATATAAAACTTACTATATTCTAGTTTCGCTCACCGTGTACAAACGTGTTATTTCAACTCACAAATGCAAAATACACGTATATAGAACAATACCTATTGTGTTTCGCCTTCCTCATCTTTTGCCGCTGTAGTTCGTTCTGAAAATAAAAGGCAAGAAAAGCAAAATCAACTTAATCATTTAAGATCTCACTTGAATTTTACATTTTCAATGGCAAATATACAAGATTTAGGGAGTGAAAATCAGCACTGAGAATATGCCTCCAGCCGCTAATGTCTTCTGGCTATTCAAATCAACATGGTGATGAAATATAATAACTTGCAAAGATCAAAAAACAGATCTTTAAAACAACCATGACCATATACCTGATTACAAAGCAAGATTCCTAAAATTTTTCCCTAAACTTCCTCTCGTAAATCTTTCTTCTTCGAGACTTCAACTGAGTTTAGTCCGTTCATCGTGAAATCAACCACGTTTTATTGCCTCGAACTCGCCTCCCACGCGGCTTTTCTTATTTAATCAGGGTCCGAAGCAACGATCATTGATTGTTTGTGATCATCGACATTCCAAAGGACAATGCGTGGACTTTATGGATCGTTGACAGTTCACAGTGTAATTTTGCGACGAGCATGGCAGAATTGCCCGGAATAAATTAGCTCAAACAAAGTTTGACAGTCTTAGTTTGCATATATTTTGCATATTTCTATTATTGTCCGTTGAAAGAATGAATAAATCTTTTGATTCTTGTTAAAGTGTGAGGGTTCTTTCATGCTTGAGAAAAATGTCTAAACTATATTTGCCCTACGTTTGGGATTGGTTGTTTCATCTCAAAACTTTAAAAACTTTCTCATTTCAGCCATCAGATTTCTGACTTTAGCTTGTCAGGTTGACTGTTGACAGGCTTGAATCTAGCTTGCCACAATCAGTGTGACCAGATCTGGTGATTTTTATTACCATGTTTGGTAGGATGCACGCATGCTGACAGTCCCACAAGGCCACCTGATTCTAATAATTACCAAATATATACTAGGAGGGGGATCCAATTTCAAATCAAGAAAAATGCATTTTGAGCTTCCTATTTGTCGCTAAAAAATTATTTCACAATAAATTTGAACCACCGTGCTAATAATGAATTGGGTGATTCTATAAGAGCGAGTCACTTTACACATAACATGTCTTATGAATCGTTTTGAGTTCTGAATGGAAAAGAATGAAATTGAAAAAGATTGTATTATGAATATGGAATAGGGCAAAAAATACAGCAAACTGTGCAATGTCTGTTCACCAGGCAACAAAAATGTACAAATCTCGTTATGAATGAGATAGCGATGGGAAAGATAATTTAAAATAAAAACTTTTGTAGGCACACCGCCTTTATATTAATTTTGTGCAATGTGTTGCAAATTATTTAATTATGACGCCGTTTAAAATGTAATCATTTATAGATTTTATAGATTATAGATTCCGAAAGTTCCAATGTTGTTTTGCCTTCACTACGGCAAACGTTAATTTCATGCAACTGCAATAAACGTTATTCATTAGAATAACGCCAGTCTTACTGCATCATTCTTTACAGTTCTTTAAACATAAAATACCAAACTTGTGCAGTGAGTGGCCGGGTTAAACCAAAATTTGGAGTTGGAAGTAATACTGAAAACAGCCGAAGGCGAAGCCGTGGTTCAAAATCATTTTTTTCGCCAACGTGAGTTCCCTACCAGGCGTCCTGTCTTTTATACTTAATAATGCGGCAAAGCGCTATATGAATTTCAATAAAGCAGTTGTTAATAAACAGTTCACTATTATTAAAAAAACTTTCATTACTTTTTTCACAAAGGTTGAGGCATTGCATGTGACACAGTTTTGCATTCTGTTTTATTTAACACGAAAAGTGCGTATCACATTATAACAGAACCAAAATGGAAAATAAACCGCCGCCGCACGATCGTCCTTTGCCTTTGGTTACGAACAACACTAACATGTCAGATTTTGGACGCTTCCATACGATGCCTTACATGTCTTCGATATCTATGTATATCATTTTGGTAATGACTATACTTTTAGCTCTAACAGGTGTCTTCAACAACTGCTTGGTTGCTTCGGTTGTTTGGAGAACAAAACAGATGAAAAACTCAACGAATTTCCTACTAGCAAACAACGCTATTGCGGAGGTGTTCTACCTGGTAACTTCTGCACCAGTCACTGCTTACCTTGTTTTACATCGGGCGAGATTCATCACATCAGCAACGAGTGTTTTTCTCTCGAATTTCTTGGACTTTCTTGTGTTGATGCATACTCTATTATTCTGCGTAACAACCATGAACTTGGCGTTGTTATCGATTGAACGTTACAACGCGTTATGCAATCCCATGAAAATACAGCGAAGATTAGGAAAACGTGGCACCAAATTTTGTGTGTTAACAATGTGGTTGTTGGCAGCAATTCTAGTCCTTCCTGTTGCTATAAACTTCATAATGGTGGAGGGTTTTGTAGTCATTGAAATCTTCATCTATTTTTGCTTCATGAAAGGAATACTAACTATTATCACAGGTTGTGTGGTAGTTTACTGCTATGGGAGAATAATATATGGTATTTACATTTCTAAAACAATTTTTACTCAAACCAGTTGCGCTACCATAGCAGACGACATGAAAACTAAGAAAAATGTCGTGAAGATGTTGCTATCTATAACATTCACCTTTTTGTTTGCAAAATTGCCTGTAGCATCATACAGAGCAATAATGTTGTATCTCGGGTCATCGACTCCTAGTGAAAAAGATGGTATAATATTTGCTGCACATACATTAGGACATGCGTCTTCTTTTCTAAATCCTATCATATATTTGCTGTTTAGCTCGAACTATCGTCAAGGAGCTCTTAGATTATTAAAATCGTGTTCTCTCAACAAGGTTAGCAATCTACCCCCTACCCAGCAACAAGCAAGAGACTACTTAAAATAGATGATCTTATCCCAATGACAAACAGTGGGGAGACAGAAAAAGATTTTTTGTTAAACCTAACAGAGTATTAAGAGAGTTCAACTTTGAAAAGCGTGACGGTGTCAAGAAATGAGCTTGCCTAGACTGTTAAACACGACTCTTTTGAAAGGAAAGAGAGTAAAAACTGAGAAACAGTCCGTGGGCATTTCGCCTGAGTTTTTGATTGCTGAAGATGGCATTCGTCTACTGAACAATGATTTGATGTAACGATGCAGCAAAATACATTGAATAGCCAGATAATTGTAGTATACTTCACCATTCTGCATTTTAGAATTCGTTGTTAAAAATATATCGCGTACAAATTAAATATTGATTCTTATCATTATTGTCTTCCTTTTTAATATTCTATCCAGTTTCATGCTTTTTTTGGTGTGAAAGGATTTTAACCAGTGTCAGTGAACAGATCTATATTATTCACAATATAAGACACTCAATCTCTCCCTTGTGTCATATACATTAAAGAAAATCCAGCACAACAAAATATTTTGCATAAAAAATTTAGCACCAAAGAAAAAAAAAAGTTAATCATAAAACAACTTCATTCAAAATAAAAGTATTGTAGCAATGACTAACTTTACTACATGTTTCAAAAATTAATACTCAAATCATTTACTATTTTACTATGGATAACAATTCCTAGGAATTCAAGAAACAAAAGTTTGTGAAAGACCACAGGAAGACCATATAGCATTTTGTTTTAATTTTTTCAATTCTAGGTAGCTTAGACACTTATTGTATATTAATTATTACAAAACATAAATGGAAGTTCACAAAAATTAAACCTATCTACAATTTGAAAGATTGTGAACAATAATAGCTAGGTCACATCAATTCAATTCTCATAAAGGTTTACATATATGAAACAGTCAGAATGAGATTGTTGTGATATGCATGTTATTGTATATATACAATATTATCTACTTCTGACATCTAACACAAAATATAATAACAAAATATATATTGTTCATTTTTTGGACTTTTTAATACCACCTGAACCTAAACACAATATAACAAGGTAAAAAGTCATGACAAAGGATTGAATCATCTTATGTATACTAAGAGCAATGAAATATGGTAGCAATAACTTTATGATATTTTTAAAAAGTAGCAGCAAAATGAATATATCATGAGCACTCTGTCCCATTTGCCCCATCTACCCCCTCATCCTGCCAAATAAACATTCATTGGCGCATGGCTAGATTCAGCAGACTGCATCTAATACCAGTTGTATAAGGTCACACATAAATATTTTCAAGTTATGACTGAGATAGTGGTCATAATCAATGTGGAAAACTGGTCAGGTTAAAAATTCTCAAAGATAAATAAAATACACTCCCATTGGCATAGAGGATTGTTGATGGCATATTTCTTGGGGTGGAGTGGTAGATGGCATATTTAGAATAATTTGTGCTGAAGTTCATACCCATTGGTCCTTTGCCAGAAGCCTTGGCTTTTGCTTCTTGTAATTTTTTTTGGTCATCTTTCATTTTTTGTTTATGGGCCATGTCATCCTATTAAAAAAGCAGACAAGGCTTTTTAACCTTGAAAGTATATAAACCTAAAATTGTCTGGCAAATTGCTCAAAACCTCGTCAAGTTCTTGTGTTTTCTTTTTTGGTTGCTTTAAAGGCTTCTTCTTACCTCCTAAATTTCAAGTATACAAATTATCAATGTAACTCAAATTCCAACTACCATTAATTGTACTTCTATTGGTGCATTTTCAAGGAAAATAAAACAGAAATATCAACATATCAAACTATACCTTCCCTCCCAGACATTATACTGTATGAAGTTGACCTAACTACCAGTAAAAAACTAAATTTTAATAAAATGAGACAGAAATGAATTTCACGTGTGAAGATTTTGGTTTATTTTTGAAAAGAATTGAATTGTAATCGATCGGAATCATCCGGTTTCCGAATGTTTCCGAACGCAATCCGATAAAAAATCACAACATTTCGAGAGAAATTTAACAACTACATAATACTGTATTTATATGTAAATTGACCAACCTCTGTAGATCTTATTGAAGTGTGTTTAAAAGATGTTCTGAGAATAGAAATAGTAAATAAATGCAAATTGTACATTTACGATTTTTATTTTACCATTTCGGAAATGGCTATCTTTAAAATAGGGAATGGGGAATGCGGGAATGGGGGAATGCGGGAATGGGGGAATGCGGGAATGGGGGAATGCGGGAATGGGGGAATGCGGGAATGGGGGAATGCGGGAATGGGGGAATGCGGGAATGGGGGAATGCGGGAATGGGGGAATGCGGGAATGCGGGAATGGGGGAATAAGGGAATAAGGGAATGGGGGAATAAGGGAATGGGGGAATAAGGGAATGGGGGAATAAGGGGATGAGGGAATGAGGGATGGGGGATAAGGGAATGGGGAATAAGGGAATGCAGGAATGGGGAAATAAGGAATGGGGAATGGAATGGGGGAATAAGGAATGGGGAATAAGGAATGGGGGAATGGGATAGGGGGAATAAGGAATGTAGGAATGGGGGAATAAGGCAATGGGGGAATAAGGGAATGCAGGAATAAGGGAACACAGGAATGGGGGAATAAGGTGAACAGTGAAACCGGTGAACGAGTGAGTGGGGGAACCAGGCAATGGGGGAACAGAGGGATGGGGGGAACCAGGGAACAGGGTAAAGGTATAACTATGCATGGACTCATTGAGCAGCTAAACTAATAGTAACAGTCTTGAGCCTGAAAGGAACAATTGTTAGTATATAGTAGGCGTGTATACAATATTATGGCTCTCTACATATATATTTATTGTTATTAATGCCAACCTGGCAAGTGTTAATTGTTATTGTGAAACTCAGGCACTCTTGTATTAGATTTTACCAAAGTGAAAAATCAAAATATACTTGCCTTTCAGTAAAAATTAAAACTATAAATAAGATAATGGTATTGTTGTGTGCTAGTGTGTTCATTTAGTTGGCATGCAAAATTTCATTTCAATAGTGATATCTATTCAAAATATAATGACAAATGCAACAGCTAGAACATATGTTAATTATATGGGAATAACATTGCTCAAGAAACTGTTCTGTGTTGACTGTGTATATAATTTTCATGCATGTTTGCATTTGCTTTCAACAAAATCTATGAATGAACCCACTGACCCTTAACTAATTAAGGACAGTCATCCTTTATTAGCAGGTTTGGGGCTGAAGAGAAAAGGGTATAGGGTAACTGCATGAAAATTAAGTGTTATTAACAATATAAATCCTTTCATCATTAAAATCTGAAACCAGGCATGAATCAACTAGCTGTACAATCCTAAATCATCATGCATCAAGTGACTGACATCAACAATATATAGTCAACATATTGGCTCTTTCCCAATCAGCATACAAAGCTTAAAATCTCATAAAATCTTTAATGAATCTCAGTCATTCCTTGGTAGGAAGTCTCAGGCCTATATATAGCTAGTTATATGAAAACATTATAAAAATTGTATAATCAAGTATATAATCAAGTAGGGCATTTAGATATTTATTGTAGTACAGGAAGTATTTATATGTATTCCAATAAATGTCATAAAAAGGTAATATACATAAATAGTATTCAGTATTGCAATGTTTGCATGCCAAATTATAAAGTGCAAACATTGCTTATTTACATAATTACCAAGTTATTCACAAAATGCACATTGTTGTTTCACTGTAACCAAAAATGTTTCTTTCAATAAAATATATTCATCATAATTATATGTTTCCCAAAAAGTTTGTTGTCTAAAATCAGTGGAGTAAAACACTCTAAATATACTATTAATTTTGAAAAAGCTATAGAGTTAAATAGTATATATAGGGAAAATACTTTCTGATATAATGTTTTCATATAACTAGCTATAGGCCTGAGACTTCCTAGCTACCAAGGACTGACTGAGACTCATTAAGATTTTATAAGATTTTAAGCTTTGTATGCTGAATGGGAAAGAGCCAATATGTTGACTATATATTGCTGATGTCAGTCACTTGATGTATAATGTTCCCCCATCCCCCTGTTCCCCAATTTCTCGGTTCCCCCGCTCACTTGTTCACCGGTTACCCCATTCCCTTATTGCCCCATTCCTGCATTCCCTTTTTCCCCCATTCCTGCATTCCCTTATTCCCCCATTCCTGCATTCCCTTATTCCCCCATTCCCTTTTTCCCCAATACCTGCATTTCCTTATTCCCCCATTGCCTTATTCCCCCATTCCTACATTCCCTTATTCCCCCATTCCCTTATTAGTTATTCCCCCATTCCCTTATCCCCCCATTCACTTATTCCCCCATTCCCTTATTCCCCCATTCCCTTATTTCCCCATTCCCTTATTCCCCCATCCCCTTATTTCCCCATTCCCTTATTCCCCCATCCCCTTATTCCCCCATTCCCTTATTCCCCCATTCCTTTATTCCCCCATTCCCGCATTCCCCCATTCCCGCATTCCCCCATTCCTTCATTCCCGCATTCCCCCATTCCCGCATTCCCCCATTCCCGCATTCCCCCATTCCCGCATTCCCCCATTCCCGCATTCCCGCATTCCCGCATTCCCCCATTCCCCCATTCCCGCATTCCCCATTCCCTATTTTAAAGATAGCCTTTCGGAAATTTCCGGTCATAACACTAGTGCTAGTCCTTTTTTGCAGACCTTCTTCCTCGGCTTTCAAGGCAAGATGGCTGCGAGATTGTTTGCATTTCGTCCGGCTATTTACCAGCCGGCATCATGGTAAGACAGATTTTTATCCCTTAAAAACTATTCATTATGTTGAGAGGATAATTTTTCACTCAATGTGGTATTTTATTGTATGTTTAGTGGCTCAGTAAGAAATATGGCTACGCTTAAAGAAAGTAAGTACAACCACTGAAACACTCACGTTTCAATATAAAGAAAGTATTGCTTTCTGGTTTAAATATGTGTACACCTTTAGTACTATTATACACCCACATTATTACTTTACATTATGCTGTACTCCAAAAAAAATGTGCTGCGATCTTGTCTTAAATATTAATGATCAATATCTTTTTTTTCAACACATATTTTTCTCTTAGTTTCAATCCGGCTGAAAAGTGTGAAAAATATTCAAAAAATTACCAAATCAATGAAGATGGTGTCAGCAGCTAAATATGCTAAGGCTGAGCGAGAGCTTAAACCAGCAAGGGCATATGGTGAAGGAGCATATGGTAGGCTGACGGATCACAGAAATTAACAACTTTTAAAATGAATACCTGGAAATTATATCACTTATATGACTTTCCTGCCCAAGAAAGAGTTGTTTTTTGGAGATCAACTAAAGATTAGATATAGGAATAGTTCATAGTATTGGGATTTGTATGAAGATTGGGTTATATACAGATTTATTTAAAGATTATAATTACATTTAAGACTGAATTAGTTCAGAATACTATGATTATATTATTAACATAAAATTGTTTCACACCTGTCAAAAATGTTTTAATTTAGCTCTCCCAGACAAAGCTGAGTTGGAAGTTGATGAGCAAAAGCCCAATCACTTGATGGTGTTACTTTCCTCAGATCGTGGTCTTTGTGGTGGCGTCCATTCTAGTTTGGCTAAAGCTGCAAAAGCAGCCATTGCTGAACAACCAAGCAGTATAAACACCATGCTTGTACCTTGTGGTGATAAGGCTAGAACCATTCTACAAAAAACACATGGTTGGTAGAAGTAGTATTGAGCCAATACTAAAATACTACCTATAATGATCATTAATACCCATCACACCATATTAAACCATTTAAATGGTTAAGTGTTAGCTCTGACTAGGATTGCTTCAGATTGCACTGCTTCAATACTCACATTTATGTTTCTTAAAACTTGAGTATTTATTGCTTCCAGGTCAGAATATCCTATTCCATGTTTCTGAATTGGGCAAGAAGCCACCAACATTTGCTGATTCATCTGCGATTGCTCAAGAGATTCTTGAAAGTGGCTATGAATTTGATGTTGGCAAACTGATTTATAACAAGTTTCAGTAAGTAAATTATAGCAATGGTGATCATCACTGATAGTTGCAGAATATATTAATGCTGAAAGTCTACTGGTTACTCGTAACAATCATGGAATCATAGCAATAATGTAGTTATGATAAAATATTTATATAGATAGTTAACACACAGTTGTGTAGCCTGCCTGCATACAGATTTGTAACACACTTTTTTACCATCCTTAGATCTGTTGTTGCATATGAAACACAAATGAAACCAATGTTTTCGTTCGAGACATTAAATAGTGCAGGTTTGTGTTCATCATTGAGTCCAAAAGAGTGTACCTGTAGAAGGTTGAACATTTTCCCCAGCAGCAACTATCGTTCCTGCACAGCAATTTTCTTCGTAAGGTAGATAAGTATTATTACCTCATGGGTCAACCATATTCTCTTTCTTTTATAACCAGAAACATTGAGCATATATGATGATGTTGATGCAGATATCATGAGAAACTTTCAAGAGTTTAATCTTGCTTCTATGATATTCTTCGGTATGAAAGAACAATCATGCAGTGAGCAAAGTGCCAGAATGACAGCTATGGATGGAGCGAGCAAGAATGCAGGTACGTTGTCGTTGATTGGTTAAATAATCGTGTAACAGCTAGCTCTCATCGTGATCACACATGAGTACACATGTACAACTAAGTACAAGCGGTGATTGATATGTATATATTTATTGTTTTGTTTTGTTTCAGGTGAAATGATCGATAAACTAACGTTGACTTTCAACCGGACCCGTCAAGCTGTTATCACAAGAGAACTTATCGAGATCATGTCAGGCGCTGCAGCCTTGGAGTAGAGACATTTTTCATTTAAAGAGTGTTAGACGCATTGTTACGCTAATAAATTGTTTTCAATATAAACCATTTCTGCTCTAATTCATTTGCATGGAGGGAGTTTTGCTGGTTCCCACACAACAATCACCTGGCTTTAGCTGTGCTCACGACCATTCGTAATAAAGAAAACTGTGTTTCTCAGTAATGATATAGGTTGATCTGCCGAGTTTTCGATAAGTTGAATATCTTTATATGTTAATTGTTATTACCTGGTAATCTAGGTATATTTTTAGTTTGATCCTGTGATAACTGCATTCATAAAAATAGACGTGTGCGTCAGTACAATCTAAAATTACTGGCAAATTAGGCTTGACCTTGGTAATGTATATTAACGATGTGTATAGGATTATATCGCTCTAAATAATCGATAAATATTGCCTCAGCAAATTTGTGTTATAAGTGCAAATACGTAATTTGTGGTAAGAAGAATCTTCTTTTCCTGCGGCTATGTATGGCGTATACCCTTGGTGGCTTTAATTTCTTTTCTGATCACTGAGAATGACTATGACTATATACTATAAACACGCCAGTAATTTCCCAACGTCATGGGATAAGAATCAGCCAAATGAATTCGTTCCAATTATATGAAATGTGTTTTGTAGGTTTGGGCGTTTCTTGTCTTATAATAAAGGCTCATTTACGGTTTACACTTGCGATTTTCGCTGCGATTTTACCAACGATTTTCTTCTTTTGATAGATGTGAACGAGTGATAAGTTACGAATGCTCTGAGTATAAGAGCTCTTATACTCAGAGCATTCGTTGAGCATTCGTAACTTATTACTCGTTCACATCTATCAAAAGAAGAAAATCGCACATAAATCGCAGCATGCAAAATTCGCAAGTGTAAACGGGCCTTTAAGCCGGTTTTCCACTAGCGATATTTTTCGCACGAATCGACAACCTCGTTCATCGACAGTTTACTTTTGTCTCAGAGCTCTCAACTGCAACCATCTGGAACAAATTGCTCAAATACAAAGGAATAAAGTCGCTTCGTGCGAAAATATCGCTAGTGGAAAACCGGCTTTAGGATGACTCAGTGCGCATTTGCCCAATGGCAACGTTGAAGTGTCTGGTCTTGAATGCTTCACATTACAAGTGCATGCGAAAGAGTATATCTACCCTCTTAAAACAATCTAAACTACGTGCAATAACCTCAATTTCTGGAACTTAATCTTGATAATGCATATTAATAATATAGAAGTACGTCGATTTAGATGCGGTTTGCGGCACCAGAGTGAAAGTAAATAACATGATTATAGCCATAAAGTTGTTGACTGTTGAGCGCGTTACAAATGCATGAATTGGTCACGTTTGCGGCAGATTGCCACTGCTACGAGCTTTATGATGCAAAACAACGGCCTGCGATGATCGTTAATAATATATAAGTTCAAGTATACTTATAAATATTTTGTGAGTGCCATTATCACTATATATATATAAATGAAATCCTGTCATATACTACTGACGAGAATTAGGTTTGGGGTCTTATTTTGCTATATATCAAATAGTTGTGAACTACTGCAGAACTTTAGGAGCTTTCGAATCACTGGATTTAGAGATGACAGAACATATAAATTATTTCAACAAATTGGGAAAGAAGGTAAAGAAATCGACAGCCAATTTTTCCAACAAAACACAAAAGAAACAAGGTCGGATTGGAAAAGAATCATCATCGTCAAATGTGTCACAAATATGGAGTAAGTTCATCAAAACGTCACAAGGAAGGACGATATTCTTCATCCATAATCATAGTAGATACTTGTTTTAGATAGTTGCATGTAGCTCTCAAACGAAAGGTGAAGCAAAATACCGCAATTCGCGAAAAATATCACCCATCAAAAAATGTCTTCGCAAACAGATTACGTATATATACGACTGACCTACACGAAAAAATGATTTACAGGATAACGCGGATTAAAATGTATTCCACCTCAAACATTCCGTTCCGAAGCCATTTTGTTACCCGGCTGTTCAACAAGAGCGGCTTTTACTTTTTTTACGTTTTGCTCCAGGGCGCTTATATATAGAATAGAATATAGAATTATATATTCTTTATGTATAAGCGCCCTGTTTTGCACAAATATTTTGTACATTATTATGCGCGTATACGCATGCACGCTTTAGTCATGGCTTTATACGGTTGAACCGCAGAACGATCTTTACAGCTCGCTTTCCACTTTAAGGCTCACAGCGAAACGTTAAGTGTATTTCTAAGTTTCAAATCATTAGTTTTTGTCGGGTACCGAGGAAAAAATGAAAAACGCAGCACTTGCCACAATCCTAGGACAGGCCAACATCTTATCCTGGCTGCATGAGGTGAAGCCATGTGCCGCTTTAATCTTGCCCTGCTGCGAGAGGATGTGTTCTTTCCTAAAAAAATTTAGTTTAAATCTGGATCGTGATATAAAAATATCTTCAATGTAGACGAATTGTCAGACAAACTTCCTTTGTTACGTAATCAGTGAAACTATAGCGGAGCCGGCATCGGACCTCGCAAGCCGTGGAAGTCGTATATTTACACTATATACACCGGCGGACCTGGGAATAGAAATAGCTTGGATCCAGTGACTTTCATCACAGTGCTAGCTGTGAACAGACTGCAGCAATAAGACTTCTGGATTTTAATGTATATATACCTTTACACAAAGTTTATAGTCAAAAGTTTAGATCAGTATTTCCAATGAAAAAATGCATCATAAATACCACCACCAAGATTTTATGACTTATGTGGTAACGACGCGGTTTTCATAACTACTTTTGAGTGAATATTTTTCACAAATACAATAGACTCTCAAATCACAAATGGTAGATATTGCAACATTCAACGTAATATTCACGCCTCTCTAAAGAATGTTGTCATAATAATATTCACTACAAAACTATATTAATGAAAGTTAGCTTCGAAGGTACTTCAGTATATACTTTCACATTACAATTTATCATTTTCCCGACTTTTAATCGGAATTGAAATCTGAAAATTTAATGTGCCGCATTCTGAGTGGGTCTTACTCAATTTCTGATAAGGGAAACTTTCGAAAACAAGTTGTTTACAACACAAGATATTGTGGGAATTTAAACCTCTCTTGTTGGACCGATGATTGATAGAGCTATACAGACTACACTGTTATAGCGCCCAACTTCATGTGCTAATCTCTCAATGAAATTAATCGATGGTCAACATCTTAAATGTCACTCAAAAGTTAGACAGAGCAAAATAGAAGAGGGTGCATGATTTCTTAAACTCCTCTGAAGGTTTTTAAACTCATCAGTTTTAAAAATCAAAACTTTATCATCCGTTTTCTGTACAATCATATTTTTAAACTCCAGTAGGGGGGATATAGGGGTAAAAAATAACTTTGCAAAACATAAGAAAAATTGGATTGGCATTCATATTTTTAGCTAGTTAAGGTATTGATATTCTATACATCTGTTTCAGGTCCTGAATCAATCTTGAAAGAATACGAAGTCTTCACCAGCATTTGCCATGGAGGAGCAGCAAATGTCTACGCTGCGAGAAGAAGATCTGATCAAGTACCGGTGGCATTAAAGGTTATAGAGAAAAATAAACTTGGGAGATTTCTTGAGGTTAGTAAAACGATTTTCTTCCTTAATACAGTAAACATGAAGTATACACTCGAGTTAAATTTTGCCTTTTTGGTATTTAAGACTTTCTGATAAGGATATATCTCTCTAATTTAATACTATTCTAACACAGGCAGAATACAGACACTAGCATTCTATGGAAATTACTCCAATGAAGACACCTTTCTAATACCTAAATTATACCGACATGCAGAGACACTGACATACCTCTAAATGCACCTATCTATATAACAGAAATGCATCTCCGAATGCGCTTCTCTATATAGCATTAACACTTTCTCAGGCCCCTCTTCTTATACCCAAACCTCTTTAACCACAAGACCTCTCTCATGATAATCTCTTCATAAATCACAGTCAAAAGACAGCAAAAGATCTTAAAATGGAACAAGGTAGAGTAAGCTCATAGACAAATCATGCCTATAATTTTTTCTCTCACAGGAAAATGGCAAGCCTATCCCAAGTGAGGTTTTCCTACAGAAGAAACTAGAACATAAAAACATTATAGGGCTATTGGAATACTTTGAATGTGGACAATCTATCATATTAATCCTAGAACGACCTGAATCATACATCGATCTTTTTGACTTCATCAGCAGGCAAGAATTTCTCTCGGAAAAAATAGCGAAAAAAATATTTCGTCAGGTGTTGGACGCGACCGTGTATTGCGAAATGAAGGGGGTTTTTCATCGCGACATAAAAGACGAAAACGTTATCCTTGATTTAAAGACAGGAGAAGCAAAACTGGCTGACTTTGGGTCTGGGGCGCAGTTACACAATACCGAATATACAGAATATGAAGGTATATAAAGCAGAGCCCCTCAGCCTCCCTCTTATTAACTACGGTATAGATTACGTACATGTATACAATGATAAAACTAAACGGTGATATTATTAACTTATTATTATAGCCTTTGTCTTTCCTCAGGTACGCGATCGTACTGCCCACCAGAATGGTACATAAACCAACGATACTTGGCGAAACCCGCGACTGTTTGGTCACTGGGCATACTACTGTACGACATGGTCTGCGGAGATGTGCCTTTCGAAAATGAGGAAGAAATTAAGGAAAAAGAAGTAACATTTACAATGTCGTTATCTCCAGGTACGTCATAGAATAGGTTCGAATCTTCGTTTCTTTTATTTACAATTCTTTTATGTTAACAACTAAAAAATCATTAATTTGTGCTCATGATTTGAAAAATCAACTAAATGACTGATGGGAATTACGAAACATGTAGCTATTATTGGGAAAACGAAGCCAGATGAGTCTGATGTATTAAACATGATTGTTTGGTATTTTAGATGTACAAAACCTAATAACGATGATGCTAGATAAAGATCCACAGAAGAGACCAACTATAGAAGACATTATGAACCATCAATGGACAAAAGATAACAAGATTGAGTAATTACGTTCTGCCGCAGTGATTTTGAAGAAACTCTCTGCGTTTCCACTTCGACACTTCCACATTTTCATGTGATTATTCCGTGACTAAAGGACATCAGGAATATTTTAACTGCAAACAGTACTTTCGCACCATGCTGAAAGGATTCGTTCAAGCTTTATGATCACGAACAATGCATGCATTATCACGCAGTTGCACGAATAAAACGTTTTTTGAAAAGTTTGAGTAACCCAGACTACGTACGACACAGTAAAATTAAAAGTTCAAAAAGGAACTATAAATGACATGGTAATGATGGTAGCTGTATATTATTATCGTGACTGCTGCGAAAAAGTAGCGGCAATATAAAGTCATTATTCAAATCTAAAAAATCAAATATAGATTATACACATATATATATATACATGTTAGGTGAAACCTATATATATATGCACCAAACAAAACTATCTAAATTGAGTATTTATATTTAGTTACGAGTATATATAAAGAGGATAACTGCATGTATTTATTTTTTTCTTGCGGTCCGAATTCATATTTTAGCGTTTCCTGCAATCTGATTGGCTACGCAAGCGGTATGAGGCCGTACGGACCGCTCGAGATTTAAAAGCACAGAACCAACGCTAAGATATGAATTCGGACCGCAAGAAAAAATAAATCTATTATTTACCAGTTTAGTCGGTCCGTATAGGGAAATATTTCCCTCGGTCTCAATTGAAGCTGTCGGCCTCGGGCTGTTTTTGAGACCTTGGGAAATATTTCCTTGTACGGACCTCCAATTTGGACCTCCAATTTGGACCTCCTCCTTTTCTGAGCGTAGTGTAATTGAAAATGGTTATAACCTGAGACATTACGATACTGATCTATCAATCCCGAGACCTAAGAAAGAGTTTCTCAAAAGAAGTTTTAAATATAGAGGAGCTGTATTATGGAATAGTCTTTCGCGTGAAGCTAAGTCTGCTCAATCGATTCATTGTTTCAAGAGGCTCATAAATTCAAGTAGTTAATTCTGCATATTATATATAGTTTATATTTGTATAGTGTAATTAAGTAGACGCTCATAATGTAATTAAGTAGACGCCCTCCGTGGAAATCAGTGGTAACTGACGGGGCTAGTGTCTGTAAATAAAATTTTTAATAATAATAATAAAATTGGAAAAGATCTCCTATATGATTGTCTGCATGATATACCCCCCTGAAGATAACCTTTAAAACAGCCTCTTTTCAGGATCTTCTTCTACGAAAAATCTCTTCAGTTCTAACCAGTTCAGTTATAGTCACGTTTATCTCTTCTTCAAAGCATAACTTTTAAACAGGACTTAACGTATACTTTTAGCGGATCACGTGATAAGCTCCAACTGGGAGCTCATCCAGAGAGCGGGGAATCTGCCCAATCTCGTGCTATCTGGTTACGAGGATGGAACTTATTTATCCAAGTCCCTCTGTCGATGTGCATGTATAGCGCGAATGGTAGAAGCACGTGTGAGTTGAGGCCTGACATCGGGCGAACCCCAGGGGGCAATACATGCAGCATTCGTGCATGTGAAGAGCTCATTATTAATTGATAATCTCATTACATCCAGTACAGCTAACGTCGTCAGATCACAACAAATTCTGCATCGTAAGTTCTTTTTTAATGTCCAATATACTTGACGCATGCATATGAATGCAACTTACTTAAAACATCTACGTAATCAGCTTAAGTTCATTCGTCAAACATCGTGGTTTCCAAGTGCTAAACGCAATAACCACAGTAGATAAAAAGTAATTCGACTGTTTGTCTATTTATTCTTGAAGTTTATTTTAGGATCACCACAAATTATTTTTAGATTTATTTATCGTTGCTAGGATTGCTTTTCTTAAAACTCTTACGTATTAAACAGAATTTATTATCAGCTTTTACACCAAATATATAGAAGAAATATGAACTGAAAAATGATATTTAAAAATATTGTTGTAAGGATCTCTTCAATTTTAAATCACGATATTGTAAAAAAAACTTTTAAAAGAACATTTTACTGTACATTTTATATAGTGTTAAAGTATATATGGTGTGAAAATCTGATAATAAAATTATTTATAATATCACGATGAACAGTGAAAAGTTTTTGTTCAATATTCCCGGCTTTCAGCCACAGCTGAAGAACCAGAAGAGAAAGCTTTGCAATAATAAGTTCACCTGTGGCGGATATTATATATTTATATATGATTTTTGTTATAGACTGAGGAATATGCATACATCATCTTTTATAGGTACCATACAGGAGAAATACGCCTTGAACAGAAGCCCAATGTCCGAACTGAAAAACCCGTTTCGACAAAAACCGATGACAAATTGGTCTTTAAAATATTATGCCTATATATAGCCTTATATATGTACATGTTTAAAATATTTTCTTATTTTCTACTGTTACGTTATCACAATATATGATTAGCCCGCACCACCTGAAATTTCTAACCAGCGATAAACTCGATGTTAATATGGAACATAAACAAGTCATATACCAATGAATTGATTCAGAGAAACACACGCGTCTGCATGGATATCAATAAATGAAGTTCGTACCACAGTTAGGCCTGCATAATATATGAACAGCAAAATACCTCAGTGGCTCACAAGATGACCAAATTGCCTTGTGACAACTGAGGTAGTAAATATCCTGAGGAGTGATTATTCACCTGCTATAGGAAAACCAGGTTTACCGTCTACTGCACCCACACCGGCGTTGAGATGTGATCGCGGGGAGGATCGTAAAAGACTATGATATATAATTGCTTTTAATTACGTCACTTGCCACGTTTTTCCTTACATTGATGGAAAGTGTAGAGCTTGTGGAATCTACAAGTAATGAATACACAGGTTTTCTTTGTAAATTAGAAGCCGGTAGCCTAATGACTGTAGTGGTATATTAAATGTGGTATGTGGTGGTATATTAAATGTGGTATGTGGTGGTGTATTAAATGTGGTATGTGGTGGTATATTAAATGTGGTATGTAGTTGTATGTCGACAAAATAAATTTCTTTCGCACGTCGCAATAAACGTTAAGGCAAGATTTTTAATCCGCTATCCAACAAAACTATATAGGGTCAATTAAGTAGGCTACGAACTCTTCCTTGTCGAAAAGCAAATGATGTTGTTTAAAGAAACCTAACATTTTGCTTTGATTTCACTCTTCAATATCCCTAGTACCTGGTCCTCGTTCTTTCATCTCAGATTACTAATTCTGGGCTTATTTTACTTATTACGAGACCATTTTTTCACTGAAAAATGTTCGCCTACATGATAGACCTAGTTCGAACGTGAAAAAGTGATCCATGATCGATCCTGAAGAGGAGGGACTCACTCCAGATAGCATTGAAAATGGTTTTTATTTTACATCAGGTACGTTCAGATAAGTTCGAGGATCGATAATGAATTCCCAGCCTTACCCCTGATCGTAAGCGTGAACTAAACAGTTGATGATCTTACCTGGGTGGAATACGCCGTCCCATATATTGTGTTTGCTTGTTCTGGTGCGATCATTGAGGGATGCATTGGAGCTGAACATAAAAAGAAGAAAAGATTGGTTATGGTTCAGGATTTCATTGAATGACAGGTAATTGAGGTAAAACAGGTAAAACGAAACGACAAAATTTCTCTTTAAAGACTAAAGAAGTGAAAAAATGTAACTCTGGTTCTCCTGCAGGACCCATGCCTTCACCAGAGGACGCATGACTCAAGATGTTCAAGGTTCATTTGACTCAAAAAGTTTAGAAACCAAGTGCATAGATCATGGTTGTTGTTGGAAATTGGAATGTAATAACTTGTCCAGAGATAAAATGCTGTGAAGATAATCAATTTCACAGCATACGCAAGCTCACCACTGCTATAATGGGTTATATTTCGACCTTCTTCGTCTATTTCTGTTCCTTCACTAACTGTCCCCATGGAACCTTTTTCACCTTTCATTGACTAAAGAAAAAAAGATTGTAAAGTGCTTTTAGCACGACATTATTTTTTCTGTTCTTTGGCCAATGGTCTTATGATGGTGAGTTATTATGGCTATATTCGGGCAATCCAGTGAAACTGTAGGGTGAAGTTCTTATTTATTAATTTCATTCAGCAAATAATCTGACAATTGTTGGCAGTCATGCAGGAACCAAATATTATGACAGAACGGCAGAACATTAGAGAGAAAAAATAACACTTTTTCTCAGACTAGAGTAAAAAAGATTTGACCAGAAAGAATAAAATTAATTGTTTGCCAAAATTTTGAAATAATAAAATGCTGTCTGTTGGCTGTTGGTATCAATATATAAGAATATTTAGAGAAAAAAAAATATAGAACTTTACATCTCGGTATTTCTGTAGATATATTTTCAGTGGTTCAACATATTGATCAAAGCCTAGTGTGGTCATTGCAAACAGGATATCTTCACCATTGATTGTCTTTCGTTTTTCTTGATGACATCTTTCACTTGCTCTGGAATTGCATGTTACGGAGAAAACAACAGTGTTTCTTGATATATGAACAGCCAGAGAGGGTTAGTCATAGTAGCTACATAGACATTGTCTCATTAGACTATATAATAGTGAATGAAGGATACTCGCTAGTGATAAAACTAATAAATTCTGAGACACATTCTTGTACACATTCCTTTGCATCTTTAGCAATCTAGAATATAAGCATTGCAAATTTAGTATCAAAACACCGACAATATAAAGAAAATATTTTTTATCAACTTCAGTACTATACCTTTCCTGTTTTTGGTATAGATTTCTTCATGATTCTTGCAACATTTGCAATTGGCAGAAAACGATCCTAAAGTTAGAAATATAAGCAACAATTCTTAATAAAATAAAAGGAACTATTATACTTTATACAATAAAGGGATTTATTTATTTAACTACAAAAAAAGGCATTACATATCAAGATTGGTTGAAGACTGTCACAGAATGTATAAATATATATGCCCTGGTACCTCAAATTATTTTAAATTTACCTGTTCCCTAAGTACTTCATATTCTTCTCTATCTTTTTCTTCATGATCCATATCTTCAACACCAAGAGCTACACTTTCTAAAATATAGGAATTCCATCATGAATTTTATTCAGTTCGTGAAAATTAAAGTATGGGCAATCTTTGTCAATGACAGAGTTAAATTTTAGTTGGTGTGGTTGGAATCTAGGCTGTACCATGGCTTTGACGGGTGGGAGAAAGTCATGAACCAATTTTTCTGAATGGAAGATTAAAATGAATCCAATATTTTTCCAAACAAAAACAGCTTTTTGATTTTTCTGAATATTGCTCGATTAACTTAGGATGCATCAAAACCTGTATTCCCCTTCATACACTATAGGTTTTAGCCATAACAAATGCCTTTGATGTATATGTGAAAAGAAAATTTTTAAAAATATTCTACATACCAGCCACATTATGTGACTCCGTTGGTACATATGCCTGAGCCCCAGCAGCCACTGCCAAGTATTCCGGTGGTATGACCACAGTCCCTGATACACCTCCAGCTGTTGTCTCCACTGCAACCTGTGCCCTAGCCTCCTCACCTGATGTACTACTGCTTACAGCTTGTGACACTGCCCCAGTAACATCACTTATGGTCAAACCAACATTGGGATTTGTAACATTATCTTGCCGCGTTGGTCCCTTTGAAGAGTCTTGTCTTGAATCTGGATTTAAAACTGGCGAAGCAGTTTGCATTTGTGTTGAACCATTGGGAAGTTGTTGAGTGGCAAAAGTTGGTAGCCCACCATTTTGGCCAACTCTGTATGCACCATTAGTTGTACTTATAGATAAACTTTCACTTTGTGTATTTCTTGCCTCACCATTATTCCCATCCATTGAAGTATCTCTGGTTCAATGATTATTACAGAAAAAGCCTACAAGGAAACTTACATCAATTTGTATTTAAAAGTTTTCATCCTCAGAGCATATATAAAATGATACATTAAAAAAGACAAATTAAAGCTATTCGGTGGAGTACAGTAGTTCTATAAACAAAGTACATTATAACACGAACATGAAAGCCAGCAAATTTGGATAATAACTTGTTCAACTCGCGATAGGAAAAGCTTTTTCAAGTTAGGTTTTACTCTATTTAACTAATATGAAACACCCTTGACGACTCCCGGGGATTTAAGGTGTGCGTTTGAGAAACATTTTTATGTTCCAAGGCGAGCAAACAGCTTAACATTCTTCTTAAATTTTGCTCACAAAATCTGCTGCATTGTCGCATATTGAAGTACAAATATTTCGCGCCAGAAAAGGTCAAAATGTACAACAAAAGCGAGGGAAAAAAGCAACGAATCAAATTTGACGTAGCCGCTTTGACAAAAACAAACCTTGTTGGTTGATTTCTCACTTGCAAGAACCAGTAATCAAGCGACTTTTCTCTTGAATGCGAGTGGCTAATGGATGACCAGTCAGAAGCTGGCACACTTTGCAACAACAATAAAAGCCTCTGGCAAAATATCTCTCACAATAAAAATAGCCCACAAGGCTAAGCCAATCAGAGGCCGCCACTTCTAGACAGACAAATGCCGACCGCGAATCAGCTTCGAGTAAAATTCATTAGCGTAATAAGATAGCATAACAAATATATCGTTAATGAATAATTTAGCATACAAGTCAGTTTCAAATCAATGTCTGAAAAAGTGAAAGGATATTTTTGCAGCAATTCGTTTTATTTCCTATCAAAACTGATTCCAATTTGCCATAGGTATATCTTAGACTAAAAATAGACTAATTGGTGTGGATTTAATAGCAGCATTTCCAGTGTTTTTTGAAGATTAATCACTGTTTACTTTATTGAACAATATCTACAGGATATTGAAACAGCTGTTTGAATTTCATCCTTAAATATATTAAAGGCAAATTAGGAAGAGGAGGAAACTGAGACTCCGCTAATGGGGTAGATACTACAAGGAAAAACCAGTGGGCAGTGCACCACTGGATTTTACAAACCATGGATATATGATTATTCTTATATGATGTGATTATTTTTTGTATAATGAGACAACCCAAATATAGGGAAACAACAATTATGTTAATAGATAATTTCTTGGAACTATATGGTATTATTAGAAAGACTGCATCTGAACAAAACAATCAAAACATGTCTGAGTATGTTTTGGTAGTCTAGTCAATTTCTTGTATTAGTGTACATTACAATTTGGAGGAAGTATTTTGCTCATTCTCCATACAATTGAGGACATGTTATTTTATGAAAATGCAAAACAACAAATAAAATGGGTTAAGTATACAATAAGGGCATTCAAGGGCATTCTTGATCTCATTCAATATAAGAGGTCTCAAAATATTTTTCATCAATGGACTAGTTTTACATATGCATTGATGTCCACGGTACAGTCAAACCATAGTGGTTTGACTCAATGCACTACCAGGCACAAAACATACTAAATTTTGTGGCATTCTATGGAAACTAGACAATCTTGAACATTAACTTTTTGGCACAGATCTTCTTTGTAAATGGTAATGTCCAAGTCTTTCTAAATCATCTAAACTTAGTTCTTTTAATGTTGTTCTGAAATCCTGAAACAAACCAAGAAATACTTACACGTTTTTTGCTTTAAAAAGAGTGCAAATATTTGAAAAACAAACCTCCTTAAAGTTATCCAAAACTTCTTCAGCATCTGATTCATAAAAATGTTTGTTTAACAATCTTCGAAGTTCTGTCCATAAAGTGTCTGTTTGTCGGGGAGCATTATGTGTTGCTTTCTTGACAAACAAATGGATTTTGGAACTTTCGCTTATATTATGATCACTCAAAGTGGAAGAATCTGAACAAAAAAAACAATAAATTGCACTAATCTAGGACAGGATTGGCCAGAAGATAAAAGGGTTCGACCATCTTCAACAAGAACTCAATGATGGTGCATCTTTATATCTGGGGACCTCTGACAACAAAAGTTTGCAGAAAAGATTAGTTTTGGAGGTGGATCGAAGTATGAAATTTGATATCAAGCTGATGAAAACCAATTTCCCATTAGTACATTGATAATTAATACTAAGGGGAACTGGCTTCACACATCACGTACTTAACAGACACAAATATTAGCTTTTTCATGATGAGGCTATGGGCAACTGTCTTTCCCCAATAAGCCCGATTCTAAACGAAGTCTTTCGTTTATTGCTTATACGTAAAATTGAGCAGAGCAGACAATCAGCAGATCCTGGCAGCACAACATACGTATGAAAATAAAAACTAACATAATATCATACCAGCTAAAGAAATGCCCTTGAAAACAAGTCTTTGTAGTTCACAAGATATATTAAATACTTGCTCCACTTTTTTTTTCACAGACGATACTGCCTCAGAAGGATCTACCTAGGATATAAATTGAAATATCTTCAGGTTCAGTCCACTGAGGCCGAATGCAAATATTGCAATGGTCTTTATGTGGGCATATTGTCATGTATCGACGTTTTTCATCCAAATTGACTGTAACGTTTTGATCACGTATTACCTCAATAGACTTTTCTGGACTTCCAAGCAATTTGACCTGAATTTTCATGATGAAATTTACTTGAAAATTACTTTTTTGTACAAGTCAAACGTTGTAAACAATGCGTTAGACTGTACACAAAAATAATGTACATCCCCTGATCGTTTGAACAGCGGGCGCAGTCACTGAGGCAGGCGCAAAGTGACAATCATCCAGTGATGGGCGCAAAATCATTGCGCAAAAAGTGAACTTCAGGTAAGTAGAATGGGATGATGTTACAAACACTGATGATGTAATAAACACTCTTGGTTAATTGAATTATTAAAAGAAGCACTCCTATATCATCGCGATGCTTTATCGGCTATTTCGGAGCTACTTGTGCAGTTTCCACATAAAGATGGTTTAAAACATGATCACTGACAAACAGGTACCAAACCCTACGGTACCAAGAGAGGTACTAATATACGGTACCATGAGAGGTACTAATATACCTAGAGGTACTAGTGCTCCGCCTTCGAGCCTTACGCCACTGTTATTCGCCGACGTTTGGAAACGCATTGCAGTTTTTCAAATTTCAATAAAAATACAAGAGATTCTTTAAAAGTAAGCTGCTTCTATTAACTTGACCAAACACGAGAAAATTGGTGCGGGCAGATAGACACACGAATCTAATAGTAATATATCTATACAGCTATACATTATATATTACAAATTCTGGTATAAAATAGCATATATGATGTAGTCACTCAGTAAAGCTCAAGAAGTGTTAAAAAATATGAATGCATTTTGGATGTGTAGCAGGAACTTACTGGAAGATGTAGGATCGGTCTAATTTGTATTAGAGAAGGATGACTGCCTGAAAGATTCATCAAAGAAAATTGTAATTTCCTTTGCGTTTTATAAAATGTATTGCCACGGTAATAATCCTTCTCTAAAGAAAAAATTGAGTTATAGTTTATCACGATGCACAATCTTGCGCCATAAATTGACTGTGTTCAATCAAGGGCTATTACTATTGTTTGTTTACTTGCTACGTTGTGTTGTCCGTTCTCTAATACACTTCAGATCCTCGCTACTCCGGAGAGGTTTTTTGTTTTTTATTTATATTAATTTCTGTTCACTCTTAACCGTAAATATTCACAGAAGGAAGCGCCGATCAGCTTCACAGTCACGGCTCGAATGCCAGCTGACTGGGACCACTGGTAGCTGTTGAAGGGAGCGCCACCCAATGCTGGCAGTTCAAGTCGAGCGAACTGTAATAACATACCTGAGAATAAATTTAAATACCTTTCTAAAAAAACCTCTGCGGAAAAGCGACCAATAAATAATTTCGGTTCAAATGTAAAATATTGCCCTTTCCATGCATTCCTTGACAAAACATTTACATGTTACAACCCACTCAGCAGGCATGATTTGTACAAATTATCTCAATATTCTCCCTCTATTTCATCGTCAACATCCTCGTCATTATTTTCCAAATAACCGTTCACATCCTCGTCGTCTTGCTGTGTAGAAATCTGTTGTTTGTACGAGAGTGCGCGCGCAAACGCTTGCTGCACGGATTTGCGCAGAGAAGGTTTTTTGCCCTCGTACAGCTTCGTGTTGTCCACGCAGTTGTTCTGACCCAGTAGCGATAACTTTTGACGGGGCAGCCATTGCCTGAAACAACAACATTACTTGCTTGAATCAAACAACTTTTAAAACAATCCAAAGAAGTCTATTTAAAACTTCCCCCAGTACTTACCAAGTTCTGCGGGCATCGAAGAACAATACTAAATACAAATGCTCATCAGTCGACCTTCGTTCTTTTAAGACATCGTCAGGAGGTACAGGAATAGGAACACCTTTGTGCACGAAACCTCGTTTAGTTTTCGGGTTGATTATCTACAAAAAGCCAAACAATGATGGTGTGAGCAACAGATAAAAAGTTGTAAACTTACACAAAGTCCTATTTGCGCATCATGTTTTTGTCAATATTTTGGGTAAACTTTAGGAACACTTCTAAATAACATTCACACTACAAAAGCACGTTCAAGTCCTGTTAAGTGTTTCTACACGTTCCTGATAGCTGTGAGAGAGAAATACTTACGAGTGCTGGGTAAGACGGATATCCTCGGCACTTAGCCCATACGAGATCGAGATAGTCAAACATATCCGGTTCGGTGTCAGAATTCCGAGGGGAATACGCTTCACCATTACATTCACTGTCGGTTGTATTTATATCCTCTTCAGAATTACATCTACTTCGCGCTTTTCGACCGCGCTTTTTAACATAGCCCAAGAGATCGTTTGGTTTCTTTTCCGTAGCTTCCTCGGAACAGCTTGTATTGCTCCGCGAGTTCCTCGGCTTTGGTCGTGAATTTTCTTTGAAGTTATTCCGATGCGCTTCCACGATGGGGATCTCCTTGACTTCAGGGACATCTTCTGGATAACTGTTCAGACGACTCGTCTTTCTTCCAGGATATCCCTCATTACCAGGTGTATCCTCAGGGTAAACCAGCCTATTGAGGTTACTCCAGTTATTTTCATCGTTCGATTCGCTCGTCGTTGACTTTCGTCGAACATTACCGTTTTTTCCGAGTATTTCGGGAACATCGCCATTCTCAAACACGGGTGTACCCAAATTCGTTCCCAGCTCCATATCATTGTTTTTAGTAAGAACATTATGTCGAGCTCGGAATTTATTCTTATTAAATAAGATCCCGCTACGGCGATTTGTGCCTGGACGCGGGTTTGTGATACTTGGCGTCGAGACTACGTTTCCAACAGGCTCGGCGTCCCTCGTGTTTGTCACCAGGCTCGTCTCCGACATGTCCAACGCGGTTGTGAGGTTCGGAGTCTCTTGAGAGGTAGGGGATGGGTCTGGAGAGAACTTGGGTTTCTTCGCCGGAGACAGTCCTTCTTCGCTGTCTGCAACTGAACAGAGGACAGTTAATTTAGTTTGATCAATTAAGATAATGGATAATTGCCCTTTTCTCCTCTAAAATCTAGGGAGTTAATTCTGACTGAAAAAACAGCAAATCTCATATTAAACCTCTTACCACTAGGTTCAGAGATACTCTGCCTTTCTTGAAGATTTATTTTTCTCCGGAGACAACCAATTTCCCTTCGGATTTGACGATTTCTTTGAGCTCTCGCACCTGGAAGTTTTCAGTAAGAAATTGTAAGACCAGAGTTCAAGTGGTAGCTATAATGGCGATAATGCAATAACTTACTTCCTGACTTAATGGCTTGTGTCATTTCCAATTTTTCATTTAAATCTCTGAGTTGTTCTTCAAGGCTCATTTCTTTACGTTGCTCGTCAGTAAGAATGAAGTCTAATGCGTGAGAAGGTAATGTGAGAGAAATTCACTTTTTAATTCACTTTTTGGCACAGTTTAAGCTACTTTTATCTAATGTGTTTTATCTAAACAAAACCTTAGAAACAGAAAAACGATTCTACACAATTTTGCTAAAATTTACAATTGTTACAGCATTTAATGGACGACCAAAAGGACAACAAAATGGCTACAATAATTTGTAAGTCTATTTTGGATTCTGGACTGTAACATCACTAACATGGATCCCATGACAAATCACAATACCTTCTTGAGTAAGTTCTCTGTCCTTTACTGTAGGCACATCAGGTGTGAGAAGACCTGTTTCGGGATCAACCCCAGTCCTTTCAACAATTCTTCGAGCACTTCGTATGAGTGTTTTACCTTGGTCTCTTAATCTGACTGCCGCTCTATAGTAGATCGTATCCTCAGCATTATATGCCATGCAGTTTTTCCAAATAAGATTGAAATCCTTCTCAAATTCATCAAAACTTTGGTAAACGTTTCCGTCAATCTTTTCTCGCATTGTCGTGAAGTCCATTGGCTCTGTAATCACGTCCAGGTAGTCCAACACCTGGCAGAAACAATAGCAAAGTTGGCATTTTATACAAAAGAAAAAGGGAAGAGGTGTTTCAAATATAATGCTCCCTCAATATGTATGGTTGACGTGTATGGCTCATGCCCAGAATCTTATGTACAACTGGCACAATTGGGTGGAAATTGGAAAATGACAGGCCACTTGGTTATATAGTGTTTATATAGTGGAAACTTGGTTATATAGTGTTTACAGGCCACTTGGTTATCTGGTGAAAATTGGAAAATGACAGGCCACTTGGTTATGTTAAACAAGAGGGATATCCTTACATCTAATAGAGTGTTTATGCCTGTACATGATGAAATATTCAACCAACCTCGCTTGTATCAACAGGTTCAAGAAAGATTTCTCCAGGATCCTTTGCTTGCAGTTGCAACAAAGTCTTTGACAAAATTGTTGTCAGGGGCTTCAATTGTAGGTCCACAACATTCAAATGTGACTTCAACTGTGCACCCAAAAAATTAAAAAAATATTAGATATTTTTCATTGATATTAGAGATTATTATCATGTAAAGCTAATGATTAAAACTTTGTAACAGAAATTTTGCTAACCACTGATTGAACAGGTAAATACAATTGGTTTTATGGCTTTTGTGTGTTTTTATTTATTCATACAGTTTGTTTTCAGTATATTGCTAATAAATGAAGTCATGTAAATGCTTTGGATATCTGAGAATGGTTACAATAATGGAATAGAAATAATCAGCCTACTGTTTATCTAGGATGTGGTACTTACATGTTCTCTCTTTAGTTTCTCTCTTTTTCGTATCAGCTCCACAAGTAACCGTGCTCTTTCTAAGTCATGCCTCAGTCTTTGCCAGAAATGCAGTTGCTCTTTCATCGCTGCAATTCGTTCACGTCTTTGTTGCTGCAAAGTTCAGAAACACATTTAACCTATTAATGAATGACTCTACAAGCCATATTAAGTGAAATAGTTAAAATAAAAACTTTTTAGCTTACATCTTCTGGACCACTTGCTCGGTTCTGATGAGTTGCTTGAAGGCGCCTCAGAAGTGGTACACCATTTCTTGATTGTCGCTTCAGCATCCAGTATGCTTGAAGGCATTGAATGAATTGTGATTTCTTCTGGATTGCTACACGACTCACAATTTTACTAAGCCTAGAATAATCAGTAACAAAATAGTTAAAATAATATGTACAACAATCTCTCCTTGCTTCAATTCATTGAAGATGTTGTGAACAATACAATGAAACATTAGCAAATATTTATCAGATTTTGTTTGAAAGTCATTTGCTTGGTTCTGGATTTATCCCTGGAATCAAATGGGCATTAAAAGTCATTTAAGAAAACATAAAGATTAAATTAATCTCCCAAAAATATGAAAATTACAATTTACCCTAGTACTTTATATCAGAATCATAATGATTTATGCTTGGTATAACCTAGCTTGCATGAGGAAGGAAATAACATGAAAGGCCCATACTTTTAGTTGTATCAACAGGGGGTGCACAAAAAATGATAAATTAAGAGGTGCTTCGTTTTTTTAATTTATTAAATTGCACACAACACTGATTTTACTTTAGTCTCTTATTTATGAATTCTAAATAGGCCTAAATTAATTTCTTACTATCATGAGCAAGAAAAACATGATTTTTCTTAGACCAAAATAGAGTGCTAAACCAAGATTCTTTAAAATTCTTAAATAAATCCCATATTCCATGCTAACAGATGACTAGTCTGCAAATTAGCTACACTTTCAAGCGAGTTAAAGGTCAGCTATGTAAACAGGATTTTAATTCACCGGTTTGTGGCACCATACAGTGCTTAAATTGGGACAATTGTTTTAAATAGCTACCAGATACAAAGATACTATGCATCATGAAAAATTTAAAATTCTTTTCACTGATAATAAATTACTGACTGCAATTGTGTTCAAGATCATCAAAGCAACACTGTTCTAATCAATAGTAATAAATTAACTCAGGGGAAAACCCTTATGTGTGTAACCTACAAATCTACTTAGCATCATTCATAAATATCTATAAATTTAAACCATGAAATACTTTTAGATACTAGGTAGCTTGTTAAAAATATTAAATACTATATAATTATGTAACATTTCACTAACCTGTGTGCTGGAACAAATGGAATGTTTACAATAGGAACAGTTGGATGTTTTTCAGATAGCCTTTTTCGTATTTCCTTGAGGTCTTTTGGTGTCTTCTGATTGAGTGGAGTGGCTTTGCTTGGAATTATCTTTTCTTCAGTATCATCCTCACTCTCTCTGGCACTACCATTTGCAGACTGATTATTACAACCTGGGCTGTGCACATCACAAAAAGCAGACTTCTTCACAGCAGGCTGCCCGCTCTCTGATCTGGTTGGTTCGATCTTCAAATGCAATCCTGCTTGTTGAGCGCATGTGACATGAAATGCTGTGTAGCAATTGGTCTTTGAACACTGAATACATGCACCTTGAGTCTTGCGACAAATGTAACACCTCAATTTCCATCGAGCTGCAGGGATATTCTGAAGGGAATCGATAGGTTCCAGAAAAACAGTGTTTGCAAAACAGACTTCAGGGATCCAGAGAGCACAGACAACATGTGCCCATCGGTTATCATCAGTTTGTTTGAATGCTCCTGTCTTGTTTGGACATAAAACACAATCAACTGGTTTTGATGGTGAGTTTAGACATCGCCGACAAAGCCACTGTCCTTCAGGAATATAGGGCACTCCATAACATTCTTGATGCACAGCAAGGTTGCACATGTCACAAAACAGTATAACATTACTGTTTGCACATTCTCCATCATTGCAGATACAGCATACAGCATCCTCGTCAATGTATTGATTTGGATCACAAGTATTTTGACTCTCAAAGTGACTTTCCTTCTCCAAGCGATCCATAAGCAACTCAAATACATCTTGGGAAACTGTTGCAATGTTGTCATTTTTCCGTTTTTCATTCACTAGTTTCAACCACTTTGCATCTTCATCATCTGCACTATATTCAACCTCCTCATCCAGCTCTTCAGAGGTGCGTTCAATAAATCTAAAATAAGTCGTAGATCGTGCAGGGGCATCAAGTTCACAAAAGTCATCATCCAGCCGAAACTCCGGTTTCGGTAAACCAACTACAACTGGCTGGATTTCATTGCCAGTTTTAGATTTGTTTTTCGACTTGGATTTTGCTTTAGTTTTAGTTGTAGATTTCGGCGTTTGACCGTCGGTCTCATCTAGCCCGCCATTTTCGTCCTGTACGTGTTCTTCAACGATGCCAAGCGAGTCTCCGATATCCAGCCTTTGCAGATGTCCGGCGAAATCGAACTCCACCATTTTTTGTGCTTGAGCATATGTGAGCGTTTCGCGAACGACGGACGGTTGAGGCGGCGGTGACTTTGCTCGCTTGTTTTTCGTCCTACCACGGCCTTTCTTCGTTTTAGTTCGCTTCGACGATGGCGTACTTGGTGTACTATGTCGCTCGACGCCTTCATGAGGGAAGCGAAGCAAATGATACTCTATACCGCACCAGCTCTTGTAGACTTTGTCGCACAAAGGGCATACGTATGGCGGTAAAGTACCTTTTAGATTGCTCACAAGTTCACGAGCACTAACCATAGTTAGACAAATATTTCATTTAAAAAATGCTCCTCGGCTGTTAATTAAAACACCACGCCAACTGGGATAAAATACCTACAAAAAACAAAGGCAATACAAGGCCATTAGACCGTCTCATGCCTTCGTCTCCGAAAGGAACAAACTACAACACTACGGCATCGCTTGAAACAGAAACCTAGTATGTCTAGCCGTTTTCCTAGCCCAAAACACTACCTTTATTAGCAACTAGGTTTCCAAAAAGGAGGTAGTTCATCTAGATACGGAAGCGATCTTTTATCAAAACGATCAACCCGAAGCATAATCAACAAACGCGAAGCCGATTATGCAAGAAGAATCCCTTCCCGCTTTATATGGCGGCTTAGCTTCGCGTTTGTGCCTACGCTTTGAGCTTCTTTCTCGAACATTTGCTTAATAATTACTACATAAATAGCAAAACGTTCTAGATAATAATGTTTTCTAGTATATTATCTAAGATTTTCGTTTAAATTCACGTAAAAATAGCGAATTTTAGACCTAGAAACGTTTAAAGATGACGACATACCCCATTCAAAGCAACGCTTCTTCTCCCACGAAATTTGCGAAGCAATAATGTCGACTTCACGAGCTTTTTTGGGACTCTTGCTCAATCGAATTGTGTTGTCCTTTAGTTTAAAAGAAACTTCAACCGCTAAACAGCTATTGAAGATAAAATTTTGCACAGATACAACGAATACAGGACTTGAACAAATGCAAAACACAACGTATACGCGGCAAATAGCTTCAAAAGGTGAGTCACGCCACTGCTGACGAAACGCCAAACAATAGCCAAGCTTTGTGGAACAAAACCTCTTCAGCAATTCCACCTCTCCAAATTTTGAACAGAAGGCGTTAATATAAGTTACTCTCCGTTTATTTTGCGTTCACTTTTGGCTTCTTTAAGATGCTTAAACCCTTGAAAATTTTAGTCCAAAGTGACGCTAATTTGAAATGGGCGAATCGAAAACGCCGGCCTTTGCGCTCGTGTCCTCCCTGAGTGACGTGCCCCGTGTGCCCTCCCCAATGCGGGATTTTGATTCTCAAAGCAGCAAGAAGAATCACGTTTTCTCTCGTTTTTGTTGAAAACAAAATCTAATTTTTTTGATTTACGAATTTAAAATCGCTACAATATTATACCAGCGCACATTTCGAAGAAACAAAAATAAGTTCTCAACTACTCAAGCCGTAAAAATTTTAGCGCGCTCCCCTGGAAGACTTTGCTGTCGCAATTTATTTCGTTGAAGATTGCCGCTAGCGATTTCCCGGAATGCCATGGTTCGCTACAATTCAATTCATCCTATTTAGATCTCATTTTGCTTCTCAAAAATACTTCAAAACAATTTAAAACGAAATAAGGCCGCCTTGGGCCGCTATTATCAAGGGCCCTGGTTAGATCACATTTTTGTGCAAGAGATGCGCGAATATATTTTCAATGCACACATGCTAGTCCCATAGTAAACCATACCTGTTGCACTTCAAGTTAACATTCAAAACACTATATTGAAATATAATTTCGAAAGCTGGACAGGTCAACAGTGATATAACCGGATTTACTGACACCACTTTTCCCGCTTCCTTTGTTTTGAAAGAATTCCTCCGAACTCCGAGCGCTCAGGGGAAACCCCGGAAAAAATGAAGCCACTGATCGATGTATAAATCAATGTTTTCTCAGAGACTGCCGCCACAAATCTTCCAGGGGCCGGTTGTATAAAACTCGCAGATAAAATTCAATTTTGAATAGTTAAATCGTAGTTAACTAGAAAATACACGATTCTGATTGGCCAATTCTGCCACTGGCTATAGTTAAAAGTTAACTATCTTTTTATACAACCGGCTCCAGACAATTACTAATTATCGCTTTTGTCAAATTTTGCCAGTTATCTTGAAATATTTGCAATGTTTATGTATGCAGATGTAAGGGTCTTGATTGCAATTCAAAATTGAAATTAGCGCCATATGTTTGGGCATGCGTAAAGGGGAGGGTAATAACTCGATAATAAATAAATAAATAAATAAACAAATAAATAATAAATAAATAAATAATTTTCTCATTGTAATTCATCGGAGATGTTCATTGGCAATGGTCATTGATGATCAACAGATCATAAAAAAATTGCCGAGTAATTAACGACAACGAAATATACATTGCATACCAGATACACAGTCCGTCAGAAAATGCACCAATGGACACAAATCCACAAATACGAAGGTAAAAGCTGAACACTAACAATCACCGGATTGTAAAAATATTTTAATTCTTCTGAAACAGATGCTAATACCATGTCGAATGCAACGAGCATTCTTAATAAATTTCATATATATGTGAATGATCAACCGACAGCTGACAGAACGACTTCGGAAACGGTTGCCTCCGAACTTCGCACGGTGATTTGCATGGTGACTCCATCACTGAACGCGAGCTTTGTTTGTACGAGAACATCGTGACCGCCACGGTAGCAGCCAGCCAAGAGAAGGACGTGAGATTTCTTGTCGGACGAAACTCGGTCCGACCGTTCGCAAGGTTGCATACCCATATACTCGATAATTTGCTTGACAGCATCTGATAAAGTACAAAAACCGAGTAAAAAACGGTTGTGCTAAGTGTCTATATAGCTGTATGCAACTTGTTTTATATTTGCCTGTATATGCGCAACCTTTCCTACCTTCCAAACTCTTCATCTGCGACAAAGCATACGTGTCTTTCATTTCGTGACTATCCCCAATTTCCTCCCATGAAGCGGCGAAATTCGTCTTCAGTACTCGCTGAACATGGTCGGCAACAACCACTTCGATGTCTTCCAACTGCAAGGATCAAATCAAATGATTTGTTAGAAATAATAAAAAACAAGCTATTTAATTAATTAGTTGTAAGACCGAAGAATTCGGTTAATAACAAAACAGGTTCCTCCGGCAGAAATCGAACCATAAAAATAGACAATAATAATATTCTATTATTTCTATGAATCGAACCCATTTCTCCGCAATTTCAGAGCGGTGCTTTCACCACTGGCTACGAAAAACGTTGAGGGAACGTCAAATTTCTTTTTTTCTTATTTTTGCATAAGTGGATGGTTTTGAGGGTACCACTATTCATGTACAAATAAAATGGAAGTGGACAAAAAAATCCATAAACAATCTACATAGTTTGCACACCAAATGTCATTAAAACTCACCACATATTCGTCGTTATAACCTTCTTCATCTGCTTCACCTGTGTTGGGGTCACAATCTTTCACTATAAACTTCATCATATTTGAGAATGTCCCCGTCACTACAGAACGAAATTTACAGGATTGTTGTTCAAATCTACTTTGTGTATTTTTTTCTACTTGCTAAACATTTTATCTTCCATGCGTCTGAACCTCATTGATAACCTTAACAAGCAACATCTTAAAATTGACAATTGCAATTTAAAGCACAGTCTACGGTTAAAAAAGGCACGAAGTTATCAGAGACGAGTTGGACGAGATTAACCATCGAGCCTGCATGACGACCATAAATGGAAACGACAGTCTCACCTTCAGTTTGATCATCAGGAATTTTGACAAGAACATAGGTGGTACCCGGCGTATTGTATGGTAGACTCGGACATGGGATTGTCTTCAAGATTTCATATTCACCATCAGACACCTCCATATCCACAGTTACATCTTCAAGTACTTGATCATTTAACGTGTTTGTACAATCATACTAAAAATGGAATTTCAAGTATTGAAGTTGGGGGAAGAAGGATTATTATGGCGTCTCAGCCTGCATGTAACCATACGAGTCTGATCACGGAATACATGCGGTGAATGTAACGAAACATAAACCGTTGAAAAAGCAAGCATTACCTGAAAGACAATATGATGCGCAAAGACGTGTTTCACACAATGCACAACATATTCAGTTTCGGACTCAGTCAATTCCAGTGGCTTAGTTGAAGATTTGAATAATGGACCAAGACCGGCAAACTCAGGAATTCCAGCAAGTTGCTCTGAAATAGAAAGATGATACAACTGGATATATATTCGACGTAAAGCTCTCTCGTTTCCTTCGTTCTCCCGAGATGCGTTTCCCTTATTGTTTTAATATCACTTATATTCCTCGTAGTCTCATATTGCCTTAACCGCATCAAGTATCTCCATTGATTCCATCAACTCTATTAGTTGCTCAATTAAGTCCAATATCATCCAGCTGATCTGGGTATAAAGCTCAACCAATCAGAAGCCTGATCTTCGACAAAACTGAATTATCATTTCCTTCATTGCATATGACTTCGACACTCGAAAACATCAAGTTATTTTATTATATTTATGTGAAAACACGCTTATTTTTTCCCAACTGTAAATTAGAATTCGAATTTTTCACCCTTTATACTATTAGTTGGAAGAATAGGGACAAATAACACCAGGAACATGATAACTCAGTTTTGTCGAGACGCTTTATGACGTCATGATCTCAGATCAGCTGGATAGAGCATGCATACAGCCTCTTTGAAGATATGATCATTTGTTTCATCTTTTTCCATTTACCTGCATAAACTTCTTGTCTGGATGTAGCGACAGAAGGTTGAGTTGTGGGAGCCTCAGTTTTAGCTAAAAAAAAACAAAACAGTAAGTCAATAATTCATTCTTTAATTTTCACCATACCCCGCCTGGCCGCCTAATAGCTGGAGCTAATATTGATAAGGACGTACTTATACTTGGCTTTCCAGGTTTAGCCATTTGTTCTTGCATAGAAGACGTTGCCAAGGGAACGGTCTTGATGTCGAATGGTGCATCCGGAGCTTCATTGACGTAAGCATTCAGAGCCCGTTCTAAACCAACCACGGATACCTGCAGCCCTGATGAAGAAAACAGATATTTATAGAAAGTCAGCACTGTGACGTTGTTCTCGGACAAAGCATGTTCTGGATAGGCCAACTGGGCGCAATGGCCAATCAATCAGAAGCATGCTTTGTCTGCAACCTATACATGTCATAACGCAGACTTTTCATAAAGGTTTATAACAGCCTATATAGCGAATCACACATGCATGAGTAGATTAGAATTTGAATAGGAAAACAGGTCTCTTAAGTGCAACATGACCAAAGTTCGCAACTTATTAAAAAATACAAACCATTTAAGATGTATGCTGACGAAAGAGCCTTGTCCTGTTGCTTTAAAACATTGACATAGAACGTCGCACGATCGCGAACCTCATCGTCTGTGTCTAGCAGACAGCTAAATGAAAAAATATCATTACAAAAATTTACTAAATGACGAAGCTGACAAAAAAAATTAAGCGAGCAAAATAAGTTTGTACTCGTGTAAAAAAATAACTTATTTCACACAAGACTATTTTCACCACTGGCAATCCCTCCATCATGAGAGCTTGTTGGCAGACACTACTAAATTTCCCAAGTGATATATTCCGACGAACATACCGGGAGAGCAATACTTGAATGCTTGGCAGGAGTGATTCACAATGAGCACCAAACTTCGCAAGTGTCGTCACAGCAGCTACGAATTCAATAACAAAGAATTAGGCCCGTTTCAGAAGTCACACTTTTCATATCGCGTACCAAATGGTAATGAGCTAAAATAAACGCCTGTATTCTAAAAGTTCACTCAAACTCAAACTCAAACTCGTTGTTTAGGCGAACTTAATCTTCTCACAGGGTTTCCATAGAGGTATTTCCAGTCGAATAAAAGCTTGATTCTTCCAATGGTCAAGAAAAAACTTTTTCATTGATCAGTAAAAATAAAATTTTTATGTCACACTCAATGAGAGTGAGTGTGAGTAAGCTTTTTGAACACAGGCGAAAGCATATTTGCATCCAATTCAACATATGAGTTATTCGACACTTCGTAAATGCTACATTTTTGCAAACAAGAGTTGGATGATTCATCGACTATTCAAATATGGCGCATAACTGGTTAAGTCTTAGTCTATAATTTTGGTTGCGTTCGCATTTGACTGGGATAAATATCTGGCTTTCCCTGATATAGCCACTCAGCCACTGATCAATCAAATCAACAACTTATTCTACAAACCTGCCCTGACAGCGGCATTTTCCAAGATCACACGGTTATAAATGAAGCGAATATACTTGGCAGGTTTCTGGGTTCTAGGTCCCTCGCGACCCAATAAATGTAATATACGTGTAGCCAGTACAGTATGTTCACAATCTTCAATGAACTCGCACAGATGTGAAAGACCTAAATTGATTTACGAAAACTTGACAACAGTACCTACAGTAATGATGAAATAGTTTGCCATGCAAACTTTTGTTTGCAAAACATTGGTCTTGCTATTTAGCAAAACATTGACACAAAAAATAAAACCAAAACCTAATTTTCTAAACTTCAATCGACATCTTCCACAGCAGTAAAAACCAACCTGACTCCTTCGCCTCAGAGTTCTCCTCCACGATGTCAATAATGGTGTTCACAATTGCCTTCTTGTACTCGAACCCGCCCTACAAACATACGCATTTATTACGGTTTAATGCATTTATTACGTTTACTGATTTCTTGAATAGAAACAGTCATTAGCAATAAATATTCTTACGTCATCGCGCAACATGGAAGAGAGAAACGTCATCATCACCAAATGCTTTCTGGGAAACTTCATACATAAGGACCTGAAACAATCAAATGTGAAAAATGCAGATACTCAACTCTTTGTTTCTCTGAATTAGGTTTCTATAGGCATATTACTCTTAAAAGACACAAGAACATGCATCTTCACTTAAAAGCCTCGATGTAGTTGTAGCAAAAGAAGGAATGTGATTGGCTCACGATCTACAGTGTACAAGAGCGAGGCTTTCAGGTCGAGAAGAACATGATATTTTAAGATATGTACTTTGGAAGATGTATTTTAAATTAAGTTAAAAAGACATACGAATGTAGCCTACGTTGGCACCAATATACAGATTAATATATTATGGGTTTAATAAGTTCGACAGAGTTGAGCAGCTTACTTTATGGCATCAACAACAACAATCTTAAACTCGTCAGAAATTTCAGACATGAACGAAGAAATTTGTTTCATAAGTCGATCAATACTCGATTCACTTCCAGTCTAAAATAGAATATCAAGGTCTTAATGAAGGCTTTAATCTTCGCTTTATCTGGTATGCATTCTCTCAGCTGTACCTTCAACAAGGTAGTGATAGCCAAGGTTGCAATACTCCTGTTCACATCAGTGATAAGGTTCTCGAGGTCAAGATTACAACTCGCAACAGATGTTGGTTGAGTCATTGCGACTTTATTCAAAGTACGCACTGCGGCAAACCTCAGTGTTGGTCTTGGAGAACTCAGGAACAATTGTAACACTAGAAGATAATGAGAGGTGTCAGGAAATAGCACACTTTATTTTGTCACCAGTGTTGTATACTGCTCAGTTGTATACAGAGTTCATTTTCAGCCATATGACAATAAATAAATTTACAGCCATTTTACAGTCACTTTACAGCATGTGATTTGAAATTGATTGCTAGCAGGTCAGTAACAACCTTGCTCCAAGGTTGTCTGTCAGTGGAAAAGATATATTATTGATCCAATCGCAAATACGTTTCTCTCTTGTAGTTGAAATATGTACTCAGAATCTGAAAATCAAACATGTTCCCAGTGTGGGAAGAGCAAATACACTGGGGACGAGGTTGTGCAAAGACAGTTACACCCATTAAAATCCTTAGTTACATTTAGCAGTGAGTGACTTCTGTACTCTCTTTTATGTGAAATACATGACCAAAAACTATAAAACTGCAATAGTTATTGATACATGTAATGATTGAAAAAAAAATTTAATCAGATGCAACATCCATACCAGAGATAGCTGGACATAGGTCACGAGATTCCACATTCTTCAAATTAACAAGGGCACGAGCTGCCTCATAAATCACCATCTATGTTAAAAATATTTACTTAAGTATGGTTTCCATTCACTCAAAATTATTGTGAATATGTCAAGGAGTTTGATGTTATAGTATAATACTTCCATATGTGCAGTAAAATATGACTAACTTGAGTCCACAAAATAAAGATAATGGTCACACTTACCTCACTTTTATGGCGAAGACAATTCTCAAGAAAATCATAATAGGCACTTGAGGTCCTAGATATAAATAGTCACAGTTTATTAATGTTGCATATTTTAGCACTTGTGGCTGGTGATTTTAACTGGTTGCAATGGTTGATGAAAATCAACTACATTCAAAGTAATTCAAACTACAATATTATTGCAGAACAAATTGTAATATATATAAATTATAGATATCAATATTTCTGACTGTATTATAGATAACAAACATAACCCACCCCTCTTCCTCTTCATCCAAGTATTTTGCTGCAATTCGGATCTAAAATAAAAATATATGTTTAAATTTCTCTTCAAATAAGGCCTGATTCATTGTATTATTTTCCGATAGTGACAAAGCATTTTGTGCACCAGAGATCTGAAGTGTGAACCAGGTTTATGAGTTATTAACAATGAGGAGGATGGAGAAGTGTGAACCAGGTTTACCAGTTATCAACAATGAGGAGGATAGAGCACCCATCTTTAGACAGTGAGGCATACTCACCATCATACACATGGCATATGGAGATTTCATTTGTGACTTGGTGAATTTATTCAACAATTTTGAAATGGCTAAACGATCTTGTTTCTTTATATGATATAATAAGCCCAAACCATGATACTAAAAACAAAACATAAATTATAGTAACATGAAGTAATAAAGATACTACAGATTCAATTCAATACAATAATTAATTAATACATGGCAAATTTCATGTTCAGTAATAATGCATATTATATATACCTGAACCATTACAGAATCACTGGATACCATTTCTTGAGCCTCATTAACCCATCTTTTGACAACATCATAACTGCCTTTCAGTAAGTGCTAGGAATAACAATACTGTAACAATAAACACTTGCAGATGTGAAATATTCTCAAAGCTCACTTAAGTAATAAGGTTAGACCTTTTCCCACCCTTTGTAATCCTGTTGTATATAAACGATTTGGTCATGTCTTTTATAAACACAGAGTTCAGACTTCCTGGTTGAAAGTTCATCCTAATCTCCACACTTCATATACTTTTCACAAGACACATAATCTATGAATAGTAGTAGTAGCTTATGACTAAAAACTCACCAAAGATGAAACCAATGCATTACTCGAGACACTGTGGCTTTTATCCACAATGGCTTGTTTCATGTATCGCTCAATTGCTTGCAACATTGTTGCATCAGTGATCATACACAAAGCTCGGATAGCATTAGCACAATATGCCTCTTCACGACCTGTCATATCCTTGGTCAAACTACTAGTGACAATAATAACATCTTCAGCAACTGTTGATAGTTCTTTTATAGCAAGGTAAACCATTCGACGCAACATTGGCTGAAAAGAAAACACTACGAGTCAATTTAGAGCAAAACACTGATGTAGGATCTAACAGGATGTATTTTTAGATCACAGGATAACAACAGATTTTGCTAGACTGTTGAAAAATAAACTATAATATAATATTTATAGTACATGCGTGCAGATTGGTTGAGAAGCGTGTTTCTATAACTGTATAGAAACACAGGACTTTTCCAGCCGAACTTGACAAGCTAAGTAATATAATGCGAATTTGTAATTGAATTGAAATATAATATTTGTACCAAATTTTTTTATTGAGTTATATTATAAAAGAAATAGAAAACACTTTTTCCTGTGTTTCTATTTAACAATTAGACAACGAGTCCGAGTTGTCTATGAGCGAATAGTCAACGAAGGCGAAGCCTGAGTTGACTATCCGCTCATAGGCAACGAAGGCGAGTTGTCTAATTGTTTTAGTATACACCCTGTACATAGATATATTAATTTCGAGGAAATAATCGATACACCGCAAAATTACACCGAAAAATAATTTAATTAATGCAATTTTATACGGTCGCGCGAGCGAATTTTTCCCAAACGTGCACTATCACGAATAGACGATGGTTGAGTAGCCAATCCGAATGTAGGATTTGTAATAGACGATAGTCGGGTGTATACTAAATAGTTATAGAAACACTTGTGGAAGTTTGGAAGAACTCAAAATAACTCATTCTCCCAAACTCCCATGCATGTTTCTATAACTGTATAGAAACACAAAAATGTTTTCTATTTCTTACAGTACCTAAAAGATGTAACAAATAATGTGGTAAATTGATACATTAGCAACTAATAGGGATAATTTATGCAATGTAAAAGTACATACATCCTTAGACTGGAAAAGTTTGGTCATTGCAAAAAAAGCTTCGGTTGCCTCAGTTGTTCCAAATTGCTGTCCCTAAAAATTTAAATCATAGTAACATTATAGTATTAAATAGTGGATTGCCAACATCAAGAGGGTAAACAAATTGAGAGATTATAATTGACATCTTGGATCCAAAACCTAATGAAAGAGTCTTTTCTGTATGTCAGCATATTCATCTAAGAGGCACATAAATAACCATTGTACATACTTGGTTCAAAAGATACAATATCTTTGTCAAAATGTGGATACATCTCCTGGGGTTAATTGGACTTTCATTAAATGTTCTAGCCTAAAATGATAATTAATGAATCAACATACTACATACATATCAAACATTAGAATAAAAAGTGGTATATTGAGTTTCTTAAGACTATTTAGAATACAAATATTATAACAATATTCCATTTCATTTACCCCCCTCCCCTCCCCCCCTTCCTAGTAATAAAGAGCCCCAGGTGGAGTCTAAGGTAAAATGATAAAAGCTTTAATTCAGCTTTAAATAAAGATCAAAATTTACTTTGGCCTGTACACGCATGTTATATTAATCCTCAATTGCTTGGCTTTAATACACAAAGCAACAATAATCTATTACCTCTTGAAGCGCAGTTGCCTTGTCTAAACCTTGAAAAGGATTCGACCCTCGACCTAAATAATGGATTCGAACCCAATTCACAAACCCGTTCAAAAGAAATTAAAACCATTTTATTCATCAGAAATATAAAACAATATACCATCTTCTTCGTCCTTCTTGTCTTGTCGTAGATAATGCATTCTCAATTGAGAAAATTCCAGAGAAAGTTGAAAATTCAACAGAATTTGATCAAAATAAGGCAACTTTTATGTGCCACGCAATCCTAGTACCAGACCTCTTGCGACGAACGTGTATTAGAATATAGGGGGCCCTAACGGTTCCTTCAACAATGAACATGGCAGGTTGCACGGCATTTAAAATCGCAAGCTGGACGATGGAAACGACTTCTGAGTAGGCACTCTCATTCATAGAAGCTAAGGTGACTTCAAGTAGAACACTCAGAAATAATAACACAATTGAAATATTCTTTATATCAAAAGTATTCTATAAGTGCTTCGTTCCTCTGTACTTAGGTCCTGGTCTTATAAAATGTGTATGGTTCTGTCATTGGCTAGTATTAATAAAACACCCAAAAATTACTCGTGCACTATATAAAAAAGATCGGCTACGTAAATCGTTAACATTTCACGGAATCCTAGTAGCAAACCCTCCAAAATGGACCACCCCCCTGAAAAGCCTTCACAGCACTCTCAAATACTACAAAATATCACCAAACAACGCATACAGTCCGGTAGCGGTTCAAAAACACCATTTTCAATTCAAAAGTTTGGTGTCTTTCATTGTAAAGTAGTGTATCTTTAATTCATGAAATTATACAATCTACAGCCCCCCGTACTCTCGGACTTGCGTGTAGGCGGATCTACAATGTGTGCGCAACATGTGCATGGTTTATCTCAAAGCTGTCAATATAATAATAAATTCATCCATTCCTTTTGTCTTCTTAATATGAATTTCTAAATTACTTTGAAATTATCTCACATGCGTTGGACATTAAGGCGAAGAACGAAAATGCTTTCTTTCAGACAGAAAAACATTAAATTTGCTGCTGATTCGTTTGAACCGGAGGAATACTCTATTGATTGGGATGGAATCGACCCTGGAGCAGGTAGGAATTTATACAAAAATTGCTAATTAAGGATTTGTACGTAAATAATGAAATGTAGAGACAGCTCAGTTGAGATGAATAGCTTTGGAGTAAAAAACCTACTTTATACCACTAACTTTATGTACGTATAAATATCAGTGTTGTTGTTGTTGTTGAAAGCCAAGCTGGTGAACAGAAGTGAAAAACGAAGAGTTTTTTTATCATTGTATTTAGCAAGCTCGAGCTTAATTTGTTGTAAGTAGATAATATTTGATATAATGTATGCGAGAAACATACAACGAAGTTTGGGGCATAATTATAAGTCAGATGCCTGAAAGATTTTGTACATCGATACAACTGAGATAAATAAATTAAGGCGTTTTTACTAGGATGTTCTGACCAATCTTTGACTTCGAAATAAATTTTAGGATTCCAAGTATTTTGGGTTCCTTATAACTCGGTCAAACTGAACACCCATAGGATAGTTGATTTCGCCGTTCACGGCAACAAACAAATGGACCGATAAAGTAGTACACATCAGCAACATTTCACAAACGTCTTTGGAAATGAGGTAAAAAAAAGCATAATAGCACTTAAGAGCATTTTTACGCTATTGATTGGCATGGGATCGACCCTGGAGCAGGTAGGAATTTATACTAAAATTGCTAATTAACGATTTCTACGTAAATAATCAAACATAGAGACATCAGCAGCTCAGTTGAGATGAATAGCTTTGCAGTAACAAACCTACTTTATACCACTAACTTTATGTACGTATAAATATCAGTGTTGTTGTTGAAAGCCAAGCTAGCGAACAATAGTGAAAAACGAAGAGTTTTTTTATCATTGTATTTAGCAAGCTCGAGCTTAATTTGTTGTAAGTAGATAATATTTGATATAATGTATGCGAGAAACATACAACGAAGTTTGGGGCAATATTATGAGTCAGATGCCCAAAAGATTTTGTAAACATCGATACAACTGAGATAAATAAATTAAGACGTTTTTACTGGGATGTTCTGACCAATCTTTTACTTCGAAATAACTTTTAGGTTTCCAAGTATTTTGGGTTCCTTATAACTCGGTGAAATAAAACACCATAGGCCAGTTGATTTCGCCGTTCGCGCCCGGCAACAACCAAATGGACCAATGAAGTAGTACACATAAGCAACATTTCACAAACGTCTTTAAAAATGAGGTTAAAAAAAGCATAATAGCACTTAAGAACATTTTAAGACTTAATAGCTCATATAGTTCGAGCTACATTTATTAGCACTCCGGTCCCGCTAAGAATCACTCGGACGACTCGCTGTTTACACAGTCTAACCAAGCAAAAAGCTTGAGAAAGAATTATTTCTAGAATATAGAGACTATTACTATTAGTGACTGATGCGATAGATTGACCATTCAGTTTTCGTACGTTTGCAATCTCGGCAATTGCTTTTGGCTAACCGACCAACCAATCTCGTTGCCAGGACATTTTGCTTGCCTTTGGAGAGTGCGAACCTTGAGGTTGGCTGCTTGAATCTCGGGCCCCAAATGGCCGAGAACCTTTAGTTCTAACCCTACCTAACGTGTCTATAACCACTGCACTTTTACAATAGTCGCCAATTTGCATTTCCCTGATTCGTTCTGTTGTGCAAACCAAAAGTTAAACTTGATTTGAAAGGAGCACCGTAGCATTGTGCCATGGGCAGAATAAAAACAATGAATCACTGCAATGCATACCTGTAAATATAACCACTTATACTTTGTACAAGGCAGGCAGATGTCTAAATAAGACGGTTAATCGTGAATTAGTGGCAAACTAACATTGAAGAGGAATGCCACCGAAAATTGATTAATGATTTACCCTGATACAACGGATATTTTTTTATTTCATGCACTGCCAGACTATAACAAGATAAAACAGTCGCGATAAGACACCGATACACCTTGTCTTCACATGCTATTGTGTTGTCAAAAAGGTTACTACCTCCACTATATACCTGCTACAACGAGCGGCCATGATGATTGGGGTAATGCTTGATTTACGGTTGATTTTAATATATGAATTTGGCATTGGTTTCAACAACTAATTTGAGTTTTAAACTTTATCTTATTTTATCTTAAGTTTTGTTGTCGTGAATATATCATCCATGCAGTTTCATGGCCAGATCAGATTTGTTTCCTAGTCTTTGTTCGGCACCAATATGCTCAATAGATCTTTCCCTTTTAACTTTCAGGCGCACAATGCGTGACGGTAGTTGATTATCAAGATCAATTTGAGTTGTGATTTCGCCATGTTCATGAACGATTTTGTTTAACAACGAAGCAAAAACTGAGAATCGCCAAGATTTTCTTACAACAAAATCGCTTCTAAGCAGAGCGATATCGCAACTCAAAGTTGCTTAATAATCAACTACTATCACGCATTGCGCGTTTGAAACTTGAAAGCTAAAAAGAGAAAGAAAGAAAAAGAAAATTTCCTAACTGGTTCAAGGCTGAAGATAATTCTCCTCAGTGAGTGAAAACACTATGGTGAAAACCAGCAGTTTTATGACCAAAAAATCTAACAACTTTAATGAGCAATTCCATTTAAATTACAGGCTTGAAAGTTGAACTGCTATATATATTAATTAAGCGCTTTGAATTTTTCATGAAACCACAGTTTTAAAACAGGCCTACAAAACCGAATTAAGGCCTCAATAGAAGCTGCTTTGAAATTTACTGCCTTTCTTATGTCAAAATGTTTATTTTTATGTCATTTCTTTGTGATAAAAAGAATCAGGGCGCCTTCCGATAAACCGCAGGACGATTTTATTTCACCAAGTTCAAAACACTTGTGTGACGTTGTATATCCTGGGTAAATATAAAGTTGACCTCTATATGGTAATTTAAGTAACTTTTTTGGAAATCCGAAGTATGTAACTTCCGGAATTTCAATGCTGCAATTTTGTGGCGACAATTACTGATAGGGTTTGGCGTTGAATGTTGAGCGCGTGTTTTAATTAATTCGCTCAAGTTTTTCTGCGTTAATAAAATAAAATAAATAAAATAAAATAAAAAAGCTGATAACCAATTACTGTGAAAAAGTTGTCAGTGTTAGATGCAAATGCTTAAATCATGTGTAAGAGAAGAGACAATTTTCTAAAGCATGATATAGCTATAGTCATCACTTTAAATTTTAATGATGTAGCCCAATTTTAAACTGTTATCTGAAACTCAGTTGATCGGACGAAAGACGTCGCGTCCATGCAACTGTTCTTCTACCAATTACAATTTTCTATTTTTTCTAAGTATTTTATAGCTCGAAAACTTGCTTAAAAGCTGATGCATCTCGAGCTCCAATAAAAAAATAATTTCTTGAATAAGCAGTCGAAGTGACAATTTCTGAACCTATTCTTATTTCGCAATGTAATATTTCTGTTAGTTCACGTATAAGATTTCCTTGGTTTTATACCAAATTGAATTCCTTTTGCCCGAGGAAGCCGTACCAACTGTTATTATAGACATTATACCTACGTATACTCTGAAAACATCTGTTCAAGTTTGTAATTATTTTTTCATGCGTCTTTCGTCACCAAGCTACAGCAAGCAAACGTCGTATCGGTATAACAAAAGCAGACAGCAATCTTAATTAGTCCGGTGGAGTTGCGAGGAAAATTACGCCGCGAACGACTTGGCCTAGTCCCGATAGATTAGATCGCTTTTCCGGGAGAAAAAACCGCTAAGTAGCAGGATGGCTTGCTGCCTAGCGCTTAAGAAAAAGGCCAGAGTAGTTACGGAGGATATTTTCGAAGACTTCGAAGCAGAAGGTTAGTGAGTTCGAAATTATATGTGTGATATGTGTTTCGTTATCAAATCGGCGTCAGATTGCTTGAAAGCGTAGCCATAAATTATTTTAGAAATGTTTCAATTTTTCGTTAAAGCTTTTTCTAGAGCGAGTAAAAGAAAATTGATTAAGGTTCTTCACTTGATACCAATGAGCATGAATCATCTAAAATTTGGACGTTTGCAAGTGGGATTAATATAAGCGGTAACATTAGCTGAGATGAGCCTGCAGCATTATTTGACTGAAGGCAAGAATTGTTTATTCAACTTTTCGCATAGAAAGAAACAAGACATGTTTAAATGTAACAATGTCTTCGTCTGGCTTGTAAGTATTGGCGGCCTAAATAAGTATTGCTTTTCGGCTGACTTACGTCCTTATCATCCCATTTGCGATCTTGTCGTAATGTTGCATAAAATTTGTAATAAACGGTCAGTTCGCAGCAGGGTTCTGAGATGGATAGGCTGAAATTTCTCGCTTTGCATTTATTGTAGACCGGTGTTTACCTACTGAGATAAATAGTATGTCTATTATTTTTTGTCATGCGTCTTTATTACTATTCATTCTGCCGACTTGCTGCCCCGTCAATAGTCATATTCCAATTCAAGGACATAATCGTTCATATATAAATCTTTCCAATTTTTATCATAAAATATATATATATGGCTAACATATGTTTTAGCCATTTTCAATTCGCAATTAAAATCGGTATATTTACATAAAATTCCACCTGAGCAAAGAGACAGCGTAGGATGAGGATAGCCTAAAAACTAATCGCAAACGATTATGTGGCAAAATGATTGTATACGGATAATATATTATATTTGTTTGCATAAAAGAATATGACACGTCTCATTCATGTTTCATCCACACTACCACAGTCAATTTTTCAAACTCACTGAAAATTTTTAATCTTGACTTTTGACACGTTTTGTTTGCACATTACTTGAACCAAACTTGAACCTGCTTTTGTATTTATGAAATTAAAATGAAAACTGGCAAAAAGGCCGAAAAATTAACGTTATTATATGAGTATTTATTGTTTTGATGTATTGTGATTGATGAATTATATTTTTGCCAATGTGATTTTTCCAATGAATTTAATGGAAAAATTAACGCTGAATATAATTCATTATTGTTAAGGTAGTAATGGAAAAACATATGTACAACCGTTCGAAATGTGGTAAGGTCTGTTTAAAAGACACAGTAACTGAAAACAATAATACTAAAAAGGGGCTGAAATAAACAATTTTCGCTTCTCGTTCAAATTCACCGAATGATCGAGCGGGAGAGCGCCCATGTACCTATAAGGTATCGAAATTCTCCCCCGTAATTTACGATGCTCATTGTCGTATTCACTGAGCTATGTAGTAATACCTTAATTATTATATAGCTCAGTGGTCGTATCCATTTCCGTCTTTACATATATAATTTATGGAATAATTACATAATTTTCGCCACATATAGCGCAAATATTTAAACAATGTACTATTTGTTATGCAAAATTCTATCAGATGCCTGCGAGTAGACGTAATTACCGTAATATATAAATTCTGTTACTTGCAGTATCGGAATATTCCGCTCAATATTTTCGAAAATATACTGACTTAATGTAACATAAAACAAGGAATAAGCATTTGCAGGGTTCAAGAGAAACATCAAAGCATATAATAAATTGGAGTAATCAAGATGGGTGAACGTTTTAAAAGATTAAAAAAATGGTTCGCTCGAAGTATTCTTGGTCAACCGATTGACGAAGACGAGTATGATGTCGAACCAGGTTTGCTGGGCTAGATTGTTAAGCTGTAATACCTTGATAGATGCATTAGGACATTTTGATTTATTTAAAGAAACGTGCGGTATAAATTGTTGATTTACAGGTCAGATCATCATTGCTTGGTAATGGGCATTTGAGTGCAGTGTTGTATGGCGTTCTTTATTTGTTAAACATGAATTTGGCCACTTGGTGCAATAAAATCCTAATTGTTTTGGCAATTTTTCAATGAATATAATTCTATAGGCGAACACATATAGTGTGAATAATAAACAGAAAATAATATGGTCACAGTTACTAACTAAAACAAAGCACAGCTATAGGAACTTTGTATTTTATGAAGGCAGATATTTAGGAAATAATACGGAAATTCAAAATGTTGTAAAAATACCATATATATATAATTGATTAAATCATTTGATAGAGTAGACAGCAAACAACAGCGTAGAATCGAGTGCCACAAACTTCAATATTAATTGTATAAATTAATTGCTTGAATTTTAAAAACCATGCAACAACCGTGATAAAATATTAAAATATTGCAGTTAAACGAGTATAAAGTATAAAGATAATCGATAAGATAGTACAGTAAGTATTTAAAAAAATGACACATTATTTCTTAGGTAAATATAATTGGTTTAGAAAGGCGTAAAACAATATTTTCACATATAATCAGCATGTCTGCGAGATGATATTTCTTTATGTACGTTTACAGTTTTTCTCATTTAGCAGTAAGCTAAAGACAATACAATATACATGTGAACTAAAGTTTTTTGCAAAACATAAAGTGAGAAGGTGTACCGTGTACTATAAAGAATGTAGAGGTTTTTTCACTAGTCATTTTAGCGTGATTATTACTGCAAATTGTGAGAAGATTGCAGATTGAATAGCTTTGCTCAATAATTATTCGCAAATATGCGCATAGGTAGTTATATAATATATATGAGATCTGCGGTTTGATTGGTTAGTGTGCTGAAATGCTCTCATCTGATTGGCTGTTTTACTAATTTGCTCTCACCAACCTTCGCTGTTTGACATTGTTTGACATCCTCGCTGTATACTGCATTACTTTGCTGCCAATTTTCGCATCGGTGAAACTTTTGGTAAACAATTGAATAAACGGAAACAAACATTGACATTATGTAAAATTTATTGCGGAATAAAACTGTTGGGTTATTTTTTACCGCGTTAAAATGGAGTTGCAAATACCTACCGGACTTACTGATATGCTGCAGGATTTTACCGTTGTTGTTCTCCGCGAGCGACCTGAAGACATGGTTGATTTTGCTGCAGAATATTTTACGCAGTTAAAATTGCGAAGCAAAACTAGTGGTAAAGGGGTTTCGTTCTATTCAGATGAAAAAGAATCTGATCAGGAGGATGAAGAGGAACCCTTGGGTAGTTCTCGAATCTCGATGTTTTAAAATTTTCCGTTTCATACGATATTTGCAATTTATGCAACTCAATTTTGTATCAAGTGTTGTGTATATTAAATTGTGGTGGTTTCCGACGTTTTGTCCCATTGTTAACCGCATTGTAAACAGTTTAGTCTTTTCTAATTATCATATAAATATACAGGGTGTTTCAATAAAGCTGCAACTTAGCAATTCATTTGAATAATTCAAATGTCTTACTACACGCATTGGATAAAATGTTAAATAGTAAAAGTGGATTAAAAAATTCCTTCAACCTGTTTTATAAGTAATTTTCCCATAGAACTACAAAGTCATTTCTCTTTAGTTGTTAAGTTTAACATTGTTTGCATAATTTTTCCATGATTCGTTTCAGAACCACCAAAAAACAGATATGCTAGGAGGCAGTCAGGTGAATGTCATGATTTTTTTATTCATTGGTTTGTTGCTAAAAAGTAATTTGAAGCACAGTGCAAAATTCCTATATTTTTTTTCTTGTCTTTACAGTCTCAGCTGAACCTCTTGCTCCATCAGATGAGGAGGATGATGATGAAGAGAAAGTGAGTAACTTGTCAGTAACATATTGGGTGTTCTATATTGAAATGTATTGCTAGTGTATGCCAACTGTCAGCCACCTAGGAACATCCTGTAATTTCTAAATAATGATAATGTTCATACTTTCACCACCAGGGTTTTGCAAGGTTTCTGCTACATGTTTTACATGTTAAATTAATTTTTTTTATACATATACATATTTTCTTTTCAGATTGTTTATCCTAAAACAGACCAACAAAGGATCCGTCTAAATGAAGCAGTAAAAAACATTTTACTGTTTAAAAATCTAGAAAGTGTTAGTATTACATCAATAATAGTAAATAGTTCTTGTAATTATAAAGTTTTCGCAACCTTCTGATCATATAGATATATTTGTTTTATGACAGGAAGAGCTAACTAGAGTGCTGGATGCCATGTTTGAGAAAAAAGTAACACCAGATGAACATGTGATTGACCAAGGAGATGATGGGGACAATTTTTATGTTGTTGATAGGTTAGCAAGTCTAAACTTTTTCAAAAAAAGTATTCTTAGAAATTGTCATCAAGATTTCTTTTGTGTTTTATTTTTAGTGGTACATATGATATATTTGTAAAGATAGATGGAGCTGACAAAAATGTGAGTATGAATTAGCACCATTTAAGTTATATTGCAAGTATAATTAATGCATTCATAGTTTGTGTACTGGTACTATTCATTATAATTATTACCTATGCTGTTGTAATAGGTAGCTTACAATGTTGTAATAGATATATACTAAATTTTACAAATTTGTCATTCCTTACTGGAGTGATTTTTCTAATAATTTTTAAAATTTGCTTCAGGTTGGTAACTACATTAACAAAGGAAGTTTCGGAGAATTGGCCCTTATGTATAACACTCCAAGGTATATCTAAGGCTATAACAGTACTCTTCCAATATCTCAAATTGTTAATCAGATACATAATAAAACAGGTACTTCTCTGTAATTACAATTTTAAAGGGTTGAGTTGAGGTAGCATTGTTAATTTACTGTCATAATTGTAACAACCAACATCACATCCAGACTGATTATATCTCATCAATATGTCACTGAGAAAAAGTTTTTTTACAGGGCAGCAACTATTGTTGCAACTTCAGATGGTATTCTTTGGGCCTTGGTATGTTAATTTCTTTAGCATTAGTTCGTTTTTGAATAGTTGTGAGTGAATTATAACCTTCAAATTTCTTCCATCTAAATTTCAGGATCGAGTCACATTTAGGAAAATAGTTCTTAGAGCAGCATCTAAGAAGGTATTGCTTGTGAGAGATCTGCTTTTATTCATTCATTGTATGTCTATATGTATATATCACTATATAAAACACTCCTGGTATCATTTTAGAGGAAAGCGTATGAAGCACTCATTGAAAAAGTCCCAATGCTGTCAGAAATAAATGTAATTTTTTTAATATTAATTTTTGGAAAACATGTAGAAGCATTTGTAATAGTGGAGGAAAAGCAACTGTAATTACTAGTTTTACTTGTTAACATTGACCATGTCAGTGGTTCTGGGTGCCAATGTCATATTCACAGTTGCACAAATTTCAATTCCTCTATTCTTTTCTTAAAAAGATGAGTGAAAAAATGAATCTAGCTGATGCGCTTGAGTCAAAAACATATGATGATGGAGAATGCATTATCAAACAAGTATGTTATTATAAAGTTTATCCAAGTAGTGGTGTTGTAACCTTGATTCTTACCAATTATTCCTAGTGGCAATGTTTTATCATGGGTCTTACATGTAATACAATATTGAACCTCTATTTTTGACTAGGGTGATGAAGCAGAGTTCATGTACTTTGTGGAAAAAGGGGTTGTCTCTATTCAAATATTACAGCCGGTATGAACATCATTAATAACATTTCAAAATAATAATATAATCAAACATCGACCATCATTAATAACATTACAAAATAATAGTCTGATACTAATATTCAACAATTATATTGTGTGTATGTCCAGGGTGAGTCAAATGAGGTAGAAGTTGCAACATGTACTGAAGGACAATACTTTGGAGGTAGAATACAAATCATTCCAGCTTTCTTGTACAATCAGTTTGTCTGGTATATGAATGCTATATAATTAAGTAACATCTCCCCCTAAGTAATTTTACTTAATACCTTTTGTTACAGAGCTTGCATTGGTAACTCATAAACCAAGGGCAGCATCTGCATACGCCGTCGGTTTAGTAAGATGTGCAGGTAGGTTCATTTCTCTTACTAAAAAAAATGTTTTGAGATTATTACTGCAGCGTAGTATCCTAAAGATCAGCCTCCACTTGCACGTACTGTCAGTGCGGCCGATTTGGCGCATGCTCGCTGACGTGAAACTGTCACTGAGCCGGCCATCGCGGCTAATTTCTTGTACGTTTGACTGTAGTCTACTTTCAAGGCGGTCGTCAACGCGCAAGCACTACGTGCGATTTCGCGAACATACGTGCAAGCGGAGGCCGGCCTGAAGCAAAGATCGAGTGCGCATTTACTACAGTATTAGAATAGTGGACATTAGATTAGGTTCACAACTACCCTTTGAATACACAAGGCTGATCTACAGTAGTGTCATATTGATTGGTGGTAGGTAATGGTGGCAGTGCCAGTGGTTATTATTTTGTGATGGTAATTATTTTAATAGTTGCGGTTATGGTGGTACAAATGGTAAATACACCAGAAAATTATGACCGAACAACACTGCAGTCTTTACCTTTTCCTATTTTCTTTTCAGTGTTGGAAATCCATGCATTTGAACGACTGCTGGGTCCTTGCATGGATATCATGAAACGTAATATAACCAACTACGAAGAGACGTTGAACAACCTCGGTATTGAACACACTGACCTACGGTAGACGTGGCGCTTGTAATGTTTAGTCAATTACTGGCCTTAAGTCACGTTTCCTCTCCTTTCGTGGCTGCATTTTTGGAATGGTTTTATCCACGTTTTCTCTTGTTCGGTTCTTGACGAGGGACTGTTGTTGCGATTTTAAAGACCATGTTAGCCGATGATTAATTAGGCAGAAATATTTTAATCAAATAGTTTCCGTATCTTAACTGATTTCTAAACATTTGCGGAATTTTAGAGGATTTATTTATTGTTTAGAAAAGTTGAAAGAAATGTTGTATTGGTATACTGTAAATAATAAAACTTACCTTACTAATGGCTGTTACATAAAGATTTCTTGCGAGCCAGCATGAACAGAAGTAATAGTTTATTAGTTTATTACTTTGTTGTCATGCGACAATAATATGACTGAATACCGCCAGGTAATACTGGAATGACTGGATCGTCTCTAGAAGTACAACCAGGTAGAATCCTTTCCATTTTTTTGAAACAGGATTTTGGAAACGATCGTATTGCATAGGATGATGATGTGTAATCAAATTACCTTTTTTCGCTATAGTAACTATACTTTTCTATATTGTATCTAAATAAGTTTAGTCCGGTGGGTAGATCAACTTGTGCAGGAAATTTCATAGAATATCCTACGAGTAAAGTATTTTTCATTTTTTTTGCAATTACCTAGGATACAACGTTTGCAAGTGTCTCCAATGTTAAACATACTATTAAATAGTTACCAAAAAAGTCAGCATGGTTGTAGTCTAAACTAAAATATGTAATTAATGTCAAATGTCGCGTTCCCTCGCCACGGATAAAACTCCATCGAGTCAAGTCCTCCTGAAGAAGGCTGCAGACCTGACCGTCATAAAAACAATATGCAGAGTATTACCAAGACCAAGGATACACGATATGGGTTTTTATCCCCACTGTAGTTCTTAGGAAGCCTCATCTTAACCTGTGTATAGCCACAATTGTTCCTTCGGGCTAATATATCGTACGTGCTGTATTGGTGTGTGTGTATGTGCACCTCCCAGTTAAGGCTTCCAAGATTTAACTACAGTAGGGTCTAACCTCAGCAACCTTTTTGAGTGATGTCTTGTCCAGAACCTTTTGTGATGTCCATTGTTGTGAACACCTTAACGAGAGAATTTTAAGTAATTAAGCTTGTCGGTACACCACGTAAGTATTCAATACTGCAAAACTTTCAGTCCCAGTTACCCACGTTACCCAGGCCTTCATCAGTGCAATATTACTTATTGACTGTCACCATGCAAACATACAACTATCTTAGTAACAACCATTACTGAGATTGTAATGATAAAAATCCTAATGATGATGGTGAGACAATATCATGTCTCATGGTAGTGTAGAAGTGAATGATAATGTGTATCAACATCTATACTGCCCCGAAATCGATATTTTTAAGGGAAAGACTAGCAAAACAACAATGGCTAAACCTCCCTGGTAAACGTGAGCTAAACACAAACCTCTGCAATTGTTGGATGTATTCCAATGGTTCGATCAAAATCTGCCTTGGTTGCTCCACACTTGATAGCACAAGCAAATCCCTGCATAACTTCGCCTGCGTTTGGACTCGCAATATGCAAACCAACAATACGGTTCTGCAGAAATACACAAAGGTTGCCCTTCGAATGCTATTTTTTTAGAAATAACATGACATATCACAGAAATTAGATATTTGTAAAAAAGTAGTTCTTAAAGTACCTGATCCGGCTTGTAACAAATCAGTTTAGCATAGCAAATATTGTTTTCCTTCTCAGCGACTGTCCATTCTAGTGGCCAAAGGTTGGTGTGAAATATTTCTAAATTATCCACTCCAAACTTGGCAGTTGCGTCTTCTTCGGAATAGCCACAACAACTGTACTCTAATGGTGTAAATACTGTAGTGGGGACGTTTACGTAGTCGCACTAAAACGAGAAGACATGATTATGAAGAGATTATGACACTTTGATTGGTCAAATGTCTATCACAAACCAATATCTCAACAACTAGCTCCTCCCACCTAAAGGTCTCGCCTTTCTCTTGAAAAGAACGAGCTTAATTTATCGCTGTTATTTAAGATACTTCCCGAGAACTTACCAACGTCTCACTACCAGCATACAATCTTTGTGCCAACAACATTCCAGCTTCAATAGCCACAGGTGTTAGTTCTAATCTCCCGTCCAAAATATCTCCAAGGGCGTAAATATTTGGCACATTTGTCTGTTCCTTATCATCCACAATAACTTTACCGTTCCTTCGATAAAAAAAGACACGAAAGGTCAATTTAATTTCTGAAATCTCATTCTCACTATGTACTCTGAATTGAAAGACAGACTGTCAAAAAATGGCTACAAAAGCGTATTGTTGAACCACCAGTCCACCACCATGTTTATTACTAGCACATAATATTCTTCATGTGTAGAATAGATCACCTCCCGTATATAAGCATCTCTAGCCTTGCATAATCCAATCAAAAGAGGGAATAGCTCTATGTACTTTTGGTCTTCACACAGCTTGGAATCCGTTCTGAGGATGTTTGAAGCCTTTATTGCAACTCTGACAGTTTAATGAAAAAACGTCAATTGATGTTGAGTGACTTACTTTGGGTTCAATGACACCCCAGCATTTTCCAGACCGATACCTTCTGTACAAGAATCTCGACCAATGGCGAACAGCACCTAAATATAAGAAAGATATCTGGCAAAAGTGCACAGTTATAAACTTTAGACCTTTTACACGTTTTTCAAGTCTTCATTCGATCTCCCAATCTATTAGGCTCTACATGAAAATTAACTTAGGTTTTAAAATTCCAACCAGAGATAGGGATTTTCAAACCTGTATTGGAATCCTCTGTTGGATTGAATTATTAAAGAGTTATACCTTTTACGGCTTGTAGATAAATAACATTGCATATTATAAAAATACGCGCATTCTTATTTACGTAACTGATCTTAAGACCTACATCTATAATACAACTTTCAATTTTAAAATATTTTTTATCTAATACTGTAGTTGATACCACATTTAATGGAATATAAATGGTTTGGAGACCACATAAAACTACAATACAATTCACTAACTATGTTGAGATGCAAAAAAATGTTCCTTTCTCATCACATGTCTATTGTATTTTGGACAGATAAACCACTAGCAATCTTATAATTAACATATTTTTCAAGTCAAGGTTGATGAGCTTAGCAAGACGAATGCCATTGGTAAAGTTGGCTAAAATACAATAGACACGTGACGAGAAAGGGTTGACTTGTATTGTACTTTTATTTAGTCTCCAAACCATGTATTATCTATTAATTGTGTTTATACGTACGCTGTTGTATTCTCCTTCAAACTCTTCTCCACTTTCCACTGATTTGTAGTGTACTTTCAATTTTCTTGGTTGTCCATCCTCCAGCATCTCAACCTAATAACAGAGATCAGGGTTTAGAACCGTGCTGCATGGATATTATTTTAGCCAATCAGCGCTCAAAAGGCTTGTCGAAATAGAAATCCATTCAACTGTATTTAATCTTTTGTTATTCTTTGTGTTGTAAACGTATGTTTAGTTATCAGAACTTATATATGTCTAACATAACTAAGCCCTGACATCAATTTGAAACCACAATAAAGTATATTTCAAGGGATTGTTTCAACCGAGAAATGTTTTTTTATTTGACAACTAGTCTAAGTTCTCTCCCGCTATTTTAGATCAGCTGGTAGGGATCAGTTCACTGGTAGGGATACAACAAAGGCAATAGGAAGCAACTTTTTACGTAGCTGAGTCAGGTGTAATTATTATATACTAATGGCTTGCTGAGCATGCTCTCTCACCTTTGTTGGAACGTGTTTTTTAATCAACTTGATATTTTCTGTCTCCAAATAACCACCAACGATCTCAGCCATTTGCTATAAAAATAATAACTAAATTCTAATCTCTATCATTATTCATCCTATGTGCAGACGTATTCCTAAACTTGAGTTTGACCAACGCTAGATCAACGTGGGATTATGCAAGGTATAAAACGATGATATATAAGTATTGAATGTAAATTATGATCGTGTGTATGACTCCTGCGAATTCATACTGTGATTGTGCTTCTCTTAGCTTGATCAATGGAACCAGCGACCATTAAACATGCATTTGAATTGTTTTTTCAGTTTTGACCTATTAGCATAGTTGAAAGAGTATATTAGACCAGTATACCGAATGTCGCGGGTTTGATTCCTGGTGTGGGAATGCTAATTTCTTAGCTTGTTCGGATGGCAACTCAGAGTTGCACCGTCGCACTAATTTGTGTACTGAATGTATTTCGTCGCTTTTACGATTTAGTTGTAAATGAATGAGAATGTGCAAGAGCATGCTGGCTATCATGCCCCTATCTCACGAAAAACGTTTAAAAAAGGGGTTTCTTCGTACCTGATCAAAACCACGCAGAAAGATGGAGCGTATCATAACAGTGACGTCCAAACCAATACCAGCCAAAAAACCAGCACATTCCAATGCAACATATGAAGCACCAACTACCAAAGTTTTTCCAGGACAATATGGCAGGGAGAAAAGATCATCGCTGGTTATCCCAAACTCTTTTGCTCCGGGTATATCAGGATATCTGGGGCGTTCACCTGTTGTCAGATATCAAAATGTGGAATGTCTTAAACTGCAGGATCTTGGTTTTAGAAGAAAATTCGAGCACAATTTCCACATCAACACAATGAAGCAAAGGCGATATACAGTAGGCCAAATGTCCTAAGAAGCTAAAAGACGCATACTTCCTGACAGGGGAGAAGTTAGGAGAACTTCCTGAAGTATTTGAGGGGGAGGGGAAGTTAGGAGAATTTCTTGGAGTTTTTGAGGGGGAAAGTTAGGAGAACTTCCTGGAGAGTATTTGAGGGGGGAGAATTAGGAGAACTTCCTGGAGTATTTGAGGGGGGGGGAGTTAGGAGAACTTCCTGAAGTATTTGAGGGGGGGGGGAGTTAGGAGAGAAACTGATCAGTTTAAACAGAATTGGCCTGTGACTCAATATTGCCAGATATATTTGTATAGTACCAGCTGTCAAATGAGAAAGAGATTCCCCATTACTGCATGTGTATTAATCTGGGGCCACATGCATGGTGAGGTGTCTCGATCCTAACATTAACAAGGGTTGGCCATATCAGATAAAATGCATCATTGTATACCTGTTGCCACCACAACAGTTTCAGTTGTGATCTCTGTGACTTTTCCACGACCATTTGTAGTCTAAAACAATTTGAAATTATAATTTTACGTCACCACCTTTCTGTAGCTTTGATTTACAGGCTACTTGCAGTAATACAGTCTCGTACACTTGAATGATCAGTTTCATACCTTAATTTTGTGTGCATCCATCAACTCGCCATAAGCATTAAGGTATTTCACACCTTTATCTCTCAATGCAACACGATATCCCCAGTTTAGTGAACCAATATAATTCTGAATTGCTTCTTTCATTGTTTGCCAGTTATGTTTGACTGCAAATTATGTTTTGTGGGCCGTTAGGGTCCATGGAAATATTAGCAAACACCTAGCTGAGGTTTGCATGGCCTTTGACAAATTTTAAGAATGAATATTGTAAGTACTAATGCTAATTATACCTTTATCTTGCTCTAATTCCCATCCAAATTTTTTTGAATCTTTGATAGCACCACCAAGTAATGCTGCCTGGTGCATTAGTTTCTTAGGTATGCAACCAACATTCACACATGTACCACCCAATCCTATAAAATCATTGGAAGACTGTCAAGATGAATTTCATATGATATACAATCATAACAAATAATGCTATTAGGTGGCAATAGGAGAATACTACGTAAATTAGGAAACTGATGCCAAAACATCCATAAATATACATATTTACCCCAGGTTGTTCCAGAAGGGGTTGGTTTGATGAAGTCAAGTACAGCAACCTTCAGCCCATACTTGCTGGCTTCCTATGTATGTAGTAAACAAGATGCAAGTAACAACAATAAATCATACAATGTCGTTGGTAAACTCTGATTATATGGAATCTGTCAATTGGTAATTTTCAAGTAAAAATATGATTAATAAATGTGCACTTGCAATGGTTGGTGTAGCCATATATATGCAAGAGGCGGGGCATCGTTTTATCACACCCTCATTATACAATATTTCAAGAGATAAGATTTGTACTTTCCAGCAAAAAACTTCACCATAGCAATTATACCTTACTACATGACAATCCTCCAGAACCACCTCCAATCACAACCAAGTCATAATCATATTGATCTGTTGGAGGATTAATTAAAGACATCAATGCTCCACTTTCATTTAGTTTGGACAGATCATCTGAGCCACCAATATGTTTGCCCCGGATGAAAATATTTGGCACTGTTTTCTGTCCTGTCATTTCCAATAACTTGGCCTTTATGTCTGCGCCAGTTTCTAAAATGATTGGACAGCATAGCATGATAGGTAAAATAGGATAAGAAAAGACACAATACCTCATACTTAGTTGCATGAACAAAATAAAGGTTAGAAACTTACCCATGAGATCAATGTCAAGAAGATGGATAGTAATACCAAGTGAAGCAAACAGGGCCTTTGCCTAGTATAAAAACCCAGAAAAATATGTATATAATACTTTAATGTTTATAATACTTTAGATGAATAATTTTGTTCACATGGAACCAAATGAATTCAAAGATTTGCTATAAGATGATGGTCATTATTATTCTGGAAGTTCAAGCCCAGGCAAATGCCCAGGGGCCAATCATGCCATCCTCTAGATAGCAAGAAAATTTTTAATGCTTTTGTTGTCCACTTGTAATATTAAGGAGTCACATCACAAACAATATAATTGTGAATATATCCCACTTTTACCAATATCGTGCAATTATGTTACTGTATTATGAACATGTGGGCAAGAAGACACAGACACAAACTCAGAACATATTTTGTACTGTATACGTTGTCTGTATGATAACAAATTATCATCAGTATCATTATCATCAGTATCACAGACTCAAAGTCACAAATTATTCCTATATTTCGCCTACCTTTTTGCAAAAAGGACATTTTGAAAAGGCAAAAACTGTCACAGTATGTGATTTTATAGCATCATCAACGAATGCTTTGATATCTTGGCCTGGAACTGGAGGCATCTTTTTCGCCACAAGCTCGTCTAACTGCGATACGCCTACTCGCTTCAGCTTTTGGCCGGCTAGATCTAAATATACAATTCACCTGCCAAAAAGGTACTTTAATGTGTCAACAATAATGCATTAAATAGGCAAGTGTTTTAATGTTGTTGCTAGAGAACAAGCAAATGAGAATGATCTATAATTCACGTTTCACAGCGATGGCTGACAAGTCTCATCATGATCTCTCTGTTTAATTTTTAAATTTTATACCAACGCATGCTTACCAAACCAAAAAATAGCAATAAAGTATAAATATGCTACTCACATGCAGTTAACTGCACTTGGACGTAATGCGGACAGTAGTTATTTTCTAGTAGAAGCAAAACGTATAATATGGAATGCTGCTTTTCGATTTGGAAGAGAACAATTATAATTTATAAATTATAAATTTTCATAAGTCATAACTCCAGCAGGGAAAGACGGGAGAATTCATGTAAGAATTCATGTAAGAAGTCATGTAAGAATTCTTTAAATTCCTTTGTATCGTAGTCCAATCTGAGTAAAGTAGTAAACCAAAGTTAACCTTTGATTCTGATCTATCTTTCTGATCTGTTACTAATCGATGAACTCTAATGCATTTAATAACCTAGGGGTAGATGCGATAAAGTAGATGCGTTTCGAATATACATCATTATGCGTGTTTACATCATTATGCGTGTTTTAAACATTCGTCTCGCTATTTGGGCATGATAGAAGGGCTGGCAACTGCTTTGAATTCAACCTCCTTCCCAACAGTGGCGTTGCCAGCGCGTTAGTGGAGGAGGGATATATTCATGTATTCATATTCTATATTATTAATTTCTTTTGAAAATTTTTTTACAGTCAGTGAGCATGAATACATGATGCTGCTGCCATGCTGGCTAACGCCACACTCGAAAAGTCCTTAGGCCTCTTTGCATTGGTACCAAGGAACGACTAATTTATAGACTTAATGACTAGACTTAAACAGTCTCGTTCAACGTCAATTCTGTACCTATCAAAAAGTTTAAAAGAACATTTCACTGAAAGTGTTTCTGTCAGTTCTTTAGTGTCCGTATTTACAGATAATTATATACATCTTTATTACTGAGAGTTTCCTTGTGTCATTTCAAAATGGCGGAGGAAAGAGGGATAATGCCATAGTGTCAATACAGCCATATTTGAAGTTATCTACAAAAAATGCGACATTATTGCGTTGCATGACGTCATCTTGGTGGACGTCGGTTGTCCATAGGAAGATCTGTCACGAGATCAATGACGTCGTCAACCAATTTTCTTGTAGATGATGTAAGTGGACAGTCTTCCGGAAGGGAATTTGAAATTGAGTGTGGTTTGATGTAGTACCTAAATATATTGTTTATTCATTTATATATGAGTTATATTTGCAGTGATAGACCAGTCAAACCTATACAATGTAGGTTACCTTAGAAAGGTAATTAGAGTGTTCCTAACAGTAAAAAAACTTTGCTCTCAAGCCAAAAAGCGAAGGTTTACCTGAATTCTTCAGTGTAATATTCATGAATGTGTTTACGTAGTTTTATACTATGTTGCAGGAGAGTTTTGAGAACAGAGAACAATGTGTATAATGATCTTGTATCATCTGACGTCAGGTAGTCGTCTTCAGCCTTCTTTACAATCTCCATCACTTGTTGAATATAGGCCTGTAGAAATCTTTTCTGAACATGGACAAAAACGCAATGATAATATTAAAAGGTATTTAACAATTAAGTGAATGAATGTATAGAGGTTTTTTAACATTCTCCTTTAGATTTCTCTGGTGATTATCCCAAAATTCTCCAGCATATATTATCTAAGATCGAATCCAAGAGTGGATTCTGAAATATTATCTTTATCGACTATTCCCTTTCATTCAACACCAAACAGTGTTGAGGTTGACAATCTATCAAGAATTAACCAAGAAATTACCGTGGTTGTCGAGGATTCTACGATTTTTATTATCCAGGATATACTTAAAGTTCTATCATCAGATGGAAACCATACGGCCTAAACAAAAGTAAGAACATAGAGAAGAAGCTTTTCCAATTGTTTCTCTGTTGATTCATTCGCAAAGTGAATTATTTTCTAGTTTTCCCGTCTCGTGCCCAAATAACTTCACTCGTGACTGAATGTTTTCACGGTATGTCCCCCCCCCCTTCCCATTATCACATCCAGCTGGCTGATCTGAGAACACAAAAAACAATCCGAAGCCAGATCTTTGCAAAACTAAATGTACAACTTTCAGTGGCACTAGAAAATTATGAGTAATTTTATTACAGTAAAAAAAACTGCATGAATACCTGATAAGCAACGATAAACAGTTCATGTAACAATGCAATTTGGTGTTTCACCAGCTCATTAGAAATATTTTCAAGCTAGGAACAAAAAAGATGGTTATTCCACACTACAGCTAATTAAATTTATCATTAATCGTCCAATTAATCGAGTCAAATATAGTTAAATCTAAGAGTTGAATAAATGGAACTGTGAATGCCTGAATACCTCAGTATCTTGCGAAGATTTTTCCTTCGTCTCCTTTTTTTTTCGAAGCTTGCCTGTCAACAACACCTCAGCTGCCTCAGATATGTCAGGCGTTTCAACGACTGACGAGGTCTTAGTTAACTCAGGGGACGTAATACTTGCAAGGATAAGATCACGTACCACGGAGTATCTAGAGAAAGCGACGTCGTTCCTGTCACTGCATTTTTTCAAGTACCATGTAGGCTGGTGCAGGTCTGAGGTACACCTGCGCAGTACCTTGGGTAATCTTGAACTATTTGTGTCTCTGTGTTGCATATTGAGGCTTCTAACTGACGTCATCATTTTTATTCGTTATCGATGGTTGATTATTGAGTAAATAAGCCAAATACCAATCACATAACCTTTGTTTTTTTCAAACAAAGAAATCAAAGGGCCTGAGTCCTTACCCTTTAATGAACGACTTTTGCTTGGCATCTAAGATGGCGGATCACTTATGTGATACCTCGATAGATATGTGGATAAAGGGTCTACTTAATTAATTGCAAGCGTCACAGACCGCAATATGAAATTGACACAGTTACTTCCAGACCGAAGGTAATACAGAGTTATACAACCAACCAACAACCAACTTCGTTCCCCGGGTCTATCACAGCAAGAGGTGGAGCATGGGTAAAGGCGACCCTGGGAACGAAGTTGCAATATTGATTGTGTTGCTATATTCCAAGTCCTGGCTGAGGACGAAAAATCTTTCTTACTTCTTGCTTTTCAGACGAATCATGCGCGATGCAAGGAGTTCTGTTTCCCTGAACATCTCAGTTAAACACTCGATAAGGAGAAGAACAAATCTGTAAAGAAAATTTAAAAATATTTTAAAGAATGTTTATCATAAGTACAGCATTCAAGCAGCGAGCAGCCAAATGAACTTTAGTACAAGTATACATAATACGGACTGATTCAGATATGATATTACTAAAATTTTTCGATATAGCAAACTGAAGCAATGGCCGTTGCCTTAAACGCTAAAAGGATTGTCGAGGTAAAATATGAAGAAGTAAACAGAAATTCATCGGGACAAAAAAACGAAATTTGTACTCGCAGACCAGAACCACCGCAGCCTTCGAAAGGTTGTCAATTTGCGAGCGAATAATACGTGAATGTAACGCGACGAACGTCTGCATGCTCTACGTGAAATTAAAAGTGTCAATATAACCAGACTTACTCCAGTTCATCAGCTCTGTTTCTTCTCATTGGCTCATCAACATCGTGATTTTTCTTGATACAGTCGTTGATATTTTTGACCAAGAAAACATACAAATCTGGGGACTAAAAAATGACAAAAAAATAACGTGAAAAACAAGTACTGCATGCACAAACTAAAAGAGGTTTAGTTTGGACAACAATCAGGATTTATAACTACTTGTAACGTCATCCGTCAGCCGTCAGGGCCTCTTTCTAATTCATCTGTCAGGGGCTCTTTTAACATATAGAGTGCGGGGGGGGGGGGGACAGGATCCCCTAGCCCCCATCAGGCGGCCGGTTTCAAAGTATCAAAACCTATATGCCCACGTACCCTTAGGGTACATACGTATACTATTCGTATACAGATACAATACAGTGTTGTTTTTCATTCGTTATTATCTCTAGCCAAAGCCTTTACATGGTATTTATAGCCAAGAATACAGAAAAGTGCAAGTCTGTACCTGCCAAAATAACTTTTTAACCAGGACATCTTTTTGACACGCTGTATGTAATTCATGAACCAATTCGAACGTTGCTTGAAAATCTTCAGAATTCAATATTTCTTTTTCTATTTGATCAAATAGTGCTGTGACCGTTGAACTACGTGAAAACAAGAATATGAGAACATTAGGAAGACATAATTTAAATTCTAGAATACGAGAGACGCATCACACCCGCTGGACGAATTTAAGACCCGTTTACACTATTCTGATTTCAAATGCTCACGACATCAGTTTAAGTTGTTTTACGATATATCTGTCCCCAGAACTTTTTCACTTAGCAGATTATGTTAAAGCAATTATGCTATCATACGTTTGGCCTTTGGGGATAAAACTCGCACTGACATGGCTTATTTTGATTTCGTGGCCATGTGATGTGAACCTGCATGGTATAGTCTAAACAGGGCGTAAGGCCTGGTTCTCATATGTCACAGACGGCGATGGCCATTGCATGTCGGTGAACTCTGATTAGTGAATTGCCTTGGGGTTTTTTAATGAGTTTTCTTCTTCACCGGCAACAAACAATACATCGCCGACGGTCGGCGACATATGAAAACCAGGGTTTACCACAGACGATTGAGATAGTGCGCGTCCAGACAGATCATGGTAATGCATGCACGACAACGGTTGATGTTGATGACTGGTACGACAACGGTTGATGTTGATGACTCAGCACAGATCATATACCATTTGATTGTCGCCGTAACGAATAACACATCCCGTACCTGTTCGGCTTGTTTTTAACAACAGTTTTGGGCGATCTTTCTTCTTTCGCAAACTTTACAGATGAATTCTGGAAATTTAAACAACATGTACAGATGTAGTATTGATATATTTCTCGCCAAAAAGAAAGTCGGAAATGACTTGCAATGTCTTGTGCAAGCTATTTCCTTCATCATGCGTCGTCATTGGTGAATATGTACGTACGCCCAAATCGCCCCTAGTGAATATTGTTTATTCTCAAGAATTGTAATGTGCTCTTCTTGCTGCCTCGTAATAGTCTAGTCTACTTGCATGTGTCAATGTGCAAACTACGCTTGTGATAATAAACTATAGTTGTTGATACAAGTTTGGTCGAACACTGATCAATATTAACAACTCACTAATAAGCAGTTCTCCCAAGTACTACGAAGATACGCTAGCATCACACTATCATCCAGTGTCATATAGAGATTGATTTCTGATGAACCCTCTTCTACCAAGCTCTCATCAAAATCACCAGAAAACTGTCCGGAACTCTTGTCCAACCCCGCATTCTTGGAACCACTTCGTCCTTTAAACCAACTGAATAAACTTCTTTTTTGTGTAGAAGTCAAGTTTGGCTCTGAGCCAGAATTAACTGAGGAGTCGAATTTTACTTTCATTGCTCGTAGATCTACGGCGCTTGCGCTGACAGTCAATCTGGTCGGGCTATTTTTATGTTTGAAATCATCTATAGTTGAAAACGAATGGTGTAATGGTAGAAGGTTTGATTCAAAGTTTTCATATTGTCTGTCAATTTGATGATTGCCCTCATCGGACAGCGCCGAGTTTGGACCAGATAAACTTAGCTTATTAGAAGTATTAGATTTTTGTCCGGAGGTCTTTTGCAAAGTTCCAGCTCTTGGTAATAATATATTTTGTTCTACCCGAGTTCTATCGTTGATATCATCCTCATGCAATGAATTTCTGCTCTTCTTTTTCACTCGACCTTTCTGTAACGATAAAATTGGTGACATATTGTGTTTGGGATTCTTTGATTTGTCTTGACCAAACAAATATTCTTCTTCAAGTTCTTGTTGTAATTCATTTTCTGGTAGACTTCTTGACAAGTTGCCTTGCATTCCTGGGCTGGAATCTGATTCACCTAGGCGATTGGATTTATGCGTGGAGTGCTTTAAATCATTTTCTTGTAAACTCTTTGACAAGTTTTGTTTAATTTTTCTCGATATCCGACCAGAGGGCGTAGCATTTTCACCATCATTACCTTTCTTATCGAACGAGGTAGATTTTTTGGAAAGGTTTCTGAACTCATTATCTTGAAGGCTTTTTGACATCGAAATTGACGACGACTTAGTGCTGAGTTGAGTTGTAACGTTTGATTCTAAAACCTTCTTGTAAGTCACTAAAATATGATGAGTCTTGTATTTCAAATCTCCACCCAGGAATTCGGGAACATCATTGATCTGTGGCAAATATTAAGATGTTAAAAATTAGCCGGGTATAGTTTTGTGGTCTAGACGCATGAGTTGAGTTGACTTATCGGGTTTTATTTATTCAATTTGACCAAAAAATTGTACATTAAGAAAGAAAAAATATACACGAGAAATTATTTGTACGAGTTCCTATTTGAATATCCGTAACTAATTCACTCGTTCACATCTATCAAAAGAAGAAACTCGCACGTTCAAGTTCAATACTGTACTAAAAATAATTTGAATAAAAGAATGAAATACAGTCGGTATACATGCAATTAGCTAGATCAGATAGATGCCTCTATGGCGTGTGCCCAATACACTTGAAAATTTGTTGATTGTGGAAAGCTCTGCTATAATTATGTTGCGAAAAGCCTTATTTATGCAATTTTTACAAGAAACAAAGCTAAAGGTAAACTTTATGGCAATATTATACACTTCGAGTGAGTTTTGTTTTGAGACTCGAGGGAAAACAAAACTCGCTATTTCCCAAGGTATTGTACATTAAGTGTTTTGTTATACAGGAACGAAAACATACATGCTACTCAACAATTTCAGTAAAAAAAACACACTTTACTTTGTTATGACAAGAAGCAGGCAACAATTTTTCACTTGTTTCCCTGGCCAATGAACCAATCACATTTAAAATACAAAGCACCTATATAATACCTTTTGAAATAAATACTAAAATGTTTATATTATATATTTGCTGATTTGCATAGCCATAATGCCATAGGCATAGGTAATCTGGTAAATTTATTCTCAGTATCTCACTTTCATATGGGTCATGTATGCACAAAAGTCTATCGTCTATAAACCTTCTTATCATTTTCTTAATTATCCCCGTTCTTTTAGTTAGATAAATTATATATCCCTCAGCAGTAAAGTATTTCACCATGTAATTTACACTATATTGTAACGGAACTTATACTAGCCTCTAGATTCGTTATTTTAACATGATATGTACGCAGTTATTATGATACGTAATACGACTTACTAGTTCGACTGAAATTATGTCCACAATCCTTGTGACCTCTTGTATATCCTTAGCGGTCTTCGGTGGGTTCTCAGTAACATACAGCCATTCGTCTGCTAACACAACAAACTTAAACTGCTTGTTGTATACGTCGGACACAGCGACACACGGCTCAATCAGACGAACTCCTGTGTAACGAGATTGTGGCAGATACCTCTTCAAAAAACTGTCAACTTTTTCATACTTCTTTGGGGACGCACATTCCATATGCAAAAAACTCGAACGATGTATCAAAGCATGTCGTGTTATTTTTTTATGTCCTCCACTGCCATACGAGACTGAACGTAATACACAACTCTGGTCCGTTGATTGCAGTGATGCATTTAATTTATTTTATCGTATTCTTTCTTAAACATTCATTTTAACATTAGTATGGCATAATGTAAGATGACTTCAAGTTCCTGTCGTCTTCAAACCACAGAGTATATTACATTTAGCTATTCCATTTGCAAATAATGCATTATTAATTCCTGTTGTCAAAGACGCTTAGCGGAGGATGCGACGATCATAACTCATATACAAAAATAATACCTGCCGCCTACATTTTTGATATTGCATGTGTGTGTGTATGATACAAATTTTCAAAAGCGATAGTTGCACAAGGATTGAGAGATAACAGCCGGAAATTAGGGAAAATTATAGCTGAATAGCAAAATATGTAATGTGCTATAGTCTGTACTAATGTAAATATAATCAAGGTTTCGTAAAATCGCTCCTAATCATAAAGATGTTCGAGACAATGTAAATAGGACCGACGAAAACTGCGTGGGCCGTTTACAAGTCATAGATTTAAATAAAAATTCAACTTAATGGTCAACTGATGCCTTTTTTGAGCCGCTATTTCTTTGTTCAATTGTGAGCAAGATTCGGTGGAAACCATTTGTTTTGGATAACACGTGAGAAAGATAAAAGTTACAACTTTTTAGTTACAACTAAATATCAAAGAATTAAGTCTAAAATTAATCCAAGAATCAATCGTCTTTCTCAGAAATTGCTTCAAAAATCTAGAATAATCTAGAATTGATTATTTACGACCGGGGTAACTAGCAAAAAAAAGAGGGTTGGTCATGAGGGTTTTTTGACCTCGTATTTAAATTCAAACCTCGGCCTTTCAATTACCCGATTTTCGAAAGGAATGAATTCGATTATATTTCGTGCTTTCTTCTAAAGCAAGCGTGTTCAAAATGTTTCGAGGGCATTGGTTGGGAATGGTATGTTGAATGAAGCATTTCAGTATACCAGTCCCAACAAATCCAGGAGGTTCTACTTGGAGGAACAATGTCAACAAAAGTGAACCACATGCATGTGCATTCTTGTTGTTCTGAATGTTGCCGTTAACTATAAATTGAAATCTTTACTATACAGAGTATTCCAAAAACCCCCCAAAACTATTGAAATCACCCACAACATGTAATAGTTAGAGTTTGAATGACTAAGCACCCTGTTGGGCTTAAGCATTTTTTTGCAGGATGACAGTAAAATATGTTTGTCCACATATTACCATGCAATTGGTCCATGCACATATAACCATTATTACCAATAATTACAATTTACAAATATGGATAACAATATTTTAATTTACAATTTAAGCACCATGACCTTCGACATGTCCTTCTTTTCTGGCAAAATTTATATTTTTGTAGCGGCCTATTTAGCATTTTATAAGTTGCGTTAATCCCCACGAGGAAAAATTTGCGAACAAGTCATTTAAATTTTAGCAATAAGTGATTTGAATAGACTATGGTTTTGGTTTTTTGGGGGCACCCGATAGAATGCAGGAATACAAGATTTTTCCCCTACTCATATATGTATACTTAATCGATACTGAAGCTCAACACGAGTTCCGGCAAACATTCAGCAGTGATTATTTTGAGTATTTTGGACTATAACGCAATATCCAATATAAAAAAATTGTGGAATAAGGTTTTATAACAAGGTTTGACAGTAATTTGTTGTGTATCTGCAAGCATTGTCACCTAAACTGTCTGCAAGCCAATTTGAGCTCTCTTTGCACAGATAACTGAGTTTTCATTAACGTAAGAGAATTGAGGTAATTAGCATTTGATCTTCTGTCATCGTGTCTTTTTTTGTCAGATGACTTGTCAGGCATGCAGCCGGAATCAGGATCGTGCTATGCTTATATACTGGTTGTATGGCTGCATTTTATCGAGAATATGACGTTGTCTTATCAACGAATTGCAATGCTTTATTAAAAAAACTTCGTTATTAAAAAAACTTAAAGGGCACACACCACTGAGCTATATAATAATTCCTGGAGGACCGGCTCCTAATGTTTTTGGCTCAAAAAGTGAAGCAAGAAACATGGCGGATTTTTCGTGCTGACGCCAGATATGGTCCGAAGAGGTCATGGCAATTACCACTGACACGGCTCAATATTGAGCCCGCTCCAACATTCACTCCCCCCTGCTTATAAAATGTTTTTTAAAAAACCTTTGGAGGTATTTTTAATTTTTGACGACATTTTACTACCATTTGTTGATTTCATTTCAAAACCTGTACGACTGAGACGTAATTCTCGTGCTTTAAATATGACAAACGATTACTAAAACCGCAAAAATTTCGGTATTTAATTAAGGATAACATTTGAAATCATTGGTGAAATCGAAATCGCGAAGCCGAAGTATTAAATTTGAACATGAAGTATAGTATCATATAATTTTCATGAAAACGGAGAATTATTTAGGATCGGGTATGCTTTGTTAGTACTACATAGTCACTCTTTATGATATGAGTATAATTAACAGTTGGACTTTGCTATGCTATATCTGTACAAAAATATCAGCATGAGTGCCATTCAATAAAAAGGTGATCCTGAATAATCTATTCTCACTTGAAGAATTAACTCAAATGTGAACTCAAGATTGTGTGATTGAAAAACAGGAGTATGTAATGTAACCCATTGTCTTTTTTATTTATTTTGGCCTTTTGCCAGTTCTTAACTTGCCAGTCTAGCAGCCATACATGAAATCCACCTTTGATTAATAAGTGAAAACTGCCAATTCTTTGAGAATATGAAAACATAAATTTTAAAGTATGAACTATATATTTACAAAAACTTAACAGCAAATTAAAGAACCAAACTTTATAATCCCATAGTTCTTATTGTTTAGGAAATTTGCTCAGTTTTTACTTGCACAATTACCCTGTTCATTCAAATATTTTATTTTAATTACAAGATTCACCAATAGATAAAATAGCCCAATTAATTTGACATTATCACTGCATTAAAACTGACCAGAGTCAATGTTGGACACTAGTCTACCTAAGGACAAGGATCACTAGAATCATGTGTGTTTTAATACCTTGAGTCCTGAGTTTGCAAGATTATTTAGTCACTCAGATTTTGTTTCTGTTCTATTAAATTGTCTGGTTGTGGAGCAGTGGAGGATTCTTGGGACTAACTGTTTCTGTTTTTAAAGTATGGCAGACCTCAATGTATTAATATGGCTTTGTATTATTATGGTCTAAAATTTGCTTTTATTACCTAATCTGTTTAGCATTTTCATTGTAAGGTTTGCGCCAAATTTGAATTATTTATCAATACTGTTTATTATGTTCACTGTATGATACCAGATCAAAGTTAGTTTGCATTGTGTATAGTTTTACTACAAATGAGAAAAGTGGGCAAACTCTGCTATTTCTGGTTTCTATTTTCCCACAATTGACATTTAAATATGTAAATATAAATATAAATTGACATATAAACCATGTAGCCATTCTCCCATTGAAAAGTGAAAATAAAATGTCTGATCTTAGCCAAAACAGAACTATTGACCAAGTCAAAACAATCCTATATGCAGAATACTAGTTCATATCACTTTGTTATGGCCTTTGCCAAAAATATTAAACCTCAGCTAAAAATTTCAGCTTGATACACATACATAATGAAGGATACACGGTTCAATAAAATGGTGCAAATGCCTGGCAAGTGGAAGGATCTTGCAACTAGATGTTGAAATATATCATTTTGGCACACAAAAATTAAAACAACTGCACTTATAAATTACGTATTAAAAAACAATTGATGTAAATAAATTCTGATCCATTATTATAAGCGTGAAGCTCGGAAAAAAATAGATGTTTTATGTACATCTTCGGTGCAAGTAGTAGTAAAAATGCCACCAAAGTAGATTCAAAAACGAATGTAAATCCTACAAGTGCGAGTTGGAGTCGATATTCCCCCCTTTTAGCGACTAACAGCATCCACAAACTGAAAAGAGGCAGTTGTTCCTTCACGTCAAAAAAATAGTGGTAAAATATCAAGATTCGGTTGAAGAAATACGAAAAAATCACAAGAAAAATAAAAAAAAATTCGAAAACAGCCGGAGGGCGAAGGAGTGCGCCTGAAGCATTGTATCGCGGTTGTCAGTGGTAATTGCCATGACCTCTTCGGACCATATCTGGCGTCAGCACGAAAAAATCCGCCATGTTTCTTGCTTCACTTTTTTGACAGGAGCCGGTCCTCCAGGAATTATTATATAGCTCAGTGGCACACACCCCTGCAGGCCTGCTGGAAGAATACAAAAAGACAGCTTCTCCTCCTGTTTGTAGTTCCGGCGTAAGATTGATGAATCTGCGAGATGAAAAATGCCTTCGGTGTGCTATTGAAAAATAGAAGGCCATATCTTGGAGAAGTTTTGTTGAGATATTATGATGATTTTGATATATTTACTGTGCAAAGTAATTTGCTTTGCTTTGGCGATTGTGCCAGTTCGTGACTTCGTGTCGTTGTTTTCATGAGAGGAAATGTTTGTGTCAAAGATATCTCGATATCCGACAAATGTGTCGTTCTCTCGGATTCAGATCTTGTACATTGTCGATTTTTCTGTTGTAGGAGTTTTGCATGGAGAATTACACATGCAAAACCCCAGAGGCGAAACTCTAAGTGCTATCACAGAAACTGTTTAAGATCGAGGTTTATGCATATTCCCCGACACTGCATGATGTATACTTGTCGTGGATTTAAAAAACAAATGGACATATCGTGTACGAGTATCATGTTGTGCACCATTACCATATCGTGTCCGAGTATCGTGTTGTTCACGTGTACCATATCGTGCACCATATCGTGGACGAGTATCATGTTGTGCACCATTACCATATCGTGTCCGAGTATCGTGTTGTTCACGTGTACCATATCGTGCAGCATATCGTGCACGAGTATCATGTTGTGCGCTATTACCATATCGTGTACAAGTATCACATGTTGTGCATGATTTACCCGGTTCAGTAGCGTAGGCAGCAAGTTATAATTATTAATTTCTTTAGGAATGTTTTGCTTTCACAGTCAATGAACAGGTAAATATCAGCATAACAAAACCATAACTATAGTTATGTACTTATTAAACCTTGCTCTGCGTCTGGTAGTCCTGGTTTCATTTCGTTTTTGCCTAATACAATTGACGGATGCCAGTTAACGACAAGGAATCAGTCGACCAGAGAAAATCCTGCGCGCGCTGACCCGCTCAACACTGCGAGCATATAAATAATCACTTTCCGAACAATTCTGGCACAAAACACTGGAAGACTGGCGTGATTACAGTAAGCAGCTCTCTGACAAAACTGACAAAATGTCCTCCGATATTGATTATGA